CGTCTATTCCCGTCTATAACGTTGACGGTACGCTTAATGCAGGTGGCTGTATTACACACAAATGTTCTTTTGTGGTCGAATACCAAGGACACAGAGAACGAGTCACTGCCGAGGCTACCCAACTAGGGAAGATTAATTTAATCTTAGGCTGGACCTGGCTATTTAAACACAATCCTGAGATCAACTGGCAGACAGGGGTTGTCACATTGTCACGTTGTCCCCAGGAATGTGTAAACTTGGGTAAACCAAATCATGTCCATCACAATGAGCGTCTCGAAAAGTTAAACGCTAGTCACGTTTACGAGCTCAGATCTTTAGAAAAGATCGACGATGACGATGATGAGGTAAAACCTGAGGAAGAGATTAAGAGGCTGGTACCTCCCGAGTACCACGACTTCTGGAAAGTCTTTTCAAAACACAAATCAGAACGCTTCCCAGAGGCTAAGCCGTGGGACCATGCTATAGATTTGAAAGACACCTTCAAACCAAGGAAGGGACACATGATACCGCTCTCTGCTCCCGAAAGAGACGAGGTATCTAGTTTCATAGACGAACAACTTAGGAAGGGTTACATCAGACCTTCCAAAAGTCCTATGACGTCCCCGGTGTTCTTCATTCCTAAAAAGGATGGTAAGAAGCGCATGATTATGGACTATCGTTACGTGAATGAGCACACAGTTAAAAACGCGTATCCGTTGCCTTTAATTAGTCAGCTAGTAGACAAATTGGCTGACGCCAAGATTCTGACTAAAATGGATCTCAGATGGGGGTACAATAACGTACGAATCAAAGAGGAAGATGCTTGGAAGGCCGCGTTCACGTGCCACCGAGGATCTTTCGAACCCCTTGTTATGTTCTTTGGGTTGACCAATTCACCGGCGACCTTTCAGAGCATGATGAATGAGATCTTTGCGGATATGGAAAACTGTGTCGTCATTTACATTGACGATTTATTAATATTTACAAAGTCGGACAATGAGGCTGAGCATGACAAGATCGTGCAAGAAGTCCTTCAACGCTTACAGGAACGGGACCTATTCGTCAAACCCGAAAATGTAATTTTAAAGTGAAGGAAGTAGACTTCCTCGGCATGATCATAGGCCAGAACGGAATCAGGATGAACCCTGAGAAAGTTCAAGCTATTTTGGAATGGCCAGAACCTACTCGCGTCAAAAGGGTTAGGGCTTTCCTAGGCTTAGGCAATTTCTACCGAAGGTTTATTGAAAACTTTGCAAAAATCACGAGACCGTTGAACGATCTCACCAAAAAGGACCTTGTTTGGCAATGGGGCGCCAAAGAACAGGAAGCTTTTGATAAGCTTAAACAGGCATTTACAACAGCACCCATATTGGCATTCCCTGAATTAGACAAAGAGTTCCGGCTAGAAACCGACTCTTCTGACTTCGCCACTGGGGCTGTTCTATCAATCAAATGCCCTGATGATCTTTGGAGGCCTTGTGCCTATTTATCGCATAGTTTGTCGCCTACAGAGCGCAACTATCAAATATACGACAAGGAGATGCTGGCCATCATTAGAGCTTTAGAGCACTGGCGGCACTACTTAGAAGGTGCTAGGCACCAATTCGAAATTTGGACCGATCATAAGAACCTGGAGTACTTCATGACGGCCCGAGACCTGAACCGGAGACAGGCCCGCTACGCGGTGTACTTGTCAAGGTTCAATTATAAATTAATTCATAAGCCAGGAAGCTCAATGGGGAAAGCGGATGCTTTATCTAGAAGAGAGGATCATGCCAACGGCATTGAAGATGACAACAAAGGTGTCACCCTGATAGATCAATCAAGGGTCGCCAATGTTAGAATCGGGCAAGATTCCGACCTCCTAGAAGTCTTTAGAAAAGACATCTCCCCAGAGGAAAAGGCGCGCCTTGACGGCAATGAAAACTATTTATGGAAAGATGGGCTCTTTCATTTCAAAAACAAAATCTATGTGCCTGAGTCCGCAAGGATCAAGGCAATAGATAGACATCATGATACTCCAGTGGCTGGGCACCCTGGATGGCAACGAACGATGGAGTTGATCTCCAGAAACTACATGTGGCCTGGCATGGTCAAAGACGTACAGGAATATGTAAAATCCTGTCTGAGATGCGCCATGGCCAAGAATTCCCATCAACCGCCGGCGGGTAAACTCATACCAAACCCAATACCAGCTGGCCCCTGGCAGGATATATCGGTGGACTTCACGACGGATCTGCCCGAGTCAAACGGGTACGATTCAGTAATGGTGGTAGTAGACCGCTTCTCCAAAGAAGTGGTATTCATACCCACCAACAAAACCATCACCGCCGCCGGTACGGCAGACCTATTTAAAGATTTCGTATGGTCAATCCATGGGTTACCAGAAACGGTAATCTCCGATAGAGGACCGCAATTCGCTAGCGAATTTACGAAAGAATTATGCCGGATGCTGGGCATCAAACCTAAATTATCCACGGCGTTCCATCCGCAAACCGATGGACAAACGGAGAGACTCAACCAGGAGTTGAAACAGTATCTCCGGATATTTATTAACGACAGACAGACAGATTGGGCCAAGTGGCTAAAGATAGCCCAGTTCTCTTATAATATTAAACAGTCTTCGGCTACAGGAAGGGCACCATTCGAGGTTACTAGATCGTACCTCCCCAGAATGGGTGTAGAACCTGGCAAAAGCAAAAACGAGGCTGCTGGGAACATGGCAAAAGACATGAAGTCTGTCTTGAACGAAACGCGCAAAGCGCTATTTAAAACTGCGGAGCAGATGAAAGACAGGGCAGAGCGTAGACGCTCTAAGGCCCCTGATTACAAGGTCGGCGACCTGGTCTGGTTAGACACCGACCACTTGAAATTAAAAGACCGGCAGTCTAGAAAACTGACCGAAAAGTGGATTGGCCCTTACCGGATTAAGGAAGTCAAACCTAATGCGGTGGAGCTGGAACTCCCAAAACGAATGAGGGTGGTGCCCACGGTTAACATTAGCCGTGTGAAACCCTACAAGGGACCGCTGCCGAGACAGCGCGTAGACCGGCCCGGTCCGGTAGTAGTCACCCAGGAAGGTGAAGAAGAGTTCGAAGTCGAACGGGTGGTAGATGCACGCTTGAAGCGTGGAAAATTAGAGTTCCTGGTCCTATGGAAGGGCTACGGAGACGAGGACAGAACATGGGAACCAGAATCCCATCTGGAAAACTCCCGCGACGCTGTTCGCAAATTTTATTCTAGGAATCCCTCAGCTCCCAGGAAGCTTAGAGGCATGGATTCAAACCTTTTTAATTCCCTCTTTCAACCTATGCCCGAAAATTTTACCACTACCTCCGGAATTTGGTCTCGCCTGGAAGTCGAGCCTTAGAAGGGGGGTAGTGTTACGATAACACAATTTCCGGACATCTCCTTTCCTTTTTATTCTCCGCTTTAACTTTATACTTTAAGTGCCACGCGGCATTTCCCTTTCTCGCGCCGTGTTGCCTTTCTTTTACTTTTAGACTGAAACTCTCTCACGCAGTGGAGCTGGCTATACGGGCTAGGCCCTATGACATCATCAGCCACTGCCTTCATCAACTGTATAGTACACATGTACAAACAAACCTGTAGTAGTATATATACCCCAATAGATCCAGGAGACTCCTCAGCGAGTCCTCCTGTTGTATACCAACTAACTCACTGCAGCCCAAGGGGTACCCACTCCCCATCTTCCACTACCTTTATAGTGTGTTCCTGTGCGCGCCAGAGTAACTAACTCTTGGTTGTTACAGTCTGTCCGTTAAGGACTAAGTACTACATAAGGTAATACGACCGCAAAAAGGACAGAAATCTACGTGAAGGAAATGAGTTATTGGTCCAATGGTATAACCAATGAGTAAAGGACAATGAGTAGTCCGTAAAAAACGATAGAAATCATAACAGTCACCTTGTCATCTCATCGTTCTCAAACCTACCTTGTGCTACAATTAGCAAGGTAGTGCTCGTCTATACTAGTCATAAAGCCCCTATCTTCTATAGTTCAACTATCCCTCCTTCTCAAAACCCACACCCATACATCTCTGGGTTTTACTTTGAAGGATCATTATACATACCACCCCACGAACAACCAGACCACTCCACTGTTCTAGGAGGCAAAGCCCATACACAAGTTCCGTGGAATCTGGGAGGATTGTGTGTTAGTTTGTTTTTGTATATGGTTTTCTAACAACAGTTCTCATCATCGACAGTGCAAAGGCGAGTCTTTTGAATATTTGCTTTGTTACTGACATCTGTCCATGCTACCAATCAACTTTGGTGCATAACAATATATGTATCATTTTTTGTGGTAATGATATTTATTATTCAGGCCTCTCAGAACCTTCCCCACAGGCTGCTAAAAAGGCTCAAAATGCCAGCAAGAAGACATAGGTTTATGTGTTCTTTTTTTGTTTGTTTTTGATGTTCATTTAATTTCACACCTGTATTAGTTACATGTATATGCATGTGAATTGAAATATATTGATAATTGTATAAACTGCCCTGAAACTCAAGAACAACTACATCTATATATTTTCAGACCATTCAAACTACATCTATACAGGTATATGGAAAGCATTAGATTTGTAGTCAGGATCCCGCCATTTGTCTATATAACTCAATATATTCCATATATTCCATATACCTCAATACAATGCAGAAAAAGTCGATTTCTTGCTCTATATATATGCACAGATTTCTATGTACTTATACAGATCAACTTATCACTGGGGTTCAGACTTGAGACAATGTTCCGGTGCCATTTCTTGTGACAATTGTGAAAATAGACCTGGTAACCTACAGTAAATATCAACACTTAATTTGAAAATCACTCCAAAATTGGTTGGTTCACTCAGTGATTATCACTCGGTCGGGGATGCACAGTGCGAGACCGTACAGGCAAGCAGCTGAAGCACGATCCCCACGCTGGCATGTCTCACAAGAACCAGGAGGTCCGTGCGCACGTGAGACAAAATAAGGTTACGGTGTCAACTGTTTACCGACGCGCAAACAATGGCGCGCCACATCCTTTTCTCGCTCTTCTTTTGACTTTCAGGCGCTTACCTCTCTACTTTCTCTTGTTTCTTTCTTTCTTCTCCCTGTTATTTCCACCCACCTTTCTCCCTACACAACTCCGCAAAAATGAGCTCTCACGACAACGAGGACCTTATCGACTATGAGGATGAGAATGACCTTCCCACCAATGGCGCAGCAGTACCATCATCAAACGGCGCCGCACTTGCAACAGCAGTTGATGGCGAGGGTGACAAGGAAAAGAAAAACTTCTCCGGGATTCACTCGACGGGATTCAGGTCGGTGAATTCTGACCAGGAAATGGGCAGTAAATAAATTTTTCTTTTTTCCTTTTTTCTTTAGGGATTTCTTGTTGAAGCCTGAACTTCTTCGAGCTATCAGTGACTTGGGTTTCGAGCATCCATCTGAAGGTATACACCGCCGTTTTGAAATCAATTGCTACACATTCTTAACGTTTGCCTATTGACAGTTCAACAAGAATGTATTCCCCAGGCGGTTCTCGGTATGGATGTTCTGTGTCAGGCTAAGTCTGGTCACGGAAAGACGGCTGTTTTTGTCTTGGCGACCCTGCAACAGTTGGAACCTGTCAACGGCGAAGTATCGGTACTGGTCCTCTGTCACACCCGTGAATTGGCTTTCCAAATCAAGAATGAGTATACTCGGTTCGCCAAGTATATGCCCGATGTTCGTGTCAGCACGTTCTACGGTGGTACCCCAGTGGCAAAGGACTCGGAGATCCTGCGTGACAAGACTAAATGCCCCCATATTGTTGTCGCCACACCCGGTCGATTAAATGCTCTTGCAAGGGATAAAGTCTTGGATGCGAAAAACGTTAAGCACTTCGTGTTGGACGAGTGCGATAAAATGCTGGAACAGCTTGGTTAGTCATGCGATTTCGGCCTCCCACATCCTCCTCCTTTAAATTCGTCGCATCACCGGCCGACTGGTTGCATATCCTTTTGTCGCTTTTGTCCGCATCTGTCGCTCCGCCAGAGTTTTATGGCGCATCCTGCGATATGGATAATCGGTCTGTAGGACTAGGTTGGGGTGTTGAGACTGGCATTTATCAGGATTGATGTATAAATGACTACGGAGTAGAGAATGGATACGACGGAAGGAGACGGAAGGCGACTTGACAAGGGACCCAAGCACCGAAGCCATCGACATGCGTCGTTTTTCTTCTACTTTCTTCTTCATTACTTCGTTGAGATTTTTTTGTTCTTTCTCTTTTCTTCCTGTCGCCTCGAATTTCGGCATCATCTAATCACGACATCCGTCCACATAGACATGCGCCGTGACGTTCAAGAGATTTTCCGAGCAACACCTCATCACAAGCAAGTCATGATGTTCAGCGCAACTCTGGCCAAGGAAATACGCGTGACGTGCAAGAAGTTTATGGCAAACGTAGGTTTATGTTATATTTTTGCAGCTAGAGTGTATATTGATTGTTTTCATTCAGCCTCTGGAAATCTTCGTGGATGACGAGACGAAGCTCACGCTCCACGGTTTGCAACAGCATTACGTGAAGCTCGAGGAAACCGGTAAAAATCGCAAGCTCAACGAACTGCTCGACACACTGGAATTTAATCAAGTACGTCGCTTTCTGTTGCACGAGCCGAACGAGACTGATTGTCCCATGCAGGTCGTTATCTTTGTTAAGTCTGTGGCACGAGCCATTGAGTTGGACAAGCTCCTTGTGTCGTGCAATTTTCCTAGTATTAGTATTCACTCCGGTTTACAACAAGAGGAGCGGTGAGTTGTTATGTATACTCGATGAATATCCATGCTAAGACATTATATTTTATAGTATCAAGCGGTATACTGCTTTCAAAGCATTCGAAAAACGTATCCTCGTGGCTACGGATATCTTCGGTCGTGGTATTGATGTGGAGCGTGTGAACATCGTGGTTAACTACGACTGTCCACCGGATGCGGACAGTTACCTGCATCGTGTGGGGTAAGTACTTTGCTTGCAGATTGCGCTGTATCCTTCTGATTGTGTATTGTCTACAGTCGTGCTGGAAGGTTTGGGACGAAGGGTCTTGCGATCACATGTGTGTCGTCGGAAAGTGACCAGCAGGTGATGGCAGCCATTCAGTCGAGGTTTGAGGTAGCGGTATCGGAATTGCCCGAACACATTGACCCAGCGAGTTACAGTAAGTTGATTTATTTGCAATTTTGAGCGGCGCGGCTAAACCTTGTTGCGTGCAGTGACGTCTTGAAGGAGCTGCGGATGCTGTTTTATTTTCTATTCATTTCCCCTGTCTAATGTTCTACGTACTCTTGTCTCTCACTACATTTCTCGGTATCGTCGAATCCAGCTCTTCTTGAAAGCACTGTAAACCTAAACGTACTGTCTGTCCAATAAATAAACACAACGCTGATGCTGTTAACAAAATGGATTTGCTATGCCAGGTGTAGAGTGGAATGACGTCGCCAATAGGGGTACGATCATCACATGATCGTGACATGTTCTGCCCCTTTTACCATTTGCGCTATCTCTGGTACGGCAGCTGGCCTTTCTCGTCCATACATCCATCTTCGCTACTAACAAATGAGGCGGAAGGGAACAGCAGTCCTCACAGTCCCAGCGACTCGTTCAGCTCCTGCTTTGTCGTTCAGAGATTCCAATCTTGCCATCCCAGGTTATCTTTTCCATAAAGTACTTATTTCCGCATCCACTACAACAGATTTATTCATCATATCTTTTTTTACTAGGCTTCGCCATGGGAGGATACCGGCAGTATGACCTATATTGCAGAAGGAAGCAGCATCAAAGACGGCTCAAACGTGCTCGCCAAGATAGCACCAGCTCATTCTAATGGATCAATGTGTCTTGAAAGAGAAGCACACATGTATGTCCAATCGTCTCTCCCTATCTCACTTCTACTTAGCAACTTTTTTTAGTTTGAGCAGAGTAACTTCTTCTGCCGATGCTTTGAGTACTACTCTTCGTCTAATCGATTTCATTACCATACCCCGCTCAAGTGGAGATTGCGTTGTCCTACTTCTATCCCATCCGGGACTTAATTTACTCGGTCGCTACTTCCCACCATCAAAAGTTAACGATTTTCTTTTGGCCGATGTATCAAAAACCCGGACGTCAGGGGCCAACGATGACATATTTGTAATCGATGATGAGGAACTTGACACGTTGGAATTGGAATCATTTGACGTGATGGATTTGGCCTCATTTTTGGAGTGCGCTGATCATCCTAATCGTACTGGCGTCGGATTCTTATTGTTTTATCTTTAGGTTTGCTATCCAGGCTACCCATTGTTTGGAAATAATACATAGGTATGATCTTCGTGTTATGTGTATATCACTTTTTAACATTTATTTTCATCATCAAGGGCGGGGTTTACACATAGAGAAGGTACATCTTCCTTCTCATCTTTGAAGTTCTTGAAATTCGTTAACCTTTTAAAAGTGCGTGCGAACGCTTTCCATTTAAACTCCCATTCTGGTGTCGTGCGCTTCGTCCATTTTGGGAATCGTGCTGTATCCTTGGAGGAATTTGGAGGGCCATCAACTCTTGTTATCAGGGCACTCGATGAAACTGAGAAGACTAAAGTCAAGGAGGCTCTTTGCTACCTTGCCCCTGAGCAGACAGGAAGTATGGAGATCGTCAACCAGGATCACAGGACAGATTTATACTCATTGGGCATGATGTTCTGGACCTTACTTGTTGGTCGAGGTATGATGCCTTTCGAAGGTCGACCCCTCGAGCTACTCCACTCGATCGTGCAGAAGAGGCCGATGCCCGTACATGAAATTCGTAGAGATGTACCGATGGTATTGGCGAATATTATTGATAAGGTAAGTGCGCCTCTTCCTTGTCTTCTGATGGTATGTTTATTCTTTCTCTGCTTGTAGCTTCTAGCGAAGAGTCCAGATAGTAGATATCAAAGTGCCTATGGTTTGAAGGCAGATTTACTAGAATGTCAGAGGCGACTGTTGGCTGCTGTCTCGTCGGTCCTCGGCCAATCTTACGAGGTTTGTATACCACCATAGATTTTTAGTTTCATCGCAGTCTCATTATCCTTTTAGCTCATCCCGTCGTTCGATATAGCGACGCAAGATAGATATATGGCATTTACTATCCCGGTTACCCTGGTAAGCCAAAGCTTCTTTACTTTGTGGTGTTCGTCGTTCATGTATTTCCGTATCGAAGTTTGGGCGAGAGAAAGAACTGGAAACCATCCGTCACGTTATCAAACATACTACGACAAGTTTTTCTAGGCACTTTTCAGCGTCCAGGGGCGTCCTCGGTGTTTCATCGGCGGGTAGTCAGGAGCAAATATTGACAAGTAATAATGATAAAGAAGACATAGTCACCGACACCGATTCTGATCGTAGTGTGTCGTCGCTTGGTCATATGAATACGGAAGATGGTGCTATATCTCCGTTGACGAAGATGTCTTTACATGGTGTACATTCCACTGCTTTCAGTGCTCCTCCTGCTGTGGATTTCGGTGACGTCTCGAAGAGAATGGCGAATAAGAACAAGAGTCATTCAGTACGAGCTCATACGATCATGGTAGTTGGTCATCCAGGGTAAGCTTTCGTGACTTGATTGAAGATTGATTATTCTTATGTTTAGCGACAGAGTTGGGAAAAGTTCTCTCGTTTTGGCAAATCAAGCTAAATGGAGATGTATGCACGGTATCAATCCAGAGTTCTGATTCTTGGAGCTAATTCTAGTTTTATATAGCTCATGGCCTGTGGGGTCAAGCCAAATTTCAAAATGCCGATTCTGCACCATTCGCTGCATTGGTATAATTGATTTATCTTTGCTTCGCTCTCTATTATTTCTGACATTGCTTCTAGCTAGGTTGCCTTTCGTCAGTTTTGAGGCAGCTGATGATCTTCCACACTGATCTCCATCGATTTGTAAATGCGCTGAAGGAACGACTGGGTCCGCAATTGCAAAATATACCACTTCTCTATCAAGGGACGCCTGAACTACGAGATATACTTGGTATTTTCGACATCGACATCGAAATCCCTAGTAATAAGGATCGTTTGGCAACGCTTGAGCTACGAGCTAGGTTTCAGTCCCTGGTAGAGAATGTTTTTTCTGTTTTAGCAGAAATTCGCCTTTTTGCATTGTTTCTCGATGATATTCATGAAGCCGAAGACTCGTTGAGTATATTCTATATTTGTTGGGCACAGCATATATAACCCTTCCGTAGATCCTTAGACCTCATTGAGACATTGATCAACTCAAGGAGCCGTATGGTGCGTCAATATTACCCCTTTTCTCTCTCCTCATCGATGTTTATTATCATATGCAGCTTATTTTCGGTACTTTGCGCTCTGACGTCAGGTAAGATCATACTCTTACATGATTTGCACTTTGATCTCACTGTCTGAACAGTGAAGAATACATGGAGAGAATTCGAAATATGTGCTCCAATAAGGGCCGTACTACATGGGTCCAAGTAGAGCCTTTGAGCTTTCCTGCCCTAGGGTCTTTAGTATCAAAGACTCTGCACCAGGAGGAAGAGAGTTGCGCGGATCTGTCTCGGTTTATCTATACAGCATCGTGCGGGAATGCTTTCGTCGCCCGGAACCTTCTAACGACCTTTCAAAGGCAGCATTACGTGCGTTTTGTTTTGGACAATTTGGATAATAATGCTTAAAACAGGTTGTAGATTACATTTGATTGGGGAAATAATCGATGGAAGTAAGTTGCTCTTTGTTATTTGCAATGTGTCGCTCAACTCACTATCACAGTCATGATATAGCTGCAATAGAGGCCAGTTTTGCCGATCAGAAGACCGTTGCCGACCCTGCAGATGGATCGTTCCTGCTCAATCATTTTAGAGAACTTCCTGAGGAAGCTCAAAAATATCTCCTTTGGGCTTCTTTTTTCGGAGCCACGTACGTCTACCCCGAGCCTGCGCAGTGGTTCATTGATCTGAATCGATGAATTCTAGGTTCAAAGTAACAGAGGTAGCTCTTTTGATGGACTGGGAACGAACGAACGATAATGGTGGGAGCGATGAAGACGAGGCACGGAGTGTTTCACGAGCAGTGTCCACACTGCAGGAACAGGAACATCACACAACCAGTGCCCGTGGATCTATGAGAGGTCTACAAGCTGCTATTTCAGAAGGATGGCTCGTACAGCGGGCCAGAGACATGTGCAGTTTTGCTCATGATCGATATCGCCAAGCTGTGCAGGTTGAAGCCAATGATCTACCAGGGCCCGCGATTTCCAACATGTCTTTCAGGGTATGCCAGCTGCTACTATCATTCCTGGAAAATTAATTATATGAGACTCATCCAGATCATTCTGATGATGTTGCATGAGAGCGCTCCAGATATTCACCGAATTGCAGAGCATGCTAAACGGCAAGGGCTTCATCATGTATCGTTTTGAGTTTTTGCTTACCAATGTTTGTTAGATGTCTACATCTCCTCCATGATCATCCAAAATGGGGGGAGCTTCTCAACGTTCTCATTGACGCCGGTGACTCGGCATGGGCAAGGGGCGCTCATGAGGTTCGTATGTTAATCTATGCTGTCTCATTTTATTTTAACTATCAAATCTAGTTGGCTCTCCAAGCGTTTTCGAGTGCAAAGTCACTATTGCGTGATAATGCTTGGGACGATAATCCTAGGCGTACGTGTTTGTTACTTTCAAGGCTTGCTGCGTAAGTCTACAATGACCATCCTCGAGGTTTCTTTACTTATGCAAACACACCAGTCTTTTCACGTGGAAAGGTGAGGGTATTAACAATAATTTATGTTCTCATGTTGAGCTTGATTTATCAAAGGCGATCTCAAACAATCCGATATCCTTGCCGAAGAATGCGTCCTCAAGGCAGAACACCCTGAGGATAAAGGTCAGGCCTTACGGTTGCGAGCGAACAATCAATGGATGCGCAACAACTACGCGGCTGCTTTGAAAGACACAATATATGCTCTTCATGCTCTCGGTGTAGATGTCAATCCCGCGCCATCCATAGAAGAGGCAGATCAAATGTTCGAGGAAGTGAAGAATGAGGTCTTAGCTATGGGATACGATAAAATCATCCGCATACCAAGGGCTAAAGACCCGAGGACAGATCTAGCCGTTGCTTTGCTCAATGATGCTGGTATGTGGTTTTTTCCTCTGGTGTGTCTCTTCTGAGCTGTCCTAGGAAACAATGCGTATTGGAGTCCAGGAGAAGGGTTTGCTGATGTTATAGGACTAACGGTAAGTAGCGAAGTAGTTGTCTCAGAAATACGAGGCTTATTAGGGTGCAATACAGACGATCCGAGTTGCGTTGCAGTGCGTATCATTCATTACTTCACTGTAGACCATAATATGACCGAGCATTACTAGACGAGGGATGTCGCCTGGCACTCCACTGGGTTTTTTCTGGGCTTTAGGCGGTAAGTAGATATTTTCCTTTACGTATCTTATTCAGGTGTAATTTTTGTAGCTGCCGCAGAACGGCGAGGACTATTCAGATTTTCGACAGACCTTGGAAAGCTTGCGCTACGTATAGCAGATATCCATGGAGGCAGCTTTGACAAGTGGTATGCTCTTTGTGACGATTTATCCATGAAAAGAATACTAAATGTAACTGTCAATCAGCCGGGCTAATGTTTTATTTGCTGCACTAGTTGCGCCTTACGACAACATGCATATACGTGCCAATTTGCCTCGCCTTGAGGAAGCCCTGAAGTATGGACATAGTGCCGGAGATCGGTAAATGGCGTCCTGACATTTAAACGGCGTGATTCAGACTTTGATTGTTCATTTACAGCGGATTCACAAGTTTTGCTAGTATCCATACCATAATTACCAGGCTTTACGTCTGTGATCATTGTACGTGTTAGTGTTATCAGCCTAAAGTACTGAATATGCTCAAAATAATTTAGTAAGCGAAGTCGTTCTTGCTGCTGAGGAGGTAAGCTTTTTTTATCACATTATTCCACCTTTATCTCAAATATCTTTTAGTGTGTCAGTGATATCGAACTTTGGACTCCAGAAGGAGAAGCCAATATCTTGGCAAAAGGTAAGTTGCTAGCTTGTTTTTTATAAGTCAATAACTCAAGTCTATCAGGAGTTTTAAATTGCATACGGACTCTGGGCGGATACACAGATACGACCTCTGTCGAGACCACATTCGACACAAACATGTGTAAGGAAGCCGATTTCATCAGATACATTCAGAAGACATCGGGGAATCTAGGGCTCTCAATGAGCTGGTGAGTTACGCAGCATTTGTCATCGATTGCTTTTTTAAAGCTTATTTCAGGTACAATGCTTTCAAGGTCAGTAGACGATATTTGACATCGCGAGTCGCTCAATAATATTATTCAGGTTGTCGCTCTCTTCTGCGTTGGTCATGCAGAAGCATCTGCAGAACTGGGTTTTTCGGTCTATGCCACTCGCTCCCACCATCCTAAGTAAGCCTGAACTGCCTTTTGACATGATATCTAAGCTAAACTGTACTGTACTTTTTCTCAGTCACAGGCATCCCCGATACGCAGCATTTTTTCACAGTCTTGCCCTAATCGCATGCCTTCGTGAAGGGAAAACCCCTGAAGGACAACGAGATCGTTACATGGGACAGCTCCGCCTGAATCAAAGTTATGTTCGCAAGTGAGTTACTTTTGGGTAATATAGCATATTTGCACTGAGTGCTTTCTAGATGGCTGTCTCCCAGTCCTATCAACACGAGTACATGGGTAGCTCTTGTGGTAATTATCATATCTACCTTTATAAGCGTGCATCTAACACATACTTATTCAGGACGCGGAGTTGGCATCGTTGACGGGTGATCCTGAAGCATTGAAGCTTTATGATACTGCAGTAAAGTTCGTGAAGCTCATCCATGTGGCGTAATATTCAATTTTCATGACTGCCGACATAGGTTGGCTGTAAATGACAACTGGCACCTGGAAGAAGGGTGGGCTCTGTACATGGTATGTTGTAAGCGCCTATATCGACACGCTTGATTGGTAATGTCAAAACGCAGCAAGGATGTCATCTTATTCGAAACGGTGTTGAGGGTCTGGGTAGTGAACTACAACGTCGTGGTGTACTGCGGCAGTCACAATGGGGGGCACAAGGTATTGTGTACGTCCATATTATTTTACAGTGTTTCTTCTACTGGTCCTGACGGGTTAACTACAATAGGCGCTACATGACAGCCACACTGGGCTCAAAAACGCAATATTCGCATCAACGTTCTGTATTTACTGCAGATGTTGCAATACAGACCGACACTGTTCTGGCTAGCTTCAGCGGTCACCCTCCCACGCTTTATGGGTCAGCGCCGAAGCTAGAAACCAGTGAGGAACAAGAGATATCAAGTTTATCAGCTTCAGATCTTGCCTCTATCCTCAAGTGGAGTAAAGATATTTCAAGTGACATTAACTTATCTTCAGGTGCGTACGTTTTCTGGGATATTTTGTCAACATTCTGAAAACGTGCAACAGCGTTACAGCGTTTGACCGAAATCGCTACTGGTACGCCAAAATAAGCATTTGATTGTTCGTTCATTCTTCATTCCACCCTACAGAAGCCTCTCGGTCTCAGAATACATGTCTGGTCATTACGAGTCCCAGTGGTGAATATACTGTTGCGACAAGTATGGTAACGCCAGAGATGTGTGTTGTATATGAGTACGTTTGATGGATCTTATCTAGGCCATACTTTTCACACAATCCTCTAGGAACCAGAAATCAGTCAGGTCTATCAGTGATCCCTTACAAAAAGCTGTGATCCAGCATGGTAAGTCAACCAGCCAAACTCAGCAGCGATGAAGTACCTCATTCGCAACTCAGCGCTCAACTCAAAGCTAAGGCTTTACTATGAAGATGCATCTACAGACCCACGATTTTCATCTGAAGCACATTTGAGTCCATTTCGATCAGTCATATGTCTTCCAATCTTCAGCAATCGAGGACAGACATACGGAGCTATTTATGTTTCTTCGAAATACGCTTTCTCGCAGAACACAGTAACTATTTTGACGCTCCTGTGCCAACAAGCCAGTATCAGCATTTCAAGTGCCTTGTTGTTCCGTTCTGTTCAAGCAGGAACGCGGGAAAACTTAAAGATGATATCTGCACAAAGAGAAGCTCTAGAAACAGCTAGAAAAAGCCGAGAACACGCATTGAAAGCTACAAAGGTGAAGATCATTTCAATAATGGTAATAGCAATGACAGACAAACTCTCCCTAGATTAAAAGTAATTTCCTGGCTTCTATGAGCCATGAGCTGCGCACGCCTTTCAGGTGAGGTCATCTTGCACAAAAAAGGTGATCAGCATGAGAATATCTACTCATTTATTTTTGTCTCCAGCTCCTTCTATGGGCTGTTGGATCTTTTAAGCGGTACAGAGCTTAATCCTGGGCAAAGCGAAATTGGTAAATCCACACCATTTTTCCAGGAATGACTCTCTGATATATATCTTGCAGTACAAACTGCTAAACAATCGTGTGAACTGTTATTGAAGGCTAGTCCACCTTCCTGTTGAGAAGCAGGATCCTGTTAACTTGATGTCATGTCTTCCGCCTCACAGATCATAGACTCAATATTAGATTATAGCAAACTCGAGGCATCTGGTATGTCGATCTCTTTTCTGCAAAGTCCATCCTGACTCCTGGCCTATAGCTGTCAAGCTGGAATTTTCGGGTTTCCCTGTGGAGAACATCATCGCTGTATGCACTAAATTGTCTATACAACACTGATAAATTAACGTGTCTACCAGGATTGCATGGAGCTTTTATCGCCGATGGCTGCCAAAAAACTAGACCTGTCTTTCAATATAGAACCGGATGTACCCCCTTGTAAGTGTTGCTTAGTGCGACCTCTCGTTATTATCAGTTACTTATGGTGTCCTTTCCGCATCCGTATACAGGGATTGTGTCTGACTACGCCAGAATTCGTCAAGGTAAATTTCACAATTTTTTTGCTAACGAATATCTTCGCATTATTAATTGCATATATGTAGTCCTAATGAACCTTATTGGTAACGCCGTCAAGTTCACCGCGTCTGGCTCTGTTACTGTTGTGTGCTCGGTTGAGAAAGAGACTAATGTAATGCCACCTGATATTGAACTGAAGTTCACAATCCGGTAAATGCTAGTCTACTTCGGTAGAGACTCACCAATAATATAATCTCCTCCATCTAGGGACACAGGCATTGGTTTGTCACCCAGTGCTGTAGATCTTCTATTTGTTCCTTTCCAACAAGCTGATAATTCATCAACTCGGCGCTTCGGAGGAACTGGCCTCGGCTTATCTATTTCGCGCCAGCTAGTCAAGCTAATGGGCGGTACTATAGGGGTCCAATCAGAGCTTAATTCTGGGTCCGTCTTCTGGTTTACCCTACCAGTCAAGGTATACGAGTCAGAGGACTCTCGGAAGGTTCGTATGTCACCATTTTCACGTGTAACGCGGCAGCTTATTATTAATATCAGGCACTCTCGGACATCGAAAGGTTGCAATCACTCTTAAAGACTCCTCAAACTCCTCGCATCCTGATCTGTTCGCAGTCTTATGCAACCTCAGCTTTGCTAAAAATGATGCTCGATGGTTTTCAAGTTGACTCTGTGCAAGATATGGAGGAGGTCAAGTATAATCTTCGTTCACTGTGTTCGCTGGCTCTTCCCCTAGACTTCCTGGTCCTCGACGATCAGTCTGAGAAGCTTGCCGACGACCTTTCTCAGTATATTGTCTCCCTAGACAACAAATCGCTAGAAGATACCAAAATCATACATCTTTATACTCCGACGACAGATACCTTATCTGGGCCAGCTTTATCCAACAGTACTACTTCTGGTGTCTTGAGAATGACGAAACCTCCAAGGAGGGCACGTTTGTTGCAGGTGCTCGCCAAATTGAAAAATATTCCTGACATTGCGCCAGCTACGGAGTTCAAACGGGCCGTGGAAGACTCTAGTGCGAATCAAAGGACGCTATACGGCAATGTGCTCATTGCTGAAGGTATGTCTCGTCATCAGGCTGTAATCCAAGTTAGGCCCTCAAATACGATTTCTACTCAATAATAGACAATCCTGTTGCTCAAAATCTTCTTGTGAAACAATTAGAACGCTATCAGCTCTCGGTCACCGCCACAAGCAACGGTGAAGAAGCGATCAAAGGTTTGTTATATCGAAGTCGTCATTTCATCAATTATTATTTACCACAATTAAAGAATGGGAAACCCGTGAACCAGGATTTTTCACTGTTGCACTTTTCGATCACCGTGAGTGTTGCTATCAGAAAGTCGTAACCCGTTTAAAATAAAAGATCGTATAAATCAGATATGCCAGTATGCGATGGGGTAGAGGCTGCCAAACGCATAAGAATGCTAGAGAGTAGAATGAAGACTCCAGTGCTTCTACCAAGTCAGCTGTTATCACACTTCCGTTTAGTATTCAATTTAACAGGCGTTTATAACTAGTCGTGGCTTTGAGTGCCGATTGCCAAGAATCCACAAAGCGGTTGTGCCTTAACGCTGGCATGAATGTTTTCTTTAGCAAACCGCTGAGAAAAGGCTAGTTGCTTTGTGTCTATCGTTTCAGTCTTAACACTAATTATCCGCTTGTAGGGGATCTGCTATCTCTTTTGTCCATGTTTGGTACATCTCCAGCCTCGTCCGCCAGTGGTGACACTGTGTAAAAACCCGCATTGTTGAATTGCTGTCATAACTTATTTCACATACTACACGCATTTAAATCAAGTATATCACTAGAATCTACAGGGATGTAGCATACAGAACGTACCTTGTTTATTGTATCATATATCCTTCCTTATTATGAAAACGCATCATCCAAGCAAACGACTTAACATAAAATGGTACTCATAATGATAGATTGAACAATATCCTATGTTTATACCTTGACAAACCACGCTTCAGCTTTATCTCTTATCGTGGTTTCTTGTCTTTCGCGTTCTGTAATTTCGCCCACCAAACCTAAAAGTCCGAACCCCATTACCTCGCCATCTTGAATAACAAACTCAGCCGAAGTTTGAAATGTGTCAGAATCGGCGGTCTCAAACGGTGTCGTGTCAGTTCCGTATCCGTTTGGGAAGAGGGCCGTGAAAAAGACTAAAAATTTGGAGTCTTTCAAGTAACTCATGCGTACATGGGAAGACCATATACGCGGCCAGGCAGCGACCAACTGAGGCGCGTCGATTGTGTTATATGAATGTGCGTCAACAGAGGCAAACTCAGACAGCACTCCTTCACAATAAGACGATGTACTTGATGGCCCGCAGAGTGTAAAGGCGCCATATCCTGGATTGGTATAAGTTCCTGAATAATCATCTATACTTAGGTTTGTCTGGGCGATATCGGCTAAAGGTCCGTTGTATGTGTGGTTAGGGGTATTACTGGCGCTCGCATGGCTATGGCTTTTTGTGTGAAGTTGACACAATTGACATCTGACAAAGCACTGACCTATCAAACGCTTCAGAGAAGCCTCGGATATGCAAAGCATCCTCCATGACTCGATCTGAGATATTTGCAACCGTCTCTGCCTTGTCATCCGCATTTGCGAACACGATAATGCCTAGGCCATCCTGCGGCAAAAACGGAATCTGTCAGGCAAAAATGTTCATACAGCCTTGTTTTATAGATTACCTGAGAAGCACTAGGCTGCACTACTGACACTCGTGTTGAAAACCCAGGGATGGAACCTGTATGGTAAATTACCTGCCCAATCGGATTCTCAGAACGAATAACGCCAAGCAATGTAGATTGGTGCTCACGTCGTGGCCCTGGTAAGAACTCCGGAACCATCCCATCCCATACCCGCCAATGGAATTTTTGGCATTCTCTGGCTTTCCGAATGTGATGGAGTAGGCTGTCGTGATATTCTCGAAGGCTGACAAAGGTATGATAGTTTTGTTCATGTATATGCCCGAATTAAGCCACATGTTGATCCATTTCGACTAGCACCACTAATAAGTATCACACGGAAAGATGTGGCAAGGACAGTGACCTACCATGTCGGAAGTACTAGAAATAACTGCCCCTGGCCCAGCGTTGAGCTGAGCAATATCCTCATTAAACCACTCTGGGAGGAGTCTTCCATGCTTGGTCCATGCTTGCGTGAACTTTCCCGACGCGGCAGCTTGAGATGGTGAGAAGGTCGTCGATGTCATGCCTAGTGGGGCAAAGATACGTTCTTCTACGAATTGGGTGTATGGCTTAGCATAGGTGGAGACGATGTGTGCCCCGACCAGGAACATCTGTAAATGATTTTCTGTCAGCGCAACTGAATACGACCAGTTACAGAGTCTAGACCTGGTTGTTGTATGAGTATTTCTCTCTAAGCTCGTATGCGGGCCTGAGATGTTTCAGGCGACGAACGACGTCTATGGGAGTGTCATTTGGCCCATAGGAATAATCGTGACTGCGGAAATGGAAATGGATAATAAAATGAAAGGCAACTTTCTGTTGATGACAAGAACCCACCGCGGCATCCCAGTAACATGAGATAAGATATCATGAATGTTGACTTTCTCAGAAGCCCATTCGTCCATAAGTTCCCATTCATCTGGTAGGATGTCCCTTAGTTTTGTTTTCCATGTGAACTGCGATAAGCCAGGGGGCAATGCGGAAGTATTGCGACCATTAGCAAAGTCGTCAATGAGTATTCCAAGGGAGCTTGCAACAAAGGCTTTGGAGACGGACGCGAGATGGAATAAAGTCTAAAGTAATGAGATTAATGTGTTATGATATCTCCCGCAGATTAATGATATTGTAATGAAACATGGAATGGCCCAAAAGCATGGAGATTTACGGGCAATGATCGGTGCTGACCTCTGGAGTCGTCTTCTCGCCATCATCTGTCATGTTTCCCCAGGACCTGAACTCAGGCTCGCCATCTTTGGGGACAATGGCGAGAGATAAGCCTGGAACATTCGATTTTGTGAGAGTTTGTTGGATGTAGGCTTCGAGGTCCGGAGAAATGACTGGTCGTTGATGTCCTTCGTAAGACCCGCGGTTGAATGATATTTGCTGGTATGAATACGGATTGAGCTTGAAAAGAGCCAGGGGAGTCGTCAAGAGGCCTAGTCCCAGCCAACTGAGGATAGCCATCCTCGTTCAAGGTGGAAAGTCAAACTTGTCAAGATACGATATTGAGGCGATAACCAGTTACATATATATACATCGTTACACACTATCGTTGGACAGCGTCCGACAGACGTTCGCACCTTTTTGACAGAGAAAGTGATAAAGTAAACTCACAACAGCGAACTGCAATTAGGCGCCTGGGGGTCAGGTGCCAAATGACCTCGTGCTGGTGTTTAAAGGGGATCTAAAATCTGGAAGAAAATGGAATAGAGGTGTCGATGGCAAGAGCGATCGAGAAGTATTGCTCGCCAATTCTCGCGTGAAATGATGCGACATACCCTGTCACTTACTGTATGGAAGGGAATGTTTCTGACCTATCACTCAGAGCAAACTTATCTATTACTTATAAAGATTAATAGAGTTCCCCCACAGCGGCAAATTTAGAGAAAAATGGCACGCAATACTGTTCCTTGACATGGTTGCTTTAGTTTATGATGAGAGTAAGCTAAAATATTTGAACCACAAGATTATATATGACCGGATTTCTACCTCGAAAATGTAAAGTTACCTTCTCTGAACAGAAGTCCGTGGAGTCAGGTCGAGTCTAAAAATTGAAATCGGTTGTTGCTCCTCAGAGGACGTACCGCTAAAAGTTTCAGCCTGGGCAACTACCAACACGTAACCTACGACACTATCAATTCTCAAATTCTCAGGAGAGCGTGGTAAATTCAACAAAGTTTACAGCTGACACATCGACGAATTTTGACCATCATAATATAGTTATGCACCAGAAATTTCACTTCGAAGATGAATACCACTCTGGGAAATTGCATCTGCATCGGGGGTGTGTGGGGAGAGAAAGGGGTCAAGTTTTAGTCCTCTTGGACCGACGAAGCTTTACCCCGTCCCCCGTCGATGGTGGTTCTCCGCGAAGTCTTTTCCTTTTCCGTGGAGATGGTTTCAAGATAACCTGATCGATACCCACGGCTTTCTTAATGTACTGATCTAAAAAGGGAACGGGGCAAAGGACTTGCCTCGTGATTGTGAACTTTATCTCCCGAAGATTCTGCTTCCGAAGACAGTGGGGTCAAATCGCTATCATCCTATAGAAAGATTGTCAGTATGATAACATTAGAAACTATCGCGCCACTGGCATATACTTCTTTTGCGTCGAGTTTCTGAGTTTTTGCCGAAGAAAGTTGTTGAAGTTCGGATACATAAGCCGAGGTGCGGCCTCCAACCGTAATCCATCTGATCGTTGCAGGCGCTCCTGAGGGCTATATTTGGCGTCAGTATATTCCGACTTTCTGGAAGTCGCGGTACGAACTAGCTTCATTGTGTGTTCCGCTTTCTTGCCCTTTCCCTGCGTCGTGCACGTATTCAGACGATGAAACCTTTGAGCTGGGAAAACACAATTCTCACCCATCGGTGCTTGAATAGCCAGTGGGCAGGGTACTTGGAGTCATCAGCATTAGCTTCGACAGCTATGCGACAGACATCAGCTATCTGGTGATGGAGAGCAGCCGTCTGGTCGTCAGACAGAGAGCGGCAGCGCTGCTCGGGATGGACTCTTGCATGGTACAGGATTTCATCTGTGAGTGGAAATTATATATATTGTTACGAGTTTCATTGTGAGATAACGGAAACACACCTGCCAAGTAGTTACCGACGCCGGCGCTGAATGACTGATCTAACAAAAGAGCCTTTATAGGGCAGGTGCGTTTCTGGACTAAAGCGTTGAAAACGGACAAAGAGGGCATGGACAAAATAGGGTCAAATCCAAGATCTACGATTGGTGGCTCAGTGAGAGGGGACGTAGAAAGGCGTATGCGCCCGAGACGCCGTGCATCGGAAAATGCTAATTGCGTGATGGCGGGATTTGATCCATCATGGTCATCACCATCACGAAGGTACAGCACGAACTGCGACTTTTGTTACAGATCAGAACGTTCGTGCCACAGAGATGGGATGAGATGACCTTCATGAAGCGGGGGGGCCAAACTTCGCTTTTTCCATAATGCAGACACGGCTGGCCTTTAACCTATAGCCATATTTGATGAAATTAGCCATAATATGAGACGAGGGTGGTGTGTTTCCACATGCCTGCAGCATACCAGTCATGCCAAAGTGAAATACGGGCATTCTTCCTGCTCCATCTAATTCCAAAAAGAACAGTTTCCCTGGACACCCTCATGTCGTAAGTTCTGTGATAACTCGAGGCAGACATGTCACGGTACCATATCGTGCTGCGTGTTTGACTGTGCGTCCAGTTAGTTCCCTCGCCTGTGCATGTAAATGAAGTACCCAATCAGGTCAGCGTAGACTATTTTTCGTACTGCGACGAAACCAGGAAGATGTTCTCACAAAGTCCTCATGGGATATACCTGAGAATACGAGTGGGTCTTCCACGGTTTCAACGCGGTCTATCAGTTTTCCCTTTGCAACGGACCTGACGAGCGAGGCTGCTCTCTCTACCTCTGGAGAAATTCCTGGTCAGAGTGGTGGCGATGCTGGAAGCGATGGCGATTAACTATACCTGGTAACTCAGGCATGAGGATGATGAGTCTACGGCTGCTAACTGCGCGTTTTTTGCTGTGGTACGGTTATAAAATGATTTCGCGAGATGCTGACAGAAAGGAGCACAAGACGATGCAAAGTGGATTTTGGCTGGAATTTCTGGAAATGTCTCACTGAAAGGGTATCTGTGCGATCATAGGGCTGTATTTGTCGAGGTGATCTGAATTATTTACGCTACAGCACTATACTCCCAATTGCAATCAGCCTAATATTCATGCCGGGCGGACACAAAAATAACCTGGGCGTTACTCTCGAGGATGACTGTGTGCATGTTTACATAAGCATCCGAATTGGGCATTGCATAAGAACCAGAATCGAATGACCCGTGTACTTTTGAGCATGTACTAAAAGACGAACCGGCCATCCTCGCTTTCTCAACCCCGCCCACCTTTTCTTTGCAGATTTCACTTCTCTGCATTCAACAATGGGCCTTCTCTCTTGGAGCTCTCGCTCCCCACCATCCAAGCCCTGGGGTCTGAAATGGAGGTCGTCTGTTTGGTTTGCAACAGTGGGTATGTTCTTTCCTGTACCATCATTTGTTTGTATTTTATTAATATCCATCATTCGTTAATCAGTCGTAGGTTTTGGTGAGTATCGTAGATTGCCAGGTGCTTCCCATTCTCATTCCGCCATTCAGGCATTACAACCGACTTGCTCGTATATTCCATCATCATTCCCGTTTTACCATTCCAGCTGGAACATCTGGGCTACCACCAAGTGTCAGCACTGACTGGATGGCTGCTGTGCGCCTATGTATGTAGTCTCCTCATTTTTTCAAAATTTTACCAATTTTTTCTGGACAGTCAGGAGGACTTGTCATATGTAAGCCCTTACCATCCCTCTCTAGACCAACTCGCGTTTAGCTTTCATCCACAGCAACAATTCCAATCGCCATATACTCTGAACATTATTCTGCAAGGAGAATCCCCCTCATCATCGGTCTAATCACATTACTCGGCGCTCAGGTTATGTTAATGGAAGCTCCCTCGTACTGGGTGATGTGCCTCGCTCGTATAGTACAAGGAATCAGTTCTTCCATGGTTTGGATCGTGGGTCTAGCTTTGCTGTAAGTCGGCTCCTGTGACTGTACTTATATAGAAAACTCACAGCCGAATTAGGTGCGAAACTACCCCAGAACGTTTTATAGGCAGTATGTACTCCAGAGTATTATTCTTCCTTCCCTAACGATTGTATATAGGGCAATTGGGTATTGCAATCATGGGTCTATCTGTCGGGTAGGTTGCGTTCTTGACTGGTCTTTGGTTGCAGGTCACTTATTCTTACTGTTGTGGCCTCATTCAGACTATTGGTTGGTTCGCCAGCTGGTGGTATCCTATACAGTCGTTGGGGTTTTCGTGCACCGTTCATCTTTGGTGAAATTTGCACAGCGGTAGACCTTATTGGTCGACTTCTCATAATCGAAAGAAAAGAAGCTATGGTCTGGGGTGTGGATCCTGCAGCCGACCCGCTTCCGAATGAAGAAGATCCACATGGTCCGCAGTTAAGAGACGCGACTCAGGAAACATCTCCTTCTCAGCCATCTGACTTTGACTCCGATGTCGACGGTCTTTCGCCCAAGACGCCTTCTGAAGTAGAACTGAACACAACAGGACAAGTACGACCAAGCATTCCCGCATCTGGTCACAAACCACTCCCTATGCTTACTGTGATCGCAAGACTGTCGCAATCTCCGAGGGCGTTGGCTGCTCTTGGCATGGCCCTGGTTTATGGGTATTGTTCATCAACGTTGTCAGATGCACAGCGTTACTGATGCGTATCTGTCAGAATTGTGAATAGTAGTCAAGAACCTTCGCTTCCTCTCCATTTGCAAGCTATTTGGGGCTTTGACTCTTACAAGGTTGGACTGGTGTACCTGGCTGCGGTTGTTCCAGCCCTCGTATGTCAGTTGATGATGATTTGTGTTTGTTTTGGGCGTTTATTAATTCGCTGAATTTTATCAGCGTCACCTTTAGCTGGCTATTACACTGACCGCAAAGGTTCACATTATTTAACCTGCCTATGTCTTCTTCTCGCCTTGCCGTGGTGGGTGGTGTTGACACTTCGGCGGTCACTAGTTCTTTTTATATTTGCACTGGCATTACAAAGTGCGTATTACATCTTTACGCAAAGGTAACTACTCACATCTGTTTTTACATAGGTTTCTTTGTTGCCGGTGTGGTCCCTCCTGTCACGGCTGAGTTGGCAGCAGTTTCTCGAAGTATTCCAGGAGTTGGATGTAAGTGCTTTTTGTCAAATTTGATGAGCTAGTGAAATTGACTGCTGGTCACGTCAGACGCGCATGTTTATGGCGCTTTTAATCTCGCCTTTGGTATAGGTACTGCTGGTGAGTTTGACGATGGATTTTTACTTGCGACATACTCATTTTTTATATACACAGTTGGCCCTATAATTGGAGGACAGGTTAGTCTCGATTGACAATCGTCGTGGCGCAATTTTTGACATTTTTTGATCCGAAGATTTACGACAAGGCAAAGCACGGATGGACAGCGGTATGCTCTGTCACCGCAGCTTTGATTGTCCTTTGCGTCATGCTTGCCTTTTGTTACACGGGTGCCGATCCACTGTTGAACAGGTTTATGCGGCAGTACTACCCAGCTGGGCCGCATGAACTTGCTCAGCAAGGTCGGCGGAAGCCAGATCCAAGTTCAGAGGACGTAGCACATGACGATAGCGATAACCATGATTAATAACCCGGTTGGACCCCATAGTCGATCCTTATTCCCACTCATACCCTATCATTAACTCTCAGATTACTTTTACTAGATTCATACAGGCCAAAAAATCACTGTATTTAATAGGCAACCTTTGGACATTGTACATATTATCAAAGATAGTCGAGGACCAAGCATACCACGGTAAAATAGATTTGGGGTAGTACTAGTTTATGTACAGGTATCGATGTAGGCCTTTGGTACTGCAGACACAAATCTAGGAGCGGTAGAGCGAGATGCCGAATTGGGCCGAATTGGAATGAGAGTTTAAGCGAATCGGCCTTTGCTATCATTCGGTTTGCTGCCAGACTACCACAGGTTCTTTAGCTCTGTACATAGCCAGTTTCTTTGTCCACCCCTTGAACTAATTCTCTCAAAGGTCTCTTTTCTCCATTTCTTGCTTGCATTCTCTCTTTTGTTCTGACTCGGATTGCAAAAAGGTCTGTGGTCTGCGTCTGCCTCTGTGGCCTTTGGCATCTTTAGACAGGCAGTGGTAGCATGAGCTCAGAGCTGAACAGGGCCAGGGACTCGAACGATATAGACCCTCAAAGCACGGAAGACTTCCCATTCCTCACCCCCCTCAGTCCCAGCCTGCTCCTCCCTCAAGGCTCCGAAACCCAAGAGGAAACCATCCGTCGTCTGTTCGATGCGCTCGAGGTCGTATTCGTACGGAACAGACAGCTCAGAGATATATTTGCCACTCTCCTCGAAAGCATGCCGCCTATCCCTACAGAACCAGACTCTCAGTCTGCGGATGCGGGCACCCAAGCCAACGGCATGGGCCCGTCTCATGCTGGGATACTCCTCACCAATGCGGCGAGAGAACTGGGCGCAGATTCTGACCTCGACCAGCGCATACAGAGACTGAGGTCTATCATCCCCGCCCCTGCTAGGCAGGGCTTGGAGAACTTCGAGGCTAGGAGCAGCACCCCCCAGGCGAGGGACAGCGTCGTACAAGCTCCTGCGCGACCCAGTCGCTCTTCACGCGCCAATCAAAGACACTCTCCTCCCTTACCAGACATCACCGTATCCCCCCGCTATAGTTGGGACGCATTGCAGTCGATGATGGCACGCTCGCATAGAGCGACCCGGAATACGAACACGGGCGACTCTGCTGCGACGACGCTGGGAAGGCGTGTGGCTGCCCGGACCGCATCCCAGGCTACTAGTACGCCACCAGAACGCTCAGAACAGGTTGCGTCGACTCTTGCACAGCTCGAGCAGGTCTTGCGTAGTCGGACGTCGGAGATTGCTAGAGATTTGGAGAATATAACCAGTGAAATTTCGCGCCAGAGGCCGCGCCTGACCGGCTCTCGTGAACGCTCGCAAGAGGAAAGTGTGCGCCCTACTGATACAGAAGCCACTCAAAATAATGAGGCGCAGTTTGATTTTCCTGATCTTTATACGTATCTTGCAATGGGAGATATTGGTGTGCCGCCACCAGCGAACAGTGCGTCTGTATCTCCTCCCCCTGGGCCACGTACAGCTCGACTCCTACATGGAGGCAGATCACTTCTCGGTTCGCGCCTGATAGCGGGCCTTCCATATCCTGATAATACATCTAATCCACCAGGACTTGTCCGGTCAACCGAGACTTCTTCAATGATGGATAGAAATTTTTCATACGAAAATTATTATACACGCAGTCGGCTCAATGGGAATGGGGAAGAGCGGGGACAAGTGAACCCATTGAATGACCCAGATGGCAGTGGGCTTGCACAACGACATCTCCCTCGACCCCGAGAAGAGCAAGACCAAGTGCAGGGTTTGCCAGTTTCCACGCGAGCAGCTGCTCGAATGTCACCACACGGTACGTTAAGAGGCGCTGGGCAATCGGAAATGATAAGGCGCCGAAGAGGCTGGGGTGCGTACATTTTTTTCTCCCTAGGTGAATCAAAGCTCGTTTTGACAAGGTATTGTCCTTCATCAGCACGCCTAGATGCTGATGGTAACGAGATCTCGACTGACGAAGAAGACGAGCTCGAGCGCACTCGCGCACGATCCCGCGTGCACACTCAACAAAGTATGGCCAGCTCTGCTCACGCACGGACGTTAGCGGAGGTGTTCAGAACCCGTGCAGGGTCTTCATTCGTTCCTATCACACGGACTTCCATTGCTCACCCTTTCGAAGATGTATCCAGCGTCGTGCGCGTCCGCATCAACACTCCCAATGCCGTTGGTCTTCCCCATAATATTATTACGACGCATTCTTCGGGTGATGAAGCGGTGTCTGTGTTCGGGTCGTCTATACCGTATTGCGTAGACCCACTTCCGACTCCTCTGGCTGATATGGTCCCTTCTACACCGCAGCGCCTCCAAACCTCTCCTCGGTCCATTAAAGTCCAGCGGCATGCTAGTCTTGCTGGACGGTAATGGTTCCATTTTGTTGAGAGAAGGCTTTTGATTACTCCTTCATCTCCGGACTTGTCACACCCATTCTCAGTATTTCGCATGCTTCAATGTTACGGTCACCTGAGGGATGGGCTATGGGTTAAATTAGATGTATCCGACGGATAACACGCGTTCGTTCGTAACACTGTTTTCTTAGTATTTTCTCTTGTATCCCGACGGAAAGATACGATCATGGCCTCCTAATTCGAAGTTGCAGTATCAATACATCTTGGTTCCCCGGAACATGGTTCACATTACTGGTTTTTGATTTACCAGTTTTTTGCAGTTGTCTTGGCATAAATCTTTATTACGATAGCTGTACGGCTACTTGTATATTTAATACGAAACCAACTCATGCGTAGAACAACCCAGTTATATCAGGGGAAATGGCTAGAGGTTAACGTGCGGTAGAGGGTGTAGGTTGATACCCGTAATATGAATGCTGGTATCCACCGTAAGTTCCCGACAACCCAGGTTGCGATATACCCCTAAGGTGCGGTGGCAACGTAGGCGCAACATATCCCGGTTGCCCGGCATTTCCGCTAGCCGCCCAAGTCACTCCCGCGTTCTGTTGAGGAGGCTTCCCAGTAGCTGCAGTCACCACAGTATTAGCCACCGCACGCTGCTGCGCTGGAGGAGGTTGTGTAGCCGCATTAAAAAAACCTGCATAACTCGTTGGCATCGTACTAGGCGTACCGACGGCTCCTGGCTGGGGTGTACCGCGCCCAGAGTTCGCTGCGCCCGTTGCGGCGGTGAGTGGGGTCGGCGGAGGAGGCTGCTGGTAGTACCAAGACGAATATGAGTAGTGTTGGCCAGCTGCTGGGTTGTATTGCTGGTTTGGGTAGTAGCCTGGAGCTCCTGCCGGTACCTGCTGGTTCTGCCCCTGTACTTGGGCGGTGTAAGCGCTGGGGTAGTAAGACGGCTGGCCTGGTTTGTATTGGTAACCGCCTCGGAAGGGGGTGCTGAAGTTGGAATAGGCGTATCCGGGATAAGCTTGTGCGGGGGTAGCTGTGGTAGGGGGTGCTACTGCGACAGGCGCTGGAGCGGGAGTGGGGGCTGCACTGGTGACTGGAGCGGTGGTACCGGATTTGATGTATAGAGTCGAATCGTCGCGTAAAGCAGACGTTCGACCAGGTGGTAGGGTGCCATACCAGCCCTGGATGGCAGCAGTAGGCAGGGTGCGGTGTAACTTACGAAGGGCAGATGCGGAAGGAACAAGCGGCGCTACTTCACTCGTAGATGATCTTGGCCGCAACGAAGCTAGCAAAACGAGGGAATCCAGAATGCCCTGAGCTGCAAGGAGGAACAAGTTAGTCAAGAAGAAAAAAAGTTTCCAAGGTCACGTGTATGTACCGGTGTCCCACTCTTCTGAGTCTTCCTCAACTTCGGCAGATGTATCCCCAGCCTTGGCCAATCGCAGCGTCTGCAATTCACCTAGTCGCCGTAAAGCGGTTCTATTTCTCTCTAGTAGCTCTTGTACTGCATCTTCGAGTTCAAGGCTACCAAGAACCGCCTTTATTCCGGAAACCTGATCAGAAGATAGAAGACCTTCCAACTCGTCCACATCCGTGTTCTTGTCGGAGGGCAAGTTCTGAACACTAGCCACAGACACTTCAGCCTCACTGGGTTCAGTCAGCGGCTGAGCAGAATCTGTGAGAGATTCCATTGCAGTGTCCTCTACATGGGAGGGTGGCATGTCTTCTACTTCCTTGTTCCACGCCTTCTTGCTCCCTTCCCATCTCCATATAACTTCGCCGAGAGCCGCCCGTCCAATCTCTACGCCTTCTTGATCAAATGTCGGGGCAAAGCTTGCATACGGTCCATAGTGCAAAAATGAGCCACAGCTTATACGACGTGGCTCAGGCAGCTTCATTTTGGGTCCTGGTGGTTTTTTCGACGTGTAGGAGCCCAGTGTAGAAGGCACAGGAGTATCTACCAGTGTTAAAGTTGACGAAGTCGAATCAGACTTGTAGGTCATTGTAGATGGAGATGGGAGAACGGCGACCAGTTCTGCATGTGCAGTAGATAGATCTTTCAAACCTTTACCATCGAGAGGTGCGTACTCTGAATTAAGCGACGACCACCAGTTGCCTGATGGCAGGCGCTGCATCAAGGCATACCGCCGAGCGGGTGGCGGTAGCGAGGACTTGTCTGCCAAGGTGGGGTTAGCTTGTGATTTGCCCTCGGCGTCATCAATGATAGCATCGGCGGTAAAGTCGGATAGGATGGTTTCGAGGTCAAGAGGGAAGGATGTAGGATGGACGGAGGCCTGATCTAGAAGAGAAAGAGCTAAATCACAAAAACGAAGCTGCTGAGCAGCTGGTGACAAGGGACGAGAACGTGGATGGTAGGATATGGGAAGCAGATGTTGCACCGCGGACTAGATGATGATCAGCCCATCAGTGGACTCTACAGCAACGATAAGAACTTACACGAAGGACAGACAGTGGATGCCGAGAAGAGTCCTTGAGGAGTGTTCGAAAAGAATACGATCCGGTCTGAGACTTGGAAGTGGAAGGTTCTGAAAAGTTTGATGGAAGAGGGAAGACCCGGTCGAGCAGACCTTGGGTGTCAATCCTGTGGGAGTAAGCGAGTAGAATGTAGGCAGATTTAGAGTGGGACGAGCAAGAGATGCTTACATCTCTAGTATATCTAATATTTTCTGTGCCACGAGCGAGTCAATGGGAACATCGCCAGCGTGCTCGAAGGATGGAGGACTATCTTTTTCAGACATGGTTTCATTATCCTCCGCACCCTCTTCCTTGATGTCAGTTTCAGTGCGAAGCTGCTTGTGGGCCGGCTGATCGTCGATGCCCGATATTGAAGAGCGTTTGCGCTTTTTTGACAGCTTTGTATGGGGATGAGGGAGGCCATTGTGGTCGTCTTTTTGTGAGTGCTGCAAGGTGGAGCGAGTAGCCCTTGCCATTAGGATGGTTGGATAAGCTTTGAGGAAAGCGATGGAGATGACCCTGTTCCGACGAATCTGGACGCGAATGTGGCTTTTAGGCAGAACGCGACCTTTGCTCGACGCGTCCGTGGCGAAATAGAAATATTGCTCACGAGTTGGTTCAGCGGCGACAACTTGCACCACACTTCCAAGCCCACCTCCCTTTTCACTCTCCGCCCAAATACTCCCCCCACTTTTCACTCTCCGCGGTGGCTGCCCTCCTCTCCCCCATGGCCACAAAACATATCCTCAGGGCTCAGCTGCGCTCGTATCCAGCAAACGGCCATGTCGCCTTCGTGCCCAACATAAGAAAAGTAGTCCTCGAGTACTGTCAGAACTATCCATCATCAACAAACACCCGTACCTTCCTCGCAAATGACATCGAGCACCTCGCCCGGCAGAACCCTCATGTCGAGTTTGTAGTCAAACAACGCAACGGCCACGAGCCAATAGCACGAGGACTATACGGTAAGGGCATACGCTCCCATCACATACTCGTGTTCACCCATCATCGCAGCGAACGGTCGAGACAAAGTCGTTCCGCTCCAGGGCTTCGAAGTAAATGGAATTCAGAGAAAAATTCAGCTGCTCCTGGATTCTTCCGGTGCAAAAATAAAGCCACTGAAGAAGAACAATATCGTTGAAAGCACATCCCAGGCGGCAAGAGGTATATGGAGCGGTATGCATGTCGATACACCTTTCAAAATATAGGTCGCATATTGTACGTATTTACCGCATCCCGGCTTGTCTCAACTCATATTTCAGTAGGCTCTTTTACATACGTTGCCTCTGTTTATTACTCTACATTTCTGTGCAATTCTAGAGTTCAATTGCTAGTATTATTCATATCCCTCATGTTCCGCATCACCGGTCCTTTTCTCCACGTGAGAACTTGACATCTCTTCGGCAAATCTCCAGTACACGCCTTTTCCTGCTGGTCGAATGACTCACCTATGATCTAAGCTCTATCTTTATGTGTCTTAACCTATCCCGATTCTTCACAGCAATGAGGCGTTCTACACGTGTAGAAAGCCCTTTTACTCGCAGGTCAGAAGGCCGTCTCTTATCACTTTACTGCGACTACAACTAAATTCAATTCCTTGCACTTTATGTGAGTTGCTTTGGAGTAAGATCGTAGTTCATCTAACATCGTCACATCATAGATATCTCCCAACGCGACTATGAATCAAGATTCCATCCTACTCATGAACGATGACGAGATTTGGCTTGACTGGCTAGATACAGATACTATTGTCAATGTGAGTCTGCCGTCAGTCTTTCCCCAGGGTCGATTGAGATATGTTTGTGTCTAGTCGTTGGCCGATATATCTCCAGTTGACACTCTGATTGAGATTCTGGTGAGCATGAAGAACCACGTCGACGTCGACCATCTCGACTCATCTCTCTTCGCGTTGTCAGGACACGGTACCCGACTTTGAACCGAAAGACGAGTATCCGACGATGCCACAGAGTTTGCGATGCGTTCTGGTATGCCGATTTCTTTGACAGAGCTATATGACATAGAGTGGCTCAACGAATGATGCAGCTACCAGATGGAGACGAGGTTCCAGCTCGAACGAAAAGCTTACTCTTCGAGCAGCCGTTGCCATCAGAATCTCCTGCCACTCCTTCATGTCACCAAGAGTGGTCACAGATCAATGGCATTCTCAAACGCTCACGGTCAAGTACCTCCATAGCATCGTGTTCAACAACCCAAACTCGAACTGTCCCTGCAAAGTCTATTGTGACCCGACATTCATATCTTTCTACGGCTACGACAATATCGGGGAAGAAACGTTCTGCTCCTTCAGTAAAATTCGTGGACGCACCTACCATACACTATGACTATGACTCCATTCCACCTACCTCACCACCCACATCTCCACGGAAGAGCAAGTTCAAAGCGCACAGATGGTTGACCCAATGTCTCAAGAAGACAACTGTGCCACAACGTCCTACTATCTCAGGCCCTTATAATCTGGCGTACACGCCGTCCCTGGTGGACGTTTGCGGTGTTCGAGCTTCGAAATTGAAGCACAGCAGATTCAAAAAGTTCTGGCCCAGCTTTTGGGAGAAGATCATGTCCCGCATTGGTTAACGGGATGTGTTGATCAGGTACATCATATGCTTTATGGTATTCACGTCTAGTTACCATCTTCCTTAGTCTTTTCAAGCCTCCACCTCGTCCATGGAACGAGTCGCGTTATACATGCGCCTGGGGCTTTTGTTTGTTTACTGGACAAGGAATTGATTTCCTGTGTCCTACGTTGCACACGATCCATCGAGGGTCAGTCATTTTCAGTAAGGTCCTGCATATCAAAGGGCCAGATGTACACCCGAGACCGTTCATCACTGGCCTCTGGCAGACCAAGATGAAGAGTAGCAATATGATCACGATGCCAGTATTAATGTTGTATAAAACGAGCGATAGTACTTAGCAGTAGTCGATGATCTAGTTGCTTCTCCACACATCCTCCCGTCTTTTTTCGGTCTCCCACCTTGCTCGCATGAGTGTCATCCCGTCGGCCCTTGACCTGATCATGGGTGCAAGTAACTGAGCATGGGCAGCTTGCATATGTGGTGGCAGTAATGCGTCATTCCGTATGACCTTGAGAGAAAAAGGTGGGAAATGATATATGTTAGGTGTTTAATGGCCCAGCGGACAGACTCACAGATCCGATGGCAAGGAAGAAAGAGAAAGTCGCCGCGCTGCTGAGCATGTATTGGGAGAGTGTGGCCATGAAACCTCGTGGTCCAGCGCCGCCTCTGGAGTGTGTTTGTGTGAATACTCCCAGTGTGTCTAAACGGAGCGAGGAAAAAGGCGCACCGAAGGATACTATATGACCCAAATATGAAACCTATCGTCAATCCAACACCTCCTCCCATCATAGCACCCATCCTGGAATTGAACCCAGTCAGAAAAAAGAGAAGGACATAACGCGGAAAGGTTTTTCTACTTCACTGTACAAGGTCGATGTCAGTTACGTGCCTTTGGTCAAACATGATTAGTTTCTGTCTTACATTTTTGCCAAACCGATGGCTCGTTTGTTCGCATTGGTGGGACTGCCATTGGATTTTTGAGGTTGCTCAGTGACTGACTGGAAAGATGTCAAGTTTTGTGGTGGCGCCAAACAAATCCTGCATTTGACCTAAATTCGCACAGCGTCGGCGAGTGTCATCAGTGAACCAAGGATATGGATATTCCCACAATACCATGGATTGAGCATGTAATAAGTGCAATTGCTACAATAGCTGCAATTATTGCAACAACAACTACAATGTGTTGTATCTTCATATACAGCACAACTAGCTTGACAATTGATAGCAATTTGCTTAAAAATTACAATACTGAAAGAATTTGCAATATATTTTTCGAATGACATGTCTGATTTCCAATCATTACTGCATTTGACAAAGTCATAGAACATTTCACATTTAGTGCTAGTCTTCTCAAGGATAATAGCAATTCTGCTTTATAGGGAGACTCTATACTGTTGTATCATGATTGCTGAAAATTGTAATTATATATAGCTACCAGCCAGAAATATTTCATAGGGACTTTGGAGTTGAGGAGTGGTATAGTCACAATGATGTTGTGCTGTACACTGTAATATGGCACATAAAACAATTTACTTCAAATAAGCACCCTAATCAAACTTATGAGTTATGAAAAGACATTGTAATTCCATAAAATAATGACTTGCAGCTGTACGTCTATGTGAATAATGGCCATATATATTACATATGGGACCGGGCATAATGATGGGATATGATAGCAGTGACTCCTTGCTATCAAAAACTTTATCATGCATGGTAAGATTTGTTTTGATTCAAGATATATGTCAAATTTGTAGACTTTGAAAAGATGTTATACTTTTCTAGAATTATAACTTGTAGTTGTACTTTCATGCAAACAGTGGCCATATTTATTACACAGAAGATTTGGTGCATTGATGGTACATAATACCAGTAACTCATTGCTATAAAAAGTTTTGTCACATGTGGCAAGATCTGTTTGAATTGAACATATATGTCAAACTTGTAGGCTTTGAAAAGACATTATACTTCTGTAAAATGATATTTTGTAACTGTACTTTCATACAAGCAATAGCCATATTTATTACACAGAAGACTTGGCACAAGAATGGTACATAATACTAGTAACCACAAAACATGGTTCCTTTCACATTAGTATCTGACTGTAGTCCTCATATATGAAATATACAAAATATCCTTATATTTAAGCATCTATAATAGAGTTGTAAACCAACAGTACACATCATTATTAAAATAGTAATTCCAGATGACTCATGATAACTAGCTATAGATGATTCCTGTGCTGAGCACTGGAGTGCGCAACAGACAGATTTTGACAAACCTCCTTCGGAACTGTAATCTCTCAATCCTGGCCAAAGACCTTTCTATGGGAACAAGTTAGTAAGGCACGTGATAGGGAAGAAGCAAGAGATGTACCAGTCCCACCAAAGAAGCAAGTTACCTACTCGCACTTTGTGGACCTTATTGCAAGGACCCTCAAACCAATGAAGGATATTATTATAAAACTCCTTGAGATTGAAATCACCGTCAAACTGACACCAAGATGTAACACTTGAGAGAGTGAAATGAAACTAGAAGTAGCCCTTAGTTGGTGTTGAATCAAAAAAGTAAGTGACTGTACCTGAACAGCCACATATGCAATGGCACAAGGTTTGACATGTTTTTTCCCTAGCAGAGATGCAATATGTCCTTTCATAGCCTGAGAAGATTTGTGTTGGCATATTGAGTTGGAAGATGCACCTTTGTTTTCTTCACTATGCGCAGATGATGGTGATGTGAATATTGATTTAAAAGCCTGTTTTAGACTCAGCATTTGATTTAACATGACTAATTCACCAACTTTAATGAGCCAATGCAACTGAAAAAGTCCACAACCGGGATTTTTGGGGATGTACTCATTTATGTCATACATAAAGGTCGGCCATGAGTTGGTGCTCACAATATAATTGGGATGCTGTTCACAAATATTTCTTTTCATGCTGGTTTTATCTTAGTGAGCACACCAAAGCTACAGATGATAATAAAAACTTACAAAGCTTGACTCCAGTCATAATCTACAGGGCACAAGAGCTCACCTGTAACATCATGTTTGAACCCACAATTGTCCTTCGTATTTGTCAGCAAAGGAGGGTCAATTGGATGGAAGGCCTGAGTCAACCACCCAACAACACTGTACTTCAAGGTTCCAGCATCATCTCCTCTAGCACCATCTGCGCCTCTTTGTAGCTGAAAGATTCAATTAATATAAAGCTTTCTTGTAAATGGATCCTGAAAAAATCCTCCAGTTCCGAAGGGTCTGGGCGCATAACTTTACATTTCACAAAGGGGAGGAAGTGAATGAGTTCTAGATAGCCTTTATAAAGCATATTCTGCCTGTACATGCTCAATGTAGAGTTGACTTAGACGCTGGCATAGTAATCCCTTTATTTCCCAACATATCAATCCAGTTTTATGATAAACCATGCATTGATACACAACAGTCCATAGAGTCCGCGTTTGCGGACATATAGGGTCCGCACTTTTCGGACTTCGGACCCGTCGGACGAGGAGCTAACTCAACACTCCGCACACGTGCAAGACTCCACATGGACTCCAGAGTATTACGACTGTCCATGGATCAACTACCCCTTTCCTTTTATGGAATATAGGAGTTGTCCCTCATGGTATGGAACTGTCTGGATGTTGGACTAGCAGGATTTGCTATTTCCTTTTTGGTACTGCTATAAAACTGTACTTCCAAAAGGAAAAAATTCTATCTTTTGATCCCCCATATACTCAGAATTTGTCTGAATAAGTCACCATAGTTGCTTCAGAATTGTTGTAGATGACCCACAGCCATATTTACCAAAGATTTTCCACAAAGCGCCGAGCTTGTTGTGATGCTCTGCTTGTATAGACCCAAAATGCGGACTCTCAGGAGTCATTCCAGTGTTGTATTCTCCACTCTATATTCATCCTCAGCTCATATTATCACTCCCACACTTGTATTATTGCCTTTCCAGCAAGATCATAACTTGCTGTGACGTATCTGCTCCGTTTAGACTTAAAAGTGCGGACTCTGCAAACTGACCTGCGGACCTGCGGACTTATTTGCAAACCTGCAGACCCACTCCATTATAGTCTTCAGCACTTTCTTCTGAATCCCCTGGTTGATCCCTGCGGGTTGAACAACGCATAGGTGTTTGGACATAAGGACTATACTCAGTTCTCTCCCAGATGCCTTTAGCAACTTACATCAATTCAATCACAAATGAAATAATGGATTATTTCAGAGATACATCAGGAAAAACACTTTGGCTATATAGCAGAGGCAATACTATTTGTGCTATTATAGCTCTTATAGTACTATAAGTTTGAGCACACATGCATAATGTTATATAGCTAGCCAAGGCATTATAATGGCTCTTATAACTCTAATAGCCTATATAGCTGTTAAGACCATAGTACATATTTATAGTAATGCTTTATCCAAGTATAAGTTGTGACAATGTGTAAAAAAAATGACAAGTCCATAAAAGGTCAATATATTGCACATGTATAGTATGTTTTGTAAGCCTTTATGGTGTAGTGGATAAATGTGTGGTATGTGGCTGTAGATTAATTGGTCAGCAAAAAAGTGGACCAACAGGTTGAGAGTTCAAATCTTGTGTGTGTGATTATTTTTTTTAAATCAGCCACAAGCTCAACACTCTGCAACTGCTATCTTCTCCCACTCCACTTGAATCCTCTCCCACAACTCCTTCATCCTATTAGGAGGGTATTCATACTCTGCAAGCCTCCTCTTGAGATAACCCCACCCATGTTCAATAGGATTAAGGTCAGGAGACTGCAGGCCACACTATAGTTCTAAACTCCTACTCATCTAGCCACTCCTTGACCTTTTTGCAGGTATGCTTGGGGTCATTGTTTTGCTGAAAGTTGATGTCAGGAGCATTGAGACCATGATAATGGAGGGTGTTCAGCAGCTCATCCTTCAAAATCTGAAGGTAAAGGTCTTCATCCATCCTACCATTAATTCTAGCAGCATACACAACTCCCTCCCAAGTCATACAGCCCCAGATCATCATGGAACATCCTCCAAACTCAACAGTTCCCTGTACCAATCTATCACTGAGCCCCTCACCTGGCTTTTTCCACACCTATTTGTGTCCATCTGTGTTAGTTTTGGTGATTCTGCACCTTTGTGCTACCTATATATTTTCATTCCTTTCTCTATCTATTCTTCTATCATTCACTATTGATTGTGTTCTCTATTATTTCGCCTTTGTGGCTACTTTGTTTACCTTTGTTTACAAAACTTTCGGACAGTACTGCAGAGTCCAATGCTTCCTATTCTCTAGTTACTCACATTGGACTCTAGGTACTGTATACCTGTCATACTCTCTAATAATATAGTTACTCACATTGGACTCTAGTTCCATTCCCTGATTGCTCTCAGCAAGTGGTTAGACACTTCCTTCAAGCTTTGTTCTTAATAATCTGACCCCAGGCAATAGATTTTGGTCTCATCAGACCATACAACCTTCTTCCAATCCTCCACAGTCCAGTCCTTGTGAGCATAAGCAAATTCCAACCTAGCCTTACAATGCTTGGCAGAGAGAAGAGGGCATTTCTGCTTGACCACAGCCTTCATGCCAGTCTTTTTCAAGTGCTGGCAGACAGTGTTTGGGGAGAGAGGTTGGTTGATGATGTTGGTAAGAGCTTTGGTATCTAGACAGCATTTTCTGCCTTGCGAGTGGAGATGAGATGCATGGCATAGTGGACATTGGCAGGAGAAAGCTTAGATGGACAACCTCCAACAGACTTTTGAAGCTCAGAACGCTCCTTGGAGCAAAGTCTAGAGATGGTAGAGACATGGACACCAGTGGTAGAGGCAATAAAGTGAGCAGTTTGACCACATCAAGGAGGTTAAGAATCCGGTTCTTTTGAGCAGGAGAGAGGGATTTCATCATGATGGTGGTTGAGAATAAAGAAGTGTGTGAACTTTTTTAAACTCAGAAGCAATGTCTATACGTGGATTTTTGTTTGTGGGACCAAACAGATATTCTATAATATTGATCTCGGTGCCCCACAAATGCTGACGGATGGCAGACATATAGAGGATTGCAACAACTGCCTCACTACAACAGGCCTGCATCTTCCCAGATAGCTTGTTACCTCTGGGCTAGCGTACAAAGACACCTACTATTATAGGCAACCATGTCCCCCATATATTAGAGCACCCCAGAACTTCCATCCAAACATCTTCTCTGGTCTAGCATCTCTTAAATGTCCAGTCCTCTATGATGAACTTGGAGCACAACAGAAAAGGAAGGCAAGGAAGGATGCCATTGTAAGCTTTTGGTCACCTGTACATTTGTTGCTAAAACCAAACAATTGTAATATCAGAAATTGGCACAATGCAAGATAAATAAACGTGCCACAAAAGCAGGCCACTTACATCCTAAAATTGCCAGGAAATGGTAAGCTAAGTCAGAAGAATATGTAACAAATCAGTGCAGTATAACAACCACATTGACAAAAGAACACACTCTATCCAGTACCCCGCAATTAGTGAGTTGCTTTGTAAACTTGATGAACGCAAGCCTGAGGGAAGGTACACTGCCTTAGAACCTATGCTAATATTGCTGGGCATCAATGAGCTTGACAATCTTGCAATAATCTCAGCAGATGGCATGTGTGTAATGCCAGGAGTGGAGGAACAGATGGTCAAGACTATATACACTGAAGCTAACCGGATGGTAGAAAAGGTTCATGAGAACAGTGCTGAGGAAATCAAGGAACTCAGGCAGATGTATGGGGGGGCATAGTGGGAAGGCATCTTGAGGCGTCACTGTTGAATGGATTCCATTACCTAGATATAAACAGGCAGATAAAAACTTACTTTGGCCAACAATTATACTTGCTATTGTGTCAAATACATTGTGGAAAAAGAAACGGTGAAGAAGAAAAAGCCCAAGAGCTTTGCTGAGAGCCGTTCATCTTCAAGCTCTGTTGAGTCGTCATTGATGGATTGATCAGTCAAACATTACGCCTGTCAAAATGTGACATGTGACATGCATCACATGCCAGTCACATTCTAGTCAGATAAGAGTGTCATGCGCATCATGGATCCCGATGCCCATTGAAAAGTCAATCTGTATAAGTCCATAGAAATATGTATATATCTATATAAAGCAAAAAAAAAAAATGACTTGGTCACCTGATATTTTGGCGTTGTATTGAGGTATATGGAAATAAATGGAATATATTGATTTATATAGACAAATGGCAGGATTCTGACAACAAATCTAATGTTTTCCTTATACCTATATAGATGTAGTTGTTCTCATGTTTCAGGGCAGTTTTATATGATTATCAATATATTTCTATTCACATGCATATAACTAATACAGGTACAAAACTAAACAAACATAAAAAACCAATGAAAAAAGAACACATAAACCTATGTCTTCTTGCTGGTGTTTGGAGCTTTTTTAGCAGCCTGTGGAGAGGGTTTTGAGAGGCCTGAATAATAATAAGTATGATTAGTACAAAAAATGATACATATGTCCCAACCAACAAGTGCTTTTGCTTCATATTCCTACAAGACATCAATTTAAGCGAAACAATAAAGAGACTGACTTACTTCTTTTTTCTCCTTTGACAAGATTTTGAAAGCCAGCTGAAGTTCATTGCAGGTACCTCCTGGATTTTTCTTCAACCAATCTGTACCATAGTAGTTACTATAACAATATCAGGAAATATTATACCTGAATATATGAATAGGCTTACTATGCTGTGTGAGCTTTCAAAGGTCAAGACTTTGCTGATCCACTAGTAGTAGTCTTCTCAACGGACTTGCAAACTGATGATGAACTAGAAGCAACATTATTTGAAGTGCTGTGTTGCATAGAAACGCTAGATACATTATTAGTACTGTACATTAGAAGAAGAAAAATATGTACATTGCAGAATCAATCTCTGTAACCTGTTACAATTGACATACCAGCACCTACTTATGCTTCACTTTTGTACTTCTACTTTTATTTTCCAAGTCACATGACCAGTCATGTGACCATTTACTTTACTTTACATTTTCAACTTTTCATAGTCACATGACCAGTCATGTGACATATCACCTGACCAGTGTCTAGACTCATCATGTGACCGGTCACATGCTAGACATTGGACTTTGAACTTTATTTACAACTGTACAGTACCTCATGTATTTTAGTATATATACAAGAGCAATACATGGGGAAGGACTCAGCGAGTCCTCCTGTTGTATACCAACAAACTCTCTGCAGCTTAAGGGGTAACCACTCCCTCAACATCTTCTTTATAGTGTGTTCTTGTGTGCGCCAGAGTAACTAACTCTTGGTTGTTACATAACCTCACCAAAAACCTCCTCATTAATCCAATCAGAGTCTTCCTCCTTGTTCTTGTGTTGAGGTAGCCTGATCCTTAGGACGTGACATCTATACCAATTGGGGTAAATTTGAGTAACAAGGTGATTGGTCTTCCAGTGTGACTTGCAGAGACAAAGTTCATAGAAGTTAAGGGCTATCTGTGTCCTCACAAAGTCCTTGCCCCAAGTGGAGATCTGACCCCAATTTGGTGGGGCTACGTTGTCCTTCTGCAAATGCTTGAAGAGCTTCAAGCCGAATAATCTAATCTCTTGAGCACAATTAGACAATATCTGGATCCCATGTTCATCTTTAATGTGCCTATAAGCCACATTAATTCCCTGCGCCATCCAATGTCATGCACCAAAGTTGATTGGTAGCATGGACAGGTGTCAATAATGAAGCAAATATTCACACAGGCACAGTGCCATGTGGAATAGTAATCAATATTGCTTTTTTCAAACTTGTGGCTGATCAGTACCACCTCTATTAGGCAATCAAGTTGTGCTCACCTTTGCTTTCCGTTGTAAGGACCATTTTATTATTTTCTTATCTTCTCTATGTCTTGGTTCTCGAACACTTTTCCCATTACACCTCTGGCTCTAGGACTAGAGGTATTATTTGCCATCTTACTTCTCATAGCCCTCACAGGCTTTCTTAACCACCGTTACCACTTTATATCACAGATCAGAGACTGGGTATCACTCCCAGCCAGCCAGCACAATGGGTAGGGACTGATAGTAGGCATCTCACCAACCAGCTCCAAGCCCCATTAAGGCCTGGATATACTAATAAACACTTTGATCAGGATCGTACCTCATCATGAGGATACAGTTCCTGAACATGCGTAACAAACATCTATTATTAGTACAATTCTCTCACCCGCTGATTAATCAAGCTAAAGTCGTACAATAGTTATTCTCTTTTTCTTATTGGACAATTTATTCCTCAGACCACTTTTCATTTACTCTCCTTTCGGTCTGAGGGATGAACAGTTCACTATATAAAGCCTTACCTATTCATGTATAGTTCCTTAGTTTTCTATTACTGAATTTACCCGCTTTACTCCTCAACCGAAACCCTTGAGCCTACCTCCCAAGTCCTCTACTCGCTATATTTACTAGCGTCTGTCGACCTGAAGCTCATTGAACCTCTTACTCCCTGCAAGTGCAGAAGGAGACAGGTTTCGTTTTTGTTATAGTTTATCATTGCCTCACATCCATTCGGTATTTTCCACATTTTGGCATTTTGGCAAATTTTTGCGTTGCCACTGGCTACACATTGCGCCCTCACTTTTGTTGTTCTCCCTTACTCCCCTTCCTTTGCCTAGCCCCACCACCAGACAGTCATTTCTGGCTACCTATTCTAGTCTACTTCCTTGTCATCTCCACCCTCCTCCTACTCCTCTTCCTTGCTCCGATATCAGCAAAGCCCCGGCTGCTGGTCCAAATTGGGCAACAGGTCCATCTTCATGATGTTGATCTTCCATTGTATACTATCAAATTATTGGTCGCTTGTCTTGCCTGGTTGGAGCGTGGGTGGGTAGTTTTTGAGCTGGAGAAGGTTCATCCCCTTGTGTTGCCTATGTACATTGCTGTCCCATTCACTTGGGTACATTTATCCTTTGTCCATTGTCTTTGCTACAGCTACACTTACCACACACTGTCTGGGACACATTTGTTCCAGATTGGAACTACTCCCCTCCCTCCCTCGTTTGACCAGGTGGTCCAATACAACCAGTCCATTGGTAAGGCCATGGAACTATTGTATTTGGACTAGGTGGTGGACCGGTGGCTCCAGTTTCTTTTTTTCAGCAGAACATTCATTTACAGTGTGATTAATTTTGATTTTTGAATCATTTTTATGGACACATATTTTTTTAGAATGCCTGACTGACAATAAAGGAACTGTATTGATACTGAAATTGTTTTGCCTTGCCCTTTTTTTACTGCATCTTCCCATGACATCATGATTTTCTTGCTCTCTTTCTGCTATTGGACTTTATTTTATGGCTGTACAAACCTGTGACATTACTTACACAGCATTCATTGTTCTATCTCTTTCTTTTCTTTATTTTGACAATCTTATCCTGTACTACCTATGCAGGATTCATCAGCGTACATTCCTTCCTTCATGTTCTTTCTCATTCTTTTTGCGCAGCTATACTGTGCATAGCCTACCTTTCTTTTACTATATAAACCCCTGTACTTTACCTTGTAAAACAAAACAAGAAATCACAATCCAGACTTCTTCTCTAATCTCAAGTTCACTACTCTCTGCTACTTGTGATCCAGTGTGGTCACAATACTTTCCACTGCTATTACTGTTATCTGCTGTCATCGTCACTCGTCATTTTTGAAGTCATTGCTATCCCTTTTAATTAGAGTCCTTCTGAGCACTACAGTCTGTGCATCAGGAGCCTGCTATCACTGGGAACTTTATCACCTTGTCATTTTGTCATTCTCAAACCTACCTTGTGCTATGATTAGCAAGGTAGTGCTTGTCTATACTCACCATATAGCCCCTATCTTTATCTTCCAACTATCCCTCCTCCTCAAAACCCACACCCATATATCCCTGGGTTTTACTTTGAACAATCATTATACGTACCACCCCACAAACAACCAGACCACTCCATTGCTCTAGGAGGCAAAGCCCATACACAAGTTCTGTGGAATCTGGGAGGATTGTGTGTTACTTTGTTTTTGTGTGTGGTTTTCTAACAGCAGTTCTCATCATCAACAGTGAGTAGCACCTCCAACTATAAGTAGTAGGGGGGTTAGTATAGGAATACCTCAGCCATTTCTATAGCCTCTTGGTCAGCAGCTGAGGTATGTTACATTACATTTATTAGAAATCACCTTAAACTGATATCTATTGTAGTTTCACTTAGATTTATTATCAAAGGCATTAAGACTGGTTTTGTGCCAGGGGACCTTATGTCTTTTCAAGATGAAAAAAGTTTGATTAAGGACTGTTGGTTTCTTGAACTTCACTTAGTACAACTTTAAACAAACTTATTAATTCTTGAAAATTCCATAAGATATCAAAAACTAGCCTCTAAAACAAAAACAAATTATATTCAAGATCAGAAACCAGTAGCTTTGAATGAGAATAAGAACAAAAGGGGGGAAAAAACAGTACTATAAATTGTAAAGGAAGGATTATAGTTCCATACACAATTACTACCAAAATGTTTGCACTGGGCAAGGAGTTAAGGAAAATCTAAATATATTTGCTATCAGCGATGGAGAAAAATAAGTGTGAATATGAGGTCAGACATACATAGAAAACTTACACAGTACATCTTAAATGTCAACAAGACAGGCTTGAGGGTCAACATCCCCATCCCCACTTATGACCAACTGTTTGGACCATCCCTTTCCAGTGATGTAAGCACTTGCTTTTGTCACTGTATCATTCAATGTCTTCAGTTTAAGCCCTTTGATAGATGTGCTATAATAGTGACTTGCTTCACCCCAGTTTGTGTCAGAAAATGTCACATAGCTGCTGGTTTTCTTGCCAGTCACCTTATTGAGTTCTTAAACCAGGTTGACTTTCTGTGCTTCAGCACCTGTTTGAGGTTGAGCTACTGGGGGGTCCCAGCTGATTTTCCTCTCAGCCCACATAGTAAATGAATGCTCCACAGTAGCTGCACTCATTGCTAATGCCCCTACTGGTGGGTACTTCCTGATGTTAGTCACATTACCAGACAACCTGTCAGTTTGTAATGCTTGAACATCAACAGATGTGCTGATTGCCCCAAGGTGGGCCGCAAAGGTTTGTAGGACAAATAGTGACCAAAAGATGCCTCAGAATTCCTAAAACAATAGGTCAGCGTAATATTATCTATCATAACAGCACATACCAAGGGATCATCCTCTAAGTCTTCATAGAGATATGTGAAGCCATTGAGGACTTCACTAGCAAATTCTTGACAGGCATGATAAGTGTTATAAGCAGGATTGGATTCAAAGAAATGCTCGACTGTGGCCATGGCAGCTGAGCCAAGACCACTGCACCACTCTGAAAGATGCTGAGAGGCCTAAGAGGCAGTGAAAAAAATGAGACAAAAAGCAAGTCAAGAGGTTTGGACTTACCACAAGATATATTGGGTCTTGTATTGTGATTATGTGTTGAATATCAGGATAGATAGTGTCCCAAGCTGACTGCAGAGCCTAAATTGCTTTGATGTCATTGATGCTCCAATGGTTATTCCAAGTCCCAACCCACTTCGTGTATATTGCAATGAAGATAGTGCACTAGCGGCCACCTTCCATGCAACCTTTGGGAAGGTTAGAATTAGTGGTTTTGGTCAGGTGTTTGACTTTTATACACTTTGAGGGAGGGATCACACCATCTTTGACTTTAACTAGGTTCTGAAGGAATAATATCAGTGATTAGAAAAGTTTCAAAACAGAGGGACTCACCAAGCTAATTGTATGCTTGCCTTTGGCAGCTGTCCCTGCTTGAAGTAGTCCCTACTTTTGAAGCTGATTGTGAAGTTTTCAAGGCAGATGAACTTGCAGTTGAGCCAGTGTCTGTTACGATAACACAATTTTCGGACTTTCCCTTTACTTTTATTTCTCCGCTTTAACTTTATACTTTAGCCTTCACACATGATGCCACGCGGTGTCGATGATGAGAACTGTTGTTAGAAAACCACACACAAAAAAACAAACTAACACACAATCCTCCCAGATTCCACGGAACTTGTTTATGGGCTTTGCCTCCTAGAACAGTGGAGTGGTCTGGTTGTTCGTGGGGTGGTACGTATAAAGATCCTTTAAAGTAAAACCCAGAGGTGTATGAGTGTGGGTTTTGAGGAGGAGGGATAGTTGAATTTATAGAAGATAGGGGCTTAGTGACAAGTATAGATGAGCACTACCTTGCTAATTGTAGCACAAGGTAGGTTTGAGAACGACAAGGATGACGACGTGACGAGGTTCCCAGTGATAGCAGGCTCCTGACGCACAAACTGTAGTGCTCAGAAGGACTCTAATCAAAGGGGATGACAATCACTTTCAAAAGAAAAAAATGATGAGTGACGATGACAGCAGTTAACAGTGGTAGAAGTGGGAAGTGTTGTGACCACACTGGATCACAAGTAGCAGAGTAGTGAACTTGAGAGTAGAGAAGAAGTCTGGATTGGATTTCTTTGTTTTTTTTTTACAAGGTAAAATACAGGGGTTTATATAGTAAAAGAAAAGTAGGCTATGCACAGTATAGCTGTGCAAAAAGAATGAGAAAGAACATGAAGGAAGGAATGTATGCTGACAAATCCTGCGTAGGTAGTACAGGATAAGATTGTCAAAAAAGGAAAAGAAAGGGATAGAACAATGAATGCTATGAGTAATGTCACAGGTTTGTACAGCCATAAAGTAAAGTCCAATAGCAAAAAGAGAGCAGGAAAATCATGATGTCATGGGAAGATGCAGTAAAAAAAGGGCAAGGCAAAACACTATCAGTATCAACACAGTTCCTTTATTGTCAGTCAGGCATTCTAAAAAAATATGTGTCCATAAAAATGATTCAAAAATCAAAAATAATTGCACTGTAAATGAATGTTCTGCTGAAGAAAAAGAAACTGGAGCCACCGGTCCACCACCTAGTCCAAATCCGACAGTTCCATGGCCTTACCAATGGACTGGTTGTGTTGGACCACCTGATCAAATGAGGGAGGGAGAGGAGTAGTTCCAATTTGGAACAAGTGAGTCCCAGGCAGCGTGTGGTAGGTGTAGCTGTAGCGAAGACGATGGACAAAGGATAAGTGTACCCAAGTGAATGGGACAGCGATGAACATGGGCAACGCAAGGGGATGAACCTTCTCCAGCTCAAAAACTACCCACCCACGCTCCAACCAGGCAAGACGAGCGACCGATGTTTTGATAGTATATGATGGTAGATCGACGTCATAAAGATGGACCTGTTGCCCTATTTCAACCGGCCGCCGGGGCTTTGCTGATATCAGCAGTGGCACGTGGTAGTCGACGGATCGGCGATGGAAGCGGATAGGAAGTGGTGACATCAGAAATGGTGGGGGAGCAAAGAAGATGAGGAGGAGGAGGGTGGAGGTGACAAAAAAGTGGATTAAAATGGGGATCCAGAAATGACCGTCAGGTGAGAATAAAAGGGAGAGGAAGGGGCCCATGGTGGGGCTAGGCAAAGGAAGGCGAGTAAGGGAAACGACAAAAGTGAGGGCGCAATGCAATGTGTAGCCAGTGGCGACGCAAAAATTTGCCGAAATGCCGAAATGCCGAAAGTACTGAATGGAAAAGCAAAGGTGAGCGTGACTGGATTGCCTAATAAAGGTGGTGCTGATCAGCTACAGGTTCAAAACAGGCAATATTAATTACTATTCCACGTGGCACTGTGCCTGTGTGGCGCAAAGGCGAGTCTTTTTGAATATTCACTTTGTTATTGACACCTGTCCATGCTACCAATCAACTTTGGTGCATGACAGCGCATGGTGGGGCTAGGCAAAGGAAGGGGAGTAAGGGAGAACAACAACAGTGAGGGCGCAATGTGTAGCCAGTGGCAACGCAAAAATTTGCCAAAATGCCAAAATGCGGAAAGTACCAAATGGAAAACAAAGGTGAGCACAACTTAATTGCTTAATAGAGGTGGTGCTGATCAGCCACAAGTTAGAAAAGGGCAATATTGATTACTATTCCACGTGGCACTGTGCCTGTGTGGTGCAAAGGCAAGTCTTTTGAATATTTGCTTCATTATTGACACCTGTCCATGCTACCGATCAATTTTGGTGCATGACATCGCTAAGGTATAAAGACTCTTAGGAGAACAATGGCCGCTTTAGCAGAGACTGGGTTTATCCGGTTTTGTCATTTAATTCCTCTTAAAACAGTTTCAAGGTGAGTCAAGGTCTTCGAAGAAAAGACTTACTATGGCCCTTATCTTCATGCGAGACGGATTCACTGGAGTATGATCGGCTGGTAAGAGATTGTCATCATTAATCTTCAAGCTTCAAGTATTATCTCATCTTAATCACAGCAACTGTAAGCCTACATAGGCTTACTACAATTGCTCAATGCTCGTTGGACACTCTTCTTTGTTTATACGACATTGCTGATGTAGATACATTGTTTGTACAGAGTAGTACTTAAGCCCTTGTTGTTTGACGTCATGTAGTTATTGCCGGTTTTCCCCCTTGTTATACATGCTCCGGTCTACTGTCTGTTCTGTTTGATCATCTTAGTGTTCCACCCCACAGTGGCTTCCAGTAACATTCTGTTCAACATTCTTCCATTAGCATGATATGTATATCCTTTGAATCATATGTATATATCGTTGTCTCCACATGAAGGCTAATCTAGGAGCATATGTGTATTGTCAACCTGGCTCGGATGTGATTATCAAGATGATTACTTAGATCCGAGTCCAAATTTAAGATGGGAACAACTCAGATATCCGTCGTTGGAAGGCTTTCAGCTGAGTCAGCGGAAGAATCAAGATAATACTAGCCAGTCTTTGGAGCACCTTGGACTACGCCACCTACTTTTCATGTTGATAGCATGACTTTGAGTCTCACTGCATCTGCCAGTGTCAGTAGTCAATCCAACGATTCACAGGAGTCTGGTGCAGATATTGTGACGACAGATGCGTCCGGATCTAAGCGATCTGTTGGCAAGCGGAACACTCCCTCCAGTCTCCACGCCGCCAACAATTCCAAGTCTCACACAAAGAACAAGCAAATTCACAGCACACCACCATGTATCACACTCAGTAAAAAGTGTAGTCACGTGTAGTCAATAATAGTCCAGCAACAGTCCGATATGCAAGAACTATGACTAAAATCCGTACAAATAGTCCTGTAACGAGTCCAATGAAGTCTTATTTCTCGGGGAACATAGTCCAGTGAGAGTCCAGCAAGGTCCAGTTCATCTGCAATCCAATGTAGTCCGATTGACACGATAACAGACATTTGAAGTCCAGTAACAGTCAATTGAAGTCCAATATTAAATCCAATGTAGTTACATTGCTGAGTCCCAGTAGCACAGAGCATACAAGAATATACAAAAGCATACAAAAATCACAACATAATAACGACGAGAGCTCCTAATCAGTCCAAAAGAAAAGCATATATACAATGATGACAATAAAAAAATTTCCTAAAGAACATGATGACGACGACAAGAGAACAACTGATTACTTCTTGGATTTGGATGTTACATTCTTTGCCTTCCACTGTAATAGTAATGCAAATTAGTAATTTAGTAAGAAATATAGCAGGTGACTTGCCTTGGACATGATAGACTCAACTTCCACCTCGGAGGGCTGTTTCTTGATAGGTAAGGCCAGGATAACAGCAACCAGATATGTGAAACCATGTTAGATGATATTGAAGTGGTAAAATCAACAATCACCTTTTTTCGTCCGCTGTTTCAGGTTAGTGATGACATTCCCACTAGCCTTGATCCATTCCATCAGCTCCTCTTTCTGCAAAACCTGTAAACCAAACGTGAGTTAATAGATATATCGATGGACCTTGGTGATGACTTACTTGTAACCCTGCACAACAATCATCTTTGCTGGCCAAATCTGACCCACCCACTGTGGATTGTTCCGTTGATGAGACAGATGTGGCCACTGAGGCAAGGAAAGTGAGAGCCAATGCTGACAAGACAGAAGAGGGGGGTTCTGTAGCTGCCAAAATGAAAGACGCAGAGGCTGATGTCATAGAGACCGTTGAAGAAGCCTTTCCCTTAGATACCAGCTGTAAAGATAGCATCAGTTTGAATATTATGAAATGAGGGAAAGAACTTACTCCTCCAGCTGCCTTCCAGGCAGCCCAGATTTGTTCGAGTATATTGTTGAGATAGTTGTTGGCAAGGAAGGTCAAGGACAAAATCTTTTCCTGGAAACATATGTGCCTCGCAAATTTACAGGTCTTGATCATTGCAGCGATTAGAGGTCTTGCTGTCTCGCAATTACCTATTGCAGTCCAAGATGCATCCTCATCGAATTGAGGGGAATTGGGGCCAGCACGCTCAATGCGCTCAATAAATTCGAGCATAAGAGAGGAAGGGGGGCCGGGGGAGAAGTCTGTAGAGAGTTCCATAGCGTCGAGAAGGTTGATACCGAAGGAGTTGGAGTTGAAGTTGCGAGTTATGATAGCTAGATTTTGTTAGTGTATGAATAAGTGAAAAATAATGAAAAGAACGTACTTTTCAAGTCAAGGATAGAGGAGCTGACCTCTAAAAAGTCGACGTCGTATTTTTTGGACCCTTTATTTGAGGAGACAGACAGAAATGATGGGGGAGGAAGTGATTTTTGAATAGGTACTGAAAATCTGATGTCAGTACAGTAGTAGTAAGAGAAGAAGAAAAAAAGGACTGGCCGGTAGTGGGTGGAGGCATCAATGCGTCCGAGGATGAGTTGTCCACTGGCCGTTGTTTCTTCGCCGTTTCCGAGACACTCAACCTTGCTTGACGTCATTTTTGAGCTTCCACTCCCGTTCCCGTTCCTGTTCCTGTTCCTGACAAGATAGCAATGAGAGTTGCGTCTTCATCGTCATTGCTAATAGCCACCTCATCAACCAGCTTACTAGACCTCAACATTTGGCCAAGGACATATTCGGCCTTCCAATGGTTTGAACATAGAGCTAGCAGCGGCTGCTGCTGCTCCATCTCTTGGATGATAGCTGCCCACTGAGCCAGGTACACAGATCGATAGTAATTCCACAACCATTTCTGGGATCAACACTTTGGCAGGGGCAACTGCTCGAGCTTGTTTCGAGCGACGCGGGTGGTAGCTTTGATGGCAGTCCATTCCTTGCTGGAGATTATGGTGCCATCAGCATGCCGGACAGCACATTCCATTGCAGGTCGAGCGGGGTTCTGAGCTGTTAGTCCAGCGTCCTTGTCCTTTTTGCAGTCATCAAATTCCCATAGAATCTCAAATGGGTATTGATCAGGGCGGGGCTGGGGGGGCTGGGCTTCAGTTGTAGATACTACTGAACGTGCTGGGGGTGGGTTGGCAGCATGCGACACAGAGTTGCTCAGATAGATGGTAGATATTCCTGCACTAGAATATATAAAAAAGACTGTCAGTAGAGAATTCAGATTGTATAGGTCACTTACGCAGAATTTGTTTGATGATCCAGGGTGGTTTGCAGGCGTGAAACTTCTTGCAGTAGGTGGTGGTTTTTTTGTCGTAAATTAATGTTTTGCTTAGTCAATTCTTGTACTTCTTCTTCATACTTTCAGATTTTTTCCTCTGACTCATGTTGCTAGTGGATGTGGATGTGTTCTTTAGCAAGTAGCCCCTCAATCTGCTCGACGAGCTTGTTCTGGTAAGCTTGACTCTCAAGGAACTGATCGGCCACGATTTGATACTTTTGAACTGTGTCGCTGAAGTGACAATTTTTCAGAAGGTCCTCAAAGCTGAGCGATTCGATCAAGAGTGGGTTGACTGCAATTGATGGGCTGAGGTCGTGGGCTGTGGGGCAGACGTAGCGTCAAGAGGAGGAACTTGGAGAAAAATAATGTCATTAGTCGTACTAAGCGAGTGGAATTTGAATGAGGAAAGTTTACTATAATACAGACTTGATGACAGTGGGTTGCTGTAAGGCTGCAGAGGGTCCATTGTATGTAGAATTGTTGTCGACGTGGCAAGCAACAAGCAGCCTGTGTTCACGCAACAAATATCTATTAGTCAGTTTCCTCTTTGGGCACTTTCTTATCTGATGCACCACAGTGTTGGGTTGCAATTGTGTTTTGTCCACTCTCCCCACCTCACAATAATGCCTTGCTACTGTACCAAATGTTTTCCTTCAAAGGACAGGAGTAAAAGGACAATTTATAGCCATCTGCAGGCTGATATGAAACTTCTGAACACACCAAATCATGCATCTGCATTCAAGACACATCTAGAGCTGTGCATTAGAATGAATACTGAATTTCTGTTAAAATCTTCGTCAAAAGATGCACAAGTTGATAACCAGGTTGAAGGCAGTATGCTTATGTGATTCTACAAGCACATACAAGTGTAGCTGACATCCATTTTTCAGATAATATTGCCAGTACTGGCACACAATCCACAGATGTAGATCTTGATATTCAAGCTGATCAAGGTATGATCTTTGCTTTTATTCTGCCTTGTATGCTAATTTCTCTGGATATTCAAGCTGATCAAGGTATGATCTTTGCTTTTATTCTGCCTTGTATGCTAATTTCTCTGGATATATTTACATTCCTAGGTGTAAAGGATAATATTCTGAATAATTTGCCCCCCTATGGTACTGAGAATGCTCATATCCTCCAGATTGGAGTTGATTCACCAAGTTATGGTGCTGCTATTGACGATGAGAGTGATAATGTTGATACTGAGAATGCTCATATCCTCCAGAGTGGAGTTGATTCACCAAGTCATGGTGCTGCTATTGATGATGAGAGTGATGATGCTGATAGCATCCAGGATAATGATCAAAGTGCTGGAGAGCAGGGTACATTAACATTCCCAGACTTGGAGTATGATATTCTGGATGATTCACCCAGCCATAATGCTGCTGTTGATGATGAGAGTGATGATACTGATAGCAACCAGGATGATCCAGCCAGCTATGGTGCTGATGCTGATTTGGATGATGAGAATCCTCATATACTCCACATTAATAGTACTGTTGCCTATCCTCCTGTTCAAAGGGACCTGCAAGCCAAACTCTTAGATGGATGCAAGTGTCCAGTTGTTCCCCCATCCTCTGTTTCAGAGCCAAGCAGCCTAACAGATTTAGAGATACACAGCCTCAAACACTACATTGCATGGAAGAAGTCGAATGGTACTGTCAAGGCATATGAACTGCATGCACAGGTATTACAACAAGCTACTCAGTTAGACATATTGTCACTATATGCTGTTCGCAAACTGGCCGGATCTCTGGCCAAGGTTGAGCCTGTAAAGATTGATATGTGCCCAAGGAGCTGTATTGCATATGACAAAACCGGATAAACCCGGTCTCTGCCGAAGCAGCCATTGTTCTCCATGGAGCATAGCCACCACTCCATGGAGTAACCATTGTTCTCCTAGGAGCACAATTGTACTCCTAGGAGTCATTATACTGTAGCGAGTAGCACCTCCGACTATAAGTAGTAGGGGGTTTAGTATAGGAATACCTCAGTCATTTCTATAGCCTCTCGGGCAGCGGCTGAGGTATGTTACATTACATTTATTAGAGATCACCTTAAACTAACATCTATTGTAGTTTCACTTAGGTAAATAATAAAGTCGTTTCTATAGCCTCTCGGGCAGCGGCTGAGTTTCACTTAGATTTATTAGCATATACAGGGGACTTCAAGGACTTGAAATCTTGTCCTCACACTATAAAGGGCCGGATTGCATGTGGAGAGAAGTGCTACACTGCTGGATCTAAACCTAAGCCCAGAGCACAAATGCTATATGTATTTTTTATCTCAATCATTCAAGCAATGTTTGCAAACAAGCAAACATCACAACTCCTGCGATACAGAGATAGATACTTACAAAAAACACTAAAGTTACTTGCAGTTGGATCTCAAAGTTCTGGGGTGCAGGCTCAGGCAAGATATTCTGACTTCCCCAGTGGAAGTGTTCATGAACATCACTACAAAAACATGGGGTTGTTTCAGGATGAACAAGACATTGCTTTTGCATTATCTACTGATGGTGCTCAGCTTACTATGAAGAAACGGTCTGATACTTGGATATTAATTCTGATATTGCTTAACCTCCCTCCAGAATTGAGGTACCTTTCTAACAATATCATATTAACTATGGCCATTCCAGGACCCCAAAGTCCAGGAAATATTGAATCATTTGTATATCCCCTTTTTCAAGATGCAGCAAAATGCAGTCAAGGCATATGGATGTGGGATGCTATAGATTCCTCCTACTTCATAAACCGCATGTACATGTCTATGATACTGGGAGATATGTTAGGCTCAGCAAAGTTAAATGGAATGGCTGAACATACTGCAAATTATGGTGATAGATTTGTTTTAATCAAAGGGGCCAGATCCAGTCTTGAAAAAGGTGCTAAGGCTCAGTACTATCCATTATCACCACCAGAAAACCAGGAGTATAACAGTGAGCGCCCCACATACAACCTGGACAATTTGCCAATGCGTACTGAAGAGCACTATTGGAGTACAATCAATCAACTCAATGATACTACAGTCAAAAATCTTCGTGCTAAAATCACAAGAGAAACAGGAATTTCTCACATGCCTCTAGCAGCAGCAAGCCCAGCATTTATTCATCCTTCTTTTTTCCCAATTGATCCTTTTCATTTACTTTTTGAGAATATTGTTGCATTTATATGGGATTTGTGGACAATTCATAGCTCACAATCTGAACCCACCCACCTCAGCACACAAAAGGCAGAAATGTTTGGTAAATTAGTTGCTTCAGGAATATCAACTCTGCCACCCTCTTTTTGTGGCCCAGTTCGTGATCCCCACTTGAAAAGGCAAAGTCAATACAAAATTTATGAGTGGATGGCATCATTGTATTGGTATATAATACCAATTGGCATTGAGCTAGGGATGAACTCCTCAGTGCTTCAGAACTTCTCCCATCTCATGGCTATAATTGGATTTGCTATGACTATCAAAGCAAGAAGCACTGAAGATTTGACTAATCTCCACCAGCTCATCAAAGTATTCTTAACTGATTTTGAAAGAATCTATGTTGGAATACATCCTGAGAAGATTTCAAGGTTTCAATTATGTATTTTCCAGTTGATCCATGTTCCTGTGCATATTAAGTGGTATGGATCACTTCGCCTTGGCTCTCAAGCTACTGTGGAAAGGACTATTGGAGAAATTGGGCACAAGATCCGTTCCAAAAAAGCACCTTTTGCAAATTTAGCTAATCTCATCTATGAGAAAGAAGTCAAGAAAGCTCTCCTCTCCTACTACCCTGAATTGCAGACTGAGCTAGGAACCAAGAAAATGGCCTTATTTTTTTCCAAGGTTCCAATCAGAAAACGTGAATATAAACCTGGTCAAAGTTTTTTTATTCATATGCAGGCTATCTTGTCCTGGAAGAAAAGTTCCTTTGATCCAAATATGCCAGTCACAAGGTGGGGGAAAATGCATGTGAGCAAAAAAAAATGTCTTGAGCACCCAGATAAGTGAACTACATGGACACCCTCCTTCAAGGTCACATTGTTACTTTGAAGGAAATGATGCAAATTTGGTCCCAATCTTTGGTGAAGCAATTGCATTCTATGAAATTGAAGGACTTGAAGGAAATACACAGCAATTTGTTGTATATCATCCCCTTGTGGATGTTCATTGTACTCTAAATGTGTGGATAGGAAAATGGGCCAAAGATATTAAAGTTCTTCCTATTTCTTCTATAGTTGACATTGTTGGGATTTGGTGTTACAACAGTAGGGTATATGTGCTTCGAAAACATCCAGGGCTTGAGTGGCTGACTGAAGAAGAGCTTGAGAAACAGAAGGAAGGTACACAAGTTGAGGACTAGTAAGTAGAACCATTTGTACAAATGTTGTATTATAAATGTTATTTTGTCACAATTTATGCCATTGCTTTTCCTGAGTGTAAGTTCAAAGTAATGTGCAGCATTGAGACTTAGTGAATTCACATAAGGAGTAGCCTTTGCACCAAAATATGACTATGGTATGACTATACTTGACTGTACAACATTATATGTGACTACGTTTCAGTCTCAATTTCCAAGTTTATTTTGAATGTTGTCAACTCTGTGACTATGTGGGACTATGCTGGACTAGACTTTGACTTTGCGTGACTATGCTATGACTATCTGTGACTACACATGACTCTATGTGACTGAGCGTTTTTACTGAGTGTCACATCCCACACCACACAACATCTACTCATCGTTATTTAACTTCAAAATCTCCTCGAAAACAGCAGATTATGAAGGAACTATATAAGGAATTTGGTGGGGCTGTTTTCAAAAGTGCCATTGTTGTCGATGTTGTATGCCCTGCTGATAAGAAAGACGTGACACAAGTCATGAATCTCTTAAACCGCCAGGGTATCACATCTGGAAACAGTATCAAAGGGTGGCCTCGTGGCAAAAGAGCTAAACAGGAAGTCCCGTATTATGCACCTTTCGCCAGGATTCTCAACACCATCGTTGAGACCTTTGAGTCTTTTGACTCAGAGAATCGGTACTACCGTGGAATACGATTCTACCCATACGCCAAGGTCATGTTAAATGGCACTACAAATTCATTTAAACCCGACATCGTGTCCCTTTTTAGCAAAAAGGAAAGCATTTCGCACAACGTATCTGGGACGAAGTTGTTTTTACCTTTGAGGTGAAGAATGATTGGAAGGAGATGATATTGCAGGTGGGCACGTACGCACGATGCGCCTTTGTCGCTAAAGAAAACCGAATATTTGTCTTGATTTTGCTGTTCAACCACATCGCAGGTGAAGTCCGCTTTTGCTTCTACACACGAGGTGGAGTCATTTGCAGCCCTGCATTTCGATTGACAACGAAGTCTGGTTTCATTCGGTTCGTACGAGGTGTTATCGGTATCATCTCATGGCGCAATCCCCATGTAGCTGGCATTGATCCTACCCGAAGCAATGCATACATTTATCTACCTAACTGGGGTTTGTATGTCATATCAAACGTGATCTGCTTGTGCCAGAGTATACGCGGCCGTGCTACCCATGTATATACTCTGGATGAAGCAAATTCCAGCTCTCCTACTACGACGTCTTCACCACCCAAAGCACATCATTCACATTCTATCGCTGATGCGCGTGTTATCACCTCATCTAGTGGGAGATCTTCCCATCAGCTTCATGGGAGTGTTGGTTCAGATTCTCCAAATACGCGTCGTCAATCAGGTCGAAGACGCTTTCAGGAATCACCAGTCGAACTCGTTAACAATGACTTGAATACTAGTGCGGGTTCAAAGGCTCTATATCATGACATGCAAACTGACAGCAGCGCCTCTGTCTATCGTCGATCAACCCGCATTAGGAATAAGCGGCAGCGCTCTGATTCTCCAGAGGAAACAGGGCTCAGCAAACGTCGGAAGCCGTCTACACGTTCTAAGACCAGCAACCCTAATAGCGACTATCTGGACTGGGCGCTTGTTACACCTATCCGTGACTTCAATGTTGTAATTGACCAACAGTATCGACCCAAGTCTATTGAAACGTTAGATGGGGTAGCTCCTCCCACTTCTTTGGTGATAAAAGATGCATGGCCTCTTCGGACGTACTGTGAAGCTGACGTATTCGGGCCAGTCCAGAACCAAATGGGCATTGTTTCCATCTTCGGGCAGTATACCGTGCGGCATGATGGCGTAGAACAAACCATTGATAAGCTGTTCCCGATGAAAGACTTGCAGCTATGGGATGATTTTCACGAGGCCCCGGAAAATTTGGATGTTCCTATAGATTATTGCCTAGAATCCCGAGTCCACACTCGCATACTCTTCAAGACCAAGGGGAAAGATTTACATTCGGCCCAAGGGCCTCTCCATCTCCTTACAGGCATATTCCATGCAATGATTGGTAAGACGATTTGATACGGAAGTCCAAAGCACAGTTTTGCTGAACTTTGGTAGGACACTACATCCTTTACCTTTCAGGATGGCTGCACCGCGATGTTAGCGACGGCAACATATTACTTTTGCCTGTTCCCGAAATACGTGAACCTCCAAGGGGGTAAGTTAAGTTGAAATATCACCTCAGCCCTGGTTTTAATGGATATCAATCAGTATAAAAACGATAGAATCTCTAGTCAAGTGCTTTGGCGTTATTGCTGATGGTGATCAAGCTGTACGATGGCGTGAGCTACATCGCCGTCTATCCAATACCCGTTCGGTACCTATCATTCAGTTTCCCAAACTATCAATCAGACTGGCTGAGTTTCATTGCCTAGGGCACGCTTCCATATATGTCGACTCGACTCATAGGAGATTGGGCCAAGGGTGAACTTAGCCTGCACACCGTTATTGATGATATGGAATCCTTTTTTTGGGTTTTGCTGTGTGCTATATTAAAAATCGGCCGCACGCAGAATGGGTTAGGACAAGCAGAATCTGCGATACTGGACAGGCTTTTCCAGGAAGGGAAGGATGACAATGATGTGCAAGGATTAGATGGAGCCAAACTTCGTATCATTTATGATCTGGATAGGGAATTACGCCAGACGGACTCGGATGTTCGTGATAGGTATCCCAACCTCTATGTCTTTGCCCCCATTCTATGCAGTATCTTGGCTATCCGCAGCAAAGCCGAAAGCGAGGTTAGTAGTGGTCTGACTCATCTCCGTCGATCCTGCGCCGAAGACGAAACATACACCACGTTCCTTCACGACATTGGAATGAAGTACTACAAACGTTACTTCAAGGTCTTCTCAAAATATCTACCGCAGTTACCGGAGAAATGGAAGGACATTGTTAGCAACTAGCTTTTTTTTTTGTGTTAATGTCTTGCTATCTGGAACAATTTGTACGTGCATTATCATTCAAAAGCAGCCAAATCCTAATTTTTTCATATTGAATATACGTTTTCTGGAGGATCAATTCAGATTTTACAACATTATATATCATGCTTTATCATTCCCATCATTGATTTTCGTCGACAACATCTCAAACTTCTTGTGATCCAATGGCTTCCAACTCTTCTTGAAGATCAAGATACTCTTGGCGCAAGGTCTCCAATTCCTTTTCTAATAATTCTAACAGTCTTTTTTGGCGGTCGCGACGATTGAACTCCCACTTTTCCGGCTTCCTGACTATTCGTACTACGAAGCCGGGTGTCTTGAGGTTGAGCCGGAAGGTAATTTTGCGAATTCACCATTGAAGAGTTATGCGCCGGAGTTGATTTTGATATTTTTAATACTATATTTTACTTCAGTGAGCTAACATGTAACGAATCAACTAGATCTTGAAGTCAAACCTCTTTATAAGCATCATAATTCTGTGACGAACGAAGTTCACTGGGCCAGTTCGCGTAGAAGGATTATGGACTTACAATACCAGTAAGTTCAGAGTCATCGGAATCAGGAATGAACAGAGGAGTAGGTGGTCGCACATAGTCATTTTCCGATTCTTCTTATTCCTTCATCTAGTAAACGTAAAACCTATCATATCAACGCCAACAGTAGCTACCATGGACAGTGCAATGTATATGACTTAATGTCCCCTTATCGTAAACGAAACCATACCCTTAGATTTTTGATGTCGATAATATATGCGGAGTGTCGTTCGACTGAATAGGTGTACCACCTTATAGAATTCAAAAAAAACACTCTCGCTGTATGTATGCATTCAGCGATAACACTCGCCCCAGATTACTATACCCAAGTATTGTTTCATTGGATTTAATGAGAAGAGGACGATACTGGCAAATATAGTACAATAAAGACAAGGCTAAATTTGTAGTCAGTAGATTTAGTGGCAGGATTATATGCAAGATGCAGGAAATTATCAGTGCTGCGAAATAATAAGTCTGAGTTATGATCATATATGATCACTGACACTATAACGCCCTACAATCCATTACATTCATTTGTAACAACTGTTTGTTGCTACAAATAAAAAAGCAGCGCGGCGCAAAGAACACCTGGCTCCGCTGATGGTCGCGGTTATGGCTTATGGCGGACCTCTCGTTGCCATCATTTCCGCAGGCTCAGCAGCCTCAAATCAGTCAGTTTAATATCCTGCAAAGGCCATTTAAGTCGTGCTAACGAAAAGCTATCAGTTCGTGCAAACCAAAGGGATCTCTATCATGTGTCTATACTGAGGGAACAGACGGAAGCTGTTTTTAGGTCATGGTTGGGTCAGTCTCCCTTCCTAGATCGATGTACTAGCAGACTAAACGCTGGCTAGGAACAAGATGGCTGACAAGGTGGGATAAGGAGCTGGAGTTGATGGTGAAACTTGTTTATCATGGTCTTGCAACTGGTCGAGGTAAGTTTCGATCAATAGCCAGGGGTAGTCTGGTTTAAACACTGGCTTTCTAGCTATCCAAACATTGGGAGAAGAGTATACGGATATATGGCAGCACTCGACATACGGGAATATGATTCCCTCGATCCAGTCAAGGGCTGCTCTTGTCCTTCTTCCAACGTTACCTTCCTACCTTCTTGCGCGGGGCGGCTCTTACCTAAGTTCGTTGCCGCCCAGGATAGCGTCGACCATACGTTGGATCCCTCCAACAATAGAGGTTGCGTCTGAGATCAACTTAGCCATATTCTATCTGCGAGGAACGTATTATGACTCGGTAAAACGACTGCTCGGAATTTCATACGTGAGTCATGAGCGTTGTGATAGATGACCTGCTCAGTCAGCTATTATATAGCTATCAACGTTTCCTGAAAATCCTCATGTGCGGCCACCTTCGTACTCCTTACTTGGTATTTTACTTGCAGTCAGACTTATGCATCGTCTCGTTGCCTATATCCGACAACGAAGATCCGCTCAAGCTAAAGAATCAAAAGAAAAACGCCCCCTCGATGATGCACAGGAAGCTTTCATCGATGACCGTCCTGTTTCTTCTATGATACGGCCTGTGGATCCTGACAATGAGCCTGTCGTTCCGGCAGAGCAAGACCAGCATACTGTCATGGACTTTTCTTCGGTATCGACAGAACTGAGAGCTAGTCGGAGCTGTACACTATGCCTAGAAGAACGTACTGACAGCTGTGTCACCGAATGCGGCCACCTTTTCTGTTGGAGTTGTATAGTTGGGTGGGGTAGGGAAAAGGTATGTGGTGCATACTATAGTTGATATACAGTCCACTCAAGGTGTGATTACAGGCCGAGTGCCCGTTGTGCCGACAGTCACTTATTCTTACACGTTTATTGCCTGTGTATAATCTCTGATGATACACGTTATCGACAAATCGCCTCAGGTCGATTCGAGCCCTTGTAAGATCAGTAGTAGGTAACAGAATCGTACATTGTCAAGCACAACATATACCAGTGTGTGCAAGGCGAGATTTTACATCAATAAAACTGAATTTAATCATACCACTTGCTGGATTAGTGTGATATTATCGCCCTTGAGAAGGATGCGACCTGATAGGTCAAAGTTAGGCAATGCAGGTCAGATAACGTGAACTGATTCGTACCAAGTTCTCGCCGAGGTTTTGCGTCTTTAACGTACACTTCTGCTGCTTCATCCATTACCACATTCATGAACTCATCGAATCCCTGATCAATCGAAAAAAGAAATTCGTGAGCTTGAGCTTCAAATCACATGTATAGATGATAGAGAAAAAGAGGGCCCGTGTCCGGATGTGGTGGGCTCACACGCGTAAGAGCGCAAGGAAAGGACGTGTTATGATGCAGTTGCCTTATTTTTTGGCAGAAGAGGCGGGTTTAACGCTCATTGTGTCCAAGCTGAATACAAGAACACGTACAGTTATACGTCCTTCGATCCGCATCTCGACGTTGTCATACAGCCAGATTGAAACTTTTGTCCGCTATGATTATAGTCAGCGAGTAGGAGTTAGGAAGAGGAGACCCTGCAGACCTGTTGAAGGTTTTTGAAAATAACGTTCTGTTTGAAGGATGGCTTTTTAGTACAGTTATAACAAGTCTGAGATAAAGGACGTACGATGGGCTGAACCATCACCCTTTGCTGACGTCCCGACATGATAAGCAATGAAGTGGATTGAAATGCGAGATGACGGTTGAAGATAAGGGATTGAATGGTCTCTCGCTACCAGTGCAGACGATCACTGGCGAATCGCACCAAAGTGCCAGGCCAAAACAGACTACATGCCCTGGGTTAGGGTTTCTGTTCATGTCAGCGTTTCTCACGCGACACCTTTCATCTTCTGCTCTTGGTCGCCAAAGAGCAAGAAAACAACCGACGCGTCCGTCACGGCATACCACCATGGAGGTACGTTGAGATTTCTTTTGCCAGCTCAGCAATGTTCAAAAGCTAATATGAGGGGCTCAAGGCATTCAGTCCCTCCACCTCATCAACCGCGGCTGCGGTCACCTTCATCACCTTTGTACAAGACCTTAAACGCAAGACAAAAACATGGGGTCCAATGATAGAACTTTGCGCCAACGGCGAGAAAACTTTAGAACGTTTCCGATACCAATTCCCAGACGACTGGCTATACAGCGACCAACTCAGAGGAGAATGGAGCGCTTATAATGAAATTCTCAAGCGAAAGAACGATTCCATCCAGGAGCAGCTGGGTACGGGGCTTGCATAAGTCCCAAGTGTACTAAATCAAATTATTTTTTCTTAAAGCTGGATTACAACTCAAGATCGTTGCGGAGGACAAGATTGTGGAGAACAAGATAAACGATATTCTGAGAGAGTGGGAGCAAACTCGTCCTGTGCAAGGCAGTCTGCGCGCTGACACGGCGATGAACACTATCAATGTTTTCGAAGGGAAACTGACGCGTGTACAAGAAGAATACGACCTCGTTTGTAGGGCGAAGGAGGCATTGGACCTTGAACTCACCCGTCACACGCGGTTGGAACCCGTTTTTGAAGAATTGCGAGACCTCAAGGCCGTTTGGACTGCGCTGTCAGGAATATGGAACCAAATTGGGGAACTAAAGGAAATATCGTGGGCTACCGTTCAGCCGAGGAAGCTTAGACAGCAAATTGATGGGCTATTGACCTCAACGAAGGATATGCCTACTAGAATGAGACAGTATGCTGCATTCGAATATGTTCAGGACATTCTTCGCGGCTTGTTGAAGTCTAATTCCGTTATATCGGACTTGAAGTCAGAAGCTTTGAAGGATCGCCACTGGAAGCAACTTTTCAAAGGGTTGAGATTGTCTTCTCAAATCGCTCTTCCCTCGTATGTAATTCTTGTATTTTCGCAACAGGTACCTCCCTCCTGACTTATTTTTAGGATGACTTTAGGACATGTATACGATTTGGATCTCAAGAAAAATGAGGTTGTAATTAGAGAAGTCATCGTGCAGGCACAAGGAGAGGTATTGTATATCAAAAGCTTCTTGATCGCTTTTCTAATCACCTCCTACTCCTAGATGGCTCTCGAGGAATATATCAAGCAAGTTAAAGAAATCTGGACTAACTATACCCTCGACCTTGTTAATTATCAGAATAAATGTCGCCTTATCAGGTACGATAGCAATGTTGAACGAAGATACGACGATTTACTTATTTCTGATTTATAACAGAGGATGGGACGACTTGTTCAATAAGTGCAGCGAAAACTTGAACTCGTTAACCGCAATGAAACTTTCTCCCTACTATAAAGGTGAGTAAATAAGTAGTTGTATTATTTGTACAATACTTATTTCGCGTAATCAATTTAGTTTTTGAGGAAGAGGTATTAATGAAAGCATAATTGTATCATTCCATACTTATTCGTTTACAGGCAGGTTCTTGGGAGGAGAAGCTAAACAGGATTCATGTTCTCTTTGGTGAGTAATGTTTGCATAATCTCACGTATATGGCTTGACGCTTTCGCAGACGTTTGGATCGATGTACAACGTCAATGGGTGTATCTGGAAGGTATCTTCTCGGGTAGCGCCGATATTAAGCATCTACTACCCGTAGAAAGTGCTCGCTTCCAAAACATAAATGCAGAGTTCCTTACAGTGATGAAGAAGGTCTACAAGTCGCCTTTCGTCGTGGACGTCATGAATATTCAGGGAATCCAGAAGAGTCTTGAGCGTCTCGCAGACCTGCTCAACAAGATTCAGAAAGCGTTAGGAGAGTATTTGGAGCGCGAACGTTCTTCTTTCCCTCGATTCTACTTCGTGGGAGACGAAGATCTTCTAGAAATTATTGGTAACAGCAAAGACATCTTACGGATTCTGAAGCATCTCAAGAAAATGTTTGCGGGTATATCGACAATCGCTCTTGACGAGGACTTGACGCAGATACAGGGAATGGCCTCACGAGAGGGCGAAGAAGTCAAATTCAGCCAACCGATCCTTCTTAAGGACTTCCCGAAGATCAATGACTGGCTAGCGAAAGTCGAGTCTATGATGCGATTGTCCTTGGCAGACTTGCTTAGTGATGCTGTGGCCGAACTTCAGTCATTTTATGGCACCGGTTCTTTAGTTATGGATCAGCTTATGGCTTGGATGGAGAAATATCCGGCACAGCTCGTCACCCTAGCCGTCCAAGTTGCCTGGACAGCATCTGTCGAAGAATCCTTGGAGGCTGGCGAATCTCCCGAAGGCTCGCTTGAGACTGTTCGTCAAGCTCTGGATCTTCTCGCCGACATCGTTTTACAGGAACTGAGTCCTGTTACTCGTCGGAAATGCGAGCATCTCATTACAGAGCTTGTGCATCAAAGAGATGTCATCCGCCTTCTGATTCAGCAGCGCGTTACCGATCCCAAGTCGTTCACTTGGCTTTACCAAATGCGCTTTTACCTCGATCGCGCTGTCGAAAGCCCCCTTGATCGATTGGCAATTCGAGTTGCAGACGCTTCTTTCCCTTACGGATGGGAATATCTTGGTGTTCCCGATCGTTTGGTGCAGACTCCTCTAACCGATCGTGTCTACCTTACTTTGACCCAAGCATTGGATAATCAACTTGGAGGGTCGCCTTTCGGACCTGCTGGGACAGGCAAGTAGTCAATGAATTTTCCTAGAGAGCTATTTCATCTGAACGAATATATAGGCAAAACGGAGTCCGTTAAAGCTCTGGGAGTCCAGTTGGGACGATTCGTGTTGGTTTTCTGCTGTGACGAAACGTTCGATTTCCAAGCTATGGGTCGTATCTTTGTCGGGCTCTGTCAGGTTGGTGCTTGGGGATGCTTTGACGAGTTCAATCGACTCGAGGAACGTATCCTTAGTGCCGTTTCACAACAAGTTCAGAGTATTCAGCAAGGTCTTGCTGCACTAGTTAAGAACCCTAATACCGAGATCGAACTAGTCGGTAAGAATCTGAAGATAAACAGGAATATTGGTAAGTTTAACTTACTTATTGTATATTACCCCCGAATAACGCGAAATTTAAGGTATATTCATCACCACTAACCCGAACTATGCTGGTCGGTCGCAACTCCCACCTAACTTGACCAAACTCTTCAGGCCGTAAGTTAGAATTCAATATGCTTGAGGCTTCTGCTGATAATTGGCTCGAAGTATGGCTATGACCAGACCTGATCGGGAGCTGATTGCGCAAGTCATGTTGTTCTCCCAAGGTTTCCGTACCGCCGAGTCTCTTGCATCTAAGATTGTTCCCTTCTTCAATCTATGTGACGAGCAATTGTCACCACAGCCTCACTACGATTTCGGACTTCGTGCTCTGAAAGCTGTGTTGGCTAGTGCTGGTATTCTCAAGCGTGAACGACTACTGAGCGTAAAGAAATCGGAGGAAGACGGCGAAGAGGTGTCGGGACTTTCTGATGCAGTATCCGAGCAAATCATCTTGATTCAAAGTGTCACCGAAACTATCGTACCTAAATTGGTGGCAGACGATGTTCCTCTTCTTACTACGTGCGTAGAGTCTCACAAGAGCATAAGAAGTAAAATTGACTATCGCATATAGCCTTCTCGCAGACGTATTTCCAGGCACCGACTATGTTCCTGTGGATTTGGATGCTCTTCGCGAACAGATTCTCAAAGTTTGTGCAGAGCGTCGTCTTATGGATGGCGAACGATGGATTGCCAAAATCCTTCAGCTGTACCAGATTCAGAAGATCCAACATGGTCTCATGATGGTTGGCTCTTCTGGAAGTGGAAAGACAAACGCATGGCAAGTGCTTCTTGCTGCTCTCGAACGGCTCGATGGTGTCGAAGGTGTCGCCTATGTAATTGACCCTAAAGCAATGCACAAGGATGCCTTGTATGGTACCTTGGATCCAACCACCCGTGAGTGGAATGATGGTTTGTTTACCCATATCTTGCGTAAGATTGTCGACGATGTCCGTGGAGAAAGTGGGAAGAGACATTGGATCATCTTTGATGGTGATGTAGACCCCGAATGGGTAGAGAATCTGAATAGGTGAGGCGTTTTGTGTACTCTGTTGACTCTGTTTCTAACGAGCTTTAAGTGTCCTGGACGATAATAAATTACTGACCCTTCCTAACGGAGAACGTCTAAACCTGCCACCAAATGTTCGGATTATGTTCGAGGTAGAGCACCTTAGATATGCCACTCTTGCCACTGTCAGTCGATGTGGTATGATTTGGTTTAGCGAAGATGTCGTGGAGCCTTCAATGGTGTATCGACACTATCTCGCCACACTTGCCTCAGTGGCATTGGATGCTGATGATGAAGACGCACTAGACATGCCGGGCCGTCGGGTTGATGTACTATCCACCGACACAGCAGGGTCAGCTAACCTCATTACACAAACGCAAGTGGCTTCTATCCTCGAACGCTACTTCGCCGATGGAGATCTCGTCAGCTCTGCTTTATCTTTCGCCGAATCCATCGACCATATCATGGACTTTACCGCAACACGTGCCTTGAATACACTCTTTTCCCTTCTAAACAAGACCGTTCGTAACATCATCGAGTATAACTATCAACATTCTGATTTCCCCCTACCCCCCGAACGAGTTGAACAATATGTAACGAAGCGATTGCTGGTCAGCATCATCTGGGCATTCTCCGGAGATGCAAAACTAGATCTACGCGCAGAAATGGGCGATTTCCTGCGCAAACAAACTGGCATCGACCTTCCGCCATTAGCTGTAGGCAGTTCTCTCATTGACTATGATGTCCAGATTGGGACAGGCGAATGGACAGCTTGGCAGTCTAAGGTCCCCGTCATAGAGATCGAAGCTCACGTTGTCACGGCCGCAGATGTTGTCGTTCCAACGATGGATACTGTGCGCCACGAAGAGGTTCTATATTCCTGGTTGTCGGAACACAAACCGTTGATGCTTTGCGGCCCCCCTGGCTCTGGAAAAACTATGACTCTTTTCAGCGCCCTGCGAAAACTTCCGGATATGGAGGTCGTCGGTCTCAATTTCTCCAGTGCTACTACACCAGAGCTAATCTTGAAGACATTTGAGCAATACTGCGAGTATAGGAAAACACCTAACGGCGTCATTCTTGCACCTGTGCAAATTGGTCGCTGGCTCGTTGTCTTTTGTGATGAGATCAATCTGCCTGCTCAGGACAAGTATGGAACACAAAGAGTCATATCATTCTTACGTCAACTGGTGGAGTGTGGTGGGTATTGGCGTGCAAGCGACATGGCCTGGGTTAAATTGGAGCGCATTCAATTTGTTGGTGCCTGCAACCCTCCAACAGATCCAGGTCGTGTACCTCTTAGCCATCGTTTCCTTCGTCATGCACCACTAGTAATGGTGGACTACCCTGGAGAGATTTCCCTCAAACAGATTTACGGAACATACAATCGCGCACTCCTGAAGGTCGTCCCAACTTTGCGAGCATATTCAGAGCCGCTCACCGATGCCATGGTTGCCTTTTATCTCGCTTCTCAAAAGCGTTTCACCACAGACATACAGGCTCACTATGTCTATAGTCCTCGTGAACTTACTCGTTGGGTACGCGGTATATATGAAGCCATCCGACCTCTAGAAATGTTGTCCGTGGAAGGTCTTGTGCGTGTCTGGGCGCATGAAGCGTTACGCCTTTTCCAAGACCGTCTTGTGACGGAAGAAGAAAAGCATTGGACTGATGAGCATATCGACAATGCTGCTTTAGAACACTTCCCCACCATTAATCGAGACGAAGCGTTAACACGTCCTATCCTCTTCTCTAACTGGACTTCCAAGAACTATATTCCTGTGCAGAGAGAGGAATTGCGTGAGTACACCAAAGCACGACTCAAAATCTTCTACGAAGAAGAGCTTGATGTCCCTCTCGTCTTGTTCAACGATGTGTTGGACCATGTCTTACGAATTGATCGTGTGTTCCGTCAAGTACAAGGTCACTTGCTTCTCATCGGTGTTAGTGGTAGCGGCAAGGTAAGGTTTAGACGATGACACCTCACTCTATTCGCTAATCGTCCTTCAGACCACTCTTTCACGGTTCGTAGCTTGGCTGAACGGGCTGAGCATCTTCCAGATTAAGGTTTCAAACAAGTACACCGGTGATGACTTCGATGACGATTTGCGCACGGTGCTTCGTCGTTCTGGTTGCAAGGGAGAGAAGATATGCTTCATCATGGATGAGTCAAATGTGCTCGATTCCGGTTTCTTAGAGCGTATGAACACCCTGTTGGCCAATGCTGAGGTTCCGGGTTTGTTTGAGGGAGATGAACACGCGGCATTAATGACTGCTTGCAAGGAAGGATCTCAGAGAGACGGTCTTATGTTGGACTCGCACGAGGAGCTGTACCGATGGTTTACACAACAAGTTGCGAAGAATCTTCACGTTGTCTTCACCATGAACCCTCCCGAGAATGGTTTGGCGTCCCGAGCGGCCACATCTCCAGCGTTGTTCAATCGTTGTGTCCTTGACTGGTTTGGTGACTGGTCTGACCAAGCTTTCTATCAAGTCGGAATGGAGTTCACTCACACTCTTGATCTCGATCTACCGTCATATTCTCCTCCTGCTCACTTCCCTATCGCTTATAGGGAACTGTCAATGCCTCCCGTGCATCGTACAGCTGTAGTCAATGGGCTTGTCTACGTGCACTCATCATTGCATCAAATTAACCAGCGTCTGAGCCGTCGGCAAGGTCGCTATAATTACGTGACTCCTCGTCACTACTTGGACTTGTGAGTGTTTGGTGCTTTGCTATAGGAATTACTTACTTATCATTGATTCAGCATCAATCATTATGTGAGGCTCTACAACGAAAAACGTGACGAGTTGGAAGAGCAGCAACGCCACTTGCACGTCGGTCTCGATAAACTTAAAGATACAGTGACACAAGTGGAGGAGTTAAGAAAGAGTCTAGCAATAAAACGTTCACAGCTCGAGGCGAAAGATGCTGAAGCAAACGAGAAGTTGAAGCGTATGGTTGCCGACCAGCAAGAAGCCGAGCAGAAAAAAGCTGCCTCCATCGAGATCCAGGCCGCACTCGTTGAACAGGACAATCATATCGCTCAGCGACGAGCAGTTGTCATGGCTGACCTCGCAGATGCCGAACCGGCCGTTCTTGACGCCCAAGCAGCCGTCAGTAGCATTAAGAGACAACATCTGCAAGAAGTTCGTACCATGGCCAATCCTCCTGAAGCCGTAAAACTTGCAATGGAATCTGTTTGCACTATCTTGGGCCACAAGATTGACAGCTGGCGCACTGTCCAAGGTATCATCCGTCGAGATGATTTCATTCAGAGGATCGTCAACTTCGATACAAACAACCAAATGACCAAACCTCTACGCGATTTGATGAAGAGGGATTTCGTTAGCAGACCGTCTTACAATTTCGAAACCGTTCAACGTGCCAGTAAAGCTTGTGGCCCACTCGTTAAATGGGTACTTGCACAAGTACGCTTTTCCGAGATCCTGGATAAGGTTGAGCCGCTTCGCAATGAAGTCCAATCTCTCGAGACGCAAGCCGAAACTACCAAGAAGCAGGCTGCGCAGATAATTACCATGATTTCAGAGTTAGAGGCCAAGATTGGGAAATATAAAGAGGAGTATGCGCTATTGATCAGTGAGACCCAGGCTATCAAATCCGAGATGGAACGTGTGCAGAGTAAAGTGGACAGAAGTATGAAGCTGTTGGAGAGTCTGTCATCCGAAAAAGGTCGATGGGAATCTGGAAGTCGTACTTTCGATGCCGAAATGAGTACCATCGTTGGCGATGTTTTGCTTTCTGCCGCATTCCTGGCGTATGGCGGTTTCTTCGATCAGCATTATCGAGAGGTCATGTGGCAAGAGTGGTCCAACCATCTTTCAGAGGCCAATATCACATTCAAGCCAGAGCTATCTCTTGTCGAATATCTCTCATCGGCGGACGACCGATTAAGCTGGCAGTCCAAGTCGCTTCCCTCCGACAACCTCACTACCGAAAATGCTATAATGCTCAAACGGTTCAATCGTTATCCATTGATTATTGATCCTACTGGCCAAGCCACGACATTCTTACTGAACGAGTACAAAGAACGCAAGATAACAGTCACAAGCTTCCTGGACGAAGCCTTCCTCAAAGTCCTAGAGAGCGCGCTGCGGTTTGGTAACCCACTGCTTATTCAAGATGTTGAACATCTTGATCCTATCCTGAATGCTGTCTTAAATAAAGAGATCCGGAGGACTGGTGGACGTGTCTTGATTCGTCTTGGTAGTCAAGATATCGACTTTTCGCCATCATTCACCATGTTCTTATCCACGCGAGACCCATCTGTCGAATTCTCTCCCGACATTTGCAGTCGAGTAACGTTTGTTAACTTCACAATGACTAGAAGCAGTTTACAAAGTCAATCACTGGATCAAGTGCTGAAAGTGGAGCGGCCCGACACCGAACGGAAGCGCACAGATCTCATGAAAGTTCAGGGCGAATTCCGTTTGCGTCTTCGTACACTGGAGAAACTCTTGTTGCAAGCTTTAAATGAATCAACAGGCAATATTCTTGACGATGACAAGGTTATTGGAACACTAGAAACACTCAAGAGAGAAGCTGCCGAGATCACTCATAAAGTAGAGGAAACCGATGTTATCATGAAGGAAGTGGAACAGGTCACGTCTGAATACCTACCGCTGGCGCAAGCCTGCAGCTCTATCTTCTTCATTTTGGAACAGCTCAACCTGGTCAATCATTTCTATCAATTTTCCTTGCGCTTCTTCCTGGATATCTTTGATTATGTCCTTCATCACAATCCCAACCTCAAGAATGTATCTGATCACCATCGTCGTCGCGAAATTTTGCTTAGTGACCTTTTCCTGATTGTCTACAAGCGGACATCAAGAGCGTTGTTTTACCGTGATCACCTCATGCTCGCTGTGTTGTTGGCACAGGTCAAATTGCGTAGCATAGAGGAAATCGGCGATGAACTTGAATTCCTTCTTGAAAGCGGACAGGGTATTGTTACAGCTCCGGGTGCTGCAGAAGCAACAACTTCCCCAATATTGACAGCTGATCAAAACCTTCGCCTTGAAAATTACGCCAAGCAAGCACTCTTCAGGCCTGTTCTAACCCATATTACAGAACGCGAAAATGACTGGGTGCCATTCTTGGAGTCGAGTAATCCGGAGTCAAACGTGCCTATGCCTTGCGAGCCTAGCACACGTGAGTATCCATTCATTTAGTATATATTTAACAAGGTACTCACATGAATAACAGCTGCCGTCGAAGCCATCCGCGCTATGTTGATTATAAAGTGTTTGCGTCCTGATCGTCTTCTACAATCAACTGCCTCGTTTGTCAGGACAGTATTTGAATCTGACCTATCTGCCCAATCTGGATTCGATCTCGGAGCTATGGTTGCCGACGAGGTACCCCCTGCTACCCCTCTGGCTCTGATATCTGTTCCAGGTTATGATGCCAGCTACCGTGTTGAACTCCTTATTCAAAACACTGGAGCTCGTTCCTCCTCTGTCGCCATGGGCTCTCAGGAAGGCTTTACATTAGCCGATCAGGCCATCGCTGCAGCCTCTCGGCAAGGAAGCTGGGTGCTACTTAAGAACGTACACTTAGCACCAACATGGCTAGGTCAATTGGAGAAGAAATTGCAGACCCTCAACCCTCATCGTAATTTCCGCCTCTTTTTGACTATGGAAGCCAATCCTTCGATTCCTGTTAATATTTTGCGGCAGTCGCGTATCATTATGAACGAACCCCCTCCTGGTATCAAGGCCAATCTTCTAGACTCACTTCGTAGTATTTCTTCAAATCGTCTTGCCCAAGGACCTGCCGAGAAAGTTCGTTTATACTTCCTGCTTGCATGGTTCCACGCTGTGGTACAGGAACGTCTCCGCTATGTCCCATTAGGATGGAGCAAGCCATACGATTTCAATGATTCTGATATGGCTTCCGCTTTTGGCACCATAGACACTTGGTTGAACGCAATCGCCAAAGGACGAGCAAACGTTGACCCAGCCATTATTCCGTGGGACGCACTCAGAACATTGATCAAACAGTCTGTCTACGGTGGCAGGGTTGATAGCGACTTCGACCAGCGCATTTTGGATACCTTCGTTGACGGCCTGTTTACTCCTACGGCGTACAATGTGGACTTCAATCTTGTGCCTAACGTTAATGGTTCTCAACTTCTCGAAGCACCAGATGGCACTAAATTGGAGCACTTCATGACTTGGGTTCAGAGATTGCCTGATCGTGAGCCTCCTTCATGGCTCAGCCTTCCTCCTACTGCGGAGCGCGTCATTGCTGTTGCTCAAGGTAAGACCCACATAAATTTCTACCAACGTCATTGTACTAAGGATTATTCATAGGTAACGAGTTATTGGGCAAATTGCGTAAGATGCGAATGTTAGCAGATGACGACGACGAAGTGACGGCTGCTGCTGGTCCCTCGAAAGGACAAGCTTCGCAGCAGCCAGCTTGGATGAGAGCACTTCACGACCGCTGCCGCGAGTGGTCCTCGCAGCTTCCTGCCGTAAGTTAAACAGTGTTTTCTTGCCATACCTCCATTGAGCGATGCTACAGACGTTCAACACTCTACCAAAACAATCGAACGACAACCCAGACCCACTGTATCGTCTCTTTTTCCGCGAGGGCAGCATCGGGCGCAAGCTTCTGGATCAAGTCAGGAAGGATCTGGCTGACGTGATCAAAGTATGCGAAGGCGTGTTGAAGCAAACTAATCATCTTCGAACGCTTATGAGTTCTCTAACCAAAGGTAATTTCACCCTTGCTTACCTTTCCAACGTTGCTGAATCCTTTTTCAGGTACCATACCTTCACATTGGCGGCGATACAAAGTCCCTAAACAAATGTCTGTTTCCGAGTGGATTCCCGATCTCGCAAGGCGTCTCGCACAATTAGACGGGATTACCAGCATGGATAATAGTCTTTCACACGTGGAGGTGTGGCTTGGTGGTTTGTTCTTCCCCGAGGCGTATGTGACTGCCACACGCCAAGCAGTCGCACATCGTAAGCGGTGGAGCCTGGAGACGCTGAACTTAAGACTGGACATTGGACGAGTGAATGATCCTGGCGCATTCATCGTTGATGGTATATACTGATAACCATTGATCTCCTTTATTCATGCTGACCATCTTTTCTATCTATAGGTCTTGTATTGGAAGGTGCTGCTTGGGCCACAGATAATCTCGTCCTGAACGATGGCGAGTCCGTTAGACTAAATCCCTCGCAAATACGATGGATACAAGAAGATGAGTCATCTAAAGAAGAAGAGCGCAGGAATATGGTGACCCTACCGGTATACCTGAATAGCGACCGAAGCGACGTGCTGTTTACAGTTGACTTACCATTTGATGAGAACGCGGGGGCGCTAGTGGCAATGAGAGCCGTATGTCTTAGCGCAGGGGGCTGAAAGATAGAATAGTTCGAGGTGATTTGATGTTCGCTCTTTCACATACCCATACCATTATACCTACTTTTGCATGCATTCATGATATAATCGGACAGATTACGACCTTTCACGAGTACAAGATTTTTAGTTCACACACAATACATCATCGCTTTATTTTATGACCTTTTTCATGCTCAATCCCCAGACACACGAATCCGCGGTCTTGTGCTCTAAGAATACACAACTTTACTTCCCTCAGCAATCTCTAACACCTTCCAGTCCACTTCGATGCCCTCTGTCCTGAAAATATCACGTGCGGCTTCAGCAATTTTTTCGAAGTTGTGTGTAGCGAGAGCAAGGATAGTAGGACCTGCGCCAGAAAGGCATATGCCGAGGAGGCCCGGATGTGAGGACGGGGTGAGGAGAGAGGTGACAGCAGGAAGACCAGGTATCTGCAGAGACGAGAAGTTGGTTTGATATATGAGTAAACTGTAGCGAGAATGGGGAACGTACAAGAAGTTTCCGGTATGGCTGGTGAACACGATCTTTCATTGCCTCATATATAAGTTCGGGATCAGGAGGTGATTGGCCCAAAGCTGTCGTCAGTACTGCAAGACGCTGCATGTTGAAGACCTATCAAGGTGCGCGATTTTATTGTCAGAGGCGTTATATGAGGGTATGCGAAGAAGAAAACATCCATCCCGAGTTTGAGCTACTCACGAGATCTTTCCTTGTGTATGATTCTGGAAGCACTTCCCGGGCTTTTGCCGTGCTAAGCTCAAACCGAGGGATGATGGCGACAGCCTTGATGCTATCCGACCAGTTGAAACGCACGTAATGCCCGATTCCGTTTGGCGGGACAGGCGGGGAGAGACCCCAGTCTGCACCTGCATCGGGGGGATATTCAGGCAGAACCTCACTCAGCGGAACCTGCGCTGCCTCCGTCGCAACAGGATCGAGTTCGCGAAGATAAGAGCCCACAAAGCCGCCAACGAGTGCAGCCGTGACGTTGTCGGGATGGCGCTCGACCATGAGCGCGAAATCGAGCATGCGCTCGTGGGAGAGACGAAGGCTTCCGAGGGCGTCTGCGAGAAGGACGCCTGCGATGACGGCGGCACCGGAAGATCCTAGGCCGCGGCCGAATGGGATCTCGTTGTCGACGTGGATGTGGGTTAGGGAGGGGGGGAAGAAGGGGTGATCGTGGCAACGGAGGACGTATAGGGCGACGCGAGTGGTGAGGTTCTTGTAAGGGTCGAGTGGAACCTCGGATGCCCCCTCGCCAGAGTAAGTGAGTACTGGAGGCGGGGGACGACCGGATGTGGGTGATGAGGATTTCTCCGCGTCGAGTGTGACGTGGAGGGTGAGATGGAGGGAGAGGGAGAGGCCGACGACATCAAAACCTGGGCCGATATTGGCAGAGGTCGCGGGGACACGGACGATGAAGGAGGGAGTGGTAACGTTCGGGGTAGACATATAGGTATGCACTTGTTTCAATTTAAAGGATTAGATACGAGACCTAGGCTCAGTGTAGGGATCAATATATACATCAACTCTGGTTTAAAACCGACGACTTACAGATGTACTACTAGTACACTTTTCTACACGCTATCTTTTCCTAGAGGAAACCAAAAGACCTTCTATCTGTGTATTAGCCACTTAGATGCATGGCGGACCTCTAGGACTATACGAGGCTCACCGATACTTTGATTGCCAGGAAGATAAGATCAAATGTCAACCGAGCTTGCAACCGATCATTTTTTCTGACTCTAAACGTTATAAACGCGTCGTCCATATCCGGAAATTTATTTGTTTGGTCCAGAAGGTGTTGCACAACAAACGCCGCCATGCACGAGTTTTCACTTCTCGCGATTTGACTAGATGTTTAGCGAGAGTGAGATTGTGCAGGCAGTATTAATCAAGCCAAGAAATAAACACCAGAAATACAGAATTGTCATTAATCCGGTAATGAGAATATGCCTTTGTAATACATTGATGCTAGTACTGTAGTAGTACCATATATGCATGAGACCCAGTAGAGTAGTAATTTCGTCGCTGAAAATGAAAATATGAAATCGAATGGTAAATGCGAGTCATGCGAGCGTGATCTACACGTGTATGAGAATGTATGCTCTAGTCGATCGTAAATCAAGAAAATGCTGCCTATGAGGAGGCGACAGCCTTGGTAGTACCGTTGGTCTTGGTACCAGATGCAACGACAGTGAACTAAGAAAAATAATCGTCAGATGGAATTGGGTACACGGAAACAGGAAACCAACTCACGTAAACAGCGTCATCGAGAGAGCCGTGCTGGGCAACAGCCACAAGCGCGGGTTGGTGGTTCATTGCAGTGTTAATCGTGGACATCTTGTAAGCACCCTCTGGCAGTCCACCGGTAACATTAGCGTATAGTTGACCCTTGCTGTCTGCCTTGCTGTTTAAGCCCAAGAAGAATGCAAACTTGGTTGGGTTGGTGGGTGTCGTCTGCTGGATCGAGCTGAGAGCTTCGATGACAATGTGGGAGTGACCCTTGATCTGGCCGTTGGAGTCAAGCTGCTGGGGAGCGGCGAAGTAGTTGGAGTCAGCGTTCGTGAAGAAGCCGGTCGAGATCCCACTAATGGCGAGGGAAACGGTGAAACTAGTGTTTGCGGGGATCGTGTCCATGTTCACAGGGGAGACGAATTTAGCAGAGGGCATGTTAGCGGTGGAAGGGATGGATCCCATGGTGGCAGGGTTGCATGATCCGCCCTTGATCTGTTGTCCGTTGGTGAGGGGTTGGTCGGGAACCGTGGCACAAAAGTTGATGAAGTTGTTGGTAGACGTGAGGGAGGCGACTTCGCCGGATTCTGAGGTGTTCAAGCCTTGACCGTTCTGAGCAAAGCCTTTGGCGATGACGGAGGAGAGCAGTGTGAGGGAGCTTTGTCCGTTGCCACTCGACCCGCTGGTACTAGTGGGACTCGCAGCAGAAACTGACGTAGCGGTGCTGGTACTGACACTAGTGGTAGAACCAGTTGTGCCAGAAGAGCCACTGGTGGCACCTGTAGCAGCGATACGAGAGTCGACATCGGACTGAGTAGTACACGCAATGCTTGTACCCGCACTATTAACGAGAGGAAGTGCAGCACAGCTGTATGAAGGAGATGTTAACATTGAAGAGTAAACAAAGTCGAGATGTAGACCTACATCAAACTGGAGGAGCAAGCAGTAAGAACAAACTTGCCACTAACACACTGAGCAAATTCGTTGTTTACACACGCGTTTTCCCCCGCCGTACAGGAGGAAGAAGTAGTCAACGACTTGAATTGATTGCTAGGATCAAAGATGAGAAACGACCAAGTAAGATGAAAAAGAAAACATACTTTTGGTTGATGGCATCAACACCATTCTGGAGAAGAAAACCAGAACTGCTTGCACGGCGCGTAGGGATTGCATTTACAAACATGGGAGCGAAAGCGAAAGCGGCGAGAGTGAAGAACTTCATTCTGGAGAGTATTTAGAACTTTGTGCGTTATGGGAGTTTGGATTAGATCGGTGGAGCGAACGTTGTCGTGAGTCTATAAAAGACGAGAGAGACTTAGTGAGTGGTAGTCGATGGATAATCGTGTGGAGTGAAGAGAGTGAAGACAAGACACCAGGTCTGGTAGGGATGAAGACTGAAGAGTGAATGGACGCAATGAGCGGGTGGTAACGAAGACGAACCGTCTTTTATACTCCATCGCGATATTTGTGCATTGTGTGGAGGTTCACTTTGGATCCGATGTGGAAACGCAGGGACAGAATAAGGGTGGACTTGTTACCTAAACAATGGACAAGCTGACCATAATGGGTGCCGTTGTTCAAAGTGCGGTTCCGCCTCGACAATAATGGGAAGTGACACATGGCTGGTTGTGCAAAAGCCAAATTTGCTGCACCTGGGAATGCACGGGAAGACATCACCTTGCACTCGTTGTCTGCTGTCTTTTTGCGTGTTCGGCGAGAGGAATGAAAGCGTTGCTTGTTATTGTTCGTCCTATTGTTTGTCTTTTGTTCAATCATCCTTGCTATATTTGGACCTGCCGAATGCTCCCGGTCCGACCACCTTGAGTCGCCGCTTATCTTATCTTATCTACCCACTTTGTCTTTGTCACAACCGAGTGGCTGCAACGGTTGGATCTTCAACACTCCAAGTCCCAGTCAAATTCACAAAATGGACCGCAAAATACTCACATTTCATGCAGTGAGGGTCGCATTCCCCGTCGTTTATTTTGCACCGCTGATTTTCCAGCCGATGCCTCTAGATCTTGTTTGACATGGACGGGTGAGCAAGTCAACCGTTTAGGTCAAAACTGTGTTGTGCACCAACGAGTTGACGTTTACCGTTACAGGACGCTAATAGATTCAACTCCCGGAGTTATGAAAGCCTGGGATACTTTTGCAAAAGATTATTCCCTCAATGCATCTCAAGTTGCCCACGCATCACATGGCAGACGGCTTTATGACACTCTCAAAGAGTTTTGTCGGATCGACGATGAAGATAGGCTGCTAGTAAGACTCGGTTTTTCCATGGACATGAGCTTTTCAACTAACTTGACCCGAAGGCCGAAATCGTAAGGTTCGAACGGGAGGTGATCGATGGGGGGCCGATAGTACTCCCTGGCGTACAAAATCTCATTGCACAGGTAAGCTCCCTTACTCCCACCCGCCAAAGTCATTCCCTAATTCATTCAATACTTTTCAGCTCAGACATGAAACCACGTATGGCTGGACAATTGTCACATCCGGTTAATATTTTTTTCCCTATACGGTGACATAACCACCAGCCTTGTGTGCCCTCTTTAACATCAATCAACTCGCAGCTACGAATGTATATACCCCCGCTGCCCTCGCACGTTGTGCCATTCCACTGCCGGAAGTAGGATATGTCACATCTAACGATGTTGCCCGCGGAAAACCTCACCCAGACCCATATCTTGCTGGGGCACAGCGATGTGGTGTAGATCCGACCAAATGTATGTGGGCAGTCATGCGGACGGAACATGTAAATCACTGGCTTGATGGTTCTTCCTAGGTCTCGTCGTAGAAGATGCACCCTCAGGCCTGTTAGCAGGACATGCAGCCGGTGCACGTACACTCGCAGTATGCACCTCCCACACTCGAGAGGTGATCCTAGCCTCTGGAGCAAATCCGGATTATATAGTCAAGGATCTAACGAGGTGCGTGCATGTTCGCTTTTTTTTTGCGTGGATTTCGGATAGGTTGTGAGAGCCTGCTTGGGGTTGTGCTTGGGATGGAAGCCGTCGGCGCTCGGATGGACTTGAATGCCCGAATTTGCCGGACATGCTGCTGAAACCTCGAGGCAGTCGACTGAATAGGTTCTGTTCCCAGAGTAACGGCGCGGTGGGTGGATGGAAAAGTAGAGATTTCCATTGACGAGTCAGACGAATGAGAACCAGTATAAGGGCCTCGGAACCTTAAGCGGAGTCGTTGGGCTTTGGGATGGTTAGGGGGTTCTAAGTGGAAAGTAGACGTCGAAGAACGGAGGGTATACCCTTGACCCCTAGATCATTTTTAGGCTTTATCCCAAATCGTATATCCAGTGGGTTCAAGATAAGAACACGACCAATCGAACGGCGATGTGTATCGGTATTGGTACACAGGAGAAGAAGAAACGACCTGAGTGCGTAATGCGTTAAAAAGTCAACCAGTGCGAATGCGAGTGCTCACTATGACACGAAAACACACATGCGAGCTAAGATGAGCAGATCTACCAGATACGCTGCAATCGGTAAGTTTAACGATTTCGACATCCCAAGGTCCGGTTCCTTCGCACTCGGCGGTAATAACCTCATGACCAGGCCCAATGTTAGAGCAACCCAGAACAGCAGGTGGAGATGGGATACGCCACGATATCAGGATATTCCACTAAATCAAGCCTGCTAAGTATGCCATCTGCGGGAAAACGTTCGGAGCATGAAGAGATCATTGCCGGCGCCTCAAGCCTTAAGAGTTCAAGGCTGGATCGCAAAGATCCGGGTAATTCCACTTCGGGTATGATGAACACGTGAACACGAGCTCGTATCAAGGTTGCTCTATTCGATTTTTCTCTGAACTACACAACATATGGTGAAGGTCAAGATTCACTGAAGAATGTGTGTTTCAATTGTGCACATACATACTCTGCATCAAGGTTGATTCGGTACGCCGCATCAGTGATTGAGGCTGTGAAACTTTGAATGATATCTCCTTGAACACACAATTTTCGAGCGTTGTGCCGCTTGTGCGTAGGCCAGGAATCAAGAGATAGATTTCACAGAAAAGTTCTCAAGTGGTGGTACCGATCAAACCGCCATCGCTTGAGAAAGGATGAGTATTTGAAGCTCCGTGAAGCTTTGGGAGTGCCAAGGAAACATATTCCGTTACCGCGGCAGGAATGCGAGCAAAGTGAGGCGAGGCTTCGGTTTTCCATGGAATACATGCTTGGAATCATCTCTCCTTGTCGCACAACCAGAACAGAGCGGATGTCACGGATGTACGTTTCGCCCTGAAAGGTACTGATGGACTCGTTACTTTTACGGAACACAGCACCTAACTATACGCCGGCCTTTGCGCACTCTGCCAGCATCACGCCAAACACTCTACCTCCTTGCTATAAATACGGTCCCATCCATCGCCTGCAGTCAGAATCTGCCAATGCCTCATATCCATACCACCTCACACTCCAGCCCTCCCGGTGTAACCACCCAAATGCACCCATCTCGCTCTGCTCCAACGCCTTCCACATCACAAACACAGAGTAGTACTGGCCCTCAACCGGAAATCTCATGGCGAGCAGGCATATCATCTCTTCATCCACAAGTGTCAGCACCTCCAAATGTGCAAAATGCTCAGCCGTGTAATAGTCATCAATGGCGGATTTTAGGCAGACATCCTGATTCATGTGTCCTTTCACCACCGGGATGGAGACACCCAGGAGTCGCTACGGCTGCTGCACCCCCATCGAACCCAGCTATTCCTCACCCACCATCTCAGATTGCACCTGCACCGCAGAGCTCGCTTTACCCGTACCCATTAACGTCACAGTTCCATCCTCCGAACCCTGCACATCCTCCCTACCATGTCGCCTCCAGAGTTGCACATTTTGCGACGAATCCATTTATTCCCCCGCCCCCTCCTTTCGGCGTGACATCGTCGTTTTGTGGTTCACATGCTGGATTTTTTTCGGTCCCCCCACCAGTGTATACCAATGTGGCTGGGATAACACCTGGCCCACAACGGTGCTTACACCCAAACCTTCCACCTGGCATTCGCCCCCAGCAGCCAAACGAAGAACCAAGTCAGATCATACCGACCCCAAACCAACCGCCACCTGTAAGTCCTTTTTATTGGCTTTTTTTCTTTCTCGGTTGAGTCTTATTTATTTATTTTTTAAACCTATCAAGGTACCGTCCTCTTCAAACCAAACACAGCGGACGAGACCGCGGTCACCATCCGTCGCTCCGTCGTCGACGTACAAAATAGAAGTTGATTTGGCCCGTGCGTTGTCAGCACAGAAGATACGACGTGCTGAACTTCATGTGGCGCAACTGAAATATCAACGGAGTACGGCAGATGTAGCGCTATGCAGAAAGCATCTGAGGGATGAAATGCAGAAAGAATGGGATAATTCTCCAGACGTGGTCGACGAGACCGACATGAAGGAGGCCGATGACACACCTTCGCCCCGTCCGCACAAACGGGTTAAATTGGAGGATGAAAATGGAAACGAAGTCATGGACGGCGATGACGATAGTGACTCAATGTCTTCTCCGGAAATTTAAAAAAGCGTCACGGATTCTATCTATTTTTTGGGGCTCTTTGTTTCTTCTGATGGTCGGCTCGATCTTGCGGAGATGATACATCACGGAAAGGAATTTAATAAATGTGGTTTGCAAGAATATATCCCTGTGTCATGTATCCACAAATTATACATAAATTGCTCCGACATGGTTGCCTCACGGCATAAAGTATATCTTTCTGACCACTTTTCGTCTACTAGCGCACGTAACAAACTCCTCTTACGTCCAAGAAGTTCAAGTGGACTATCAAACTCAGCCTGAATGAAATGCAATCAGTGAATAGTTAGCTCCCCGGTCACTTACATTTTTTTCGGCGTCAAGAACCATCTAAATGGCTACCAGCTTTCGACATGTTTGAAGGCATTGCAAGCACTCGCAACTTTATCAGCATCAATTATGGTTTTCAAGCGATGAGCAGAGCTTTCCAATGGTTTCTGAGCGGTCGCCTCGGCTTTCTTCTTGCTCTTCCTATATAAGGATAGGTATAAAAGCACCAAGCAGGATGGCATGCAAAATGAGAGTGATTAGTGGAGGCACCAACGAGGTAGGCCGGGATCAGGGTGTTGGTTCATAGACTGAAAAACACATTGCTAGAGCTGAGCTTTTTTTTAGATACAAATTATAGCTCCAGCAAAAACACCTACGCGTCCTTCCTCAAGTTCATCTCCACGAATTGAACGTCTAAAATGACTTGGAGCTGAGACATCGAGCGGTGACGATAAAAGGCCTGCAAGTTTGTGTGATACAACCAAACGAGGATAAAAATGCTGTGGTTGAAGGCTGCAGGTTAAGGACACAATGTTCAGACTAAGATACGGACTGCACGACTGTACTCAGTAGTCGTTCGCAGTCTTTTTGAACTCAGCGGTTCCAGGGGCAATAGCTTGTGTGGCACCCTTAGTTCCCAGGTTACTGTTTATATCCCGCTTATTATGTGCATATGCATGCAGGGTCTGAGGGGTCTTTGCTTTGACATGTTTACTCGGTTGGTGTATTGTGGCGATGTGCTGGGAGGGACATACCGCAGAAAGTTGAAATTGGTGGTGAGCCCAATGCTCCTTGCCCGCTGACCATCATGTCAACATCCGCGACAGAGAGCCCGCCGACACCACGGCCATCAATATCAGACCCTTCATCGCAATCAGGGCCGATACCGCTATTTGAACATCATCTCAAGGTTCTCACAGATTCTTATCTGAGCTTCTTCCAGGAAAGGTACCTGTTTATCCTGTGCACCTACAAAGTTGTTGCTCAATATTATTTCTTCGTTGATGAAGAAAGCGCATAGAAGAGGTTTAGTAAGTATAACCTCATAATGTCCCTTCTAGCAGCGCATAATCGTCGTATCTCATCAGTGTCGATTCACTCCTAAAATTACATCGCAAAGTAAAAGCCATCGACAGTTTTTTGGATGATCGTTACGATCTTAATACAGCGAGAAAAGCATGGAGCGAAGTTAGGGATAATGTCGAAAGAGGTTGGTATTATTCCTTTACTTCGGAAACAAAACTGAGCTTAAGCCAACAGAGGCACAAACAAGACAGGCATTCCTTACTACTTTGACGATTGACATCGTCAACCCTTTGAATTTTCTCAAAGTATGTTCCCTCGATTCTGTTCGCACCATAGCATGAACATATTCCGTCAATAGGAGACGCAAGAACGCACGCGCAAACGTATCAAAGAGGACTTGAAGGAGTCTAGTAATTCGTATAATGAATTCGCTGAAAATACTTTACCAAAGCTTAAACGCACCTATCTGAAGAAATGTCAGGAAGTAGAGGTCAGTTCATAACCTTATGCAAATAACACCTTCCTTACCCTTACCCCTCTCAAAGGATCACAAAGCTACTGTCACTTCCAACACTGCTCCTATTACTTCATCGCATCACCATACGCCATCATATACGCCTTATTTGGAACAAAGCAGTAATGCATTCAGCAATTCCCGGTCTAATCCCAGTCTACCAACTAAACCTGTCGTAACAACACCGCATCCCTTGCGGCCACTCGATCGAAGGCCTTCAGGCAGCATGCCATCAGGCCGTAGCCGTTCTCCGTCAACATCTACAGCATTTTCTGAATTTGCACAGCATGGTAATTTTATTTGTTCTCAAATGCTTTTTATATCTTCATTGTATGCTAGGCAAGAAACAGTTAAACCAATTGATCACATTCCTGGATAAAAGTGGGACGGTCAAAGAAAGCCTCGGGGGTCGCTCAGAAAATACTGCCCTTAGGACTGTTCGGGCAAAGCGAGAAGCAGATGAAGCAGGTAAATTATTTTCATATAGTAATATGACAAACCGAACAAACCGGTCTATTCGTGTAGATAAGGAGTATAGAAAAGGCGTGCACTGGTTGGAGACTTTAAGGCTTCGACGAACAAAGATTCTCGAAGGAGCATACAAGGTGAGCTTGTGCTTCAAGGCATCTGTAATTTCATCTCATTTTACGTCAAGAGCTTAGAAATGTTCGTGCATGACTATTCAACTACGGTAAAGGGCGTGTTGGATCAGTATGTGGATAACATGACGTACGTACCTTTGCTGAAAGTCGGGAAATCGATCAATCATATCACATACCAGTGCTACGACAATGACACAAACCCAACTTTCTTCGCATGCGAGGTCGATGGTAGACAAGATTTCTCCCAAGAAAGACGTTGCCGATGTTGGGTCGATTATACAACGATCGCTAGCTTCTGCCACGCTAAAACCTATACTTTACTACAACTATAACGTTGGTGAATGTAGCGATCTGATTTTTGGGGTAAGTTTAGTGGACTATGCAACTGCTAGGAGTTTAGGGGAGGGCGAAATACCTAAAATTGTTCGAATATGTATCAAAGAAATCGATCAAAGAGGCCTCGAGTCCGAGGGCATTTATAGGGTTGGTTACTTTTTTGCATATAACTCTCAAGGTACTGATGCTGGCATGCAAAGGTGTCTGGACGACATGCTGTCGTACAAGATGTGGGATATAACTCCTTCATATGTTTTTACATGCTCTTTAACATATCAAATTTTTTTAGCTTCAGCGCAAAATAGAGCGGAGCGAAGTTGCTTTCCAATTCAATCCCCTGACTGACGACGTCTACGCTGTATCGTCAATACTGAAGGTTTGAATGTTATCAATCAAAAATCTGTGTCACCGTGTAACGTTTTCTTCTAGATGTACTTGCGTGAATTACCAGAACCAGTCTTCAGGTTCCCCTTACAGGACCGTATGGAATATTCTGAAGACCGCAGTAAGCCAATTCGTATCACGAATCGAGCACCTCAATCTAACTCTTACTTTCAGCAGATCACCAGTTCAATAACTTCGCTGTGCTGCGATCTAAGATTAGGAGGTTACCCCATGTTCATCGAGCAACATTGAAGGCTATTGTGGAGCACCTTGGCCGAGTCGCGGCTATGTCAGAAAAAAATAAGATGGACCCAAAGAATCTTGCAATTATATTTGGAGGTGTAATTTTTGGTGAAGACGAATTACCCAAAGGAGGAGATCTTCTTAGTGTACAATCGTGGAAGGTCACTTACATAGCTTTTATGTTTGTCCCGCAACTCACTTGCTTCATTCAGGATTCGTCGATGGAGGATCTGATTATTAACGCTGGCACTCTTTTTGACGAACATCCTACAAGTAGCTCTCCACCGTTACCTGCGGCACCTATAGGAGAGCCGACCCCTACATACACGTACGGTTCATCTCACACGAAAGTCGCTAGTGTCGCGCCTCGATCACAGTCCCCGCGGAACCCTGAGGACTTTACACCTCGACTGCCCATGCGACCTACGAGTAGTATTCACCCATCCTTACGTGCCAATCCAATATCTCCGACACGAGCTACTATGGATATACCCGCCTTGCCGCCTAGGCCAGCCCGTTCACAAGACAATGATGTAGCATCGACATCTTCTCAAGCATCAACAACATCTACGCTAGTCACCAACGCGGAGAATACGCAACATGGTCCGTCTGTCGCACAGTCCACTCCTCCACAGTCACCTCCTACTCCTAAGTCGGCTGCCACCACCTTATCTGACTCGACGAGTGATTCTTCAGCAGAGTAAGGAGCTGTGAGACATATATACGTATATTCGTTTCCTCTGTTATGACACATGGGTGGACCATAACGTGGAACTATGGTGACTTACGGTTGTAAATGAGTACTGTTCTCTCTTGGTCTTTGTATAGGTATTACGTATTCTGTTACCCTCATCCCAACCGCGAATCACTTCCATTCTTTAAGGGTACCACTAGTCTCAGTGAAGTTTAATGAGCCATGTATATAAATTATTTTAGTTGAGTGATGCTATCGTTGAGCTCCGACAGAGAGTGATACCGGTCGATAGCTTCTTCCGTGTCCATCTCCTCCTCTTGAACTTTTCTAGCTTCAGCTTGTTTTTGGCAGGCGACCTGCCAGGCAACAACTCTTGGATGCGCCGTGACTCTGCAGGATGTACATTAATTAGCACATTGAATGTATCCATGCCTCGGATTCACCTTCCAGGATCAAAGTTGACTATTTCAAGACCTTCCATGGTCGTAGCACGGGAAAGAGCAACATAAGCTTGAAGTTTTTGAGTGCTGTCCACTCTCTTAACATATAATAAGACCCTCACCTTGTCCCTTCTCGAATATGCGTCTAAGGTTCACTTTCACTCGACTTAGAGTTTGACCCTGGGATTTATGGATCGACATCGCCCATGCTAGGGCTAGAGGGACTTGCGTACGTTGTGCTTCAACGTTCCCTGGGATGCCCTGGACACTGAAATCCAAAGGGGCACAAAGAAGCAGCGCATCATTCGTGAAACGAACCAGAGGAAATAGTTGCTTTGTGGAAAAAACTACTTCATCCAGAGCTATTAGACTTTTAGTACCTTCAACTTCCGACGCCGCTGGGGGTAGAATCGGCAGAGATTCATCAGACCCTTTGGGTTGCGCAACTTCGATGAACCGCTTGCGTGCTTCATGTGCAGTGATAAATTCGAGCACTTTTCCGACAGATCCATTTACCAGTCTTCCTTCGGCTATATTCTGGAGAAAATGAAAAATAAAAGAGCTAGGATAAATTTCTCCGACCTACTCGTAAAAGCATGACCTGAGCCCCGACCTGGTCACTAACGATCAGTCCGAACCGGATTGATCTTCATAATATCCTACCTTCAATGTAATCTCTCTGGGAACCACAAGTCGGTCCAGGAGCTGATCGGCTATTTGTGGGCTTATTCTTTGCTTGTGTATGTCGTATCCTCGGCTATCCATGGCTATGAATGTATGAGAAGCCCCCGGGAGTTGATCAAGATGGTCACTATTACAGCGTTCAACTTCCCTCTTCAAAGGAAACCTTTCTTCGAATTATTGAGTAGGTTCCTTCAGTGACTTATGGGACTTACAGTTCAGTAGGTACAATGCCATCTGTATATACAAGAGGACGTTGGAGCCCGAGAAATTCGTTGATATGCCACTGTTCGAGGTGGGCAGTTCTCATCGCGGAGAGCATACCGATAAACTCTGGCTATTTTTAGCTCCATATCGCAGATAGTGACTACCTTCGTGCTTACTTTCATTCTTCTGACGAAAGACTTGGGTGAGTATAACAGGTTGTCCAATACATCGCGGCCAAGATTCTGCGTCAAAAGCAAAGGTTGCCGGGAGTACAGTCCTACTATCGTGTTCTGGAACAGGGGGTAACTGGAAAAAATCACCCGACAAGATGAGCTAGAAAAGAACTTCGTTTGAACGTGCCAGAACTTGATATGTTTAGTGAATCTATCTCACTTGTATGCCGCCGAAAGGTCTCGGCGACTCACGTACTAACCGGGCAATAGCTTCCTAAACCAAAATACGATAAGGAGTGTGTCATAGAATTCAAGAAGGCGACATACTAGTTTATCGAAGAGGCGTCCATCGAGCATGGAGACTAGGTGTCACTTCAATGTCTCTTTTAAGTTGCCGGGAAAGATAAGCGACACTACGTACCTTCATCAATGATTAATGCGTGAGTTTCGCGCCATCTTGCTTTAGAACGTTTGGACATATAGGTGACAAGGTCATGGACAGATTCTTTTCCCAAACCAATTCCGGCAAAAGAATGTATGGTTGTGCCTCCAATATTGAGCCCAGCAATACCGGTTGGTGCTGTTATAGCCAGTCCAGGTGCACGCCCACGGAACAAGCTGATTATTTGCCTCAGAAGAACAGATTTACCTGTCCCTGAAAACCTCACACAGTGAATATTTTATCTGAGAGGAAGCTGACGTCCTACCTGCAGGTCCAGTGAAGAATATATTCTGACCACTCTGCACCATATTCAGCACAAGTTTTTGCTCTGGCGAGAATTCAAGTTCAACTTTGGGAATAACCTCAATGGTGATATCCATTGCTGAAGGGACATTGTTGGCGACTAGTAGTGGAGGATTCAGTGTGGGACCAATAGAGATATTTACAACAGTGTGTGGTCGTGATGAATTTCCAGGATTAAAGATATCATTAGTGGTAGATCCAGCGCCGCGGTTAAGTGGTATTGGTCGCCCTGGGTATTCTGTCCACACCAAATTTGAGCTGGGAGAGGGCTCAGGATAACTACGTTCTGGAAGCCAAGAAGGATGCATGCCTGCAGGCCTTGGAAAGTTATGGAGCCATGTTTGAGCCTCAGCTAACGAGTCGAAGCCTTTGGCGCTCGTACCACTGAACCGTCGAGTCTGAGGGATATATGTCATGATTTCATACGAGCTTTGGAATAGAGCGATGCACATACGGCATCTTCATACTGAATAAGAAATGTGCCATTAGCTGATGAAGCAGTCATATTACATGCTGAGGAGCTCCATGAACATGGACAGATTGATGGTCACGCACTTCCTTATAATTGTCATAAATCCGTGACCCCTCCCGCCCAATACGAACTGCATAATATTTTTTGGGGCGACGAACGCTGGGCATAACGATTTGATTTGAAAACCCTGCTTATACAAAAGGAAAACGAGAGATATATCGATATGAACTGGTGAGAGTAGAGTATGCACGTAGCCTGCAGTGGGAAGGCGTGTTTGTAAATTTACGTTATGCATTGGTAGTGGAGATAGTGTAAACTGCATTTGGACCCACATCGCCGAAGACCGCGGCAGCACAGCGACGGAAATTCAAGAAACTTGGTACTATACAATTAATGCGGATATATCTTATGGAAACAAATTCGAATATACTAATTCCAAAACGCGTCTACTGCATCATCTGCGTCCATTTCATCAAAATCGGGGTCCATATCTACTTCGTGGTCCAGATCATCGTGCCAGGCCAAGACCCGGGGGTGCGCCATCACCCTAGATGTCTAGATTGAATAAACTATACGTGCCACCATGACGTGACTTACTTGGAAGGATGGAAGTTCAATACTTCAAGTGATTCCATACTTGTTGCACGAGAAAGAGCAACATAAGCTTGAATAATGAATGTAAGAAATTTGTAAGAGGATATGATTGTATGCATTACCTTGGCCTTTTTCGAACGTACGAGCCAGATCTACTTTGACTCGTTCAAGAGTTTGTCCCTGTGATTTGTGCACGCTCAGAGCCCAAGCGAGGATTAAAGGGATCTATAAGAAGGTTCAAACCCAAAGTCAAGGTTTGGTGCAACGATACTGACCTGCCGTCGCCGAGCCTCTGTCTCTCCATCCGCATTATTGATAGTAAAGTCGACTGGGATGCAAAGGAGAGTTCTGCCACTGGTAAATCGCACCACAGGCCATACGTTATCGCTCGATAAATCGATAAATCTCGGTGCTTCATCCTTCTGTCCTCCTTCTGTTGCAATCTCAGTCTTGGTTTGCATAGCTTCCTTCGATGTGCTGAATCTGACGATCGTGCCCACAGAGCCATTGACAAGCTCGCCTTGTATCATGTTCTACGAAAATCATCGTATCAACCAACAACTATTGTCTGTTTCATAGATATGCACACCTTGATCAACATGACTTGTGCACCAATCTTTCATAGATAAAATTCTATAGTAAATCTTATTGCAAAACTGACATACAAAATAAGCAGACCTTCTGATCAATCACAGGCGGCACTACAAGACGTTCGAGGAGACGGCCCATTTGTTCATGGGATATGGGTCTTCCGTTAGAGTCACGACCCGGACTATCTGCTGCTGGATACCTGATAATTTGATCCGGCAGCTCTCGAAGTCTTTGACTATTTGCTAAGTCAACTTCTTTACGAGTTGGATATCTATAAGGCATCAGATGAGCGTGATTATAGGATAACGTTTAAAGTGACCTACAGTTGCGTTGGACCAATTCCATCAGTGTATTTGACAGGTCGTGATAATTTCCTGAATGCCTCGACAGATTTTGGGTCAAGTTTCCCAAAACGCATCGAATTGAGCATATCAACAAAGGCTAAAAGTAATGCAGGCCATGAGTGATGAGTTAGTGACCACAAGCTAAGGACTTGCCTTGATCTTTTTGTCGGAACACTTTTGTCAATATCACGGGTTGGTTGACACATCGTCTCCAGGTATTGGCTTCAAAAGCAAATCTAGACTGAACAACCATCCCGTTCTTGCGATCCGGTACAGGAGGCAGTTGACAGAAGTCACCAGAAAGTACTAACTATACGTCGCTTCCATCATATGCGAAAGGTGAAATAATGAGTACTGACCTGTATTCCACCAAAAGGTGCTGAATTTCTTCTGACTATGCGGGCAATTTCCTCCTATTATATAGGAGTAGCAATGAGAACATTATTCGTACTGGGTATGAAACATACGCACAAGTTTGTCGAAAAGAACGCCATCCAACATCGAAACTGACATTTTGTATATGGGGTTAATATTCAAACAAGAAGAAACAGGCGCGGTACGAACTTTCATCAATCACTAACGTTTTGACTTGTCGCCATCGATCCACAACATTCTTGAATTTAGGTTGTCCGAGAAACTTTCCAGCTAGCTTATGGGCTTCTTCTTGGCCAAGGCCAATTCCTGCCCAAGAGTGTAACGTCGTCCCACCGATATTGACCGATGCTATACCGGTAGATGCAGTAATTGCAAGTTCTCCTGAAGAACGGCCACCACATATACGTATGATCTCTCTTAGAAGAACGGACTTTCCCGTCCCTGTGTTTGGAAGTTAGGGGGTTGAAGCTGCGACACGCCAGAAACAAACCTGCGGAACCAGTGAAGAAAATACTGCGCCCTCGCTTCACCAGGTCCAAAACTCGACTTTGCTCGTCGGACAGTGGCATCTGTGGCAAGAGGGGTCCATCTAATGGGATGAATGTTGTCTCCACCGAGTCTTTTTGACTATAGTCGTGAGAGGCGGCTAGTACGCTAGGCCCACTAATACTGGCGTGAGCACTTGAATATTCTGGAGACTTTGCTGCCTTTGTGCATGTGACAAGCTCGCGTGTTGACATGGACCTCATATCGATTGGAACGATGTCCGAATTATGCGGAAAAACTGGAGGATATTTAAACATTCAATCCCAGCACACATTCTGACTTCTACTCACTTGGTTTTTCAACGTGTAGCCAAGCCTCTGCCTCTGCTCGGGATGTGAAGCTTTTGTGGACAGCCCCAGGAAAACGAGAGACCTTATAGTGTACATTAGACCAGCAGCGAGTAGAGATTGATTTCCAGGGTCTTTACGTTTGCTTTGCACTAAAGACATCCAGTGTCGCGACAAAGCCATACGTTAGAGGACTTTGATGATTGTCCATCCAGTCAAAATGCCACTTGCCTCATCCCAGGTAGCATATATCTTTGGGCCTTCGCGACCAATGCGAACCGCATAGTATTTACTCCTGCCTGCCTTAGTCATTTGTTGCGAACTGACCTTCACTTTGAATTAGCGAACAACTAAAGGTGTAATGTGGTTTCTCTTTGAAGTTGTACAGCATTTCCCGAACCGACGTAGTTAACACCATTACATAATTTACCCCTGACTGAGAGTTAGAGATAACATTGCAAGCCGTAGCCCTGCAAAACGAGAAAACTTTAAATAGTCCAATACAATACAGGATTGTTGACAGAGACACAAATGACTGCTAGAAAGCTACATAAAATCCAGAGACCAGTCTATAGGTCGAACACAAAAAGGTACGGTAAATAGATCATAGCACTTCAACAAAGTTTGCAGGGAATATCCCTTCTTTTCCACTGACTTTACCTTTCCACCTGATAGCTGTGTCAGCTTGGTTCAACGAATTTGAGAAAAAAAACGCACCAGTCGTCTGTCTTCTCTGACTTGCGGGTAATAATAATCACATCCCCTTTCGAGAAAGAAAGATCACCGGCCTACAGGAATTCAGTACGGGGCTTGACGATATACATCAGTTATGTCTAAGCGCACCTCAACAGCCTTAAAATTATATAGGGCAATGGCACGGCCTACACCTTCCTGTGGCGAAAGGGGTACTGCCAGCTCAGGTTTAGGTTTAATAAAAGGCGTTGCTTGACTAGTACTTCGCCTGCGATTATCATATTCGGTATCTTCGGTAACTGGAGGAGAAGAAGAGAACGGATTGGTATATGCTCCGCGAGATTGACCAGGAGACGATGGGTATGCCGCAGACGTGCTCGCTGATTTAGAATGAGCAATGGTCTTGTCCGAGAGGTACGAGTGAGCGAGACGGAAGGGTGGCAAGGAGTTGAAAGGAGAAGCCGGGTCGTAACGCTCCGTCGTACCATGTGAACCTGAATACCGACGGTTAGACGCGTCCGTCGCTGAGGCATACTTCGGCTGGACATGTGAATCGAAATCGCTGATAGAATGTCTGTTAGAAGAACCAAAATCGTCCCAAGAGGTATTTGACGCGTCCTCCGTATTCTCGGGTGAAAAGAACGAGCCAGAGTTCTTCGGCTGACCCCAAGAAGTTGGAGGAAAATCAGGGCCTTTCTTCTTTTTGGTAAGTAATGTAGCGCCTTTCTCAGCTCCAGGACTTGCGACTCCTCCAAAACTGTATCTAGCAGGCTCACCAGCCCTATCATCGACCCACTTGCGATTTCCTGGCATACCAGTACAAGCCGATATAGTTGTGATGAGAGCCGAAGCCCAGTCTGGCGGGTCTACCATACCACTGAGAAGCATTTTTGCGGTCACATCAGACTTATATGCCAATGCATTTGCATCTTGACGCTCTACGATCATGGAACCTTCTACGGATATGCCTCCGAACAATCCTCTTGTCTTAGAGTAACTATACCTGTGGAGCAAACAGTCAGTGTCTCAACGTTCATAGAGACAATTAGGGATATAATTCCTACATAGCTGCGACTTTACCGCTTGTGTTCAATGAACCAGATGCCTCACCGTTCCGGCCAAGAGGGCCGATCGCGATACTCATGTTTCCTCCTAGGGTAAGTGAACCAGAGGACATGAATGATGCCTGCCAATATCTATATCAGTACCTTATAATTCCGCTATACGAGAGGGAGTGATGGCTTACGACAGCCTTAAACAAACGAGCATCAGATGGAGTGAATATACGAAGAAGACAAAGTAAAGCTCACGGATTGCGAGTTTAAGACGATCAGAAAATCGGTCATTTCAGCCCCAGCTTGACCACCCACACCAAGTCCAGCTGTACCTATAGCACTTGGCGCCGACCACGCTAGAAAGAGTATGGTGATTAGCACTCATAAGAGAGAGTATAAAGTAGACGACATACTTCCATCACTCAGCTTTGCTATGACTATGCCAGACCCAGCTCTGGCAGAGAATACAAACCCAGCCTTGAATATTGTGAATACGGCAAATCCCTTGGCATTCTCCAACACGTTACGAGGGATTACCTATCTTGCGTGGCTTTACTTCTTCATGTTACCAGGTATATATGTGCCATGCTCACGCCATCAAGACCATTGTTTCTGCTATCAACAAAAGAACCAACTGTCCGAAACCAAAAGTTAGAGCCTATTGCTGATGCAGTGACCAGAAGAAACCTTACATATTTTTGCTGCTTTCGCACATTCCTTCGGTAGTGGTTGAGGTAAAGGTGTGCTAAACTTCATTCTTCTAAGCTTTCTATCAGAGACGTCGTCTATTGTCGTGAGATCAGATACAGTGGACTGAGCAAAAGAGTTACGCAGTCATTGCAGCTGCGCGGTGCCGTGCCATGACCTTTCCATTTACCTATGCGCCGTGGGATTGGTTACGTCACGAAGCCGCTTCTTAGTCATCAGCTGACTGTCACCTTCAAACTCCGCATAAGATGGAATCAGTGGCTCTACTTCGCGCGCTCACATGGCGTACAAACAAAATACACACAGGAGCACTAACTTTAATTCGTACCGAAAACACTGCAAAGTTGTGAAGGTGGCGGGAATTCGGCGCGAGCCTATCGCACACCCTCAGGCGTATTCAGTATGATATCCCGCAGCAAAGAAGTATATTCTGATGGATCTAGTACAATGCATGTGCCTCGCTGTCTCCGTACATAGCGGAGAAATACCACAGCACGTCTATGATGAGAATCATTCGGACGGACCCATGGACCGACTATCATGAATGCATTTAATGACGGAGGAGGCTAACAATCCACAAATGGAAAATTAATGGACATGTTCAGCTTTCACCAGTAACATATAACCCTATGGGACAGGGTTTCCAGGATGAACTGGGACTCAATGATCTCCAGCCTAACGGAAGGCTCTCCTGATGCGACGTCTCGTGGGACTCGCTCGACGCAGTAACTGTCACTTCAGGGACATCGTCTGGCTTGCCATTTATAGGATCGCACGAGACCAGAATGTGCAAACGTTTGTCCATTTCTGCAAGATCATCTTGATGCCACTGCTGTACGGCAGCATTGAGTTAAGGGTATATGGAATTAAGTGTAAAGAAATAACCTGGCATTTCACATTGTCTGAGTTGGGAATGAGAAGCGCGGTGGCCTTTTCTAATTCCGCATTACCCTGACTGAGTGCATTAAGAAGAGATGTTAACCTAAAAGGAAGGGGTTTAAATTTGACAAGTCTCATAGTGAATGATCAAATACTTTACGTTTTCCTCCTCGTTAACATTGTGGTGTTGCCGGGTGCCAGAGCTGCAGCTAAACGGACATAGATTTCCTTCCTTGGATCATAGTCACCCTCCTCCCTGTCAGAGTTCCAGACATTGACCACCCAGGCGATCCATCGAGCAAGGCACATGTCATATGATATATCCATATGCATGACACCAGGTTCTTCTGGATCCAGTTGGATCACGTCAAGCGTAACGTCTACAGGTGCCTGCTCAGAAAGCAGATGGCTGAGAATGCGGTTCGTTAGCACAGATGAAAACCCAGAATGATGCGTTTGGAGGTGCGATAGGAGGGGTGTCCACAGAGAAAGATTTTCCTTTTGAGGCCAAAATTCATCGGTAGAAGGAACACGTTTCCTAGGTTATATTCAGCGGAGATAGATGCAATCGCCTCGAAACGAAATACCTCTTTGACAAGGGCACGAGTGCTCCCCTTTCCATCAGCTCAACACAAAGTCTATCTAACGCCCATTTCTCTGCAACATCTTCATCTTCATCGTTCCTACTCATATAGTCATCCCATCCCAAAGTATCAGTGCTGGTACTAGCCGCTACCTTGCCTTCCGCAATCCACCGTTCTATGTCTCTCAGACATGCCTCTATATCCGGTTTGTATTGATTTCGAACGGATGCGTCTCGGATCGTCAACTTGAGCAAAGCCTTGTACCGCTTTAAAAGAGGTGAAACGGGTCGAATGAAGGCAGAAGATGACGGCGACGAAGAAGAGGGATTTAATGTCGGTAGAAAATAGTGATTGAAGAGCCACGACAAGGACTAAAATACGAGAAGATGTCGACGGGTTGATACAAAGTTTAAGCCGTGAAAAATATACCTCACGAGCGGCCTCCCTAAGTAATTCAAGACTGGGCAATTCTTCGTGTGTAGCTGCATGTCTGAGTTCAACCAACCAGGGCGGCAGACCCAGCTGTGCGGCTATGGCAGCTATAGATCTTGCATATGCACCCACTTGTAAGGGGTCAACGAGACCATTAACGAGCCTGATAACTGCAGTTGCATAACTTTGGCGCAGATGCAAGTTTGCAGATGCAGATGATTTTTGGGATAGCGAAAAGTCCAGCAAAGTGACTGAAAGAATCATTAAAGTGGATTCTAAAGCATGCGGCAGAGATGTGACCGCTTTCCAGGCTATCAGCTACAGAAACTGAGAAAAAAGATCAGGACAAAACTTGAAACCCGCACTCACCCTGTTCACTGCCTGTTCTTTTGCATCGATATCGTTCTCGTCAGCAAATATCCACGAGCAGACTTGATCAAGCTCAGCTATTGCTCTCCATGGGACGCGCCGAGGTAATCTCATCTTTTTGGTGTTAGTTAACGTTTTCTACAATTTCAAGTAATATGCCCCCGGCCCTTTGCGCCAATGTAGCGCATTCATGGTGTGGCTGAACTTAAACTGGGAGGCTGGGAGGGCGGCCTAATGACCCGAAACGTAAATACTCTAACGAAGTCTTGACCTCAGTGAGCACAGCCAGCGCTTCAAGTTGACAACCACGCTGTATTTTCTGCACAGATTCTGCTGCGGTGCTCATAGTAGTGTTCGCTAAATGCAACCCTCACGATCCTCGGGAGACTACGGTGTCCGTGCCTAGTCAGCCGTGGCACAGGAATTCCAGTTGCAGAAGATCTCCTATAGTTACTTGTCTATTTTCACTCGACGATAAGGACGCATTTTCCCGGTCCACTCATGGCCATCAAATCTGCATGACTGCATCTCATATGTCGCCGATCTCAGGCATCGCTTCTCCCTCAAAATGTTTTAAAATAGTAAAAGCGCGCTTGTCATGAGGCAGTACATGGCTAAAACTCCGAGACAGCCTTGCGCCCTTTTTGTTCTGGCTTTTTTGTACAAAAGCCGGTCAGCTCGAGGGTATGAGCGTCATTACCCTACTACCTTTTCATCTTCACTACTTCCTTCCCCTTTTTTCACTTATCTACTCTTGAATCTTTCTGATCATCCATGGCATTGGACGCTCAAGGCAAGCTCGCTGTGGTCACCGTCATACTCTATGTCCCGTTTTTGTTCCTCACCGGTCTTCTATTACGAAAATATGGGGTACAAAGAGCATGGCTTCTTCTTCTCATGTTTTCTATAAGTGAGCACAATTCGACATACTAACAATTCACATTTACTCAATTTTGGCATAGTTCGCACTGTTGGTGGAATACTACTTATCGCAGCAGAGACGGTGCAGCCAACTGTAATTGGTCTTTTCATTGGCGGTTACGCTCTTGAAGCATCTGGCCTGTCGCCTCTACTCCTTGGCACCTTAGGATTCCTCACCATTGCGTAAGCTCCTTTTGTAAATGTCCAGTTTCTGGTTGGCTCATTTTTATGGCAGGAGCGAACATGCTTTCGATGGTATCAAGAGGGTTTTCAACCTTCTTCATCTCGTTGGTATAGGCGCTTTGGTATTGACCATCATTGGTATTGCAAATGCCACGAGCAGTAGTTCCAGTTCACAATCATCGGCGAACACCATGAGGCGTGCTGGTGTCCTTCTATTCGCTGCTCTCTACATCATTCTGATCGCCGTGACTCTTTACTTCTGGTCCCGCGCCAATCAACTCATGAAGTCTCGCAAATCAGTACGTTCATCGTCCAGTCTTCGTTGTGATCTTGCTCTAAACACATTATTTGCAGCTCTTGGGTGCCATAACATTCGCACTGCCATTTTTGGGCGTCCGCACGTTGTACAGTGTTCTGTCTACTTTCTCTTCCAGTTCATTCGGCATGCTCAGTTCCTCAACCTCAACCCAAACCCAGAGTGTAAACACCAGCGATCTTGCTAAATTCAACATGTTCACTGGAGAGTGGTGGATCTACCTAGTCATGTCCATCCTCATGGAGTACGCTTGTGTTGTCATCTACACCACTGCAGGTTTGAGGTTACCTCTGGATCAGGACTACAAACTGGGCGATATGCGCGACGATGAGTATCCTTTGTACCGCCAACAACCATATTAGTTCATGGGCTCGGCGTTTTCTTCTTTTTATTTTCGCTGTTACTATACTATCCTTCGTACGTAATTGTACACAACCACGGACTGGAGATATCAGGCTTGCATATTTACAATACCTACTTACCAAAATGCTTGCTACGACTAACGAGATTACGATGTCAAATGCAATGCACGATCTTTTCCAAGTAAAAAAAGGCTATATGTCATTTATCTGAGATCAGTGAAATTGCCCCGATGTAAGGTTGTAACTTGGACAACAACAGATTTTGGTCGGAGGCGCTTACAGTTTCGATGGTGTCCTAGACTGGAATCACTGACGTTTATCCTAGAGATTGGCGCTGTGAGGACCTATGCATCATCATTCCCCTGAACATCAATGCATCAATCATGATCGTACTGAGTTTATCGATCGACCTGGCGTTACCTCGAAGAGAATGGAATCCTCGAACTTCGGCCGCGTTCAAGACGCTCAATTATTCCCACTGCAAGTGCAAATGCGGAGATTAGATTCACAAGTGATCAAACTGGTTTGGAAACTGGTCCTTCACCGAGACTAAGGGTGGGCTGTCCACCAGGGTTAGGCCTCACCCACTGGTAATTCAGGCTTGACGCTCGTGGGCGGTGGTGGCGGCCTGTACTGAGCGCCTTGACTGTTAACAGCAGAAGCTAGGAAAGCCGACGAGGGTGGTCGCTAAAGATGGTATACCCTGCTTCCGCAGGATGTAGGGCGTCAAAAGTGGTCAATATCGCAGATGAATGAGCTTTCATAACGGAGCATCCTCACTGGCCTGGGGTGGCCTCATAGTACCGAAACATCTTCTGACCATTTTCTCTGGCAGAAAAGAGTGAATTTTATTGCAAAAGTAGAACGTACACACGACAGCATGATTAAAACCACGACCCATACGAGTCCCATACGAATAAGTTGAATTTAAGATGTCAGAGCCACATAGTCAAGCATTTTCTATCCCGCCCTTCAAAATGAGGAACGGGAGGACACCCGAGAAAACGCTCCGGCTTAATTGAGCTCCTAGTGATTATCCATCTTCCCTTTCCAATCGCATACCCCAAGTCAAACCGTGACAGAGAGTTGCTTTACAGATAGTTGTAAAGCTGTGGCGAGGGTGTATGAAGGGAAAATTATTTGCTGGGTTTTCTATATATACTTTGCCCTTGCTGATGTAAGCATCGCCAAAGAAAAGCGCTGGCACGCTCAACTGAATTCACTGATGAAAAACTACCAGTTTGTCTTATTCTTTGATATCGACTTTGATATCAGTATTTGGCCTGGCTAAGGGAGACTAACAGCTTATATATCTAAAGTTTCAGCACTTCCTTCAAAGTCTTCCAGTGATGACCCTCCCAGAGGGCATTCGAACTTCCTGCAGGCTCCTTGCCGTCCCGACCTAACGCGAACTCAAAGCCCGTGCTAGCAGCGCCCTCTTCAAACTTGTGCTGGAGATAGTTCCTCACTGGTGCATCGGGAACCTCAGCGGGGATTGCATCTGTGTACTCGACGGCTGCCTTGCCCTCGTAGAGCTTGGCGACATCGGATAAGCTGCCTCGCTCTCCTTCAATTCGGAAAGAAGCGTTGTGGAGCTTGGATGGTGAGAGAGTAGTCAGGACGTGTGCGAGGAAACCTGCACGACGACGAGAAGGCAAATTAGCTCGGAAAATAAGAAGGTCTATAGGTGATACTCACCTGCGACGTCCTCTATTGCTGTGTACGACGCAGGCGTCTTTCCACTGCCAACGATCAGGAACTTGCCAGTCTCAGGGACGGCCGCCAACCATGGGACATATTCATGGAAAAGGCCGTTCTGCAGTTATCATGTCAACAGATGTTGATGCAATAGGGAAGAAAATCACCGACGTATATTCTGGCAGACGGTAATTCAATGGATTTCAAGTATTCTGCATTGACAACTTAGCTCAAGCACAAAGACGGCGCAGAACTGATAAACCTACCAGCGAATTGGGACTTCAAAATTGCGATACCATCGGTACCTCCTTCGGTCGGCATGCCATATTCAGAGGGGACGAAGAGCTTTACCCCTGCAATCTTCGAGGCATCCGCCAAAGGCTTCTGAGAGGAGAAGCCATCAGCAGAAAGTGCAGAGACCACAACATCCACGTTATGCTCTCGCAGGACCGAGCTGACAGCCGCCACGTCTGAATAGTCAGCTGCTGCCACTCGGGCTCCGGCGGGGAATTCTCGCGTAGAAGCAGAGCGAGTGAGCACGACAACTTGAACGTTGCGAGCGAGAAGGGCGCGGACGATGGGGAGACCCACGCTGGGCCCTGCTCCTACGATGGCAAACGTTTTGTAGGTTGATTCTGAAGTAGACATATTGAAGTAGGGGATTGAAGAGATAGGAGATAGTCTGGTAAATAGGAGATTTGGATATGAGACTCCATAGTTCTTCTCATGGTATATATACAGACAACCGGGTCGACTATCTTCCTTCGACGAGCTCTGCTTATGAAGATACAAGCTCGCTCAGTCAGCACACTATGGCGAGATTGCGAGTTCTGTACACTTTCGTTGTACTTCGAAAGTTGGTATCGACTGAGTCAGCCCTCAATGACGAACTCGGGTCCTTGTGTGGGGCAGTTATCTGATAGCTGTGGGCGATATAATAGGATCCAAGTGGGTCAAGCGTTTCATCGAAGTTCCTAACGCAAACAGCTTGATTACAAATGTGATTGTTTCGAAATTCTTAACAGTTGGCTCATTCTCGATATTTCATCCATTAGGTAAATCTGACACTCGTTTGAAGATTTAAATTCCATAACACCAGACTAATGTCTTTGAATATTCAACACTTCCTTCACCGTCTTCCACTGATGACCCTCCCAAAGAGCATTCGAACTTCCAGCTGCCTCTTCGCCCTCTCGACCTGCGACAAGGTCCCAGCCTGAACTAGCAATACCGGTCTCAAACTTTGTCTGGAGGTACTCCCTCACCTGCGCGGCGGGAACCTCGCTAGGAATCGCATCCACATACTCAACAGGTGCAACACCATCGTAGAGTTTGGCGATTTCGGACATGGTGCCACGCTGGCCTTGAAGCCGGAATGTGACGTCCTGAAGCTTGGATGGCGAAAGCGTGGTCAGGACGTGTGCGGTGAATCCTGGTTGGTGGGGAAACGAGGTATGAATTGGAGAAAGGAGGGGATATGGAGTGGGTGATAAGTCACCTGCAACGTCCTCAACTCCTGTGTACGAAATAGGTGTATTTCCTTTCCCAACTATCAAGAACTTCTTCGTCTCATGGATGGCAGCTATAAATGGGACAAATTCAGAGAACACTCCGTTCTATACAAACCTTTTAATTAATTGGGCGGTAACGATCGCTAGACGAAACTGACGTATACTCGAGCGCATGGCAGAGCGATAGATTTCAAGTATGCTGCACAGGAGAGCCAATCAGGTCAGTTTACTTTGTACAGCCATCAAAGAATAGTGAAAACTAAGCACTCACCGGCAAGTTGTGACTTCAACAGTAAGATACCTTCTGTCCCTCCTTCAGTCGGTGTGCCAAACTCCGAGGGCACGAAAAGCTTGACGCCCGCCTCTTTGGCAGCATCGGCTAGGGGTGTTTGAGCCGAGAGCCCAGCAAAGGCAAGCGTGGACACAAGGACGTCGACGTTATGATCACGCAGGGCAGAAGCGACCGCCGACACATCGGTATAGTCAACTGGCACGACCTGCGCGCCTGCAGGTAGTTCCCTCGTAGACGAAGGACGAATGAGGACTATGACTGGTACATTCCGCGCGAGCAGAGCGCTGACGATAAGGACGCCGAGAGTGGGCCCTGCGCCTACAACGGCGAATGATTTGTAGGGAAGCTCAGCTGCTGATGTGAGGGTAGTGTTTGCCATCGTTTCTGTTCAAGATTGACGTTTAATAGGGCCTTATATACAGTAAAATAGGAGGAGCTGCGACATGTGCTTCATATGATTGGCAAGTTTCTGTGAGTCATACTCACCATTCGGTCCCGGAGACTTACTCACTAAAAGTCAGAATGACTATTTGAATGTCAAGCCGGCACCGAAACCTGTCATATGTCGTGCTAAGAAAATATAACCAGTTTATGAGACAGAATATATTTACATATCTTCCGTCTCCCTGTGATTGAATGCTTTTTTTTCGAGCCTTGAAGCAAGACGAAGTGTCTAGACATTTAGATGTGTAAGATATTCTTCACCTTCTTCCACTGATGGCCCTCCCAAAGAGAATTGGAGCTACCAGCAGGCTGATTGCCTTCTCTACCCGTGGAGGGATCCCAGCCCGTACTAGCAGCACCCAACTCGATCATCTTCTGGAGATACTGCCTCGCCCGTGCATCGGGGACTTCGTGGGGAATGAAATCCACGAACTCAACGGGTGCTATGTGGGCATAGAGTCTGGCGATGTCGAACAGGGTGCTCCTGTGGCCTTGGATCCGAAATGTGGCGTTGTGGAGCTTGACAGGCGGGAGGGTGGTCAGGATGTGTGCGATGAAACCTACATAGGGGGAGTGAGAAGTGTAGAGTTTGAGGCGGGAGCTATTCACCTGCAACGTCCTCGCTTGCTGTGGAAGAGAAGGGAGTGCGTCCGTTACCGACAATCAAGAATTTATCCGTCTCCTGGACAGCAGTCAACCAAGGAATGGATTCGTAAAATGGACCAGCCTGCAACAATACAGTGAGCAAATGTTTCAGGTATTACTGCAAAATTACTTACGTAGACTCGAGCAGATGGGAGCTCGATAGACCGCAGATATACTTTATTGTATATAGACCGGTCTGGTTCAGTAGAGAATATTAATGAGGATTAACGAGATCCTCACGAGCGAAATGTGACTTGAGCCCCAAAATGCCATCGCTTCCTTCCGTCGGCATCCCAAACTCTGAAGGCATGAAGAGCTTGACGCCCGCAGCTTTAGCAGCATTCGCTAGGGGCCTCTGAGCTGATATGCCATCAAAAGCGACGGCGGAAACGAGCACGTCTACATTGTACTCTTGCAATACCAATGCAACGGCCTGCACATCTAAATAGTCTACTGATACGACGCGAGTCCCCTCTGGCAATTCCCTCGAAGACCCTGGGCGTCTGAGGACGACGACTGCAGCGCTGCGGGCAAGCAGGGCGCGTACGATGGGGATGCCAATGGCAGGACCTGCGCCTACGACAGCAAAGGAGTGATAGTTTGCTGTGGACATGCTCGTTGACGCTTTTGATGAGGATCTGACTCTGGATGCATAGGTCCGAGTCAAAACTTTCTGTTACATATGTATACGTAGCCTGAAATCTAGTCTCCCTTGTCCTTGCCGAGCTAATGACCTGAAATCTACGCGCCACCTTGTTCCACTATTTAATAATCGTTACCGACTTACTCCGAGTCGCATCCTTGTAGATCCTCGGCCCGAACATAGCGGATCAATCTGCATAGCTTGTTTCAGGTCTATCGCACAAGAAGGTCCCAACCGATCTCACTCACTGCCGCCGGCCTGAGAAACGGTACCATCCATCTGCTTTTGCTCACTGATTACTTATGCTGCCGTGTCCGGCTGACCACCATTTCTTCGCTGATGGCTGGCTCGCTCTGTATCTATGAGTTGGGCGTTCACGTTGATAATAATTAACCTAGCAATGAGACAACAAAACATAAGTATAATCGCGTTTATAGCTCGGCCCATCCTGCATCCACCTCTTCTCGTCCTCCAAACGCAGCAAGTAAAAACACAATAACACTTGCTCCCAGGCGCATCCCCAACCCTCTGTATAGCTGCCCGATCCCAGTATGGCTACGCCAACTCTGCTCGTCGCCGCCTTCCTCCACATCATCATGCTTCTCTTTGGCTTTGGCATCCGACTTTCCGACTTTCCGCTTTCCATGTCGTGCGGGTGAATCAGACCTTTCTTCTGTCACTATATGCCAAAGTGCATCTACTACGCCGTTGTAAGGCACTGGTCGCGTCTCTACGCAGGTGCGTATAGTCTTTGCGGAGCCTCGAGTCTGAATCTGCAGTCTCCTGCGCACCGTCTCGATCGGCAGTGTCAAAAGCAGCCCGATGCATCCTCCAGCGAACTCAGCAAGTCCCCAGGCAATCGGGTGAGTATCTACCGCAACATGGGGGCCCAGCCCCAAGTTGGACGCTATGAGCGAGGGCATCATGATATGTACCAATGGGCGCAAAGTGTTGTCCAGAATAGTTGGAATCAGAAGATGTGGATGGAGGTAAAGACCCTTCACTCCACCCTCGTTGGCGATGATGTCTGAGAGCGCATCTATGGGTCCAGAGTAGGTTTTGTGACGCGACATCGAGGACTGCACGATGAGTCTCGTGCGAACAAGATCCAGGGGAGAAAGAAGGAAACCTGTGATAAGATGCGATGCAATGGGTAGAAGGAGTGGTGGTTGCTGAAATGCAGGCGAAGCCGAAAAGAAAAGTGATTGTATAACATTATCGATAACAGGCTGTAGATTCGTGGAAATGACGTCGTGGATACAAGATGTCAGTAGACCTTGAATAAACTCGATTAAATGGATATCATTTGAACAGTGGTCGGTGAACTAACCTTTCCACAGCGCAAGCCAGCCTTCGCCGCGAAAAGTGGCTATGCGCTTAATCATACCCCAAGTTCCGTCGGCGTTGCCCAGTGTAATGACATATTCTGGCCGAGTTCCCTCCTCGAATACAGAGGTTCTCATGATATAGCCATTGTCATCAACCATTCTAGGCGGATGGAACTTGCCAGCACTATTGCTAGGATCAGCGAAATAAGCCTCGTTTTCATTAGAATCGTCGCTGAACTAAGAGGGGACGTATTTCGCTTAGAAATTTTGAATGAAAGGACTATGTACGCACCACTTCTTCCTCCTCATCTTCTACCTGTTCCTCTACCGATGCGTCGTATACCTGCTCAGGAGCCATGCTAGCATCCTTGGGCACCCACTGCACCTGCAAAAGCATCTTTCCGACCTCCAGAGGCATCGCAATTGCTGTGCTGGTGTACTGCAAGAATGCAGAGGCGACGAGTGACTTGAGCAGCAGCGGAACATTGATATTGGATGGTTCATTTAGGTGAAGCGACGGGGAGAGGTCAAATATGGAATTGGGTGCAGGTCGGGTACTCCATTGGTAATTGCCAGGTGTAGGAACAGACGAAGACGAGGCTGTGGTATTCGGTGTGGGCATGGCCGCAGGAGGAAAGAAAGACCATGCGGAGGAGGGAGGGCTGTAAAGATCTCGGAGAGATGATGTCGAATTCATCACATCGAATAGCTAAGAGCTAAAAGTTTGAATTTGGTTATAACCCTGCTCACTAATCAGCTTTCAATTTTGTCTGTCTAGCTGCAAAACGCACGTCTGAAAAGTATAAGCTCGAGTCACTGTCTGCAGCGTCAACCTCGATTGAAAGAACAACTGGCTTTTTCCGCATTACGCGTGAGCAGCGGCATGAGGTTTCACGTGACTTCACATTGCCATGTCATATGATCTTCATGCTCTTCAAGTTCTCCTCAGCAATAAGAAAATGGTACAAGTATAGTACAGTATTTAGTACATACAGACTGAATAATATATATAGATGGTGGAAGATATTCAATATGATAAAATATTACCAGTTCTTGCATCTATACGTCCGAGTGACTGGTTAGCTCCTGACCAAACCATCAAAATCAATCTCAGACAAAACTACATCCTCCGCTCCAGCTGTACTTCTAATTTCTTCGCGAATATGGTCGTTTTGAAGTTCTGGACCTTCCGTGCAAATTCTCCTGCATTAAATCCAGGTGGGAATGTCATATGATAAGCCCGCACGAGGTGAGCATTGACCAAGAGCAATTCTCGAATGGCATACCGTTTTCCTAGACGTCCAAATGGCCCTACACGTGTATCAATGTAAGTCAGACTACCAATAACGGAACAACTCTTTTAACTTTTAACTTGCCACATTGAAAAGAAACCAGTGCGTTTTCCTCGGTGATGCTCCCCGGGCCCAGCCCGCCAGGAAGCCATCTCTCAGGCCTGAACTTGGTTGGCTCTGGTGACCAATATTTCTTGGCACCTGCATTGCATATGTCGGTGATCCCACAACAGTCACTCCCGGAATATGCCTCCCATCTAATACAATCCCCTCATCAGGTACGACGCGAGGCATGTTGCCGAAAGGAGTCGATAACCGCAGCTCCTCTTTCACGACAGCATTGAGATAGGGCAGTGAGTAAAGAATGGATAAATATAATTCATCACTTGGTTTTGGAAATGCTGTATCAAGCTCCTCTTGAAGTTTGGCATAAGTAGTTGGGTTGGAGAGAAGGTGATAGAAGGCATAGGCGAGCACGGCAGAAGTGGTATCAGACCCTACAATCAAGATAGGGTCAAAACAGAACTAAGATTAACTAAAAGGACGCATATACCTGCTTGAATAGCAAACATCGCATCTGCTGTCAGCTCACCCTCCGTTAATTCGTTGGCATGACTATCATCATGCTCTCCTAACTATTTGTTCGAGGGTCAGCCGTACTCCTTGAGGGACTGGAACATAGCTTACGAGAAACGAGCAGAGATCAGGCAACTCCGGTGTACCAAGAGTTTTTCTTTTGCGTATCATTTCTCTTGCATAATTGTTAAGGACATGTATGGGCTTGGATAGAGGCGAGTGCCAATAAATGTTGAGTAGCCATGGGACCTCTCAGAGTCTAAGTGTATCTTGTAAGCAATAGAAGAAAATAAATATGAAAGAAAGACTTGCATTTCATATTGCGCGGTTGCCAGTTGGCCTTTGCTCACAAGGCCTTGTGGGTCCCCATGGACCATCATGCTCTGTGGCACATAACATAGTCAGAAAAATGAATCAAACACACCGACCAGCGTATATCAATGCTATGGTTCCCAAATACAAAATGAGCCTACACAAAGAAAAGATACATTATGAGCCCTCCGCCTAACTATCCGAGTCTGCAGCAGCTTACATTAAAGTCGAACGACCAATGCTGTAATGCAGTGCCCAAATCAATGACATTTCTGTCATCTTTCCGTCTTTCAATACAGTCGATAAGTTGCGCTATAGAATTCTCTGATACATGGCAATACTGGTCCATCCTGCATGACACCATTATGCTATATCCAGAAACGAGCAAGTATGACACTCACATATTCTGCGAGAATGCAGGCGCCCAAATTGATCGTCCAATCCCGTGCGCCTCCCTACTCGTCTGGAAAAACAAACCCTGAATGTCATCGTCAGGTACGGGGCAGGACAGACTCTTGTCCAAGCTTCGAGAACTCTTGTAGACCTGATGTTGGATAGAATGGGACAGGATTGACAGCTTATTAGGTCCTGTAAATGGAATATTTATATTACAGTCGGGTAGATGACAGTGTGAATGATGCTCACCAATACGCACAAAATCACCATATTGTTGGTGAAGAGCGCTGAGTTCTAGATAACGATAACCTGTAGAGACGGTGTACATCATCACGAGGTCTGATAGTTTGTGCAAAGTTGGGCCCGGAAACGCAGCGAGTGGATGGAACGGCGACACTCGATAGCTACATGTCACTGCAGCAAGCGTTATGAAATGAATCGCAAGTAGCCAAGTAGATGCTGAGATCAATGGTATTGGGTTGGCGCCAATCCACTTCTGACAGTACCATGACAGCAGGGAAGTGGTAAGAGTGTAACTAAGCACATATTTAAATGGCCATCTTCTTTGGTGTGTAAACTTCCATAGCGTCTGTCTGGAAATGGGTTTCACGGAACAGAATGAGAAGAACGAAACCACTCACCAATGCAGATGCAGATGCGGTCAAAACACCAGTCAGTATCGCCATTTGCTCCGTAAACTCGCTGGGCGCTGAAAGCTGGACCTATACTGCCGATATACTGCATTACAGTGTGTATATTCTGACAACTAAGAACCACTGACCGTTGAATATTACTTCCTGGGGCTTGCTGTATCCAGGTGGAGGGGAGGGTACAGACCAAACAGACCAGACGCTTCCATGGGTAATACCGAGTTGATTTGTGTAACTTGAAATAGGACGATGATGTTCATTGTTGGCAACAGAAATGTAGTTTAGTACAATGAAATCTAGTGATTCGCGCCACCACCAGTGACGCGTGGTTCGCCCATCAGTGTACACTGTGCCTCTCACATGATTTTCTTGATCTGAAGTATAGTGGGAAAGAGATTTGAACGAGCCTGGGGTTGTGCTCCTCTTGCTATGATTTGATTGCCTCGAGACTCCTAGCGTAGGTGTATCCACAACCAACGCTGGTGGCGAACTCGGAGTGCGAAGTTGCAGTATCTCCATTTGATTAAAAATAGCAATGCCCAGACCTGTACCTCAGATTTATATTCCAATATCACCCGAATTCTAACTGTATTGGGAAATTTGACGGCTTTAGCTCCATCTGGTGCGGCAGTGACCGGCCGTCCGGGACTAGTGATGTCCCATTTGAGCAGAGGTGACATCAAGCGCCGGAGGAGTGCCTGCGTACTTACAGTTCGGTTCCCCTATAGTTAGTGTCCGTAACACGCTCCTTCGGACTGCGTTTCTGTCCCTCAGTTCCATTCCACCCCTCCTGTCTTGCATATATAACTCATCACCATCTGTCCATAGCTAAACGGTCCTCCTCCTTCTTTTCATACAGTCGCTGTCGCCGCCCATGTCGACAACCGCCCCCCAAAACGGGGCTGTACAACAGCAAGAAAATGTCCAGAACCAAGTCCATGGGATGCTAAAGGATGATGCTGACAAGGGTGCTGCTATACATTCCTTTGATCCTGAAGCTTCCCCTCAGGAAAAGGCTGCTGCTGCTGGAAAAGCACGAAGTCAGCTGAAAGGCAGCACAGTACATGAGTCGGAAAACGTTGGTAGTAAAGGTACGTTATCTCCGCCGCATACATGAACACCAGCGCTTATTTTCACCAGAACTTGCACTCGATACTGGTGTCGGAGGACCTATTCCCACTATTACAATAGAGGATGCAGACAAGGCTACCAAGGAAGAGCACGAAAAAAACCCAAACGCTCCTACTACTCAGCCGACTCCTCCCGGTGCTTTCCCCTCGGGTCCTGCTCCCGCAATACCTGATTGGTACAAGGTTGGCTGGCGTGCAGTATCCAATATCGACGCGCCTGCGCTCGAGGAAGGCGAAGAAAAGGATAAGACAATCCTCTCCATGTACCTCAATGAACAATACTATGGCGACTGGTATCACAATGCAGCCCTCATATTTTTCGTGCGTTTTGGATCTCCTGTTCCGAGTTAGATCTACTATTATTTATCTTCATCAAATGATTGACTTCTAGGCTGTCTTTGCTTCGCATTTCTTAACTCGCTTCAACCTTGGGTGGGGATGGCTATTTATAGTTCTCGCCATCTGCAACACGTATTATGTAACCTCTATGGGCCGTGTTCGGCGACGCGCTCGAGATGACATACAACGAGAGCTTGTCAAGACGCGTCTCGTATCCGAACATGAATCTGCAGATTGGATCAACAATTTCCTCGATCGTTTCTGGCTTATTTACGAGCCTGTCCTATCCGCGACTATCGTTTCGTCCGTCGATCAAATACTTAGCACCAGTACACCTGCATTCCTAGACTCATTGCGTCTCAGCACTTTCACACTCGGTACAAAAGCCCCGCGAATCGACAAAGTTAGGACTTTCCCAAAGACACCAGATGATATCGTAATGATGGACTGGGGCATATCATTCACTCCGAACGATATTTCAGACATGACGCCTCGTCAAGCAGCCCAGAAAGTAAACCCAAAGATTGTCCTCTCTGTGCGCTTGGGAAAAGGTCTTGCGACAGCTGCTATGCCTGTTTTGATTGAAGACATCAGTTTCACTGGCTTGATGAGGATCAGGCTCAAATTGATGACAAACTTTCCACATGTGCAAATTGTAGACATCAGCTTCCTGGAGAAACCTGTCTTTGACTATGTTCTGAAGCCAGTTGGTGGTGACACTTTTGGCTTTGATATCGGTCATGTAAGGAATCTCACATAACATTTTGAGCTCCCAACCTAACATATGTATTCCGAAGATGCCAGGACTGTCTGCTTTCATTCGCGATATGGTGCATGCTACACTTGGTCCCATGATGTACGACCCGAACGTCTTCACCCTCAACCTTGAACAGCTACTTTCCGGCACTCCGCTGGATGCTGCTATTGGTGTTATCCAGGTCAAAGTTGAAGCCGCACGTGGCCTCAAGGGTAGTAAGATGGGAGGAGGTACTCCCGATCCATTCGTCAGTCTTAGTATCAACAATCGCGAGGAATTGGCAAGGACGAAGTATAAGCACAGCACGTATGTGTTGGGACTATCCGACTTCAATGACATGCTTAGCCTCTTATGTTCAGATTTAACCCCACATGGTTGGAGACCAAATTCCTGCTTATTAATTCTCTACAGGAATCTCTTGTACTTAGCCTCTTCGACTATAATGGGCACAGGAAGGATACCCATATCGGTGCTGCCACTTTCGAATTACAGAAATTACTCGAAGATGCGACGCAAGAGGGACTTGAACTATCAGTGCTCAAGGATGGGAAGGATAGAGGGATGGTTAGGTTTGACGTCTCTTACTACCCTGTTTTGAAGCCAGAAGTTGTGGATGGAAAGGAGCAATTACCTGAAACCAGTGTGTTACTATTCTGTGCTATTTCGAGTACTATTTCTGAGTGTCTCCCTACAGAGGTTGGCATTGTCCGCATAACTGTTCACCAGGCCAAGGAACTTGATGCCAGTAAATCCCTCTCGGGTGACCTCAACCCATTCGCAAGGCTCGAACTAGGAGCACAACCCGCACACAGCACCCCAATCATCAAACATACAAACAATCCAGTCTGGGAGTCGCCATATGAGTTCCTCTGCTCCGATAAGGATACCTCCACACTGACCATCAAAGTTATGGATGAGCGCGACTTCCTGAAAGATCCTGTCGTGGGACATATGACGGTTTTCCTTAAAGACTTGCTTGAGGCTGAAACTGGCGACGGTCGAGATTGGTGGCCTTTGAGTGGATGCAAGTCGGGCAAGCTTAGGATCAGCACTCAATGGAAACCGCTCCACATGGCTGGTGCCCTTAGTGGTGCCGATCAATACGTCCCACCCATTGGTGTGATGAGACTCTGTTTACAGAAGGCTACCGACGTAAAGTGGGTATATATGATAATCGGTATAGTCGCGTCAATTGACCATCATTTCTAGGAATGTGGAGGCAGCTCTTGGTGGAAAGGTGAGAGATTATGTTTTGTGTTACGTCATGGGCTAAATGTTGAATGTTCGTCAGAGCGATCCCTATGTCCGGGTACAGGTCAATAACGTTACCAAGGCTAGAACGGAAGTTGTCAACAACAGTAAGTCTGTCGGTTGTTATCTTACGTTCTGAACTTGACATTCTTCAGACTTGAATCCTGTCTGGGATCAAATTGTTTATGTTCCAGGTATGTTTAAGTTTCATATGTGCTTCTTAAAAACTCAAATATCTTATCACGCAGTACACTCGTTGAAGGAGGTTGGTGATATGCCCACTCCTAGATTTATTTTGCTAATGAATGGTTCAGAGTTTGTTCCTGGAAGTCATGGACTATCAACATTTGACAAAGGTAAAAGATTCGTTTTAGCAGTTTTAATTGATTCTAATCATGTCTCAGGACCGCTCTCTGGGTTCTGTTGAAATTCGTGTCTCCGATTTCGCTCGCGAGTTATCTGGGAATCCCGATTATCGCTACGAATCGACAGGCAAGCAGGAAGCCGTGGCGCCTATCAAACTGGACGGACATGGCCAGATGTATAAAGGAGAACTCCATCACGTTGCAGAGTTTGTTCCAGCTCTAGCGCTCAAAGATGTCCACTTCGATGCTGACGAAAACGAGCTGCAGCGCGCAGCTAGAAGCGTGGTTGGCTCAGAGGACGGTGATATTGCGTCTGTCAGAAGCAGTGGATCTTCGACATCATTACTCAAGCAAGAGGATAAGCATGTCACGGTCACGCGACCGTTAGGGTCGTCAGGGCACACACCCGCTCACTCCACGGATACAACGCAAAGTGCCGCCTTGAACGGGGCCGCGGAACATAATGGCGCAGCAGAAGCCTCGAAAGCCAAAGTTGAGGATAGCGGCGAGGAAGAGGAAGAAGTTCCACAGGGATTGGAGTTGACAAAGGAGGAACTCCTGAGGCATCGTGAGTATTCTACTGCACTTGCCGTTGAACTTCGCTCTAAGAACCATCTATAGAATCCGGCATCATCATATTCAACGTCATTTCTGGCCAGCTACACAAGAAAGCCCGTCTTGAAGTGTGTCTTGATGATGGCTATTGGCCAGCTTTTACTACTGCTAAGGCGCGCAGCGCTCATGCACAATGGCAACATGTGGGTGAAGGTTTCATCAAAGAGCTCGATTTTGGCCGCGTGTGGCTACGTTTGAACGAGAATAGCGAAGGTGAAAAAGACGATATTATCGCCGAGTGGAAGGGAGACACCAAACCATTTTTGGAGGAAACTATGGTATGTATTCAAATTCACGCTTTGGTCGTTCCATTTACCCCTTGATTCGAAAAGGACCGGCGTACGACTTTCACCCTCATGGATCAAGATGAGAAGAATCACTCGACAGTAGAGATTGAAGCTCGTTATGTTCCTGTGCCAGTTACGCTGGAAGCCAGAGAGAGTATTAACAGTATGTGTTCAAACTCGTTGCTTCCAATCTCACAGTCTGACGCTTTACGATAGATCAAGGTATGCTTCGCGTCGTGCTTATGGACGGAAAAGATATTCGTGCTGCTGATCGAGGAGGTACGATAGTATTCACGAAACGTGAATATATATGTACTAAATTGCGATCAAGGCAAATCTGATCCCTTTGCGGTCTTTTCTCTCAACGGCCAAAAGGTTTTCAAGTCGCAAACCAAAAAGAAGACACTCAGCCCAGATTGGTCAGAAAACTTTGTTGTCAGCGTGGTGAGTAAATGTCGAAGTTGAATGGGCTTGTCGTAGTCTGACTCTCCATATCAGCCGTCTCGTGTTGCAGCAGATTTCTCTATAGAGCTCTTCGATTGGAATCAGCTCGAGCAAGCCAAAAGTCTTGGCTCAGGCTCGATCAATCTTGCAGATGTGGAGCCTTTCCAAGGCACCGAGCGTATTATCTACCTCGCCGACAAGCATGACGACAAAAAGGGCCAAATTCGCATTAGCCTTATGTTCCAGCCAGAAATTATCGTGAAGACGAGAAAAAACACGTCGACATTTTCCGCTGCTGGACGTGCGATGACACACCTTGGTTCCATGCCTCTCGATGCGGGCAAAGGTGTAATACACGGCGTAGGAGGGATATTCAAGAAGGAGTTTGGGAAACACGATAAGCATGACAGCGAATCCTCTCATACACCAGAACTGCCCTCGGGACAAGCTTCGCAACCTATCCAGTCTCACATCATGGGAGGTATAACTGCAGCATTCCCATCTTTGAGCGCCGATCGTCAGAGTAGCAATAGCGGCCCTCCATCCGAGCCTGGCACATTGAGAGTCACAGTCCTTGATGCAAAAGACCTGTCAAGTAGTGACAGTAAAGCATATGCTGTTGTCCGTATTGGGGACAAGGAACACAAGACAAAACACGCTGGGAAATCATCCACCCCTGAATGGTAGGTGACCATGTCTGAGGGTTGAACATGACTAATGCTTGTAACAGGAACGAGTCTTTTGTTTTTGCTGCTGGGACTTTCACACCAAAAATGCACGTCTGGATTTACGACCATAAAACTCTTGGCAAGGATAAACTTCTGGGTGATGGAGAAGTCGATGTAAGTCATGCATACATGGGATATTTATTTCCAAATTTATCTGTAAATTCTCCTAGATATGGAGGCATATTCAACAGGGTAAAACCTCGTCAGCCGACGTATTTGCAGAATTGCGGGAAGGACAGGGATTACTCCGCTTGCGTCTGGAGTTTGACGCTGACACCAACCCATTAGGCCGAGGACCTTCTGTTTCGTCTTTTGAGCGTAGTGCAACCTTATCGTCCCCATCCAGATTTAGTATCCGCGGTCGACGGCCAGGAGCAAACGAGGACAACTGATTGACATTTCCTTGAGGTAATCCATTGGAGTTTCATATACAATATATCTGGAGAAAGTCGCCCGTCATAGTGATAGTAATTGAAACCATTCACGATTCTTGGTTGTCTACTCCAGTACACGCTACATTCTCTTTGTATAATAAATTTATGTGAACCTTATCCTAACTTCTTTACACAATGATTAGTTCTTTACAAAGTAGGAATGTGAAGGTTTTGGATTAGAGTGTAGAATAAACGCTAGGTGACAAGATTCAAGCTATCGTGAAAACTTAATGATAAATAAGTGTTCTCGTCCAGCTCTGCGCTGAGTGATGATCTGTGGTGCAATAATATTAAGCATTGAAATTGTTGCTGGGCGGAGTTCACTGACAACACTCTTTAAACCATATTCTGTCATCATCCTATGGCGAATGCCTGGAATATCATTTTGTTTGATTGCCACAAGGTAAAATTTGCCTGTATCCGAAAGAAGGACCTGTGGCAAGATAAAAAAGCAATCGGACGGAGAGGTCAACGCACATACCTCGACATCTTTTAAGAAAACATCAGTCACTTGCATACCATCAGTTCCACCTGCCCAAGAGCCCTGTATCCCTGCAGTGTGTTGAGCGCCATCTGCTTCATCCATATTGGTGGGAACATATGGCGGATTGAATAGTAGAATGTCGACTGAGTGTCGAAGTCTTTGTAGCAGTGGAGTTGCTAATGAGCCTATTATCGGGTCGAGAGGGGTCTACTATGAATATGACATGAGTAATGGGCTGCCTATCTGAATTTCTTGTACTGGCTCACTTTGTTTTGTCTTCCGGTTGCTAACGTGCAAGAAGAGGCGAACTGGTTAATGTCGGTACATAGGAATACTGCAATCGAATCAGATCATTTTCGTCTAACATGTGAGCGCAGATGCATACATGCGGTAGAAGTCCCTAGGATTGAAGCGAGAAATGCAGATACACATCCAGATCCGGAACTGGGGTCGAATAAAGTTAGATCTTATAATTGATAGAATCGTGTCACAGCTACATACCCGATTTCGAGGCATATCGACGGCTTGGATGTTCTGAGTTCATCAACCTCTAGTTCAAGCCCGTCCAAGAATAGAAAGGTGTCTTCTAACAACAAAAAATCAGTAGCTGAAACACTGGGCTCCAGATGGTCAAAGCATACCTGCGGGTTCATATACGTACTCGTAGTCATCCTTTGTAAGGTGAGATAGATCTGGGGTAGGAATCATATTTTCCACAATGATCAAGTAGACACAAAGAGCGTGTTTGAGGATCAAACTCTATAGCAAGTTACTAGTATCAACTTTTTGAGTTGAAGCTCGATGAGATGTCATTTCGGAGACCTCTACAGGTACATTTCCCAATGCGGAAACCACCAACGATTGAAAGGTCCTTCAAGTATCAATGTCAAGGCTGTTTGACAAGCGCCCCAGTACTCGTACTCCACCTGGGCGACCTCAGATTGATGACTCATAGCGCTCAAATTGAAAATGAAAATCATCGATACAATAACATTTTACTCGAACAATTACACTTCTATACATCATAATAGACCAATCTAAGAGCTACGCATCTATAACAAGTGGCATTTCAGTAATTAAGCCTCCTCATAGCTCCAGCAATACTTACAATACGAGGTGCCCACTAGCATGGTAGAAAGACTCTGTAGTTGATCTTCGTCGAACTGTAGCTGATCTTTATGCCAGGTATCCTGTGATTGACCTGGGTAAGCAACGTATCAGTGCACTAGGTAATATAATCATACCTGGTGAGTCTTTAGTGACACAAGTCAATTGTCAGTTAATGTTAGGGTTGTGTGAACACATCAATTGGACTTTACCTTCTTGAATTCCGACGCGCATTTACGAATCGTAGTTGATATCGGCGGAGGATCCGTGGCATGCACTGCCAGTACTAATCGCCGAATGAAACCATTCAAGTAAACATCAAAACGAAAGAGGTGAACAAATTTTTAAAAGAAATTTACGAACTTTCCGTAAGTGGAGGCATCCACGATTCAACAGAGTAGGGGAAACTTTCGATCAAAGCACAGATACCCAATATAGCGGAATGTAACGATCTTAGCTTTTCGGCGTATTGAGGCTGAGTTCTCGCTGGAAGTTTTACTTTGCGTGCCATAGAAACAAACCGGTTCTGGGAATTATAAGGTAACACCCAGGCAGCTCGATCACTGAACAGCTCACCTTCAACGGAGTAATACTTTGTCGTTGAGAACATCTCACAATCCCAGACAGCACCTGGGACGACATTTCTCGAACCTCAACATTTTCGTCCGACAAGCAATCGAGCAATAGATCCATCACCCTTGACACATCATCAGAAGAGGTGGTCAAGAGATTTCGATAGAAAAATACGACGAGAGCCGGTAAAGCATTCAAGCGGATACGCCAAGACTGGATTTAGTTTCGTCAGATCGAACTATATCACATAAAAACTTAACGCTCGTACCGTCGAGTCTTTGATTGATGACACAAGTGCCTCGAGGACTGCCCCGACATACTCCGACGGAAGATGTACAGCTGAGAGCACGTATAGAACGCCAGTAGCGTATTTTTGCAACTCCGAATTATCATTAAGTTCCAACATCTTTAATATCTCAGGTCTGTAAACATTGCTTGAATCAATATGACTGACTTAAAAGAGGAAACAACATACAGCATGGAAATAGCAGAAGGGAAAACCAAACATGCTTGTGGTCCATGGGACGATATCCATACCCATAACAACACTGCAAATAACAACAATTGATACTTCGAAAAAAAAAAGTAGAAAAGTAAAGTCTTACTTGTCAAACTAATGGTGTCATACTGATAAATTCACGCGTCCGTTATATCGTTTACACTGAATACAAAAGTAATACTTACCTCTGACTGATTGACACGGGGAGGAGGGAGGCGCTCTCCTTTGTACTTGGAAAGCTTTTGCACTGTTTCGTTGACGTGTTTGCCGTACAAATTGTCACTGTGCGTGTATATCTAATTGAGAAACTTCATCTTAATAACACCAGGTCAAGAAAACGAACCGGATGTGTAAAGGATCTTTCATCGTTTTGCAGGCATGCAACAATGCATCTACAGAAGGATACGAGGGCCGCCATTGATGTATCATAACCGCACGAAGCGCGTTGGCAAGCACTGTCCTGATCTATAGGCCCTCAAAGTTAGTACAAACTATCAAGATGAACCATTCAGTTAATACCTCTGCGTAGCTTGTGTTGGCATTATCAAAGAAGAGTGAGGCATAGCGATCCGACACTGAATTGAAGCGAACGCCCATGGTCTCAATTAACATGGTGACCACAAGAAGGGCTTTATTCACTTTGGTGTGTGGTTCAATAACAGCTCGAATGTGGAAAATATCTCAAGCAAAGACTCACTTGAAAATGCAGAGTCACCATGGAATTCGAGCGGGAGGGCAAATATCCAATCCACCAATGGCTGGTTGCGACGAGGGTCACGGTCTTCAAGGGTACTCTAGGAAGACTCAAAATAAGTTGTAATGAAAGAAAGATAGTAACTAGACTGACAGTCAAAAAATGTTCCCAGAAAACAAGGGTGTCAGGTTTGATCTGTGCGTATATTCGATCCAGTCGAGAAACAATCCAAGACCAGAGGTAATCCAACTTGGATTTGGGCCAGTGTTTGGAACCTGTACGACATATGCATATGTTAAAAGCGCTCATCAAGGAATCCGATTCATGCGCCTCACCTCGTAACAGTCCAGCCAATATTTCAGCAGCAGCATTTTGTTGGAACCTATCCGAGTTCCACAGCATTGGCTCTAGGATAGTTAGCAGGTCGTCTAACTTGTTATCTTCGAACATCTTAGCTAATAAAACATGTAAACCATATGCGTGAAAACAATGAGAAATAAAAATACCTATAGTCTTGACGAAGTTGATATTCTCTGTGCGTAATTCCTTTGTGTTACCTGCCTTCGTGAATTCTTGGCCCCAGAGTAAAGCCAGTTTCAAATAGAAGTCTCTATCTACGGTGCTTATTAGAGCTCTTAGAGTTGGTTCTGATTGCTTCTCCCACGAGATTGACGATTTTCCTTGTTTTACATAACCCTTTATCGAAGTGGACCAAGCCAAGAAACCGGTGGAAATTTTGTCGAAGTAAAGCTCGCTGCCAACAGTAAGCAAATGATAAGGAAATGACTCAGTAACGTACCTGCCGCCCTGCCCTATAGGCTGTCTTGTACTTTCGAGGAACTTTGAGGGATTAGTGATATGATACTGCCTTGAAAGTGGATTCTGCCATTCTCTTAGCCATAACTCATCACTGGATTTTGCATACGTGCGGAACTTGATGAAAGTCGCCAATTTCACCACAGCCCTAAATGAGCACATGTGTCAAATCACTCCTTACTCAGTAGTCACACGACGTACTGTTGAGCAGTGGCCCGAATGACAGGCTGGGGACTGATGACGTGTTTCATAAAAAAGTTTGCTACTTGTGGAAGTGTCACAGTATCTCTGCGCAGCAAGCCAGAAAGGAATTGCATCGCCATTTGTGTATATCTCCACTGTGAATCAAAAATAAAATCAGCAAAATTTCACAGATAAGGCGGACGAACACACATGAGTAGTGGGACGTGTTGCAATTTGAAGTATGGAATGTATCTGAGTGAAATATGTGCGTGTAAGGTGAATAATTGCATGGATAGAATGAAGAAGACGTACTGTGCTATTGTATGCTTCCCCCCGCCTTGCAGCACGAACAGGGATCAATGCAACTGCCTTACTTTGCAATGCCACATCAACCACTGTAGTCGAAAATTCTTCCTGGAGGGCACGTGAGGCAGCCTGGACACCTGGCATCTCGTCAGTGTAGGCAGCAGTGCGTACAACCTCTTCCGTTAAATTTGCCAAACAATCCTTTGACACTGTGCGAACCATATTTTGTACTGATGGCTGAGATTCCTTCGAGTTAGTGAAAGATGTTGTCAGATTTCAAGCTGACTCGCCTTCTCTTCATGCTGGCACTCGAGCAAGGACAGCAAATATCTTCCATGGAAGGTCTGGTCTGCATAAAGTTGAGTTATGAAACGAAGTTGTATAGTAAAAGTTCTATACCGGAGAGAGCATACGTCGCTGAATTACAGATCGTTAGCAATGGAGATAACAATATGCATATTGGACGCTCGTACCAGTACCCTTATTATTCAAAACATACAAGGCGCCTTTCATACGATCAGGATCATTGCCTTTTGTTAAGGCTTGGAGCAAAGATGGTAGGATGAACCTCGTTGATCGCATATAATACTGTAAGTTTGATTGATTGAAGGCTTTCACAATGATATTTATAGTTACATACCCCACAAACGCCGTGCAACGCGACCTGGGCAAGGCTGTGAAATGGTATTAGTATTTGACTCATAGCAAACTGATTGAAATCTCTCACCGTCGCACCCTGGTGTACGGTGAAAGGCAGAATTCAACCAGGTCGATGCTGAGAAGCTTATCGTCCAGTTCAGACCTTCGACGATACAGAGCATGCATGTAGACTCGGCCGCTATGATAGACTTGTGCACGCTTAACCCAGGCCATGCGAGCATTTTCCTTTTGCCTGGACCACGTCCGACTCAAACTGTAGAATATCATCAGCGTGAATATAGGAAAGAGAAGTTACAAGAATGTATATTCACTCTCTCGCTTGCGAATAATTCTTTTGCAGTTTGTCGAAGTCTCCTCTAGTCATACCATAGTCCAAGAAGAAGGTATCGATGGCTTTCACCACGATAATTACCGCGTCGATGTGGTCTTCACCTTCGTGACTTTGTCGAAGTATCGTAGCTGCACGGTGAATTACATTCCCGAAACGGTTTCGATTATCAACGACTATGCGATAGCGAGGATCTTGAGGATCTGTGAGAGTGAATCCTGCCTTGACGTCCAGGCGTTCTACGATCATCTCCTCTAATTCTATGTCCGAGTCAAGACATGGGTGGCTGATATCCTTCAAGCTTTCCTTATAAAAGGTGGGCAAACCACTCCATATGGACTTCACAACGTTGAGGTAGCTGTTTTGAACATTAAGATACGGATATAGTATACAAGAGAGGTCAACACACCGACAGAAATCATTACGAGCAACACCATCCCATTGCCCTGGAACGTCCAATAGAACATCTATTTTATCCAAGGCAGGCGATGCTATCCTATTCAGAATGTCCAGCACAAACTGTACTTCTTGATCGCTTGGTACTGATAGAAGAGAAGGAGACATGAAATATGAATAAAAACGACCAACTCTGGAACGCACCATGCCATTCAATCTTAACGTCTTTCGCCTCGTACAACTTGCCCCATGAAGCATTATGATTATTATCGAGGTCTGGCAGGTCGTCAGATATTATGATTGCCAGTGCTGAATCGTACTCACCCTCACTCTTCCATTCCTCGTCATTGACAAATCGGACATTTAGCGGATAAATTCCAGCCAGCGTATAGAGCATGCGCGTCACCAAATGGCCAGTTTCAGAATATCCACGTTCACTCTTGGCTTTTTCTACCAGCAAGACTAAAAGGCCAATTATTTCTTCCTTGTGCTTGAGAAGCTGCAGGCAGATGTAAATATCAATCCTCGACGCATTACAAACAAAGCACTGACAGTATGACTTCCATATCCGAGACATCCGCGGAGAATCGTGATATCTATGAAACTATTATGAAACACGGAACTGATGATCATGATGAGTAACCCACTCCAGTGCAACGTTGTATCGGATGGTACAGTGTCGTGTGTAGACGTTGTTCGGATGCTCGAAGCACCATGCTTTAATTCTTCTTGGATTTGTGAAATGCAGAACGGCAAGAACTTGTCTATAGTTTGTTGGGGTTTCGCTCGCGCTAGACATGCAATAAGCTGACCAAAAGCCCTTACAGCGTTAGACTTGGCATTAGTCGTTGCATAGTCGAATGTAAGCTTCAACACGAGATCAAAGAGTTGGTCCGAAAGGTGTGAGCAAACCACATTCAGCATGCTCTTTATCGACTTGAGAGCTGTTTCCTCCTGTTTCCCACCAGTTGTATTCTTCTTTCCACCTTCTTCCGGGAGATTCTCGTATAAAGCAAGGATTCTTCTGAACAGAGACGTCACCCAGTCTAATGAACCATTAACGGCATTCTCCATCACATGAATGTAAATTATACCTGCAAACCCAGCCGTACTCTCCCTAACGAGCGTCCGCTCTTCTTCTCTGCTAAGAACAGGGAATTGTCCGCTGTCAACACCTTCGGGTAGCACGATATCTCCATCGAAATCTGTGACATCTTCGCCCGGTGCATAGCCGGACAGTGCGTGTCCTGAATGGTGCATTGAAAGGTCGCCAATCTTGATGTATTGGAGTACACTCGCAATGAACGTTGTAGCACATACAGTCTTGACCGGATCATTCTACAAAATAAATTTTATCAGAAGGAGGATTTGAAACATATCAACAAAGCGAACCAGATCAATCCCGGGAATACATAACTCCAATAGTGGTGCGACATGCTTCTGACCTCCCCGCCAAATCTTCTCAGTTACCATTGGGAGAGTGATCCCTGATAACATGCTTAAAACTGCAGTAGTTCTGTGAGTTTCATTTACAACTTCTAATCCACCGTATGCACGTTCGAGGAGCTCTGGCATTATAAGACCGGGTTCGAGCAACGCTAAGTTACGCAGTGCTCCTTGAGCGTAACCCAAAGAAAGAGGGTCTTTGGAGAACATGGCCAATAAAGCAGGTGTTTGGAGTGTTTTAACAAACTGTCGGCGAATGGCAGGTGTTAAACGGTGAGTCTAAACATATACATGAGTGGATCAAGCACATTGACGGCACATTAGTTTAAATACCACAGGCGTTTTACAATCACGCTGCTCTTCCTCGTGCCAGCGCTTACTGAATTCAAGAGTAAGACAGTGGAAGAGGTTAGTTAGCTGTGAAAATAATGTCATTGCAATGTCAAACAAGTATTTCAAAGATCTTACAATTACGGTCCATGGGCCAGAGTTAGACGGATGGAAGAAAGTCTCCGTGCTTGTGATAAACCTATCTAAGCTTTCTAAGGCTTTCGAACCGGCTAGATATCCTGAGCGTGGATTCGACGGTCCTTGGGCTGACACGGTTTCGGAGTCAATACGCACAGGTCCATCTACTGCCATAGAGTACACGAATAGCTTGGCAATGGCACCTATCAATGAAGTGAACGTCAGGAGACAAAACTTTTGAGTGGGAAACTCAGGTATACTTTGTCGGCTTATGTTCTTCTTTATCTTGATGTCTTGTCCGACCGATGCATCAGCCTGCACGGAGGTTGTGCTAGCACCCTATATCAGAAATAAAACATTAGACGTATATCTTCATTTTCTCTCTCTTAAAGCTTACTCTGGTCTTTCCGACAGGAACGTCTATCAGAACGGTGTCAATGCATTGGACAACAGACTAGGAATGAAATAAATGCGCACTCATAGACGCGAGCCCTTTGCTAACGAGCATTGTCCACTCCTCCTCGGACCATATTCCAATGTCCTTCCAGACGGCACCGCCTTTTTCACCGGCAATGCCTGACTTTCCAGCAACATGTTCTTCGCAGAGGTTACCTACCATCTCAAGGAGTCTGTCGTCCATCACGAAAGAATTGAAGGCCTCCCATATTTTGAATAGCACTGGCATATAGAAATGAGGACATGCAGGCGGAAGGAAAGACGTCAAAACTGGGGTCATCGTTAGATGTGTCTGTCATTTGGTAAATTAGCGATATACATGTGCATAGATGCTCCACATACATCAGCAGTGAATAATGGCAAAAAAGTTGAAAGCATTTCATTTATGTCATCATCAGAGAAGTAGCGCTTGCACTGCTCGGCAACGTAAAGTAGAATATTCACGACATTGCGTCTGTGACGAGATAAAGATGGTAAGTTACTTCCACTGAAGACAGTTTGTTAACTTACGAGGAGTCATGCAACCTCTTTTTAGGCCACAGCTCATTCCGTAGAACACGCCAAAGAGGCTTCCAAGGAAGCTGTAAATCGGTGGCCTCTAGTTTGCGCCTTGATCCTGCTTTGTTTGAGAGGAGGCGGGAAAGCATATCTGCCCAGCTTCTGGTGACACGCGCTTCGATTCCTGGGACAAGGCATAGCTCATAATACAACCTGACCAACTTGGCCCGAGTCGACTTGGGCATGGGATATCGCATGAGAAGCCAGCTTGAGATAAATGCAGTACTAAGCCTGATTCATGAGTGCGAAAGGTTGACAAGAGACTCACCACTGCAGCATTGCATCCCATGTTGTCATAACGAGCCAGTTCCTGGACTCTGCGCAGATGATCAACTTTCCGACTATGCGCTCGAGGTGAGCCCGCATCTCGTCAACAGATTCGCATTCGTAGGGCAGCGAGTCGAGATAAGTCTGAAGAGATGCTCGCTGTTTGTCAGGAGATTGCACGGCGGTAAAATCATCTGCTGGGGAATCCAAGGACATTTCTTGATCATCCATGGTGAAACTAGTTATCATGAAGTCGTTCAAGTGAACATGATTAGCTGACGAAATAAAATCAAGCAATGACATGGTTGGGTGTGATAGTAGGTGGAATTCAGGGTGAGAAAGCTACTGGCACATACGTCTTAAGGTTTTATATCTTCAGCTGACGCGTCCCCTGTTCTTCTAGTATTTGCTTTCTGTAATCAATGTCTCTGGTAAGTCAGAGACGCGTATGCTCTTTCAGAGATCTTGCTATGATCGCGGTACCGTCCCGCTCCGGCCGGTTGTCCGTAGTACTGGCGCGACACTGCCGCCTACCACCCGAGTCCTACATATAGGCCTACGTAGAAACGTCGACAAGGTTAACACCAATTTCTACGTTTCCGGTATCACACCTAGCCCTTGAGTCCAGTAAATTCACCTAACAGTATGATACAGCTTCGACCGCTGTCTCTCAGAATTCCGGCCTCTTGGAATTGCTCAAGCTTCCGTTCAAGGCCTTTTCAAACGTTCTTTCGAGCAAGTCGCACCATCCACGTCAATAATGCAGCTGTTCGCTCAGGGACTGTTAAAGCCTCGCTGAAACCTTTCGTTTGGGGCGCAATCACCACCTTGTCGATAGCCATTCTCCTTCAAAATACTGTTCATCTCGATGCCGTTACTCCCCCAGAACCTAAAGATGTTGAAAGTATGTACTTCCTCTATGGATCGTGCATTGCTCTAATCGTATGGTCAGTTGATCCTGCTACATCAATCTCGTTCCCGAAGACTCTGCAGATACCATCCAAATATCCCCTCCCAAAATTCTCGCTCGTTGGAGTTGGCGTGCGGACTGTATCGTTTCTAAGGATGAATGTCTATTCCGTAGGATTCTACGCAGACTTGGCTAATCCGGATTTAAACGTAATCTTCACTTAATACGCATAGCGAGCGACCGTACTCATTACGGTTGGATACCGCTGGCAGATTCCACGCAATGCAACACCAGAGGAAAAGATCGACTACATAGTACGCAATACTGCATGTGTCCTCCGTATCAGTGAGTATCTTTTCGCTATCTCACTATAATTAAACTTATCCCTTCATTAAGTCCCTACAAGGTCAACTTCTTTCAGCCATATGCGCGACGGTTTCGTGCGTGCTCTTATGGGTCGCATGCAGCTATGTGTGAAGCGGGGTAGTGTTACTGCAGAAGAGGAGGCTGGAGCACAGTCACCTATTCGGAAACTCAAATCTATCTTCCCCTCTACATCGCTGAAAAAACACACACCGCTTGATGTCCTACTGACTCCCCCAACCGGAGATCCTTCACGTCCGAGGGCACTCATCTTCCGTGATCTAGGTACTATAGAGAACGACTGGGTTGCGAATGAATTTTTCCTTGCATACTTCGAGGGAAGCGGAATCAGCCCCCCAGTACGTTTGCTTTTGACTGTCTCGTTGTCAGAATTGTATTCACTTTGTGTCACAGCTTAAGCAAGCTACAGTCGAACGTTTGGAATCATACGGGAAGTAGTTCCAATTCATCTATTCACTCCAAGCTTCCTGAAAAAGTGGGATAATATTTGTTAGATGAGTATACACTGGCACAATAACAATAGTTTATCATAAAGTTGCATACTCTGCTTAAACAACGATTATAACAAATATGGAGATTAGGAAAGGATTTCAAATATAGTCCCGTTTAGCTCAGTTGGTAGAGCGCGTCACTAGTAATGACGAGGTCAGTCGTTCAAGTCGGCTAATGGGAAAGTTTATTATTTTTTTGCTCAAGCCTTCCGGCACCGGCGGCATACGAAGAATTATCTTGCTTCGCCGCTGCCAAGCCCTCGATGAAGAAAAGATTGCAACTTCAATCGCAAGCGGATATGGCCTATGTGAGTATCTACCCATGTATCTATTTTAGTGAAATACACCAATTCAAAAAGCGTCCACTGGGAAAAAGTTAAAAACAACAAAGCAGTCCGAGCACAGAGCATTGTCATATTCATATTGGTATTTGCGCACTTCGAGATCAGACTCTGGATGAAAAGACGGTAATACAATGGACCATGTGCCCGTGGTGACAGTCGTGTTGGCTGCTTTACCATACTTATATTCCGAGAATGAATTTAGCGGCTGGTCATATGGCAAGTACAGCATCACTGTTTGACAGGCGACGTCAGTTATACCGTCCGGTTCAACCCATTGCTGTTATCGGTGATATCAACATTCAAGGTGAAGAAGGAAACACGGGGCAAGTCGTGTGATCTTCAGATACACACGAAGACAACAAAGGCACTGCTCGGATCCGTCGAGCAGAAGCGATACTACGAGTCTTACCGATTGATGGGAACATTGAAGTGACATACTTGAAGCGTTTCTTCGGGGTCGAGCGGGGGATCTTCCGGACCATTCTCATGAGGCAAGACAAGCCTATAGATGTGAATGTATTTGACTAGATTGAACTACAGGCTAGAGAAGATTACTCACTAAGGATAGCTATATGTGAGCGGACCACCAGAAGAAACCATCATCGTAACATCGGAAAGGCCCGTTTCGTCGGCAAGGAGCAAATAGATACAGCGTTAGAACGGGAAGCAAAGAATCACAGCAATGTGAAAGATGATGCGCGTGTGCTTGGGATGATCTCATCACAATAAGCCATATTTTTCCACTGCTTATTATTGGTCATTATTGGCGGCTATGAGAATAGGAGAAGAACGTGCACAATTAGCAAGGTTTCACTACCATAAAGAACCAGCGGAAGGCCACAGAGTGATATGACTTGCAATGGAGATGATGGCCCGAAGATGTCCTCTGGTTCTTCTAGGAAGAGTTCTGCGAATCCGTAGATCAGATAAGTAGCCCATCATCGAATGCTTGTCAAAAATTCCTGATTCTTGTGTCTTGTGAGATTTTGGATCTGGTGTACGGAGCAGATATGGCTCTGACATCCTTGAAATAGCAGTGGCGAAATTCTCGTTGTGCAATACCGCACTGCTTTTCACCTGAACGAAGGAACATCATAAGGTGAACCTTGTACTACTAGTAGCACAAAGCATCGTCAACTACCAGTACTTATTGCAGCTACGAGGAAGCATTCCGGCGGCAAAGTGATCGCCGTCAAGGGACCTAAGAAGCCCAATCCGGATAATTCCGGTCCCTATAGATTCTCCGAGTCTGTGGCAGCCTGATCAGTGACCATGTAAGCATCAGTCGCTTGCTTGGCTTCAGAACGATTTATCTTTACGGTTCAAAAAATAAATTCGTTTACAGAACTCGGATTCTCGAATACGTTGTACCGGCTGAAGGTTGAAGGTGAAACAGACGTTCGTTATTGCCTCATACATTCTTGTCCAGGTAGCTTCGTCTCAAGGTGAGTGGGTTTTTTTGCCTTTGCCAGTATCCAGTTGACTTATCGCTGTGCTAGTGATTTGGAATACATATGACAGCTCCTTGGCAGAAAAAGTCACAGGACCGGTATTGACAGTTTTCTCATTCGCTGTATGGTTCAGTGGCGTGGACTTGAACGAGATATCAATGGAGCTACTGATCTCAGGCATTTTATTCATCATAGGTCCATAAACCACTTAATTGATACCGAACATGAGAACAAACCCGACTCTCGAACTCCGGAGTAAAGCTTCAAAATTCCGCTCAGCCATCCATCGACATCCTCCAGTGTTTGGTGACCAACCAGGAAAGTGGTATCTGGGTAAATGGAGGTACTCAGAGCTCGTATCACCAGTCTACTACTAGAAAACGATAGTTTGAAGCTGCAACTTTCAAAGTGCTCTACGAGAGCCGCAAGGATCTATCGTGCTGCAAGTAGAATGCACGTGTTCGGTTGGAAAGAGGGATTCGTCTCATCTCCAGGGCTTTTGAGATTTTCTCTTATTACGACAGTGTAACAATATATATTTCTTCTTTGCTTATCTCTAGTAAACTTACTGGCTCAGTTTATGAAAAGTCTGTCTGTCTTCTATCTCGCGGTTACCACACTAATGAATGATAGTTTGCCTGTTTTGTTGTGTCAGAAGTGCGCCTTCGCTTCTCCTGCAATCAGGAAACTGGGTGGCAGCAAGACAACCCATACAACCACACGACTTCCACGACTTTCGTTTCGTTTCTTTATACCTCGGCTATTCTGCAATTACGATGGGGTTTTCTTATTTCATTGTATTTTATTTTCACTTCGTCATACCATCCACGTTTATTTCATAGATATAGATTTCCTTTTCATCTTCATTATATCGTCACTTGGTGACGATACATAGGCTTTCAAGTTTCCTAATATATTATCAGATCTTTACATATCTCTCGTATTGTATACGTATCTCTATGACATTCCCCACATTACGAGAATTTGTTCGACTCGTTGAAACCGCGTGTTTGACTAGGGCAAATTCGCCACAGTAAGACATATAACCTCGCAATACCCATGCAACTAGCACTGAACCCGTTCTCCTTCTCGAGATCACACTTCAGTGTAGCTTGCTTCCAACATGATGACAGACTTCTGGCAGACTATTCGCCTTGGGTCGTTTTCCAGGCTCAATGTTCTTGGAAAGGGACAACCATGCCGAAAGTGACTTTGTACATCGTGTTCTTTTAGTTTCCGTTACAATGGGCTGTGGTATCCTGCCTGAAGCAATAATGTACCCCAATACCTTCCTCCTGGAGGAAGAACTTCGAAGAAGAGCTGTCAACGGTCCGTGTCCCGAAGCAAGCCAATCCAGATGATAATCCATGTGTTGAAGGTGAGATGCTCTGAGATCATCAAAAATCACGTACATGAGGCCTGAGGTCCTGCTCCTGCACCGAAATGAAGTTAATGGCGGAAAGGTCATCTCTACACATGTTAGTAGACGGCGAGGCTAGCCCTGGGTTGAAAAAAGGCGAAGGAGAAGGAAAAATTAACTAGCCCACCGCGAGGGTCGAACTCGCAGCCTTCAGATCGCCTAGTCATAAGAGTCTGACGCTCTATCCGATTGAGCTAGGCGGGCATATCTTCAGACACCAAGAAGCGTTTATAGTATAAAGTAAGCTCAAACTGCAATTCGACACGTGTGTACTACGCCTCCGACGGAATGGCTGTCCTGGTACGTTTGAGCGTCACGGTCTTTATCAGAAGGAAGGGTGGGACGATAATGAGGCAAGGTGATAGCTGCACTCTACTATAATTCGCATCAGGTGCGATTTTTAAAAAAATGACATAATGCTCTACCAAGTACTGTTAGAACAACTATGAGGATTGAGAATTATTATGCCACGGAGAGAGTAAAGGACATCATACGGGTGAGTGACCAAAAATGGCTATAACATAGAGTCAGTGGCTGCGCCGCAGGCTATGCCTTCTGATAGACTGCGTAAATGATTCCAGCGCATCCGCAGGTACATCATGATGTCCTTCGCGCTCACTGCGCTCAGCGAACCACGCGGTAAATTTTCGGCAGAGGAATTGGACACCTTGAAGATGATCCCCACATAAAAAACATTATGATGATAGAGACAAACACGAGAGCAAGTGAGCTTGGGCTGCGGAGACGATAGGATGTTCTTGGCCTCGCTGAATTCGTGCTGGACCGGGCATCAATATCCGCGCGACTGCAAGCATACTGGGATTGACATGAGACTGTTTCTTGTAGTGGGCTGCGGACTGGCGGTGCCATGTGATGCAGACAGGCTGCGGTGCTGCAATAGAATCGCTTCTTCGAGTTGTTTACGAGGTCTGCTGTGCGCAGCTTACCCTGCAAGATAACAAAGAACATTGAGCCAGGGGAGAGGCCATGATGCGCATGAAGTCTGGGCGTCCCAGTCTCGAGTTGAGCCAATTCAGGATGATATTCACACGCTGCATGGATGACACAATAGCAGTCGTCAGCATTCTAGGTGGCACCTTACTGCAACTTGCAGTTGTCTCTCTGCTGCACAGATAGAGCGGCTCGGCTGCATGACAAGTCCAATGTAGATATAGTTCGCTCAGCCTGAGGTTCGCGCTCAAAGACTCTGGTTGCAGCCGGAAAGTGCCGAGAGTAGTGTTGCTGTGAGGGTGAGAAGAGTTGCCATTCGCTGAGTTGCAAATCCGTATAAAGCAAGGCAGGTACGTGTTCCGCAGCAGCCAAAGGCTTTGATTTCGCCCCACAAGTGTGTTCTCTCCTTGACTCACACTTCTCTGCTCTCCCGCTAGCGACAGACATACAAAGCACAGTCCTCCTTAAATTTATCCGCAGCTCGTTTCATTCGACATGTCTGACCCGCAAACAAACATTTATACTCCTCCTTTCGAGGCCTACAACGCTGAATACGCAAAGCAGCAGCAACAAGGCCTCGACTTTATTTCATTTCACTCGCCTTCTGACATCCTTGCACCACACCCCGATCTCTTCGAATTAGAACTCGACTCCAGCCTCGCGGCTTTCAACGAAGTCCAGCTGCAGCTTCTCACCGTCGACTCCAACGACGCCTACACTTTCTTGAGATCCGACACCCCCACGTGTGGCCCTCCGTCTACTATTACTGTCTCCTCTGAATCAGCCTACGATTCTCTGTCCTCGCATTCAGAATCTTTTTACAATTATCCTAGTTCCCCATACTCTTCCACCAATTATTCCTTCCCTCTTGACCTCGAGATGGACTTTCAAAGGATTCGAGTCGAAGGCGGTGTCTCTGACTACGGCGGTGTCAGTGTAACGCCACCCACTTCCGGTGCCCGTCCCATCACTGTGGACCCAAACTCTTTTAGCGCCTTGCCTCCTACGCCTTCCCCGCAGCCCCCGCTGTCTGTTCCTGCTGCTGAGAGTGCTTTCGACCAGTCGACCTTCTCTGACTTTGCTGAGACCAACGCTCGTGTGAATTCTTCTGCCTCTCCCGATTATTACGCGCAGCTTGGCTACAACGTTGGGGTTTCCAATCAAACTACGATCTCTCCCTCTAATGTGTCTCAGTTTCCTGTGGCGTCTGTTCCTCAGACCCGTACTCGACCAGTGGAGGATGACATCAAAGATGACCCGCGCAAGCGGTACAAGTGTGTTTCATGTCCCCGCGGTGAGCAATTTTTATTTAATCGTCAGTTATAATTGGGGCTAAAAACAATATGCGCAACTAGCTTTTGCTCGTGCCTACAACTTGAAGACACATATGGCGACACATGATCCCAACCGCCTGAAGCCACATGTTTGCCCTCATCGCTCATGTGGTAGGTCATTTAGTCGTAAACATGATTTGGGACGTCATCTGGTTAGTATCCACCGGGACGAGTCTGTGTGCTCTGCCCATTCTTCGGCTTCTAAAAAGTCCGTTGGCGTGGATAAGGGCCCGAGGGGATGGTGTAACTCCTGTGGGAAAGGTTGGGTCGGACGCCCAACTGAGTGTTCTTGTGCTGACATCAAATAAAAACGAACGTCATCACGGTTTCTATATGCGTCAGTATCTTTCTTTATTGTGATGGCATGTGCAGCTACTAATTGTGACTTTATAACAGCTAAATCTTGTGCGAAATTATTCGCCACTGAATCCATGCAGTTGAAGATCGATCCGTCTCCCATTATCCCGATGACGTTTCGTATCCTGCATCAATCACACAGTGTGTCACGTATCGTACCGTTCTGCCATAGTTGCATGGACCCAGCGACGAGCGTGATCACAATGTGATTTCCCTATATTCCCAGTATTAGTTGCTTCCATGCTCAGTCTGTTGGGTTTCGATACCACTTTATCTGTCTTCAAAGCCATAGACAAAGATCGACGTGACGATTTTCTGGAAATTCTCTGAATGTTATGTTTTCCCTAGCTTTACACAAATCTGCTCATCGTTTTCGGATTATCGTTAATTATATTAAACACTTGTACATACTGGATGCAAAAAGAACTGGAAAATGTTTTCTTCACCTTCACGATGTCTGCTATATATCGACCAACATCGATATGCACCCAGTCTGCAATATGACTGTCGTTTGTTTTCTGCACATTTCTCAGCGCTCTGCTTTGTGTGACGTGACCTTGGTAAGATCACGCCGGAATCCTTTTCTGGCAACTGAGCGATCTGTTGAACTGCCAACCACACCATTCCGTCACCACTGACGACTGGAATCGTCTTCACTTGCAATGACCTCATCTCTTCACAGAAACACTGGGACAGTATATATACCTAGGGATGTGTTGCACATCTCAATTAATCGATTCATATCTGTCTACGAAACGTCATGTCTAGTATTCGGGATACCATACAAAAAGCTGTTTCCACCGTCACCTCGTCCGCAAAAATTGCCGACTTGCAGTCTGACATACAAGAACCCAAGTCAGGTCAAGCTTTAACAACAGACCACGGCGTTAAAGTATCTGACACTGATAACTGGTGACTTTCTCTCATTATTCCTGTCTTCACTTGGGTAACTGAACCTCCTTCCTCAGGCTCAAGGTGACAAATGGCCGTGATAACGGCCCTTCTCTCCTTGAAGATCAGATTGGTCGCGAGAAAATTCATCGCTTCGATCACGAACGCATTCCAGAACGTGTAGTGCATGCACGCGGCGCCGGAGCTCATGGATACTTCAAGGTTTATGATGATCGTGCTTCCAAGTACACATATGCGCCTGTTTTGACTGATTCCTCGAGGTCCACCCCTGTTTTCATTCGGTTTAGTACAGTTCAAGGATCTCGTGGTAGCGCGGTATTGACTTCATCTTCATCTCACATATGATGCACCTAACACAAATCATCAGGACACCGTTCGTGATGTTCGTGGTTTTGCAATCAAATTCTTCACAGATGAGGGAAATTGGGACCTTGTTGGAAACGATATACCTGTCTTCTTCATCCAGGACGCTATCAAATTCCCTGATCTCGTACATGCTGTTAAGCCAGAACCTCATAATGAAGTACCTCAAGGCCAAACCGCGCACAACAACTTCTGGGATTTTAGTGGTTTACAACCGGAAAGTGAGCTCAAATCGTCATCGGCATAGCTTTAATTTGAAACCTGCTTCATAGCGGCCCATATGATAATGTGGGTTATGTCCGATCGTGGTGTACCACGGTCATTCCGCATGATGCAAGGCTTCGGCGTAAACACATACACCCTCCTCAATGCCCAAGGGGAACGTCATTTCGTGAAATTCCATTGGATCCCTGAGCTTGGTGTACACAGTCTGATGTGGGATGAAGCTCTTAAAATCGCCGGTCAGGATCCCGATTTCCACCGAAAAGATCTTAATGAAGCGATTGAGAACGGTGCTTACCCGAAGTGGAAGCTTGCCATTCAAACGCTCCCAGAGTCCAGAGAGCACGAGTTTGAGTTCGATATCTTGGATGCAACCAAAGTGTGGCCTCAGGAACTGGTTCCTCTCGAGGAAATTGGAGAACTTGTCCTCAACCGCGTTGTCGACGAATTTTTCACTGAAACTGAGCAAGTTGCTTTTTGTACAAGCCACATCGTTCCCGGTATTGGTTTTAGTGACGATCCCTTGCTGCAAGGGCGCAATTTTTCTTACTTCGATACTCAAATTTCGAGACTAGGTGTCAATTGGGAAGAAGTAAGCTGCTGACTATGCTTTCATGTCAATATCCACTTATATAAATTACTCCAGCTACCCATCAATCGACCAGTATGTCCAGTGTTGAACCATAACCGCGATGGGAAGAGTCGACATCGCATTGTTCAAAGTAGCGTCAATTACTGGCCAAATCGAAAGGATATTGGCCGACCGGTCAAACCTGAAGAAGGCGGATATGCAGAGTAAGTTGAGCACACTCGATATCATACGTTCTTGTATAATAAGTTCCCTCAGGTTCGCCCAACGCGTAGAAGGCATAAAAAAACGAGTTCGTGGGGAGAAATTCCAGGAGCACTACAGCCAGGCGCAGCTATTCTATAATTCCCTTGCGCCATACGAAAAGTCGCATTTGATCAACGCTATCTCGTTTGAACTCAGTCACTGCGACGACCCAGCTGTCTACAAATCCTACACTACCGTACTAAGCAACATCGACTTCGAGCTCGCTAAAACTATTGCGATCAAGGTCGACGGGGTGTTGCCCGAGAAGCCTGGGCGGCCCAATCACGGTCACACCAGTAAGGGTCTCTCTCAGTTGGAATACGCGTCCAAGGAGCCCACCATTGTATCTAGGCGCATCGCCATTTTGATCGCTGATGGGTTCAATGCTGTGGAATTGCAAGCCGTTCGTGCCATCCTGACAAGCGCTAAAGCCGTATGCTACATCATCGGACCCCGGCGAAACAAAATTCACCCTTCCGAGGCTCAGGATATTGGTGAAGGTGTTACGGCAGATCACCACTTCGAAGGACAGCGATCTACTTTGTTTGATGCTATCTATATTCCGTCTGGTGAAAAACACATTAAAGAGCTCGCCAATAATGGCCGTGCAGTCCACTGGGTGAGAGAGGCGTTTGGACACTGCAAACCGATTGGTGCCATCGGCGAGGGTTTGTTTCCATCTTCATAAATATCGTTCCACGTGAATCTGATTGTCGTCCACAGGCGTGGATTTCTTGCGGGATGTCGTAAGATTACCAGATGTTGAACTGTTCGCACCGCCTCGCGGTAGTGATGAGGTTGTATCATCCTATGGTGTTGTAACGACTGGAAGATATAGTGTATCCTCCGCTGCAAGAGACACCCTCAAGATAACACAGGACAGTAAAGGTTTCGCTGCCAACTTTGCATATCAAATTAGCCAGCATAGGTGTTACCAGCGTGAGATGGATGGATTAGTTGAAAAAGTTGCGTTTTGAGTGCGGAGATTTTGATATGCACCAGTTGTAATTGGTTAGCTGCGCACTTGTACAAATATAATGTGACCAATTTTTATGCAATGTGGGAAAGTGTTTGTTTATTGTACAGTCGTGAAAGTTACAGTTTTACAAGTCAACTGGTAACCTACAAAGTTATGATGATCATACGTGTTGGAAAGTTCACTGCCCCGTCTCGCCCATGCCCAGCGCTACAATCGCATAAACATTAGCGACTAGTACAACTAGCCATATCGCGTATGCTAATCCTGTCAATACATATCCGCTACTGAAGTCCACGGTTTCAGTTGGAGCAACAGTTGGTTTCTTTTGATCTGCTTCGTTAACTTCGTGTACTTCATTGACAATAATGTTAGATTTTTCTTCGTCATGTAAGTTGATATCAATATGCGTGGATGGCAATTCTGGCGGGGACCGCACAACATCTGCTATGCTGGTGACAGATCGATGTGCTGGTTCTGGGGATGACGCCTTTGCAGCGTCATCATAGGGTTCGGGAGAGGAAATTGCTGGTTTCGGTACGGACATGACCGTTTTCGATGACGTGAGATAGATGAGGGGGAATGCGACAAAAGGGAGAACAACGGAGAGTGCAACTTGAGATGCGACGAGGAGTGTATTGATACCAGACCTTCCAAAAGCGACAGCTACTATCATGGACGGGATTAAACTGATTAATCGGGTGATAAGGCGGCGGAAGAAGGGCTAGGAAGAGAGCTAAGTATTGTCGCCGTGACGTATAAAAGAACTGGTTACATACGGAAATGTTCCACAGGATAAATCCTTCCGATACGATCTGACCTGCTAAAGTAGCAGTGATACTGGCAGTCTGACCAGAGCAGATCAGAGCGAGCGCAAACATAAGGGCAGCTCCTTTGAGATTATAGCGAAATGAGTAAATTCAGAGCCATGGCACACTGGAAATGCTGACCCTTTCCAAGACTCTGTCCTACGAGAGTGTGCATATTGAAGAGTCCAACCGAGGTGGTGTTATCCGGACTATAAAATACGGTGGCAGCAAGAATCAAGATCCTATGAAAATATTTTAGCTTTAGTAAGGTAGCAGGAGATCAAGAACTATATTTACGCAGAATTGATTGGTACGGCAACCGCTAATAAGCTGAGGACAACATCGACAGTGCCATGGCGAATATGTGCAGAGATGAATTTTAGCGAGTTATTTTCACGGAGTCCATGTCTGGTCGTAAGATCTTTTGATTCCCTCTTTTCTGAGCGGTAAATACTGAAGAGAGCACGACGTATTCGGGTCCATCGGCCACGGACGCCGGGCTCAGACGTTGTTGATGGGGTTGGTAACGGCCTAGGTGCCGTGGACACTCGGTCTTGCGTTGCAAGAGAAGATCCTAAAAATAATGCGTGAGGCATGACGGTCGCCCCAACGATTCCAATAGCTAGGGGGGTGACATGTCAATGTAAGTTGCCGGAATAGCCTAAAAAGTATTCACAGGTGTAAACTGCATTGGGCTGGGTTTGGAATAGTCCTTGCGAAGGTAAGAAGCCGAGGAAAACCTCAGGCCACGCAGGGTCCATCCTAATTAGGAGAATAATAAAACAAACAAACACTACGGCAACCTTTACGGAAGTTGATCAGCCAGTTGAGACTTGACGTGCGAAAGGGACTGCCTTACCAGGATTATGATAGTGAATTCGAATAATCTGACGGGTCGCCCGCCGCCTCTTGATGGGTCACCGATGATGAGGAAAATCAAAACATCCGCACCCGTCAACAATACACCAGACCAGAGGGGGAGCGTCGGGAATAAGAGGCAAAAACCGATGGCAGAGCCAAGGAGTTCTGCCAAATCTGTGCTGATGATGGCAATTTCGCACAAAGCGTACAAGGGGTACAGGACTAAACGCCTCACGAGGCGAGGATGCTTTGGGTGGTCGTGAAGAAGGAGCCGACAATGTGAAGCCAGATCTAGTCGGCAATGAAAATCGCATGATATTCAAGGACCGTTTGAACAAGATACCTACCTAGGCCGGTAACGCAGCCTAATCTAGCCGCCAAGACCTATGCAGCTCTTATCAGACAAACGAGCGAGGTGAAGCAAAAAGAAAGCGGACCTGGAGAACGATTGCGATGATTCCTGAGAGAAGAATCACAAATAGCATGGGCCTGTACCCAAAACTGGAGCCGGCTTGCAGATCGACGCTCCAGTTACCCCTGAGTCGCAGCTGAGAGGTTATTCACGACTGGGAGTGGCTGGGGGAAGCTTACGGGTCAAAGTAGCCAACAGCGCAGACGATGCCTACGCCAACGTGTCTTTTCATGTGGTGCACGAGAATTTTGAGGACTGAACGCGCAGACCACTTCTCACGAGCGAGTGAAGAGGTAGATGAGGTGGAGACATGTGAAGAAGAGTGGGCTGGAGGCGACGAAGGCCTGGAGTGGATTTGAGAAGACATTGCAGGGTATGTCTGGGAGAAAGACACGGGCTGTAGAGATGCATGGTACGGTATATATACATAACTACAAAAATGACCCCGTCAGGTGTGAAGTCTGGCGATTGCAAGTGTGAACTTGGACGACAGTAGCCAAGCACCAAAAAGGTTTGCACCAGATCTTATCAGATTTATTCGAAAGAAACTATAAAATCAACTATAATCGTATCTGATTTCGACCTAAATTCATTCAGGAAATTGCTTAAAATATCCTTTTTTCCAACGCTTTGCCAAAATTACCGCCGGAATTGAGCGGCAGCTGTCTGCCCGTTTTTGTACCCAAGCTTGTTTTCCCAATCGGTCCTATTGCTGCCACACTGTGAACGGTACTGTCACTCCACCTTCTGCTCTCCTCCGCATCCCTATCTGTCCCGTTGTCATGGATAACAGCGACCTCCACCCCCTCGACGACTATACACACAGGTTCTTCATTTGGCATGAATGGATCCAAGTCTCTCCTCTTCCTCCCTCATTTCCGTCCCTTGACTCATCCTCCTCTTCCATCTGTCTAGGCAAACGGCCCTCTGACCGTCGATAATGTGTTCGATTACTTCGCAACTTCCATGTTCTACGACAAACAAAGCAACAACCAGGTTCTCCGCATGCAAACCATGCACATTGCAATGCCTATCCTCAACGAGGCGGAAGAACTAAAGTGCGTTCTTCCCTTCTTCCTTCGGTACTCCGGCTGGTTTACATCATCTTTTACTATCCATTACAGGCGATTCACTGGCATTGAATTTGCCCTCGTCCATGCACACCCTCCGTCCCTTTTCATCATCCACAAAAGGGAGCGTCTTTCACCCGAAGAAGGTTTCACCTACATTCACAATCTATCTTAGACGTCTCGCTCACGTGCTCCTGTTCACAGTACGCCCACTTGCCGCTTACTTTGTAGTCAACAATCGTATTTATCAATCCCCGGATGTTTACACGGTTTTGTCCAACCGTTTGGTATGCGTTTATTCCCGATGCAATGGAAAATCCCAGCCTAATTAAAGATTTATATTAGCTCACCTCCCTTTACTCTTTGCAGTCATCTCTGGATATACTGCGCTCATATAGACCGGATTACACCCCTCGTACCGGTTTCGTCTGGCCAGTTATGGACCCGTCCCTGGTTGAAGGAACAAACAAAAACCATAAATCGCAGGTAGACCCTATCGGCGCCGCAAGCCAACAAGACCTTCCTCCGTTTATGGAAAAGCCAAAAGCCGCCGTACAGAAGAAGCAAAATGATTCCCTTATGCTCAATGCTATGAGGACGACTGCAGTACACTCTAACGCCTCTTTCTCTTCCCGTGTACTTGCCATCGAGGCGGAGAGTGTCCCCGATACCCCCGTTGCCGGTCCAAGTCAACGTTTATCGACTACACCTGCTCCTTCTGGTACTAGAGATGTCACGCCCAAAGCAACCTCTAATGCACCAACCCCACGAGATGCCAATCCGGCCAGGGTTTCGGCAGGTGCAGGCAAGAAGAAGAAGAAACGTGGGTATAATTGAAGTTTGAACATAGCTGTTTATACGCTGACTGTACTCATCGCTTAGGGACTTCTCTGGCACCCGCAGCCAATTGATAGTCATCCGACTTCCGATATACTTCCAAAAATGTGTCCTTGCGAGGTTCATCCGACTAGATGTTATGCTTCAGTGGCATACAGTTGCTGCTATTATCAAGTGGCACCTTACTGACGCTCGGCTCATAACCGTCTTGTCGCGGTCTTTCGGACTCCTTGAACCACCTTGACGCATGTCACGACATTGACCCAATTCTGGAATCCCATGTCAGCTAAGCAGTAACACCGACATGACGGATGGAGCGCCAGTAAGTATTAATAACGAGAATCACTCCTGTAGTAATTACGCAGTAATTCGTCACAATTATTGAAAAGGTCAGTCAGTCTAGATGTATTTGATACAAGTACAAGTACAATGAATGATTTCAACGCTATGGTCTGACTATCGTGCACCAACACCTGTAAATCTACCTGCTAACCAGCCGAGCGGCGTTTGCAATGAAGCATTGCGGGAGCCTACCCCTCCACCGCCCAACGACAAGGGATTAGCCATAGCGAACGAATCTTTTCTTGCTTTGGCAGCACGTTGCACTGTTGGTGATCCGAAGTAGCATCAGTTAAGAGAACTTCTTGGAGCATCTGATAAGGAACACATGATGAGGTGTCTTCTGAACAGAACACTCGGCTTGTCATAGCCAGACACAGGACATTAACGGTGCATATAGTTGATAGGTGGACTGCATGGGAAAAACATATGACAGGACAGCACGGACCTGAGGTGTCGATTTCTTCGACATTTGTTTCCAGCACGAGGCCCCCTTGAATGATTTCGGCAAGTATGTGATGTGCCTGCGCAACAGTGAGTACTGCATGATCGATTGCATTATAAAGAAATCACGGCATACTTCGTCGAAGTGAAAGACCAAATCTAATTCGCAGACGTTCTCAAAAGCACGATCCAAACCTTCTACAAATACCTGCAATTGGAATATCACGCAGCCGTTTTCAGCGTATGCGGCTTTGGGTTCCGGAACACGTTTTTAAAAAACACACCTGGATCAAGTCCAAGATACCCAGCTCACTCTCGGCGCCGTCCACGACGAAAACGAAATAAAGGGTTGCGTAGTTTCTGTATACCACTCTCCATCTCTCGTCTGCGTCATCCTTCGGGCCTAAAAATGCTTCGAGCTCTGGAGCGTCTAAAAAGTTGCAAAGGCCGGCTGGTCGCGACGAGATGAGTGAAAATATCTTTTCAACGAGAGTCTGAGAAGATTGGTGGAGAGGCGTGTAAAATTTGGTTAATCTAGCAACCCCTGACGTATTGACTGGAGATCCCCAAAGAAGATCAGTACGGTGCAAGGATGAATACGAGAAGCGAAGAACAAACAGATAAGAACTGCATGGATCATGGCTCAGATGTTCAATGTTCAACTTTAGAGTGTCTATTTGGATCAGTTTAGCGCGGTTACTTGTGTTCCGCAGGCAGAAACCGAGAGATGGAGTGCTGGGAAAAAAGTTGATTAACATTAAGAGCTTGGTGGGCCGAGGAAGCTAAAGGATGTACTAACAGGGAGAGTAATACGTATCTATAGCCAGGAATACTGAGGAATTCTTACAAAACAATACTATGAAAGGAAATTTTTGATGTGATCGGTGTCGTAACTATCATTGGCCACTCCACTATTACTGGCTCTTCGGCGGTGGCAGAAATGATGATAAGATAAGAAGTCGAGGTGTTTACTTGTACGGCATAATTCTTGACAAACTCGTCAACTGACACTGTCATATCCTGATTTTGGATCACTGGCTGAGGACTAGACTCTCCATTCACGGCCTCTCCTTTGACTGTCCCGATCATGGAGGAGGCACGTTTATGTAAATAGTGTCACATTTATAAGTAGGACAGGCAAGCATGTGCCCATTCAAGAGGATATGAATATATATGAATGTCGAGACCTTGTCGACTAGTACGGCGCTCTACATAAATAGATGTGGTGCACAAGGTCGCTACTGGTTGTTGAAAATCTTAGCCTACTTCAGTTCAAGCCTGAACATGAATATAGCGGAATACTGTCGCTTATTCGGACGTCACAAAAATAACAAAAAGTAACACCAAGGTCACATATACCGATTCGGCAAAGGAAAGCCTCAAAAAATGATTCAGTCCAACTTCTAAGAAATAATAGTAGAATAGTAGATGATAACTTCACGCTTGAGGCAAAATCAAAACAGACAGTTTCATTGAACTCAGAATATATTTATCAGAATATAGTATGGCTGATCCAACTCATCATAATATCTAATTGTCATGTCATTCTCAACAGTTGGGGGAGGTAAAACATGCTCAAGGATGCTGACATTATATGTGGACCCATGAGTGCTACAGTCTGGGGTGTGGGAATACAGTAGATGAGTTGACACTACAGAATTAGGGTACTTAGGATTGAAATTGTTCGGGTTTGATCTAGATAAGATAAGGGCTCTCAGAACTCGTAGATGAGTCTGAGGTGTTACATGGCGACTAGGCCAGTTTATAAGTAAGACAGAACCAAAAAAATTACTGATGGGATATATTGGTGCACAGATCACCACAACTTATACTCCTTCTTTTCTAGGCGCTTTGTGACTGCTTGCCTTCACACTTTGATCCTCTATGTCTAACAAGGATGATTGTCCAGAGTGACTAGTATTGGGCTAGAACATTGAGTGAAGAGACAAGCCAATATGAAACACCTAGAAAGGAAGGTGTGTGAGTATGGGTGGCTTGTTGTTGATGATGAGAACTGTAGTTAGAAAACCACACACAAAACAAACTAACACACAATCCTCCCAGATTCCAAGGAACTTGTTTATGGGCTTTGCCTCCTAGAACAGTGGGTGCTCTGGTTGTTTGTGGGGTGGTATGTGTAATGATTCTTCAAAGTAAAACCCAGAGATGTATGGGTGTGGGTTTTGAGGAGGAGGGATAGTTGAAATATAGAAGATAGGGGCTTTATGAGGAGTATGGACAAGCACTACCTTGCTAATTGTAGCACAAGGTAGGTTTGAGAATGATGAGGTGATGAGGTGATGAGGTTCCCAGTGATAGCAGGCTCCTGATGTTGGATTGAGAGTGTTGAGAACATTGAGAGAGGAAGCAAGCCAATACAAAGTGCCTAAAAAGGAAGGCATGTAAGTATGAGTGGCCCGTGCTCAAATATATACCATCAGAATTATTTTTGGTTCTGTTCTCTTACTTACCTATAAAAGAGGCCTAGTTTCCATGTACCACCTCAGACTATTCTATGAGATCTGAGGTGAGACCCCTTCTGTTTTTTCCCCTTCAAATACTTAGCTTACTATGATTTAGTCCCTTATCTTATTATAGGTACTTACTTGAATACATGAGACTCTTCTATGAGATCTGAGTCCCTTATCTTATCATAGATTTAACTCTCAAACAATTTAAGGTTATGAACCCTGGCAATAACACCAACAACAAAGAATCACTGGGAGTACCAAAGCTTGAGCCGGATGGCCCAAACTCGTCTATGTATAAGATAGAATGGGCCTTGGCAGACAAAGAGTGCATTGAGCACTTACTGGGTACTGTACCCAAACCATTGTCACCCCCATTGTTGCCTGGTGGAACAGCGCCAACATTGACCCAAGTCCAGCAGAAGACGCTAACCGCGTGGATGAAGAAGGAATTCCGTGCGAGAAATATCTTGGGCCAAACAGTCCCAGACTCTACACTGCAAAAAATCTTGCACAAGAATCTGGTTGCCAAGATGTGACAGCTTCTAGCATAGCAGAATCTTGCTCCTTGCCCTTATGGGTATTGGTGCTTGGTGCTTTGGGTCTATTTTGGGGAGAAGGACCACTTATGACACCCTTCTGGACCTTCACGGCGCTGTTAATGATCCTAGCATTAATATCTTGTCCTTGTAGAAGCTTTTGAAGATCTGGTGCAGCGGTATTTAATACACAAGTGGCTTGCTGGATGTGGTCTGGGACTGCAATGCTGCAAGTGGAAAAAGGTGAGCTGGAGGCTGGTACTTGAGGTTGCAGTTGTAAAGGTGTGAAAAGTGGAAGAGATGAGGCAGTAGGAGTGCGTGAGGATGTCCAGCTCCAGGTGGAGTACGAGCTTTGAGTTGCGTCTAATGGTGTAGAGGGTGTGCTGAAATTGAGTTGCAATCTTGCCAATCAAGAGTGTCAGTGATATTGTCCAATATGAGAGGAAACAATTTACTCTGATGTACCAGGCAAAGGTACATTTTCTTTCCCACTAGTGCTGGCTTTTCCTGCTCAGACTCTGCGTGGGCCTTGTTTCTGCCCTTTGACTCCTGTGACTATGACCTTGTTCTCCTTTGCAACCTCTGTTGCAAGCTTTCTTGCTTTGTTTTTGGTCTTTTTAGCTGCTTCTCAATACTCTCGGTCTTGCTGATCTAACTGCCTCACCAAGTCCAGAACCTCACCACCATATATATCAACTAATGGCCATGAGGCCTCAACTGATCCACAAAGGTCCTTGATCGTTTTCCAATGATGGTTTGAGGCAATCATCTTGAGGATAGGATCTGGGAGAAGGGCGAGGCCTGTAAAGGAACAGTGTGGGTAGTCACATCGTTGGATCATCACATGCCAATGATCCAGAGCCTCCCTGACAGCATGGAGGTATTGTCCTGTACAACAAGTGGTTGGAGAGTGATTTTTGGGCTGGGCTTGCATAACACACTTGCCTGCTGGGTTCAGATCATTGCTGGGCGAGTCTTCTTCTTCAATATCACTGGGTTCTGAAAGGGTGTGGAATGGGGCTAGGTGGAAGCAGAGGTGGTACATTCACAGCAGGATTTGGTGTCATTATGCCCGTACTGCTGCAGTCGTCATAGCAGACTCCAGTAGGTGCTATAAGTGTTGGTTAAAATCTCAGGGTCAGATGAAAGGCTCAAGACTTATGTGAATAATTTGGTGGGTTATTGTAGAACCTATCAGCTACATCACACCAACAAGTTTTGGTTTCAATCCAAGCACAAAATGCTTCATCAATTTTCTTATGGTATGTGTTTTCTTGTTCTGCGTCCTTGTCGTTTTCTGATTCATCTAAATCATTCTCTGATTGTCCTTCCTCTTTTTCAGTCTTGTTTTTCCTTAAACCTATTTGTTGTAGGACATATTCCTCAACCATCAATATAGCCTGGCCTTGAAGAGAGAAATGGCAAGCAGCTTGGTCAGCTCGTTGAAGCCACACAGTTAGGGATGGCGGAACTCCAAACTGAATCACCAGTTCTATATCAGGTATGTCGGGTCCCTGTTTCTTTTTCAGTCTTTGTGAATTAATGTATATGGTTATCAACACCAACTATGCCACCTATCTCAGTCACAAACATGGCCCTGATTTTGCCATCACAAAAGTCTTGTAAGACAGTTTTCCGTGTGCGTGGTGAGTTCAAGAAATCAACCTGGCCCTTCAGACGTGCAGGCAGCATTTTGTGGAGCCTCCTAAAGCCAGCCTGCGACTGATTAATGGTGTTGACAAAAATAAGTGCCTGTGGGATTTTTTTTGGTGTTCCAACATCCTTCACAAGAAAATCCAGGGCTGAATAGTCCATAGGACTCGAGATTATCTGGACCTCCTGGGTCACATTAGGTCGGTCATTACCTAAATTCAAATGAAACGAGTATGATGTGTTTATGTGTAGTGTTCTGCAAACCTCCACCAAAACTGCAGGAGACATAGTAGCAGAGGTTGCATATAAGGGGACCCCTAGAGGCACAAATGGGCTTCATCCACAATGTACCTGTATACACGCTTTTAAAATGCAGGTGAGCAAAGGAAAGTGTTGAATTGGGGGCTCTCAATGGTCATTTCTGGTGATGCTAATAGTATTTGATATTTAAAGTCTTTGAGCTCCTATGCATTGTCAGGCTGTCCAAGCCAGAGCGACAGAGTTAGAATGTTAACTTACCCTATGTAAGTCTTTGTCATATGTGTCTCCATTGACTGCAACTGACTGGACACCCCACATGCGGAATTGGTGAGCTTGCTTGTCTTCAATTGTTTTCAATGGAGATATGATGTATGGCAGTGTCTTGCCTGAGCCTGTGCCCACAATAATTGTACAGTCGAGGCCTAGAGAAAATGCCTCTGAGGCATCCAACTGCCACGAATAAGGTCTTCGGCCGTTGCACCGCTGATGAACAGCCTCTTCAAGGGTTCTTCGTAAGTCTTTATTTTTGGCTGAAGTTGCTGCACCTGCAAGGTTTGCATATGATCTTTTTTTTATGTCTTCGTGGGATATGGCCTCTGTAATGATGGTGGACATTAACGGAGCATTGGCAGGACAGAACAAATAGATATAGATTCTTGATGGCCTGTACGCTGAGGCTGAGGAACTTGCTGATGATTTTCATTTTCCTGGACCCACAGGATCCAGGTTTCAACTTTGATAAATTTCCAGACCACTTTTCCCGGCCTGCTCACTGTATAGCCAGCAAAAAGTGCTGAATCGGACATTCCACTTTTTTCCCCCTCATCTCTTACTTTTAATTTTTTTCCTCGTCTCTTACTTCTGAGAGTGAGTATTACAAGCTGTGTGGAACATCGCTGATGATGCACAGCGTTATCTTACTGTTGTTAACTGTCAGTTTGGATGGGGGGGCTATTTGGACGTCACAGAGGTCACACAAGCCAAGTTGGAGCTCCGCTCGGCACTATCAGTGGTTGAACATGATCTTGAGTGTGGCGCACCTGAACTTTTTGAAATTGAGATTGCAGTACCTTAGTAGAGCATTACTTTCTCAAAATTCACGCACATGGAAGGAACTCACTCAATAATTCAGGATTTTGTGCTAGGAAAGTTGGAGTAAGTGGTAAAAATATATAGAACTGCTATGATGTTGAGTTGTTGAGGAAAAATGACAGTGGAACATATGTTTTCAGAAATGTCCAAATAGCCCCCCTTATCCGAACTGACGGTTAACGACAGTATATCCGTCCATGTCAAACCTACTACACGCAATTTCGGGGTCCAGGACTGCCCGGAGGGCGATGGTTATTATGAGTACGTAAGCGTAATTACATCACAACTATGATATTCCAAAACGGCAATGACTGCTTAAAAGAGGTGAATGTTTGTGACACCGTGACTCGATCCTCCAGACGTTTTGGGTAGTCTTACAGCGGACTGTCCCGCGCCTTCCCCAAAACGTCTGGTCCGAGACTGCCATCCGGACACCGAAACGAAAATTTTGTTACTAGATTGCCATCCGGACAAAAATGGCCCAAAATCATCAGAACGCGAGACCTCAAAAAGTGCGAGTTTCTAGTCTACCCTCTATAGGGATTATCAGGGGTCCTTTTGCGTCACAGACAGACACTGCCAGTCACAGGATCTAGATCCCTGAATTGCATCCGTATTTTTGATGAAGTGCGTGGAATGTCAAGCTGAATGCATTAAAGGATGCATCGCATAAGAATGTTATACTAAATGTAAGGACCGATAAGATAAGGACTATCAGATACCCCAAGGCCCCCAGCTTCGAAGGATGTCCCGACACCTACGGCTCTAATTTTAACGCCGTCAACATTGTCAGTGTCGCAATTGAGAACAAACACATAACATCAGAAAGGCTACCACGAAAACTATGACAAGTTCAACTGTTCAGTGATTATCCATAATGATAGGCACAAACTAGTCTCGGGGGGCCTGCGCAGGGCTTCCATGGGAAAGACATGGACGGCTACAGCCCATCCCGCGGAAGAGCCCACTCAGGCTGTAGACGCCCCGCAAGGTTGCTGACAGGACCAGAAAGCCCTGCTTGACTCTTGAAGCTTTCCAGAAAATTTTTGATTAGATTATAATCCATCCCCTCTCCTTCTCCTAACTCGTCGTCGTCGTCTAAGTCTTCGCGTTCCAGGATAGCCTTCAGCTCGGCATCCATATCTTCCTCGACATCGGCATCATCTTCCACATCAGGAGATTTCCCTTGAGCTTTGCTTGATTTGGCGGCGGATGCCATAGGCGATCCAGTTTTAGGAATTGACGGAGCCTTTCGCGTGCGAGCTAGTTCTGCATCCATAGCCTGCATTACTGCTTCAAATGAATCGAGATTCGGATTTCGACTGTGCCCTTGTTCCGGCAAAGAACCTCCCGAAGACCCAATATCCACTTTCGTTGATTCCTTCTTAGTAGAGTGAGAACGTTCCCCTGTGGGATTACTTTGCGTTGGTGTAAGACTTGGTGGCACGAACGCTGATGAATAGAATTAGAAAGCTGATATATCAGAGGAGGGAAAATCATGTACCGCTGCGGCCTTCCCGTTCCCGAACAATATCACCCCATTGTGCATCCGATATACCCAGTGTCTGTCGAGAAAATTCCAAGAATTCTGTCATCTCTTCTTCCATATCCACTTCAACTTCTCCTACGACCTGCGGTCGATCTTCTTCCGAATCTTCGTCTTCCTCGATATCTTCCTCATCAGTTTCATCATCAGAGTCAACCCCTTCGTATGTATCCCTAGTGAGGATGGGCGCTCGGACTTGCCTGGCGGGCTTAACCTCTTCTATAGAAGGCCCGCTGCCGCTATCAGCTTCAACAACATCATTATCCACCATAACCTTGGTGACACGCTGAGAGTTACTGTGAAAGGATGGCGGCATCTGGCCGTATTCTGAAGGGTCGAGAGGAGCAACAAGCTTGTCCATAGCCACCTGTCGCGCAGCTAAATCAGTATCGGACGTCTCGTCACTACTTTCGTCATCGGAATCAAGCATTTTCTCATCGTCATCGTCACCGCTCATTTCTTCGTCAGAAAATTCCTCACTAAGTGAAAAGAGGGTCAGAAATACTCGCGCACCTAAATCCACCAGAGTACTTACTCCTGAAATCTAGCACCTTCGATATCGCCTTCGCCTTCGACAAATCCTTCGACTTTCTTCGCTAGGTCCTGCAGCCTCGATGTTTGTTCTTTCGTAACAGCGTCTTCTGCGCCTTGTTCACCCTCTGGCTGATCGGTATCCATAGGCTGAAAGTCCGACGAAGACTGGTCTTTAGTGTGACCAAGTGTTCGTGCCAACATGTCGTCGAAATCGCGTGCGTCAACATTTAACCACGAATCAGAATCTTCTCTACCCTCAGCTGAGCTTGGTATCACGTCCGGAGCATTAGACAACGCAGCAGAGAAACGTGATGCAAAAGATGGACGTGTTGCGTCACTAAATAAAAGAATCGTTCAACTCAATTAAAATAAACGGTGGGGAAATGCCAGACTTACGTTTCCTTAGAAAACTCGAGGAAGTTGGCCACCGCTTTGTCTTCAAGTTCATTCCACAACTGTGAACCTTCGAGCTCGCCTCTGAAATAGCCAAGAGAAACTAGACTTTGAATGTATTTAACATAGTCAGGATTCCGACGGGAAGCATCCTTTTGCGCTTGGACCTACATGAGATGTAAGGTTGAATATCGTTCATGAACCGCAACAGGCTTACAGAAGACTTGATTGCATCAGGAGTGTTCTTAAGATTGTCAGTTTTATTTTTGCTTTCTTGATAGAGCATTTCAAATCCGCAAGCCTTGCAAAGGACACAGTCAAACAATTTCAGTCCAACAAATATGAAAATGAATGCTTACGAGTTTCATACCAACATCCCGCCATCGCCACTCAGTACTACCTTCCTGCTCTCGCCACCGTCCAAAGATTTTTGGGGGGTGAAATTTTTGGGCGACAAGTTGCGCATATGCCGTTCGCGTCAATCTAACGCAACTCAGAGTCGATGGCTGTGGAGGGAATCGAGACATGCGATGGGCAGACTGAAAAAAGAAAGGTGATTAAACCGTCAAGGCACAAGGACGAATTACCCACTCGTAATTGTATCGCATCCCGTGTATAGAATGTCTCAACAGGTTGCTGCACGAGCGACGGGTTGACAGAGAGAGCTCTAGCTATATCGACGGGTAGATATGCTTTAGTGATATGAACATGGTTCCTTGCAGAAGTGGGGTACCTAAATATGTGGCTTAGTATTAGAATAGAATGTAAATGATATAAATGAAGTACCCAGAAATTCTCTGCCAAACAATATTTTCAACTGATTGAGGAGCCTGCGTGTCCGCAGTTGTATCCCGCACCAGCGTCAGCGCATCCTGCACCGCAAGATAGTCCTCTTGCTCGTCGAGATTGCCATCTTCGTCATCATCGTGATTGGCTCCTGGCAGCTGGCGCCTGTATCGCTTTCCGTGTGGTGGAGAAGTACGGGAAAGGGGGATCAAGTGTAGATGAGACTTATGAAGCCAAATCTGCCAGTATGCAACATAATCAACTATGTGTCTTTACCGGAAGGGCGTTTTAGCGCACCCTATTTTCAGAGTTTGTTGGTTTTACCCATGAAGGTAGAGCTTCTGCTGCTTCAATCAAAAGGAACTCTCCATCAGAGTCGAAGACACTAACATGAAACACTCAGATCAGTCGAACAACTGCATGAAGAGAGTTCGTACCTCACGACAACATCCCAGCGTGCAGAAATCTCTTTCAGCAACCATACTGCACACCACTCATCGTCTACGCTATCGCCCACCCGCATTCTCCCTTCAAGTATCCATGCATCTTTCGTAAATGGATTCGGAACGACTTTTAGTTGGAAAGGGTCACGGTGCCAAAGGAAATCCGGGAGTAAGGAGTCGACGAGAGATTGTAACTGTGTTGCAAATGTGATTACGGACGATTTTTCGAGTAGATCAGTGGGCGGATAGATAGTATATTGAACAGTGTCTTCAGATATAGCTGGAGGTCGGTTGAAAACATCCATTCCAGTAAATATATATCAGAAATGGTTTTTGGTGTTGGTAAGATGGTGGTATGTCACCAAGTTCATTGGAGCGGAATGCACTCGGGACACAGCTACAAACACAACATCCTCCTCAGATTTTCCTTGTCTAGGTTTCATCGACCACAATGGCTACAAACGTGTCCTTCAAGGACAGAAAATTAATAGCGGTTATTGGAGACGAGGTACGTGCATAGCTTTCAACATAGCGGCTATCTGCTGATCAGCCCCATAGGACTCTATCACAGGTCTTTTGTTAGCAGGAGTGGGTCACATTAATGAGCATCAGAAGAAGAATTTCCTCGTAGTCGACACTAGTCAGTGTTATCTCTTTTGATGAGTCTGATTTTATGGATGAACGTCACTACTGTAGAGACGCAGATATCGACTATTGAGTCTACCTTTCAAGAATTTACGGAGCGAAAGGATATTGCAATTCTCTTGATTAACCAACATGTTAGTCCTTACCTTTACGAAGTTGCTCATGCTAATGCAGCTCTTGATTACATTCTCGTCTCTAGATAGCAGAGAAGATTCGGCCTAGTGTCGACAAATATCAGCAAGCGTTCCCAGCACTGCTCGAAATACCCTCCAAAGATCACCCCTATGGTGAGTGGTTATCAAATCTCCAGCCTGACGGTTCGCGCCATTGTTCTGAACGCACGGTCATAGATCCTTCCAAAGACTCTGTACTAAAACGCGTACAGAAGCTTTTTGGCGAGTAAGCCTAACGTAGGATGTTATTCTTGATACAACCGATACACTCCCCCACCTCTTACTGTAGTACGGCGCTGCTTAAGAGTTTATATTCTCAGTTTTTGTAAGAAATAATAATACACGTGTGGACAATAAGGTTTTTATCTCCTAGATGTGAGCCAAGCACTCTGACGACCTGCGTATTATGAAGTGGTGTAGTAATGCCTAGATTGATACGCAGTAGCAACATAACGTATGTCGCAGTTATGAATGCCATCGCATGATAGGTTCATTTTCTCGTACTCCGGGTCCCTGCTCCACGAATACTCGTATAGGGTTTCTTGTCCCTGAATCTGCAAAAGGACATCTATGAGACAGTCACTATTTCGATACATGAGAACGTACTTGGAATATCTATCAAAAGATATCGGAAGACGAAGTATCCTTCGTCGTTCTGCAGAGAACATAAATCTGGTCTGTGCATTACTTTGAGACTGCAAAAGCTACTTACCCTGATCAGATCTGCGTGAACTTCACCCTCCGTGTACAGATGTCCATTAGCACGGTCAGAACTCCCGTCAATAGAGCTCGATTTCTTCCCTTTCAGGCCAGAAAAGAGGCCTGCGAAATTCCATACACTACCTGCCTCCGCTTGCTGAGGTGCAACGTCCCTTGCTGGCTGATTTTGCGGCAAGGAAGCTGGTGGGACAGGATCACCACTTAGATACTTGAACGCCCTCTTCAACGTTTCATATGAGTCCGAAGCGCGTTTCTTTGTCCAATCAATAGTCTCATCTAATGTCAGCTCCGACAGCGATGATGCCGCATCGCTCGTCCAATTAACTACAGAGCCAGCAAGAGTTGATTCTTCACTGGTAACCGACGTCGAGGATGAGGCCTGGCCGTTCACATAGAAATTGAGAAGCATGTGTTCGCGACCAGTGTGGTCAACTGTGATTTGTGAAGATACGTGTCTGTTGCGATGACGGGGGCGTAGGGTAGACGGTGGGTTGTTATGGAAAACCAACGGCGCGTGAAGGTATTTTGCGATCTATGCCATTCATAAACACAAAGTAGGTCTATTTTATTTCATGAACACGACATACCCGGGGTGATGCTTTGATCCGTTCACAGGCGTCACCATACAATACCGTAGGCGAGTTCTTGGAGAAGAGTTCTGATGATAAAGCATAAATAAGCACCGCGGATAATCCGGCGCCAAGTAAGATGACAGTTAAATTCGTCGTCCTTGCTGTCGTCCGCATCACTAAACGTTGCTCGGTTAGACTCGAGCTGACCCCACCAGATATATGGATGGGACTTGCCTTTTCCCCCCACACTCAATTCAGACCATTTCTTCACATTTTCCTGCTGCCTCAGAGACGCCTGAGATAATCCAAGCTGGAAAGGCCCCACAGAGTCATCTCGTTGAGTTGCTCGCTGTTTCTGGTCCAATGCAGATGTCAAAAGTGAAGACGGTGACGGATCGCGGTGTGTTGCGAATCTTCTCCTCGCGAGCTGGATTGTTGATTGAGAGTATTTCTGGAATAACAAACTACCAGCTGGTTTGGCATGTGTTCTAAGGAACAAAGCCTCCAGGCGATATATACTCATCGCAAAAAGTCTGCGTGCTAATGCGGCTGGATGAGAAGAGGGATACAGCAGCACGTGCGTGTCTCCTAGTCGGTAAAAAGCCATCACGTGACATGATGCATTTCTACTTTCGGACTCAGAAAAGCTTTGACTGGAAAGCGGACAACTGCAAGGACCACGAACTTGAAGTTAATCATGAAGCCATGAAGCATGAAAGTTCTGTTGAGTGTACCATGATGATCTATCAGGTTTTCGACAGTAAACCTCGATGACGTTGCCCTCTTTTTCTAGTCGTTACCAACGTTTGTAGAGCACAGCTTACTTGGTGAGCGAACTTTATGACATTTATGACAATATATTGTTATTTATTGCTGCTATGTTCATCTCCAAGATGCACCTGGAGACAACACAAACTCAAGCTCCGAGGCCTGAGATCTGATCATCTGAGCAGTCATATCAGCTACTATCGGTCCTAAATGAGCGGTAGTAAAGATGCTCAAACTACATCTACACCCAACGCACAGACGGTCGAGTCACAGACTCGCTATCTTTAAGATTCCCTTTACGAGCTATCCCACGTAGGCATTTCACCACCAGCATTCAAGATGTCCCACTTTAGTTCGGTGCTGGAATTCCATGAAGCCATGCTCGGTAAATGGTCTAATGGTGCTCTCCCTATTAGCTATCAGGTTGAACCGTCCGCGTCGGGACTGGGGTCATATGTGCTATGAGAGGTGGGTTTTCATTTGCTTGCTTTCACAGCAATCTCGCTTTACTAGTGTGTTTTGAATCGTGTTTGTACGTGTGGGCGGCCTCGCAGTTGCCCAGATAACCAATCTTGTTGCTTGAGTGTTGACTGCAAGCACCAGAAAGGTTGAAAAATTGGTACGAAGTTCAACTATTGCTGCAAGATGTGGCCCCACCGGTTTGAGTTCACATCACACTAGTGATCTGCGTAGCGGAAGCTTTGTCACTTCTTCCATATCATTCACTACCTTTATTCAGGGGCTGATATACATTGTTTTCGATGTCAATGTCGACATGTCTTGGTATGCATATCAAAGGTGGAGAATCAAGGTGTTTGCATTATCAACCTGTGTCAATTGGTCGTTGCAATTGTGACCTTGACTGGAGAAGTGGTAAGCACGCAGAGTAAGCAAGTGAGTCAACCTGGTTTATTTGAAGTGCGTTGATGCGATTTGAGTCCTTGTAGTATATAGAACATGGGGTTATGATGAGACGGAAAACCCCATTAGCGCTGTGTTTTTACACCTAGCGAAAACACCACAAACCCGTGTTGGATATTCGGTCCCTCAGGGCGCGGGAACAGGCGCGGGAGAAGGATTCTTTTGGCAAACAAATACCGTAACAACGTAAATACATGCTTCTTATATAACAAACATATGTAAATATCATGTGAAAAACAATGATAGCCACAAAAGGCTGGTTGTAATCACAGAGTAAAGCTTCGGGCGAAGCTCCGAAGTTTGCTTACATAATATAATTTCTACAACCTGTTCAGCTGTGTTGCCAGGAAACTGCCAATGTTTAGTTGGAGCTCAAGTTGCCTACATTGATTGGACTTAGGAGATTATTGATATCAAGACCTCCTGAGGTATAGCTGAGATATCAATGGACCCTAGTAATACACATGACCTGTCACACCTCCTCTTATTCCACCAACAGGAAGCCGGAATTGTGCGCTCAAATGTCCTAAGCTGTGTCAGGACTGCAGCGCTTGCATATGGACAACAATATCTCAACAAGGAGCCCTACCATACTTCTTGACTTCACAGTGAAGACTGGGTCGAAGAACTTATGAACGGTCACCCCAAAAGGATCTATTGTGAGCTTGGGTTGAGCCTGGAGGTTTTCAATAAACTGGTGGGGGTTTTGGGAAAGGCTGGCTATGCTTTGTTGAAGCATATCAGTTTAGAAGAGAAGCTATCAATTTTTTTGTATGCTAGTGTTACAGGCCTCACAATGAGGCACCTTGGAGAGCACTTTCAGTGTGTAAATGATACTATCACAAGGTACTTTAAGGAAATTCTTGTTACTCTCTCCTCAGCCCCCATCTACCCAACATATGTCCACCTTCCAACAGAAGATGATGCTACACCACCCAAAATCCTCTCCAACCCCAAATTCTACCCCTTTTTTTTCCAACACTATCAGTGCAATTGATGGTACTCATATTGCGTGCTATGCACCATCAGCCGAACACAAAAACTCATGTGATTGAAAGGGCAATGTCTCACAAAATTGCCTGGCATGCTGCTCTTTCAATCTGCATTTTTTATATGTCCTCACAGGCTGGGAGGGCTCTGCACATGACACCACACGAGGGGAAATATTATCTGGCTGATGCCGGATTTGGGTCTTGCAACCAGTTGCTTGTTCCTTACCATGGAGTTCAGTACCATCTAGCAGAGTGGGGCAGAGTGGGCCAAAGGTAAGCTCTTTAATTTGGTTTATTACAGATTCTAATTATTTGACAGGCCTCAAAACCCCAAGGAACTATTGAATCTGTGTCACGCACAAGCTCACAACTGTGTTGAGCAAATTTTTGGTGTCTTCAAGAGATGGTTTTGCATTCTTTCAAGTTCCCCTGAATACAGCCTAGGTGTGCAAGCTTGCATTCCCACAGCTCTCTGCATGGTCCACAACTTTATTCAAACCCACAATGTGGAGGAAATTGAGGACCTGCTTGCTGACAACAACTCTTCATTAGATATCTGTATCCATGGTACACTTGCTACCGCTTCTCTCAATGAATCAGATCAATGACAAGAGCACGCTAAACATGAGGTGATAGCAAAGAATATGTGGGATGGCTATCAGCACAAGTTAAGAATGAGGGGGGAACTACATACCTTGGATGTTAGCATAGAGTATGGCATGGATGTACATTTCATACCAAACAAAACACAATCAACAAGATATACATAACAGATATAAATGTTAAGAGGCAACCACAGATGGATTTAGTCCATTGTTAACTTGACTGTAGGATACCCTTTCTGCTGAAGACACTTCATCACCCAAAAACGACGGAATGACTTGTACTCTGGGCCCTCCTCAAGGTCCATATATCCTTCAACAATATCTGGCTTCAGATGCAACAGATCAAGGAACGCTACCAGGCGCTCATCATCAAGCCATTGTTCAAGGTGCAGAGCACACTTTGTGACAAAACCGGATAAACCCGGTCTCTGCTGAAGCAGCCATTGTTCTCCATGGAGTAACCATTGTTCTCCATGGAGTAACCATTGTTCTCCATGGAGTAACCATTGTTCTCCCAGGAGCACAATTGTACTCCTAGGAGTCATTATACTGTAGCGAGTAGCACCTCCGACTATAAGTAGTAGGGGGTTTAGTATAGGAATACCTCAGTCATTTCTATAGCCTCTTGGGCAGCGGCTGAGGTATGTTATATTACATTTATTAGAGATCACCTTAAACTAACATCTATTGTAGTTTCACTTAGGTAAATAATAAAGTCGTTTCTATAGCCTCTCGGGCAGCGGCTGAGTTTCACTTAGTTTTATTACTTTGTTGCAAGGCTTTGTGCATTCTTTTGGATAAATGGGTGGTCATTGTCATTTGTATGGACATGAGTGCCGGGGGTGGGAGCAGTAGGGGCATTGGAAGTGATGGACATGTTTGAGGCTATTTGCTTGACAATTGAGATGAATTGCATCCCCTGGGACTCCTAGGCTACATTGTATTTGCTCCTTGAGGCTGTTAAGAGCAGCTGCACCGGATAGGTGAGCAGATTTTGAACAAGGTGTGCCAGTAACTATCAACTCTGCTATTGCAGAACATTCTACTGATGCAAACTTTCTCTTCTCACCAGATTTATTCAAAGCTGAGCTAACAGGGGGGCAAACTGTGTTACAATAACACATTTTCGGACCTTTAAATTTCATTCTCCTCTTTAACCCTTTACTGTAGTTTTCTCACATTGTGCTATGCGGCACTTTCCCTTTTGTTCAAACTCCTCTTTCTCGCTGCACTGCCTTTCTTCTTAATTTAGCTACAAGTCTCTCATGCAGTGGAGCTGGTCGCACGGGCTAGGCCCCACGACATCATCAGCCACTGCCTCTATCAACTGTACAGTACACATGTACAAACAAACCTGTAGTAGTGTATATAGACCAATAGATCAAGGAGACTCCTCAGCGAGTCCTCCTGTTGTATCCTCACAACTAACTTGTTGAAGCCTAAAGGGTACCCACTCCCTCATCATCCTCTCTATAGCTTGTCTGAGTTGTGTGCTGGAGTCACAAACTCTCGGTTGTAACAAACTGTGCTGGATTTAACAGATGGACTAGATTTTTGGGTAGGGACAAGGATAAACTTGTTACTGCGAGTAGTTACTGGTGAGTCCTTGCTGCTGGCCTAATCAATATACATTACATTGGCAAATTCCTCATTGCTGTCTCCTTCTATTGCACCATCATTGTCCTCATTGCTAACTAGGCCTCCTTTAACACCACTCCCTTAAAGACTTTGAGAAGCCCTGAAGGCATGTGCACCTGTTGCATGCTCCAGCATCATTTCCTACATCAGGCCAAATTATGCCCATCTGCTACTTATAAACTGGTTGATGTCCTTTTTTGGGTTTTCCTAGGGCAAAAGATAATGGCTAGCGTGAATTAAATAAAGGTAAAGACCTCAACAGTATCATTCCAAACAACCTGGGATGCTTCATTTACATCAACACCCTTCTTCTCACTGTAAGTGAACCCAGACACTGATTTGGGGTATCCAACATTCTTGAAATTGGTTTTGAGCTGTTGTAAATGTGAGTAATGTCTTATAATACTATATTCTTCAGACCCATGCATGGTGTTACTCATTTAATTCACTTCAGCAGAAAGCCTTATTGCTTTATCAAGCATAACAGCGGAAAAGATGGCACTTGACAGTCGGTTCATCACAGGGATGGAGTTTGGCACGGATCAACAACAAACTGTTGATCACGGCGCGAGAAGAGCTCTTTAACGAGCAACGGCCTTTACTCATGATTGCAACATCATAGGTATGACATTCATGTCACCAGGTTTTTGCTTTGAATTTTGCTAATGAACGACCTACTGTTACAATACACAATTTTCAGACCTTTATTTTTCATTCTCCTCTTTAACTTTATACTGTAGTTTTCACACATTGTGCCATGCAGCACTTTCCATTTTTTTCAAACTCCACCTTCTCACGCTACGCTACCTTGATTCTTATTTTAGCTACAAGTCTCTCACGCAGTGGAGCTGGTCACACGGGCCGTACCCTCTGACATCATCAGCCACTGCTTTATCAACTGTATAGTACAACATGTACAAACAACCTGTAGTAGTATATATACCTCAATAGATCCAGGAGACTCCTCAGCAAGTCTTCCTGTTGTATCCTCACAACTAACTTGTTGAAGCCTAAAGGGTAATCACTCCCTCATCATCATCTCTATAGCTTGTTTGAGTTGTGCGCCAGAGTAACAAACTCTTGGTTGTTATATTAGGACTCGCTCTTTCTACTCTCTTGCACATTGTGCAAACCCGGACCCCAGGGTTAAGGGGATAGTATTATTGTTTGGGAATATCCCGCATAGCAGATAGATGCACTCCTAGCGGCGGCCTTGTAGTGCTTTGGGAGAAGAGACAATAATTATTGATACACGGCCCCCAGTGTTAAGGGGAGTACTTTAGCTCAGCAGTTGGTGTGGAACCACTGTTGATTAGAATTTAGATACAAAAAACTTCTCTTTTGTTTTCCTCTGACCAGGCCGGGCATTTGCCTCCGCCAGTTGGAGAAGGGTTGACAGCTTAACAAGCAGACCACCCCCTGACAACCGTTCGGACCAGGGTTTATTACGAATACCTTTTATATACCTTTTTAAGTACTATAGTGTGGGTAGTCAGAGATTGAGATCCAATACTCAGCAGGGAAGAGGTAGATCTGCAGATAGCAAGCGGGGACCCCCTCTTACATTTTTTTTACCTTACCAAGAGAGCAAGTTGACATATCATCACAAAGTCAACAACCTGACATCAACGCTCTATTGCACAGCATGTGTGCACAGATTTTGTCATTGACCACACAACTTGCCGATCTGCAGGCAAACCCCCCTGCTGCAACCCCCTCAGTCGGGAAAAAGTTCAATAAGAAAGTCGAAGTCATCACTGACCTTGGCGCCTTCGAAGGAGACAGAGCACAATTCGCCGAGTGGTGGATCAAGCTCCAAATTTGGGTCAAGGCAAACTGGGATGACATCAGGAAAAATGGGGGTAGCTTTATAGAGCTCTATAGCACTATAAGTACTCATAAAGCTGTTATAGTGGTCAAACCTGTTATAGAACCTCTGCCATCTATAAAGCCTCATATAGCTCTATAAATGCTTTTATAGATGTTGGAAATTGTTGTGTGGCTGATTAAAAAAAATTCACACAGACAGGATTTGAACTCTCAACCTGCTAGTCAGCTTTTAGGTGACTAAGCAACCTATAACCACACATTACATTTATCCACTACACCATGAGAGCTTATAAAATATGTTATACAGGTGTTATATATTGACCTTTTATGGACTTAGATTATTTTTTTACTCATTGTCACCACTTATATTTGGATAAATCATTATTCTTATTTTATAAATTTCCAAAGATACAAACTACTATTTTGCCAATACAGGCTACATAATTAATTAATACTGTATGATTTATTAGCCCTTTTCAGCACCTTGAACTATATTATAACTATGACCTTTACAGCTATAGGAGCTATGTAGGCTGCTATAGGCTATAAAAGCACTTATAGTAACTTGCCTATAATAATATACTTGACTCCAAACACTTCTGGCCTCTTTCTATTATTGAACAAGTTTATTAGATTAATCCAGAGTTTGAGGGAATTATAGATACTTCTCCCCTTGGTTAAATTTTTGCCTACTACTGTGCTATAAGAGCTATAAGAGCTATGATTGCACTGATAGTACTATAGTTTCTACGTATGCATTTATATATATAGGTGGTGGCTATATCTCGACTAAAAGGACCTGTGGCAGGTCAATACGCCCAAGTTAGAATGCAGGAGTGCTACACCGTGGGAGTGTGGCCTGTCTGGGATGATCTCAAAGTTGAGATCAAAAAGTATTTCAAACCGCAAGCTGAGCGTGACTGGGCGCGTCAGCAGATCCATACCTTCAAGCAAGGAAACATGAGGTCGGATGATTTTGTGACCCAGTTCCTGGCCCTCTCTATCCAAGGGGGCTTAGGTAATGAATATGCAGTGGAACTGCTGGAACGCAATGTGAACCCCCACATTGCAGAACAGCTCTATCTGCAGGATATGAGGAGTGATAACCTCTCCTAAGCGGCGGAGGAGTTTCGAAAAATAGGTAGGGCCATAGAGCTCTACAAATGCACCAAGGTGGCGGGTCCACCACCAAAAACAACTATTCCCAGAGGAGCCCTGGGTCATCAAACCAAAAACACAATCACTCTCACGGGTTCCAACCATTTGGGTTGTAACCAGGGCAGGGAGCTCCTATGGATATTGGCGCGGTCCAGGGCGGACAGACGCGCAGATTCACTTGCTACAACTGTGGCGAGGAGGGGCACATGGCCCAAAATTGTACAAATGGAGTGTTGACTACCCCGCTCCTTGACTCAAACCCATCACGCCTTTTGTTTAGCCTTGTTTGCCTTGACTCATTGTAGCTATAAAAACCCTGTCATTAGATAGAGAGAGGGTAACATTCAACAGAGAGACTTTATTCCAGTTGAAACTCACAACCAAATGTTCCCACAATTTCCTTGGGGCAACCGCAACCGCAGTTGTCACAGTGAGTCTCAGCCTCCAGACTCTGTTCAATTCAGGCACTGCTTGAATCATTGTACTCCGTTAGAAGTTTGTCTTAACAGCTAACTTAGTTAATATCAATATTGTTCTGAAATCAGCTGGAATTCACCAAAATTTTGATACATATACAGGAGTTTTGCTGAAAGCTATCTGAGTGACAATATTAGACTAAATCCCAACGGGGGGCTAGCCATTGTGGCTGAGCTACAATATGCCAATGTCGGCATAGAATTTGATTTTACACACCTTGTCCCCGACTCTTCCGAAAGGAAGGGAGGGTCTCTGTCGTGTCAATTTGTCCTGCTGTCTGTATTTTGATGTGCAAAAAGTAAACAATGCCAAATAATATGCAGGGATGCAGGGACCGGTTTCTTTCATTTTTCCGGGAAATTTTGTCAGCATATATACTGTATAGTTTATTATCTCACGTAACGTAGAATAAAAAGTTGTTCTTTCAATCTTTCATTCTTTCATTCATACTTGTCTTCGCCTTTCTATTCATCAACCTCGACTTTGTCCCTTGTCCCCCTCCCATCCCATGCCTACTACATATTTGGCTGGCAGATGTTCCTTGAGAAGTCGCCTTGTCATGTTCCACGTGTTCTTGACAAGGCGCATTGCCCTCCTGAGCTCATGCCTCACAATATAAATGATTATCCTCATTATTATGATGCTATATATTATCCTGAATACCATTCAAAAAATTTTATGATGTCTGATGATGTCTGTTCGTGGCTTGAAAAGCTGTCTCTGTTCATCAAACCACCTGCCTTTGCTGTCCAGCTAAAATTAATGGCAAATTATCCCTATCTGTTCATTTTTCGGTGGACGCAAATGCTTTCATTGCCTGTCACAAAACAACAGGTCAGAGTGCAGTTGTTGCAATTTCTGAGGTTGCGTCTTCTAAGTACGTGCATTGTACAATTGTCTTGCAGCGACGGCATTATCGTTTCATGTCGTCGCCAAATATATATATACAGTCCATTGGTGATTGAAATTTTTGATTTATCATATATTTGACTCCCTAAAGCGAGTCGGGGACTGGCGCAAAAGCGCCGCTACGATGTTCTCACGCGCTGTTTTAGCGGAGGCCCGCTGAGTAATTAAGAGTAGGGTATCGGATTTACGCGGGCTTCCAATTTTTTGCTTCCGAACCACGTCCGAGTTCCACTGATCGATCGCGAAGTGTGCGTCCAAGCACAGAAAAATAGAGACTAGACTCATCATGCTACATATACGTGTATAGACATGCATTCATTCGTTTCATAGTAAGTAAGTGTAAATAGGTAGCACTGCGCCCCGATTGACGAGGTGTCAGTAGATAAGGATAAATAAGTCCTTGCAAAGATATACAAGACGAAACAGAAGTTAGGGTGGGGGTGAGGTGTCGCTCCGGGTAAATAGTCTATCTCCGTTTCCAGTTCGTATTAAGTCCGTTCTAAATCATATGCGGGAATCGCGACAACCAGTGTCATACTGCCAGCTTCATAACATGAGGTCATCCGCGGAATGTGCAGCAACTATTGTGGTCGAGAGATCAGATGAGATCATTAGAAGAGGGGAGGACAAGATGATACATACCTGATCATGTACGGTATAACGGATACCGCGAGGCATGCAAAAGCTGCCCAGCTGAGATACAATCCCGTCCCCACGGACACAGTAACACCTGCTGGAATGCCCTGGGCGAGCACAAGTGAGTTAATACCCTCCGATTTTTTGACGATTGATGTCCATATTGCAGCTCCTATAAGGATAAACAAAGCAGAGACGATAGACAGTCCTGTTGAAGCAAAGAATGCAAGGGTATGTTTGACCACTCCTCTACAATATATGATGGTAATATTGAGCCCGAGGAGAAGCGCAAGGGAAAGTGGACCTTACGTGAATAAAGCTAGCGCAGCAAATATTGTGCCCAGGAGGAGGAAATAGTAAGCAGCTTTTGAGTTAGAGCCTAGGTATGATGAATCCATGAATGATGTATCCGCAAAGATTGCGTCGGAGTATTGTGAGTAGTTGAGGAACATGTCAGACGTGATGGCAACGTAAGGTTCGTATTTCGTCGCTACTGTATGGTTTGTGCAAATGCCAGAAGTAGTGTTGACATATGCGCAGTGAGAGTACAATCCGAATTCGTATAACTGTCGAAGGCCAGCTCGTTCTCCGAGTGGAGCTGTGGAGTCGTTGGTATATAGTCCTTGAATGGGGACAATGAACGATTGGCCGAGAGCCTGTCTAAAGAGAAGTCAAGATAATGGATGACTAGAAAGGAGCCAAACTTACCCATATGCCGAAGTGTTGACTTTCGCCTAAAGGAAGTTTCTTGTCAGCATCAGGCAAGAACACCATAAGATCAGAGTTTTTTTTAACCATGGTAATGCCTCGGGGGACAGTGGAAGTATTGATAGATCCAACCTGTAGAGGACCTGGATGAGCATTGAGGAGATACTGCGAAAGAAGGACACACACGTGTACGAAGATCAGCAGCAGCATAGCTGTAAAGCTTTTGAGCAATATCAGAAAAGGCTTCACCATCTTTCCGCAGCTACGTACGATAAGAAAGAGGCGGAACCGACACAAAATTCACCGCGCATGGCTAAAGCGACGAAAGCGAAGGAGTAATAGAAGAAAGTAAGGAAGCAAGGATGAAAGAGATTGTCGAAAGGACGTTGGCCTCGAGGATTCGACGAGGACGCGACCTACTCACGCGACAGTCACGACGTTTTACGTTCGGCAATCCCCACAGTTCCCACGTGTTGCAAACCAGTGAGCCTCCGATTCAGTAACTCTGAGCTGAATTAAGGAGCAATAGCCACTAGCAGTCCAGAGCCTTTGCCCGTACAGCACCTTAGACCACGACCACGACCACGACCTCATCGCTTCATTTTAGTATTGCTTTGCGCAATAGAAGCCATGTCCTCACGCGTACCCGAACCCCCAAACACCACTATGCTCAGCAGTGGGGCATGTGATAATCCTTCCCAAGAATTGGATCCTCAAGGTCAATTGGAGGACGGAAATGACGGTTTTTCTTCGTATAGAGGGCGCATAAAGACTGCCATGGAGAAGACAGTCGACCTTGGAAGAAGCATCAGTGGAAAATTCAACCCTGTTCTATCGAATTCACCGCCCTCAGGTTCAAGACGTCGATTTTCCTCTTCTAATCGCAAGGGAAAAGCAAAGGAGCAATCACACGACCGTCATACTCATCAGGAAGGTAAGAAGCTGTCAAACTGCGCATATAAATCCTTCATGATACCTATCATGGGTGTAGTACCTGGTAACTCAACTGCGCAATCGCAGCTTGTCTCCCCAGTCATGTCGCCTCCAGGTTCTCCCACAAGCGATTCAGCCTTCAACGACGACTCTCCTTTCATACGACCTCGATCACCATCTTCTGTGCCGAGTAGACCTTCCCTACAGTCTTTCCGGGGAGTTGATTCTGTGCGGTTTATCTTCTTACGTCAGCTACAGAGTGTCTTAACCCTTAGCTGTCTGTTATAGATGCGAGCCGGAACACAGACTCTTATTCAAGCATTACAAGCATTGCCATGGACGGACGAACCGGGTGATGAAGACGGATCTAACGCTGCTCCACAGCTGGACTCTGATAGTGAGGAAGGAACATCTGGTGAGTACTGTGCCCTCGTGCCAGCCAATTATATGCTTATCGAAATAAAACCTAGATAACAGGATGGCTTCCTCCATTCACGCTATATATCGACCTGTCGCTCGTTCCCGTAGAGTGGACGCGTCAGCTCCTCTTGCGGGTCTAAGAGGGCATTTATCTACGCGGACAGTACAAGAAGGGCCATATTTTTCGGAAGGAATGGTCAACTCCGAAGATGATGGCGAGGTGGAAGATTTTGAAGCAGTGACTCCTCGCCCTGCGGCTCACAGACCTGAATATATCAAGTCCCAGCCACCCTCTTCGTCTGTTGTAAGCGAAGCTTTCGAAAGAAATGCATACAGCCGTACAGGGAGTATGACGACCGTTAGGGTCCAGCGGAGGACACGTCTGGCCGAGAAATTGAAAGAAGTTTTCGATCTGAATGACATCGACGAAGTGGTTGCTGGTAAGTTACTTGTTGGTGTCAGGAACGCAGTACTAAGCTACATAAAGAGATGCCATGTTGGCTACTCCGTTCTGTTTGTGAGTTTTCTTTTCGTGCTTTTCATTTATAGATATCTTCTGGATTCTAAATGCTTGAGCAGTATTACAGGGTTATATGTACCTCACTAACTCCCACCTATGCTTCTTTGCCCATATGCCAGCACGAGAGGTGATCTACTTTCCAGTGCTTCTTTACATCAGTCCTAACACAAATTATAGGATCAAGTTTTGAAGTCTGGATCTCTCAATAAGAAGACTCAGCGCACGAAGCGATGGATCAAGTACTGGGTTGTGCTTAAAAATGATGCAATCTCCTGGTATCAGTCATCTTCGGTGAGGTGCTTCATTGATATCGAGAAAGTCCCCTTACAATCTATCCCAGGACCCATATTTTCCTCATGGGATAGTCGATCTACGTTACGCAATATCTTGTGATCCCTCGGGAGAGAAAGATATACGTATGCGCACGACTCAAAGGTCGTTAGTTTTATCTGCCGACTCTGTCCCAAGCCGGGATGAATGGGTGAAAGCTATTCGGAAGGTAATGTTCAAGGCACAAAACATGGGTGATAGTGTGAAGGCAAGTGGATCTACTTCATTGGCGTTCAACAACGTCTGAATGCCTCACTTAGATTGCTATACCTTATTCTGCTGTTCTTGACGTAGAGAAGTCGTCTGCCATGGACTTCAGCGAAACCATCGAAGTCAAGGTTATTGACAAAGAGGACAATATCTCTATGGACTCTTACTTCTTTGCATATTTTCATGATTTGCCAGCCGCGCTGGAACAGATACGTGACGCTGTGCGCGCAGGTCGCAATTTTGTCCAGAGGTCTTCGCCACAAACGGTCGTTGACACGACCACTCTTCGACCGTTGCCGTCAGTTCCTCAGGCGATAGATCGTGCTCGCAGTCTTCCTATACCTGATACCAGCAAGATTACATCGGGCTTCAGCCTGTCGTCATTATTACGACCCTTCCAGGACACTCTTCCCCTCGGTCGTATCGGTAGTGCTCCTGACCGCTCAGAAGGCTCAGAAGATTATACTCATATTTCCAAGAGAGGCGATACCTCTTTTATCCCTATCACCACTTCGCCACCTAACATATCAGACGTCTCCGAGAGTGCTAAAAATAAGCATCCTCCATCGCATAGTACATCACTGAATGTTACCACAACAGACCATACGTACCCTCCATCTACCCTTATCGGCGACATGTCCGATATGGCAATTAAGGACAGTGGTTCGAGTGGCAGCTCATGGAATGTAGGTGTCCCGTCGTGGCTCAAGGGTTCACGAAAAGTGTTTAGTTTGTCCTCGGCCATCACATCTCCTGGTGATTCTGCTGCTATATTATCGACTTCCCCGGTCGCAAGTAACGTATCAGAGGTGTATTCTTCTCCCACTCCAGCCAATCGATCAGGGAGCGGCACAAATGACCTTGGCTATAGTATATTAGAAACTCAGGAGGCAACCGTAGATCTTCATGCAACTGAAAAGTTCAAAAATGCTTTTGCCTTCGATGACAAGGAAACTCTGCTCGGATGTATGTATTTCTTGTCTGGCTATCTGCATGTTCTGACTTCTCTCAAGATTTCACTGGATATATATTCCGACTCTTACCTGTGTATGGCCGACTATACGTTTCCACGAACTACTTCTGCTTCAAGTCTAGTGGCCCGCTGACGGCCAGAACCCGAGTACGAGTTGTCTTCTTTTCACTCTTCGATCCTAGATCTGACTTTTGCTTGCTAGATGGTTTTGCCTTTACGTGATGTGTTGACCGTGGAGAAGACTAAAGCGGCGAGATTTGGTCATCATGGCCTCATAATCATCATCAAAGGTCATGAGGAACTTTTCTTCGAATTTGGCGTGGAAGACCGACGTAATGCATTTGTCACAATTGTGGAAAAGCAATTAGAAGATGTTAGAAAACGTTTGCATGCCGTTGAACCACAACCTCTCACCCAAGGGAAACGAGATGCCCTCATCCTAGAAGAGTTTGAGCCTCGTAGCTCGTCTAGCACCGACGCAAATTCGATACCACCTCCCGAAAATCTAGCAGATTCTTTACCAGCCGTGATGTTTACCTCGGCTTCTTCAACATTCTTAACCTTCAAACCTCAGAAGCCCCTACATTTTACTTTCCTTACCATAGGCTCTCGAGGGGACGTGCAGCCGTATATCTCTCTTGCTAGGGGTTTGATGGCAGATGGGCACCGAGTCAGAATTGCGACTCATGGAGAGTTCAAAGTCTGGATAGAAGCGGTAGGTGGTGTCCTATAATGTTTGTCTTCGAACTCACTTTTTGTTTTTTTGTTTCAAAGCATGGAATAGAGTTCGGCTATGTCGGTGGCGATCCGGCGGAACTAATGCGTATATGCGTTGACAATGGCATGTTTACAGTTTCTTTCCTGAAGGAAGGAGTACAAAAGGTACGATATTACGCCTGTTTCTTTTCGAGACGTGATTATAGACTTTATGTCACAGTTTCGTGGGTGGCTAGACGATCTACTGAAAACCTCATGGGATGCATGTCAAGGCACTGATGTTCTGATCGAGAGCCCAAGTGCTATGGGAGGCATCCATATCGCCGAGGCCCTACAAATACCATATTTCAGAGCATTCACCATGACTTGGACGCGCACCAGGTAACCCTACATTCGACTAATTTGATTAAACGAAGCAACTCACGTATCTAGGGCATATCCGCATGCCTTCGCTGTACCGGAACATAAGGTAAACACTCACTTTTAAAGCCAACATACAAGTAATCTCATTTTATCCTAACCCGTTCCAGATGGGTGGTAGTTATAACTACATGGTAAAATTAACGCCCTTTAATTTAAATAATATCTCATTCCGTCATATAGTCATATGTTATGTTCGACCAAGTTTTCTGGCGCGCTACGTCTGGACAAATAAATCGCTGGCGACGTAATGTTTTACATTTAGGGAGCACTAGTCTGGACAAGATGGAACCCCATAAGATCCCCTTTCTTTACAACTTCAGCCCCCATGTTGTTCCACCTCCCTTAGATTGGCCTGAGTGGATTCGCGTAACAGGTGAGTGCACAAATACTTCAATCTTTTCATCACTTCACGTGTTGTGTTCAGGTTACTGGTTCCTTGATGACGCGGAAGTCGGTGCGAAGAAATGGGTACCTCCTCCTGATCTGATTCCTTTTATCGACTCCGCGCATCAGGCAGGAAAAAAGGTGGTTTATATCGGCTTTGGAAGCATAGTCGTCTCGAATCCGCAAGCTATGACCCGATGTATAATCGAGGCGATTGTTCAAAGCGGTGTTTATGCTATTCTCTCTAAGGGCTGGTCTGATAGGCTGCACGTGAAGACTGGCGAGGCCGCTGAACCAGAGGAACCTCTCCCCAAGCAGATATACGCGATATCATCGATTCCTCATGATTGGCTCTTCCAACGCATAGATGCTGCGTGCCACCACGGTGGTGCAGGTACTACAGGGGCTAGCTTACGTGGTACATAGTTTGAAGTTATTTCTGATGAGTTTTTCTGACACGTCGCGTTGCAGCTGGTATACCAACTATCATTAGACCGTTCTTTGGCGACCAATTTTTCTGGGCCGATCGGGTAGAGGCCTTGGGCATTGGCTCAGGCGTCCGTAAGCTCACGGTTGAAAGCCTGACAGAAGCACTTCGATCGGCTACAACTGATGTCAAGCAGATTGACCGTGCGAAACTCGTTGGGGAACATATTCGTGCGGTGAGTACCTTTACTTGGGATAAATTGCATTTACAAACGGGTTTGTCCATAGGAAAACGGAGTAGCCACTGCTGTAGAAGCTATCTATCGCGATTTAGAGTATGCACGCTCGTTAATTAAGCGGACTGCCGTCGAAGACACTTCAGAAAACGAGGCGAACACGGAAGATACCACGGTGCAAGATACCCGACCATCCTCCTCCCACTCGACGCTCGACCGACGCCGTTCCAGGTCTAGATATAGTTCTGGCGGGTCTGCTCGTGGAGCACCGAGTGAAGATTGGAGCGTAATATCTGACCAAGACGATCTACGGTCATCTTTTGGCTCTCGACGTAGTGAAGGCAAAGTGGATAGGTCATTGACGATGAAGCGAAATAGTCTCGCAGCTGCCGTCATGTCTGTGTTACCAGACTCGTTGACATCTTCTCACCATCGTTCGAATTCTGCATCTTCGCAACCTTAAAGTCCTCCTTATAGTAGATTTCGGGAGTTTTATGATATATTGTTTTCCCATTCCGTGAAGTATAGTTTTCTAGTAGGCACAGGTATATATATGTTAAGTAATCCATCTAACCAGTAGAATCATGTCGATAATGCTCTGCAAGTATTCTTTTACTGAATTGGCCAAATGATTCTGAGGCGGATATATGCTGGTCAGTGTTAGGTTGCATGAATAATGCAAATGTCTCTCGTGAAATCTTCTCTGGTCCTCCGAAACCAACACGGACGCAGTGAGGTGTAGCGCGCAGCTTCCCTTCAGTTATAAGCTCCAAAGCTTGGCCTGTCTGAAAAGCTAAACACCCTGGGGGTATGACTACTTTGGTCAGATCCCCACCACGATTGCGAATGTATAGCCCCGACGTAGGGGATGGCGATGGAACGACAGTTGGTTCTTTACCAGCTTCCTCGCGGAGAAACATAGCCTGGATAATGTAAGTAAAATTACTGAATGCTGTATTTGCTCTTCGCATGCTCTCACCGAACAAAGACCAGTTAGAAGAGAATGATCGAGATGAAACCCACACCAACTATCAAGAGCTTCTTCTGCTGACTTGGAGCTATCCTGTGACGGTGGAAAGTAATGTAGTAAGCGTGCTTTCGTCGTTTGCGAATCGCCGATGAGTTGAGAAAGGGATATCGAGGTGTTTGGCATGTGCTCGGCAACTGTCATTTACATGGTCAACTCAGACAGATCTATCGTTAAACGAAGGCATAGTGCGTACCAAAGGGCTGGCAAGCAGCAGCTAGTTGACATCCCACATTGAAGATGAATCTGCCAATGTACAACTTGCGTCACCTACTTCTACATAAAAGACTAGCACCTACTTTCCCAGAGATTTAAAAGCATATTCAAACCCTTCGATGCCTTGTTCATCCTTGTTTGGCCCTGACGTAAATTCAAAATTCAAGTTCAGGTGATCGAGAAAAACGAAAATACAAAGCACTCACAGATATTATTCCCATAGTACTCAGGATAAGCCTGGCTAAGCTCCAGAGGCACGTTGGGCGAGTCGACTACTGGATTTGCGTAATATGACCCCTTGAGCGTGTCTAAAGCGAATTAATTAAAACGTTACGATGCTACATTCACAGCATATGCATAGGAATACCAGGTTTCCCATTCATTATCTCCTAGTATAGTTTAGATGGTTTGATCAGGCCAACAGTAAATATGTACAGGATCTCACCTTCCCGTGAGACCATCCAAAGCTAGAAACGAGGCACAATGAGCCCCAGAGCAAAATATTGTCACGAAAACTGGAAACCAACCTGTAGGAAGTCTTAGGATCTGCATATTTCTCCCTCGTTTGCTCATCCAGGTCTGCAAAACGGTATGCAAGCTTCAAAAGGTTCTGTCTATAAGACGTATAAGCTTCAGGGAGATCCTTGACTAGAATGATGCCCAAAGATTGCGGATGCGATCCGAAGGCTTGTTCTGGTCCAGTCGAATTGCTTGAGCATGCCGATAGGCTCATATTATCACGCGACGCACCAATAGATGTGGTAAGAGACAATGGAGAAGACACCAATGTGGGATAAGAGATCGAAATCACATCCACAGCTTGCCGTTGACTAGATGAAGTTGACATCTGCACACAACGAGTTAGGGATAGCCTCGCTAATGTGCGATTGAGTATGCTTCTCGCCATATCGATTTCTGAGTCTGCTGATACTAGTTAGCACCCCAGGTCAAAATAAAAAGTGATATAAATCTAACCTGACCTTCTCGTTCACCTTGTAAGTTACAAACTAAGCAGATGATAACAGCTCAAGTTACGAGGAACCAAATAAGCACCGGTGAGGTCAGTCACACTGGCACCGGCAGTTACTAATTACTTTTAGGAAATGTCAGATAAAAACGTGACCACTGAGCAGGTTCCAATAGCCCCTATACTAACCATAGACATTCTTTCCCTGCTACGACCCACATGTGCGTTGGTGGTAACTATGGTACATTATTCCTTATATAATACAGAATATGGAATATGGAATGGTCCGATGTGACAGTGATTAAAGAACGTTACTGTCCAGTATCTTCGTCTCTGACAGTGCATGGCTCAAGGCTTTACCACTATCATCAATAGATTGCAAGAAGCGCAACAGCTCTCGACAAAGCTGCCAGTCCTTCGCTTCAATAGCACTTTGTAATAACCGAATGGCGTCTTGGTTCTCTTCGTCCAGTTGTTCCATATTATGAAGTACTAGCAAGTAAGAACCTGCAGTCTTCAATCTTTTGGACGCGAGGCAAGTCTTGTGGAAGTGGTAAAGTGAGTATGACATACTTTCAGCATAAATCATGTTTTGGGCACTCACCTCGAAAAGACTATGCGGATTCCCAACGACATCAAACAGCCGTTTCCATCGAGTCATTTCCGTTTTACGTGCACATCCTACTACGACATCCAATGCCGCGTCAAAGTGGTCCAAGAATTCAATCACGGAAGACAGAGTCCTTGATCCACCTATCCCATTACTCGTACCATCGCTGTCGAATTCAACAGTGCTTTCCGACTCTACGACAGTGTGTAGGAGGATTTCAAGGGCGTGAGCGAAAAATACGAGATGTTCATAGTGAGATGCGAGAAGAACTGCCTCTTTGACTTGGCCTGATTCCAAGTGATATTGAAGGACGTGATGAAGGAACAGATGGGACTAAAGCGTGTGCTAAATCTTCAGTTCTAGCTTGTCGTTTCAGTCAATCCGTACTTACACTAGTGCCGTGCCTGAACCTCACAAATGGCAGATTCATTCGCATACCGACCTCGTGCTCAACTCCAATAATGATACCTTTATCCATGAGGAGAGCTATGTTCTGATTAAGCGAGAGATCTGTAGTACATATATATGAATATGAACTTACAGAGGGGATAGAATTGAAGAGGGATGTTGACGCTCTCTTTGACGCTCTGTTGAACTCGATCACTTGAAGGGAACGATTCAATAGCGAGAGCATTTAACCAAACTCTGATCCCTTGACCGTCGTATGCCCACAGTGAATTTTCTAGCGCACCGATGCCCCGTAGATGTATCCAGCAGAACTCAATCCGGTCAGCAAATATCTGCATGTCATATTTCACTTCTTGATTCCCAGCCTGAATAAGGGATAGGTGAATGTCAAGCATCCCAGTGGTCTAGCTGGAACTAAACTAACTTTTCTTGGTCGGAGCAAGACGAGCTGGCCGCCTACCATCATCAATACAGTCGCAACGGCAAGGTCGTCCACAGGATCTCCAAGCTCTGAGAAAGAACTTCAGTATCAACTCAACAATAACTAATGATTGGGCAGTACGTTTTTGGGCGCTTGGAATCATCCAACTCAGCACTCTGACAGCGCTGGGAGCTGCAATAATACCATTAAAGCTGATACTACCGCACAAATGTAGTTTGATGGTATCGTCGGTAGGGACGATTAGATAATGTGTGAGCATGTTGTCGGCCGTATATGCCAGCAGTGAGTTATCGACAAGGGAAAGGATGACCACTGCAGAAGATACGGTCTCTCGATGCAGCACATTTTGGTTGCTGAGTTCCATATCTCGAGAATAAAGCCGAATCTAATTAAGAACGCCAGTCAGTTTATTTGTTATATATTTAGGAAGGACTGCTTCAAGTTTGACCTGGTGTGACTTGGAAACTTCGACGGCCGCGATCAAAACATGATGAAACCAGAGCAATCCACCTTTCACAGCAAACGCTTGTTCTTGTATCACATCCGCGAAGAGCTTCCAGCGACCTGAGCTGGAGCTGTAATGTATGAGGCCTCGTCGCCCTGCTACAGCAATGAGACGACCGTCATTACTGAGCGCTGAATATTGAATAGGCCAGTTGCTTGCTAGATAGGCTTGAGGGATCTATTTCGTAGTCAGTCATAATTGCAAAAATAGTATGGTAGTCCCATGCCTTGATATGTTGCCAAACGTCTGATTCTGGATTGATCACGCTCATGTCTGGCTGATCTACACCCCTGTAGACAAGGGCACGGTCGTCCATTTGCAAAAAGGCATAACGGGTGTTATCCTGAAAATTATGTTCAGTTTTCGAAAAGTGGGTATGCTCAAGGCAGAATTACTAACAGGAGAATGCTGGCCAGTTGTAGCACTCTTGGCGAAGGGTATAACAAATATCTGTCCATCTACACCTTATAAATGTTCAACAAGAGCAAAAAGAAGACTGAGAAATGCGCCCTTACTATTATCGGATGGATGCGCCAGCGCAAGCAGTTCAAAATTGCCCGGGGACCAAAACTATCGCAACATTGAATGCGATGCTAGCAAGAGTATAAAAAGAGACTCACCATATCTCGAATACCGCACATGAAAGTGTCTTGGAACCTGGTTGAGAAGACGCTTGAAAAAGGGGCACACATCATTCAAGTAAAGACCCACTTCTCCACGTCAATCCTATCATCAACACCAAACCCTTGAGCCAGGCAACGGCCGCCAACACTGAAAATTGCCCAGCCATTCTGACATCCCACAGCCAAGACATATCCATCAGAACTCCACTTCATAGACAACACTGCACCACTCTCTCTGTTGTGTGGGTTCGTAATTTTGATCACCTGTGCCTTGGGAGTCACTCCATCTGGAGCAGGGAAGCTACTGTACTCAACAGCACCACTAAACGTTTCGCTGTAATGAGCGCAGGTGCAAAAACGAAGGGGAATCTAACAGACCCCTGGGTACCGATAGCAATGAGGGAGAACTTTTCATTGACAGCGACCGTTGTGGCCCGACGAGGTTCCACGTAAAGCGGGCTAGCACCAGAAGACTCGTCATCTTCAGTCTGACGTCGCTTCTGTACCCATCGAGGAACTTCGTAATTGTGAATACAGGTTCCCTGCCATTGATAATGTCGTTGAGCGGAAGTATTTCTCTCGGGTGACGAAGACCTCCTATTTATGGAGGCGCTTGTTTGGTCGTTGTGCTAAGGGAAAATAACACTCAGTAGGAACTCGGAAAAAATAAGGGCACACGTTACTTCGCCAGGCGTTGATACCGCGTACTCTTGTCCATTAAGCCCATCCTTGAATTGTATGCTGTCATGGAGTCGGACAAAATAGGCTCTCCCATCAGAGGTAACCCAGGTCTCTAGTCCAGTGGCCAAGTGCGAAATTTTGGTGACGGTGACTTGTGATATACAAGGTAGGCTTTAGCAATTCAGACACGTTTCCACGAGAGTAAGAATCACCACTAGAATCAACCAGCCAAGGGAATTCGCGCTCGCATACCGTCCACGTTTCTTCCTCAATCAATAGTTTCTTTGCGGATTGCTCCTCAAATTCTCCGTCACTCTCGTCATATATGGGCCATGGTATACGTTGAACAGCTGAAGGGTTCTTGGTAGAAAACAGAATGCAATTCTTGCGAGGTGATACACTGCGACGGAGATAAGAGCGAGATACATGGCATATTGGAGGATCTGCGACCTAACCTGAGTAAATTACCATCTACACGAATCACACCTTCAAAGGCAAGACTGAGTGACTGTAGGGGTAGACCCTCGCCTGCTCCAGCAAGAAAGTTACGCTGTGCATTGGAGCCAAATGCTGGTGCCTGATAGACGGGTGCATCTGGGATGTAGTCCACGGTGACAAGGACGAGGTACGATAAAGTGGTCTGCGACAGGATGGTTCTGCTCGAGTCAAATGCGAGTAGCAATATACTCTTACCTGAATAATGATTCTGCTACCGTCTGGTGACCACGTCGCCGACAAATTCTCACCATGCTCATCCAAAGACTGGGAAGTTCGGGACAGACATGCCAACACAGTGGACGGCTACCAGAGCGTACAATAAGACTTTCTGCTCAGTGGATATTGGGGAAGACGCGACCTACACGGACACGCCAGACGGTCAATGTGGTTCTGGTCAAGGTGCAGAATAGCAGTTTGCGGGGACTGGCTGAAAAACATAGAACGGGCTCTGGCGGGGCATCGGGTAAAGCGGAGACTGTAGAAAGTTGTCTTGCAGCGGATGTCGGGAAATACATATCACAAGACAAGCAGAGAGATTGCAGAGAAGTTTGCAGCCAACACTGCCAAGGTGAGAATTGTCTATCGCCCACCACGCTCAACGTTCCCGCCAAACCTATTCTGCCCTGGCGGCTGATCGTATTCCCCACAACACAGGCAAAGAGCGGTGGCTATCATCTTTTGCAACAAACTGTACTCATGATACTATTACATCGAGCTCGAGCTGCAGACCATCAAAAAACACGGGGAACTAGTTATAGTCAAATATAAAAAATACGATACGCGCAAACACACAACCCTCCGTACACCTCAACCCGTCCCCCACAGCTTGTTAAACCAAGACCCTTTTTCTGCCGCAGACGGCAGTTGATTTTCTATCCCACCAGACCCACCGTCGTCCGACCCGTGAGATACGGACGAAACATCCGTACCCACAAGAGACAGATCAGACGGATGCATGTTGGAAATATACGAGCCTAGTGTCATAGTCTGTAGATGAGATTGCCGTAGCAAGCTGAGAATGAGTGAGACCCCTTCGCGTGACTAACACAGGCCATCAGTATACCACCGTCTGTATGATACAAAAGAACACATACTCTCTGAACGTGGGCCTTGAAACGTGCAAGTCCATGACTTTCGATCTTTTTGGTAAGACCCCACCCAAACTTGGAAGTTATGTTTGCCTCCGTAGTCTGGAGGGTTTTGCTAACCAAAGGGAAGAAGCGGTTAGGGGAAATGTGGGAAATGTGTGTAGCGTTAGCTTACCCGTTCTCTACTTGCTGGAATAACTGAGATTCTTCAACTTGCATAACCTTGACGTGGTCCAGATTTTTCGTGCGACACCGCACCACCTTGCCGAAGGGATCCACTTCACTCTCCTCTACCACCCAAGACTCTGCTCTCTGGACAATTCCTTGAGGGGCCCACCTTGGTAAAGCCCCTCGCTTGAGGATAAGTCTTGTGGTTAATAGTGACCCGCTGTCGGTTTGTTCTCGGGAAATGACGTCGCAAGAGATAACATGGGCAGCATATGGATTTGGATAGCGCAGAAAGAAGGCTAGTGACACGATGTGCCAGGGATCGCTAAGGGGTTTTTGCGTTGGTGCGGATGCGCACGTAAAGGAGGCGAGATGAACTTACTCGTACAAGAAGGATTGCGAGAAAAACTTCATTGCCAACGACCCCGATGCCTTAATATATGTTAGTATTCGTGTTGTGGAGGGAAAGAACGTATGTAGTCTGGTTCAAGTGTAGAGTATAAGGATGACAAGGATATAGCTCAGAAGTACTGAGGCGGCCTCCGGCATACCCATTTCGTCAATTCCGCATCCCTCACGTGATCAACCCCTCGGTCTTATGAATGCAGTACTGATTCCGAGTGTGACCATAATACAGTCCAAGTCTCTAATCTAGTACCAAGCACCCTATAGATCTGTCTAGATGGCAAGTGTGCAACTTGTTTGTTCACTAAGGAACTTGTTCTATTACTGCTTATGGCTCTGCAGAAGGGGCACCATCAGTACTGGATGATATAATAAGTACGGAGGCCAGAACGTGGTGGCCGCAGCACTCACTTCTGTTGTGTCATGAGAAAGAAGTGGATAAGCCAACCCACAGGTTAATCATAAGTCTCATCTCTGATAACACCATCAGAAGAAACAAAAACCCTCAGCCCATCGTGAGCAGGTCGAACCCAGACCTCCTTCCCTTCTTCAATTAGCTCCACGCCTCGTTTCTCAGTTTCAGTCATATTTGACATATCGATCGGATGACTGCCTTCTGTTGCCTTGCCTATCGTAACATATTCGTCATGTGCTACCTCGTGACCAAAACCAGTCCAATAATTCCGCTTTGCACCCAAACGACGTATAGCTGCGAGACTGTCCTGCAAGCCCATGTGAGAGGTATGTCCGTTCAGGCGTAGGCAATCTATCACTAGCACTTGCGGTGGGTCCTTTCCTTCGGGTTTGAGGACCTTCCAAGTGTCTTCGGGTATATGTGACACGTCAGAAAGGTAAATCATAGAATCTTGAATGATGAAACCGAAGCAGAAATAGGGGTGAATCTGTCCTGGACCAGCACCGTGTAGCTTTAGTCCCAGTCCGTGATCCAGCGACTGCCGTACAGGAGTCGATATCCCTGAAGCTGAGGGAGTAGATGGCTGAGTAGTGTAAGGCGTTGGGGTAAAAGCAGGTGGAGCCGTAGTCGTAGTCGTGAATAGACGACCATGATGTACTATAGAAACAAAGGATATCAGAATCTTTGATCCTTATTTAGAGTGCCATAATCCGAACCTGTAAAAGGTGTTATCCGGATGCCGTTGATCTCAAAAGGGACCTTGTCATCTATGATATGCCACGCAAATTCGGGTACCTGTGAAAATGAACTAAGCTGAGCCGTGTGGTATGAATGAGTAAATTCAAAGTCACATCACCGCCACCCGACGCAAATTCTTTGGAAACCAGGTAAGGAAAGGCTCTTTGTACTTCTCGAAAGGTGGGCAGAGAAACATACACGTCGATGTGGGATTGAATGGCACCTCCTAATGTCCAACCTGAACCAGCTATTGAGTACAGAATAAAGCTTTGAGGAGCAAACTAGTTACCCCGGAGGTCATCTAGGCCATTCATTGCTATCAGAGATATAAGTCACTGTTAATTGTTCATATAATTATAAAAACAGTTACCATCAGCATGAGCGTGTGTGATGATCACAGCATCTATCCGACGTAAGTTGTATTTCGGGAACCATTCCACAGCAGCAGCCTGAAAATTTTTGCCCACGTCTATAACTATGGTTCTGTCACAAGAATGTCAACGAAAAGAGCATCATGCTTGTCTACTACAAACGCACGTTGTGTTTCCATCCTTCCCTTGGACGCGTAGTGCAGCAGAAGTGTTCCGTCGAATGTTCTTCTTTCCTTCGGGCGTCAGTGTGGACAAGCACGTCGAACATGGCTCCCTGTCTGGTGGTGCAGTAAGACAATCAAGATGAGGTAGGCTGGAGGAAGTGCCCGTTCCGAGAAATACTAGCTCAATCGGTGCAATCGCGGTGGAGGCCAAGTCGGTCACGATGGACGGCAGTGAATTTGACATTGACAGGCTAGCAATCGAAAATGGTAATAAGAGCAGATCAAGAAAGGTTGAACGCGTTAGAACTAAGTAATAAGATAATGATCAGATGCTCTCGAAATGGAAGAAGTGAAGGGTATTTCAGCACAGACAGCTGGTAAACTTCAGGTTGCGGTGTCACTCAAAGAAGTTTGCTGGCCTTACGTGAATTCCGTCAAATCGCGCTTAGATAGCGCTCGGGTACTACAGCGCTACGTTTGTAACTGGGAGTAAATGTACATCCAGAGTAAAAACACAGTTTCAGACATTCTTCTCTAGACAACAGCCAACAACAGGTATATACCGCGTCTGAATCAAAAACCTCTCCGATAGAGATGATAGGTGCACTTTAGGCCCAGGGTTGATTTATTTCGTGAAAACTAAAAAATCGTCAGCATAGAGAGCAAAAACCAACCAAATAGACATACTTGAAACCACGTCCTCGTCTTGTACTTGATGATTCAAGCTGACCTTCTGAGCATGAGGGGAAAACTTCGAAGATCGACCCTAAACGAAATGTTGAGCTCAGCTGAAAAGTATCAGATACGCGAATTTACCCTGTGTAGGTATTGGTTATTATCTCTTACCACACAATCAAAGTCAAGATGATGCTTACCAGACAAGTCCGTATCGGAAGTTCGAAGCGAGAGATCTGTGAATCCCTATACAGACATCCTGAAAGATGGTGAGAACGCAGCTATTTCTTTTCAAAATATTCTACCTTACCTCAATCGTGGCTCCCTTTCGAAGACAAACAGGATCATCCAAGTCAGGACGGGCGCCTCGCTTCTTAGTATATATCTTGACTAGACCTAGTTCCTCCCAGATCCGCTCTATGAGGTAGTCAAGACTGGCAAAAAGTGAGTGATATGCATGGTTATGGCTGTTAACACGCTCACTTCAGATCCATCTCACAACTGATAACTATGGTATTCTTTGTGCGAGCCAGCTTGTCTACCTGAAAATGTGGAAGAGATGTAAAACATATAAGTTCATGGTGCTCAAGGTATACCTTCACATACCTGTTCCAGACTAATGGCATCGATCTTGTTATAGACATCTTGGAAAGGTCATTGACCTGATCTACTGGAACATTGAATACTCACATAGACAAGGTACGTATTTTCGATTTCCTGAAATCTTTTAGTTATTGAAAACATGGTCAGGGGATGAGTTCCCCACCAATTAGTACGTCGATGAATTCATCAGTTGTAATCTATGAAACTGTTAAGCGGGAAAGAGGCTGAGGGTGCAGAAAACGTACGTCTTCTCGAATCATTACATCACAATTGTGCAACTTATCTGAAGAAAGTTGGTTCAATGAAGAAAACCTCACTGAAGGATCGATCCACTAACAGCCAGCTAGGATTGTGCGAATGGTCTTCTCATCAGTCTTTGTCAGTTTCACTGTAGTATTTAGCTTTGAGATAACATTAGAAACTGCCTTGGAGACATTCGTAGTAGAGCTTACAGTAATCTAAGTATGTGGGGGACAGTGAGCATCAATTGCATCAGGATGATGAGACAACTCACACCACCCGTCGTTCGTCGCTTGAACACAACGTCAGGCTTCTTTTTATTAAGTCGAATACCGACCGCGTCCAGCTCAATCTCCAATAATCGACGTTGTTCTTCAGACTTCATCGCATCCAGCATGATCAAAATAAGGTCCGCAGTTTTGGCAGCTAGACACATCTGTGAACAATGGAAGAAAAAAATGAAGATTCATGACTGACTTGCAACGACCTGCCGTCCGCGTCCACGCCCTGTGTACACGCCTTAACTGAGGCCTTGGATGGAAACGGAAATGCGCACCTTGACTAGCACCTTCTACAATACCAGGAAGATCCAATAATTGTATACGTGCGCCTTGATATTCGATTACACCAGGGATTGCCTTAGTATCCCAAATAGTGTTGAGACGGGAGTTCCAGCATCAATAGAGGACTTACAGTAAGTGTCGTGAATTCGTATGCGGCAGTTTCTGAAGCGGTATGTGTAGTCTTGCTGAGAAGAGTGGACTATAGAGCCGATATGCTGAGACCTCGTTCAAAATATATGAAATGAATAACATACCTTCCCGACAGATGGAAACCCTATTAAAGCAACTCTAGCGTCTCCGGACTTCTGGACATCGAAACCTACTCCAGCAGGTCCTGATTTTGAGGTTGGCTCAAGTAACTGGGCGCGATAACGAGCTAGCTTGGCTTTCAAAAGGCCCAAATGATATTCTGTAGCCTACTTTCAAGTCCTAGTCGTCATTCAATTCTTCGGCAGACAATAAGACCACGAATGTACCTTGTTCTTTTGGGCTGTAGTATACAGTTGATTAGGAGAGAGTCAAGAAATAAGGCTTGGAAAGACACTCACTCCTCGCCATCTCCTCTGCCATAGACGGATATAAGCCTTGTCTTCACAGTTTATGTTACAACTCACCTTCGATCTCTTTGATCTAAGACAGGGAGAATCATGGTCACTATCACTGTATTTTGAGATATTGTAGCTGAGTTCACCTTTTCTACGATACCCATCTTGTTGCAAGGTCGTTGGTTATGATATTAACAAGTCTTTGCTGGAGGTTGAGACTACTTGAGAGCAAATCTTGCCGAGCTGAGGATTACCCTTTAGAGATTACATAACCTCTTACCCATGTAAGCGAGGCAAATGTCGGAGGTAAACTATTAGCCTGACAGTGGACCTTGTAGCTAACCTTGACATTCTAGTTCCCCTACAAAGCATCCAAGGATCTTTTGCAGATAAAAACCCAAGGAATTCGTCCAGAATGCCTTCGAGGCTTACACCTACCCTTTTTCCTCACCCAGAACAGGAATCGGAAGATTCTGAATGGACCCACGGCGTACAAGTTTCTATTCCAGCCAGGCCGTTCCCGTCTGGCAATTTATCCGCAGGAAGTACTCGCACGAGAGCAAAAAATCGGCAAAAAAACGTCTTTCAGTCAAGTGCAAGCTCGTCTAGCATCCCCCCTTTGAACTCCAATTCTGCATCTCACGTACCAAAGTACTCTGACATCTATTCTCAGTTCGTGCGGCGATACAGGTCTGAGCCTGGCCTCGATGGCGATCCTCGCAATGATCCAGATAGCAACTACTTTCAGAGAGGGCTGGGTCAGTTGGTGGATGCTGGAGATAGCGATGACGAGGATCTCAATCGTGGTTTGCTTATAACGGGAAACGATGGAATTGAAAGGTTTTCTATTCTTATGCACGAATCTGAACCTATCAATCCAGAGACCTTAGAAGATAGACAACGTCTGGAATGGCAGACTATGCTTGCATCTGTCTTGGATGGAGATGTTCTCAAATCCGAGAAAACGCGGATAGCAGTCGCCTTGGAGTCATCTACGGAAGAGCAGAATAATATTCGTCTAAATATATGGCTCGGTATACGGGCCAAGTTCAGCGGTCGTGCGGAAGAAGAAGAGCGCAAGTGGTTGGAGGAGCGAAGATTACGCACGGTGGAATCTGTGATCGAGGAGATCAATATCTTTCAGATTAGCGAGGAAGAACATGATACAACCTCTGCGCTCAAACGGGTCAACGCCGTGCTACTTCGTTTAGATGCAGCGCAATCTCTCTACCCCAGTCTCAAGGCATTCTATATCGATAAACCTGCCGCCATGGACAGTTCATTTCAAGCTCGCTGCGATACTCTCTACACCTGGTCAACAGTACTCTGGTCACTAAAGCGTCAGATAGCTTTGCTTCGGCGGTGGACAGGGAGTGAGAATCTTGATGTCACACAACCCAACACCAATCCAGAGATACCGATTGGTGCACACTCTCAACGCAATAGTAGAAATGGTTCCGCCGACTTGGCGGATGGCACGACTTTCGTAGAGAGAGTCTTGAAAGAGGATTCGATCCAAAAGACCTTCGAGAAGGGTTTCTTGACGACCGTTCACGCTTTTATAGGTGCTGCCCGCGATGCCCAAGTGAATTTGTCTTCCCTATTCACTGAAATGAACCTTCCCAATTTCGAGCATGAATTGGTGCCGCTCATATCATTCCCCACCAAACTCGCTCAGGCATGTTTACGGGTACGATTGGACTACGTCCAGAAACTCAAAGATCCCGAAGTTCTGATTATAGACCAAGTAACAGAGGATGTCAAGATCAGTTTGGGGCTCGCTTGCACCCTAAAACGGCAATATGAGGCTTTTTTGGCTCCGGATCCAGGTGGCAAATGGAACCTGCCCCGATGCATAAGCGAAGATTACGACTCGACCATCCTCGAAGCCCTCTCTGTATTCTTCAGACTTATCCATTGGAAGTTAAAGAGTGGAGTCAAAGGCATTTACTTCAAGGAGACAGACGTGTTAGAAGCACAGTGGGCTACCTTCAATGATGTGAGCATGACTGTAGTAGGTGGATCATCTCTTGTGGCAGAACAGCTCTGGTCAGCTCTTCTCTAACTATCTGACGTATCGGACTTTTGACATCTTTATTCTTTCAGTGCTTTGACTAACAAGTTGATGGTACGAGTAACAAATTACTTTGAGACTCAAGTTCGCGTCCCAACCTCCGAGGTGACCTCCATAAATCCCAGGCTTCTCAAATCAGTTCTTCATGGAATTCCACGTGCTCCGGGTAGTAATAGCCAAATGAACAGCGAGCAAATGTCTAGTTGGTATGGCAAGATTCTAGACAACGTGCGCTTACGCTATCGTAAGCTACAGCGTTTCGCGAGGTAGGAGTCATCATAAAATATACACTACATTTACTGACTCTTCATCTGTACGATTAGAGTGCTCACTCAGAGATTTAGCAACTCTGCCGAATATAATCTGGAAGGGGTACTCTTGGAACACTTTATCTCCATGCTTGTTGCTACGGACCACGTCCTCGTCTACACTCAGACTTACGAAGAGGATGGGACATACATAGTAGCACCAAATGTTTTGCGCGACCGCCCAGACGCCATCCGTCGAATCTTGCTGGAATCGTTCCATGTCAACGAGATCATGACTGACGACGGTATCCCTGTTATGGATAACCCGGATTTCATAGAGAACGACTACGACGAAGCCGGATACCTCCTCGTTCTTTCTCCTCGAAGTCAATTCCTATGGAATGGACTAGTGCTCATGCTGGAACTTCCAAAGATCGACTTGGACCTGAAAGACAACCGCGTCAGGCTTGTCGCCGATGGACCTCAACGACGTCTGGCCATTGCCAAACAGCAGTTCGCGGAGGTTTTCGCTAGTGTATACGAAAACGGAGATCCCATCGATTCGCCACTCGCCTCTCTTCCATGCTTGGCTGAACAGCAAGCACATGTCCCCGTCGTCAACCGAGAATTGAGGAAGATAGCCCGCGCAACTAATAGATTGGCAGAGGCCATTGTGGATTCTGTTCATCACGTCCGGAATTCACTCAGAGTAGACATGGGCTGTCAGGAGCTTTTGGAGAATTGGTACTCGTTTGCCTCGGAGCACGGCCAGCATGCTCAGAAATACATGGAGCGGTCGACGTTGCACAAGTTCAATCGACTGCTTATTCGACTCGCTATTTCCTGGGTATCGTTTATCTGCGATGACTGCGATCCAACCGATCGTAAGACATTCAGATGGGCTGTCAACGCTCTAGAATTTACGCTACACCGTACGAGGCGAAATAACATCATCCAGATGCCCAACGAACAATTTGAGATGCTTAGACAGAAAGTTGCCAGCTGCATGACGCTCCTCATCAGCCATTTCGATATTCTAGGTGCACGGTCTACCCTTGAAGCCCGTAAGGAGAAGGAGAGGCAAGAGGAGTTGTTGCGACAGCAAGCAGTGAACTCGAGGCCAGATCAAGAACCAGGTTTCACAGCGTCCGTACCTCCTGAGTACGACGATAGTCTGCTCACCCTGGGCGCATCTGCATACACCGACATCAATGTGCAGCTCTTTTGGGACAAGGCTGCGAGGTCACTCCGGGATCTTGAAAGTGGGCGGGCTCGTGTAGGTGCAGAACAGAGGGTGGTCGGTCGCGTTCTGGACGACGAAAAACCCGAAGATCGTTCTCTCGTGTTCCTCGCCTCCTCCAACTCCAATATCTCGATAAGATGGCAACAAGGGAGATTCATCGGCGCCGGCGCCTTTGGATCTGTCTATCTCGCCGTCAACCTGGACTCGGGCTCACTCATGGCTGTGAAGGAAATCAAATTTCAGGAGCTTTCTGGTTTACCCAATCTATACTCACAGATAAAGGAGGAACTCAGTGTCATGGAGGTACTGCATCACCCCAACGTCGTCGAATACTATGGAATCGAAGTTCATCGGGACAAGGTTTATATATTCGAAGAGTACTGTCAAGGTGGAAGTCTGGCGGCCTTGCTTGAACATGGCCGTATCGAGGATGAGAGGATTATTCAGATTTATACTATGCAGATGTTGGAGGGACTTGCTTATCTGCATTCCAAAAACATAGTTCACAGGGACATCAAACCCGACAGTGAGTCTGCTTCCTATACATCCTGTCACATGGTGTCTCACTAGTTTGATTTTCAGATATTCTCCTCGACCATCGCGGCGTCATCAAGTTCGTAGATTTCGGCGCCTCAAAGATCCTTGCCAAGAACCAGCGCACGATGCAGCGCTCCCGTCGCGGACCAGAGGTAGTTGTGAACATGCCCCCCAAGGGCGGCGGTCTCGTGAACAACAGTCTAACAGGAACGCCGATGTACATGTCTCCAGAGATCATCAAGAACGACAAGCGAGGCAGGCGCGGGGCGATGGATATCTGGTCTTTGGGGTGCGTCGTGCTCGAGTTCGCGACGGGTAAGAAACCGTGGAGTAATCTCGACAATGAATGGTACGCCAGCTTTTCTCTTTCTCTCCCGGCCTGACAACCACCTTGACGCCTCATGCTAACTCGATCGTGGATAGGGCTATCATGTTCCACATCGGAGTTGCCACGCAGCACCCTCCCCTCCCCGAACCCGGCCAACTAAGCGAGCTCGGGATCAACTTCATAAAGCAATGCCTCACCATCGACCCCATGCGGCGTCCCACCGCCGTCGAGCTGCTCGAACACCCCTGGATGGTCGAGTTCGGAGAGGCGTTGATGAGCTACGAGGAGGCTGAGATCGCGACGAGCCCGCCTGCCGAGATGCCTGCGGAGGAGGCGTACGAGAACGCGACGGTCGCGCGGCAGGCGGCCATCATCCAGGAGAAGGAAGTCGAGACGATCAACCTCCCCTCTCCTACGCTATCGACGACGACGGATTCGTCGCCTAAAACTGAGTGATGGAGATGGCCGATGCATGTATGCTGCATGGACCCCACCCCCCCTTTCCCCCCTTTTCTGCTATTATTTCCTTTATGCTCGCCGCAACTCTTTTTTCCCTTCTTTTTTTCACATTGTAGCACTAACCAACTCATTCTTCATTTAATACGTACATGTAATCGCACGCGTTGTTTTCTACCGGCATGAAATACACACATATGGCCTTTTAACCATTCACCGTACCGTGGGTCAGCGTTAGACGGCGATGCCAGCACCGTGTGTATCACTTGAGCTCATGAGTGGGGTGGTGTGTATCTCTACGGGGAAGGGGGGCTATTTAGAGGGAACCAGCAGAATGGTTCAGCCAGCCCCAGGAAGTCGTTAGGTGACGAATACATAGAATTTGAATTTGGCATGGTACCTGCGAGGGAAGAAAATATAGCTTCAGAAGCCTACTCAACGATAACGTCGTGGCACGATCCAGTCGTTTTTTTTGTATGTGCATCTCAAATGCCCTATAAATACAGCGCTACCCAAGCACACGAAGACCCCAAGAAACCCAGCCCTCTCCTCCTCCTCATCACGCACCGTCAAAAATCAATACAGCGCTCCCAAAGCAAGCACACACAGACCCAAGAAACCTCCTCCTCCTCGTCACACACCGTCAGATCGTCAAGAAAGCATCAATAAATACCATCAAGAAACCCCAAAACAATATAAATACATAAATACCCCTCGCCCACTCCCTACTCTATCACCCACCGCCTCCCATTCAAATGGCCATACGAGCTGTTCGAGCTGTCGCTGCTGACCGAGCTCTGCACGCTCAGCTGCGAGCCGTGCCGCGCCAGTGAGCGGAAGGACGACCTGCTCGGCGAGGCGCGCGAGAAGGCGGCTGCGGGCGCGGGCAGGGCGGCGTCTTCTGCGTATAGCGGGGGGTAGCTCTCGTTCTGTCCCTGGCTCTGACGCTGGCCCTGAGGCAGCAATTCCGCCTGCGACGAACGCACAGACCCAGAAAGCCGCAGCGAAAACGGACGGGGCGCGAACATCTGCGACGGCAAAGGCGCCTCGGCGCCTCCCGACCCAAAAGCGACCGAGAACGTCGGGACGGTGCGCTCGCTGAACGGGAAGGGGGATTTTTCGATGTCTTTGCCGGTTGGGGAGACGTAGGTGAAGGTGTCGCCTGGGAGGGGCTCTTCGGCGTTTACTAAGGGGGTGGGGTGAGTGACGGTTTGTATGACAAAGGGAAGGAGCGGGAGGGGCAAGAAGAGAAAGGAGGAAAAGGAAACAAAGGTAGCGTAAGACGACTCACAATACCGCACCAAGCCCTTCCCAAAATTAACCCGGCCCATCACACCCAGCACGAACGAGACAAAGGTGAGAAAGACAGAAGCGGTGGTGATAAGCGCAAAGAAGCGCCATTGGAGGAACGTCCAGCGGAAGGTCGTGGAGGCGAACATGGCGCTCCAGCCGACGAGGTAGGCGAAGGAGAGGAAGAGGAAGATGAGCATGGGGATCTTGAGCTCTCTGCGAACGGCGAACCAGCCCTGGGTGGGAGGGGGTGAGAGGTTGGGTTAGATCATACTTCGACTTGGGAGGGGGACGTACGGTGGTTAGCCATGGTATCATAAGCTGTGCGAATAAACAAAGTATACATTCAATCGGATGCCCTCAAACGAAAGAAAGGAGGAAACGGGGAGGGGGACTCACAATCAACGTAATAATCAAGATCGGCCTATACACCGACGACGTCGCCAGTTTCCCAATCGAGCCGTTCCACAGCTGGTCGATCCAGAGGGCGACGGAGACGACCATGAAGAAGAGGGAGAGCTGGATGACGATGGAGAGCGTGAGGACAATTTTGTAGACGCGGCTGATGGTGATGGACGCTCCGACGCGTTTGAAAGTCTGCCATCCATAGAGCTATTGCGCGTCACCCCACATTCAGCATTTCAGTAAAACATCAGCAACTCGAGAGCCGAACGCACCTTGGCCAACCTCCACGAAAGCACTGCAGATGTGACCAACCCCGCGGCATTGAACGCCAAGCTAGGAATCTCAGCTGCCGCACGGGCGCTCCAGTAGTTCGGGATAAGGTCGATAGGGTTACAGGCACCGTTCGTGGTGAGACGCTCGAATTCGCTGTGGAATTCAGCGGTGTTGTAGAGCTGGATCCCTGCCCAACCTGTTGCGAGCATGTGCGTGAGGAGGGAGGCGAAGCTGGGAGTGGGTGGGTGAGTAAACGGGTACATGAATGGAAGTGGGAGAGGAGGAAGGGATGGCTTACGTGTGAGGAACGGATTCGTTCAAAAGCTGGGGTGAGTTGTATTTGTGAGTGTATGAATGACGAAAGGGGGGAGGACATACAGCGACGAAGGACATGCCAAGAACCCAAAACTGAAAAGCGATAAACGTGATATCCTCGCGCTTCGTGTTGCGCAACCTAACGCCAGTTCAATTCAACATTCGCATCACTGTGCACGGAGACGCGAGTGGACTTACACCTGGACGGGCCATGTGAGAGCCCATAGACATTGGCGGTCGAGGACAGCAGGCTGGTTGTTCCATCCCAAGCCGTTCACGATGACGCTCACAGTTCCGTTGACCTCGATAGCCTCGATTGAAGTATCGCGCGGCTAAGTGGGGAGTGTTGGTGATGATGTAATACGCTGCACTGAACAAATGAAATACCTGGTACGAACGATCCGCACGACGCGAGACAACACGGCTTCGGCGCACAACGTAGTCCTGTTCATCCGCCTTGCCCGTAGAGGAAGAGGTAGGCGCGCTGCTGTGCGTGACCACCGTTACCTTCGTCTCGCTCGCGGACACGTCCAGCTGGTCAGATGACGGTTTGGCTGATTCGGCCGACTTTGTGGAAGCTGTCACGGTGACGGTGACGGTGCTCTTGGAGGTGGAGGCGTGAGAAGTCGTTAGGGCTGAGGTGGTCTCCATCTTGGATGCAGACGGGGATGGAGTTGAAGAAGGTGAGCTTGAGGTGGACGTGCTAGACATGTTGACGCTGGTGGTAGCGTCTGCCATGGCGGGAGAGCCCATAGGAGTAGCATTGACGTCGGTCATCTCATTGTCATCCACAGGAACGCCGTCCCAAATGACGTTACAGGAGCTGGTACTAACGGTACTGGGGACATGGTCGCAAAAGACAAGGTCGTCGGAGGTGAGGACGGTGAAGCCCTGTATGTCTGACAAGTTTCCCTGCTGTGTGATGGAAGCTAGGAGGTTTGCTGCGTTGAGGTTGATGGTAAAGGCTTGGACCTGGAAGACGACCTGGATGATGCAGTGTATGAGGGAGAAGAGGAAGTAGATGGTGGTTGTGCGGGAAAGGGTGATGCGGTCGATCTGGGAAGAAAAGGGGGTTGGTATGAGGAAAGTGAGACGGATGAAAGGGAGAAAGGTGATAAGGTGTACGCCAAAATGGAGGAGATGAGATGGATGGAGGTGGGGAGTGGAGTTGTATGGGAGTGGGAGAGGAACTCACGAGTAGCTTGATGTTGGCAGGGATGGGTATGACGGACAAGATATCTTTAACACGCATGATGAATGAACTGAGAGAAGGGGTGAGTGGGTGAACGGGTGAAATGGAAGGAGCGACATACGAAATTAAAGATGATATGAAGACAGAGAAAGAGAAGAGGTAAGAGGTTGTAGAGGAAGAGAAAGGTAAAGAACGACAGAGGCAACCCAAGACTAGCTAGGACTGAAGAAAAGGCAGAGACGAACGACTGCTACGACGGTCCTGCCTCGTGCAGAAAGAGGGTCGATGTGGTTGGAAAGAAAGACGGGGTTGTCATGATACAGATGTGTAGAGTGACAGCATGGTTTCCTAATGGGCAGACTGGAAGATTGAATGGTTACTGGTGATATATGGCACGCCAGCAACGGTCATGACAAGAATACACAACTGATCGGTCTACTCCGTGTGAATCCATTCTCGATCGTGTCCCGGTTGCACTCTCTTCGTTCATCGATCTTCCTTTTATATTCTGCCATGTACCTCTCACATGGCTAGCCATACCTCAGCGCTCGTCCTACGACTCCCTCCCTAAGCCTGGTAAGCAGTCTCCTTCCCTCTTATCGTCCCCTGTCACGCCAAAATCACGCATCCCCATCTCGTCACTCTCCTCAAATGACGAATTCCACTCTCCCTATGGCGAGCAAGGTCACGTTCACCCACCCCATCCTTTTTATAATCCCTCCAATCTCTCCCAGTCACGTACACTTCCTCTCCCATGTCTCTCAGCCCCGCGTCCACCCTCGCTCTCACTTTGCAACCAGCCGCCGAGTCCGGGTCCGACAAGCAATCCAAAGACTCGACCGCACCCGCACAGTACCCCTACGCCCACCTCCTCCCCCACTTCTCCCCCCAGACTTATCCCCCGCTCACCCCTTTCGAACACACCGACCCCGGCCTCCGTGCTCTCCAACATCCCGACCCCCGCGCCTTTCTCAGCAATGCATCCAGCATAGTCGATCTCACTCCAAAACTCGGCACAGAAGTACACGGTGTCAGCCTCGTAGACCTCGATAGCGACGGTAGAGACCAGCTCGCCTTGGAGGTTTCTTCATACCCATCCTTGCCCCTGTCCTTTCATCCCTGACTTGTCTACTCGTAACAGGTCGCGACAAGGGGTCTTATCGTCTTTAGAGACCAGCACGACTTTATCAACAAAGGGCCCGACTACTATCGTCAATGGGGTTCCCACTTTGGCAGGTATCCACCTATTGGACTCCTCTTTATATACACATCTAATGTCTTCTTCCAGGTTACACGTCCACCCCACATCCGGGCACCCCCAGAACTATCCAGAAATCCATCTCGTATACCGGTAAGCACCCCTCCCTCTCACTTTACCCTCCTCACCTCACCCCCTTCCAGCGACGCCAACAGCAGCTTCAACTTTGAAATAAACGACTCCATCACTTCCACAGTCTGGCACTCCGACGTCTCCTACGAACTCCAACCCCCCGGCCTAACCACCTTCTTCCTCCTCTCCCAGCCCACCACAGGCGGAGACACCCTCTTCACCTCCCAATCCTCCACCCTCCAAAAGCTCTCCCCGCCCTTCGTCGCCTTTCTCCGCACCCTCAAGGCTCTCCATTCCGGGGTCGAGCAGGCCGAGTTTTCCAGGAAGGGGAAGAGGGGCGGTGTGGTCAGGAGGGAGCCGGTGGAGAATGTCCATCCGGTGGTGAGGAAGCATCCCGTTACCGGCCACGAGGCTTTGTATGTCAATAAGCAGTTTACGCGCCGGATCGTCGGTCTCAAGCGTGAAGAATCTGGTCAGTTCATTCCACTTTTCTCATCACAGCTCCCCCACTCCTCTTTGTCGCGTTGGGCTGATCATACTATTTTTTCTTCGTTGCAGAAACGATACTCAACTTCCTCTACGACCATATCGACAAGGCTGGTGATTTGCAGGCTCGTGTCAAGTGGCAGCCTGGCACCGTTGTGCTGTGGGATAATCGAGTGACTGCGCACGTATGTGCCTTTTTTCCTTTTTCCGTCTTTCTATTTTTCCGTTTTTCTATCCGCCCCTTTTTTCCCTATCGCGAGCGGCGAGTCGAGCTATCCTCTCAGCTGACCGCCCTCATCCTTATCATTTCACTGCTCTCTCTCTCTCTCACTCGCACGCAACCTCCAAAATACCCCCCACACTACTAATACTGACCAACATTCCACTGTCCACAGTCTGCCATCGTCGACTATGGCGATTCCGGGGAACGACGACACGGCGCCCGCATAACACCGCAGGCCGAGCGTCCCATTCCGGCGCTTGAGGGGCTCGAGCTGGGTGCATGAGATAGTTGCAGTACTTATTAGTTAAGTTATCTTCAGAATCAGAAATAGGCAGAGATAGGCAGTGGACATTGATAGGGAGTTACTAGTAGCTAGGGGGGTCCAATGCTTATGTGTCATGCGACGCCGCGGTGTGAATCCTAGTACGCTGAATGGCAGACAATGAAGTTGCCAAATAAATTCAAGGCGCCTCATAGCCATCGCTCCCATTATCAAAGCTCTGTAAAGTACTATGACTGCACGCTGGAGTTGCATTTACACTGCCCAATGGCATAACAGCCTACGCCAGCTCCCGGCCCCTTCTCGCAATATGCCGAAGGCTTAGTAAGCCGGGAGTGACTCGGGGCCAATCGGATAGCTCTGATATAGATCCAGTAGCGTGAAAAAAAAAAAGGGAAAAAAGAGGCTGGTTAGTATCCGTTCGTCCGCGTCAAAGGCCGCAGCTACACAGGGAGAGATCGTCGTCAGAGAGTCCGTTGCCGTTCATTCGACACACACGACTGTACACCCTTCTCTCATTTTATATCCTCGTTCGTCTTCTTTGTTATGCATTTCTTCTCGCAGGCTTTCCAGTACCAGTGAGTTGTGTCGTTGCTTTATCCGCCGCCCTCGTCATCGCCGTCGTCGTTGTCGACGGCGGGGGCGGGTGGGTGGAATGCGTGAATGGCGCTGACGAGGCGTTTTTGTTTGTTTGCTGGGACAGACATCCATGGTCGCACGTTGTGATTGGGATGTGGCATAAATACCCAAATCCACACTGTACACATGTCGTCACTGTCGATGTCGTTGACCGCACCGTCGACCCACGGACAGGGATCATACGGACGGAACGTGTGCTCGGGTGTAAGCAGAAGGCGCCCATATGGATAGTCAAAGTACGTCTCTCCCTCCCTTCCCCGCGCGACCCATACCCACATCTTTTTGCAGCTATTCGGCGGGTCGCAAGACGCATTCGTGCGAGAAATATCATTCGTCGATCCCTCCTCCCAAGACGTCACCATCACCTCCGTCAACCTCTCCCTCTCCCAATTCGCCACCTGCTTCGAGCGGATACGATACGCACCCGCCGCGGGGGGCCACACGGCGTTCACGCAGACGGCGGAGATCCAGGCTAGGATGGCGCTCTGGCGGAGTGCGGCGGATAGGCTGGAGAATTGGTTGGTGCAGAGGTTTGAGCAGAATGCGCATTTGGGGAAGGCGGGGTTTAGTGATGTGTTGAGGACGATGTGGGAGGCGAAGGAGCAGGCGGCGGCGGCGGCGCAGGGGTAGGGAGGGGCGTTGGCTGGCTGGACTGGACTGGACTGGCTGCTTCGTTTTTCGCCTACTCACACGCTCACGCTCACTCCTTCATTGGCGTTCACTCGATGTTTTATATCATTCGCATATCTCTTGGAAGACCTTGGGGGCATTTTAGACTTGGGGGAGGAGGCGATTAGAAGTTGTAGATGCTGATATGCATCGCGACCATCCAAAAAAGCAAGCGTGGTGCTTGATGACCCTCGTTCACGACTTATACGTTATATTCATGTATTATTCCCTTTTTTGTGTTATACGACTATAGACTGTAGGTGGAAGTACGATGACTTTGCTCTGTCTATTGTTGGGATGCCGGGGTTGGCTGAGACTGGCGCTGCCACTCGTGCACAGGAGTGACTCCATCAGCCTGGTTAAATGTGTGGCGGATGCAGTGGAGGGACATGGTATGATGCTATGCGAGAGTCGTTGGCCGGCAACTCAAAAATTGCCTAAAGTGTCATAACCGTCGGGCACGGATTTAGTTCCGAGAGAGAGTATGGTCACGTGCGATGTTATTGTGTTCGCTTAACGTTGGACGTAGATTCTTGACCAGCGTGCAGAAGAGAGACAATAGCGGTCTCAGTGGTGCAACAATAAGCAACCTCGGCCACCCCTGCGTTACATGCTATGGCCCTGGCCCCGTGCCTTGACCGCCCTTTTCCTTTTCGGTCCCTGGTGGCAGCCCACAGCCTCGAGGTGCAGTACACCCCCAGTGCACATCCGCAGAGGGCACCACCACTGATCGTACGTTTATTCCAGCTGCATCCTGTACTCTGTACTTCTCTTCCGTGTATTCTGACGTCAATATGTCACACTGGCTGGTCCGAGAGAGCCGAGCTGTACCCGGCCAGTCTCCCAGCTTTTTGTTATGCGGGTGGACTAGATCTGATTCGTCCTATTGTCTTTCCAATTGTCCTTTGCTCTGCCACGCTCCCAGATCACCTTCTCGTGGCCCTCCTTCCTTATTTGGCTCCAGTCTCGTCCACCAGTGGAATGCACACCGACAAGTGGTCATAGAGTACCTAACCGATTCCTCTCAAATACCCGCGTTATCCCATCTTCACTCAATTCTCCATCTCTTCCCCCTCTTCCCGCCTTCTCCCCTCTGTCCTCCTCACCTGTCTGCACCTGCCTTTGCCGTAGCGTCCTCGCAGACAAGACATGGAGTCCAAACCATACAGCAGCGCGACTAACATCCTCACTCTCCCCACCCTTCGCAGGAGGGCTGTCCCCGATGTACCAGAAGATGTTGATTATCTCATGGACCATCTCAACGATCCCAACTATGACATCAACGGCTCCCCCTCCTCCCCTTCCTCCATGAGCAGTGACACCTTCGAGCTCGAGAGCAAGAAGATCGCGTCCTTCTCAGGAGACTACTCTGTCGCCACCTCGGACATCGACACAGAGTCTCGAGCAGAGTCGTTGAGGTATTCTACTACTTCCAGGACGGACGCCCCGTCCTCGTTTGAGTATGATGAGTATGTCTCTGCTTTCCTCTCTTCTTGTCTTTTGGTCTCATCCTTGTCTGCAGTGAGTCTCCTTACCCCGAAGTGCGCGCAGCAGTGTCCAGTGTTGATGATCCTACCATGCCTGTTAATACTTTCCGGATGTAAGTTCGTCTTTTGTCGCGTCTTGGTTTCATCTGACTGACCATCATCAGGTGGGTTCTTGGGTTGTTCTATACCATCGTTATATCTGCCCTCAACCAACTCTTCTCCATGCGGTGTATGTTTATTTACTTCACACCTCTTAGTTCCTGACTGACTGACCATCCGAATAGACCCCTCTGTGATCATTTCAGGCATCGTCGCGCAGTTGACTGCTCTGCCTCTTGGCAAAGGCCTCGAGCGTATACTACCCACAACTCGTTTCCGCACTTTGGGCTTCACGTGGTCGCTCAACCCAGGGCCTTTCAACATCAAGGAACACGTGCTCATCACCGTCATGGCCAACGTCGTCGTCAGTGGCGCCTATGCCACAGATATCATCGCGACACAGCGCATCTTCTACAACCAGACCCTCAGCTTCTCTTACCAGATGTGCTTGGTTTTGTCAACGCAGATAATCGGGTTCTCTCTCGGTGGTCTCCTCCGCCAGTTCCTCGTGTATCCCAGCAGCATGATCTGGCCTGGTGCGCTCGTCAACTCTGCCTTGTTCAACACGCTCCACAAGACCTACGGTCAGGCTGAACGCAGGCATATCTCGCGGGAGAAGTTCTTCTGTCTTGCTTTGGGATGCAGCTTTGTGTGGTACTGGGTCCCGGGTTATCTCTGGACTGGATTGAGTGCATTCAACTGGGTTTGTTGGATTGCTCCGGACAATGTTGTCGTCAACACTTTGTTTGGAACTTCGACAGGACTTGGGATGGGAATCTTTACTTTCGACTGGTCGATGATCTCGTACATTGGCAGCCCATTGGTCACACCCGTAAGTTTTTTTTGCTAGTCGCTCCATGCTTCCTTGCTGATCGCTTGTTATATAGTGGTGGTCTGAGGCGAATACTGGTGCAGCCCTGGTTATCTGTTTCTGGATCATCGCACCCATTATCTATTGTGAGTATTTTTGTTCTTCCTTTTCGGCAGAAATGCTTACATTGCGATTAGATACCAATACGTTCTTCTCAAAGTTCATGCCCATGTCTACTTATCAATCCTTCGACAACACCGGCATGACCTATGATCCGTCGCAGATTGTCACGAACAGTGAATTCGATGAAAGCAAATATTTGGCATACTCTCCCGTATACATGTCTGCCACACTCGCTGTTGCTTACGGAGTGTCATTCGCTGCCTTTACTTCTGTCATTGTCCACACTTTCTGTAAGCTTACTGTGTTGATCTTTAGTATCACATACTGAGACTTTGATTCGCAGTGTGGTACCGCCGCGATATTGTTCGCAGGCTTCGGAGCTCTCTCAAAGACGAGAGAGACGTTCACGCCCGACTTATGCAAGCTTACCCAGAAGTCCCTCACTGGTGGTACGCGCTTCTGGGTGTTCTTTCCTTAATTTTGCTCTTCATCACAGTGGAGATCTTCCCCACGCAACTTCCTATTTGGGCGGTCATCATCGCTCTCCTTCTTGCTTCCCTCCTGTCGCTTCCCGTGGGCATGCTGCAGGCCATTACCAACCAGCAAATCGCCTTGCAAGTGATGCACGAGATGATCGGCGGTTACATGCTCCCCGGCAAGCCCGTCGCCAACATGATTTTTAAGTGCATTGCGTATATCGGTACCAACCAAGCCGTTGGGTTCTCCGGCGACCTTAAGCTGGGACACTACATGAAGATCCCCCCTCGCCTCATGTTCGCCGCACAAGTGGTCGCTGCTTTCTTGAGCAGTTTCGTTGTCACCCTCGTCCAGGATTGGATGTTCGCCAACATTGTCGATATTTGCCAGCCCACTCAACCCCAATTCTTCACCTGTCCATCCACCGGTACCTTCGCCACCGCTTCTCTCCTTTGGGGCGGCATTGGTCCCAAGCGGCTATTCAGCCCTGGGCAGATGTACAACCCACTCCTTTGGTTCTTCCTCGTCGGCGCCATTCTTCCCATCCCATTCTACTATCTCGCGCGCCGATACCCCCTTTCTTACTGGCGATACATCAATATTCCCGTCTTCTTCGCCGGCGTCGGCGCGTTGCCCCCCGCTACAGGCCTCAACTACTCATCTTGGGTCGTTGTCGGCTTTTTCTTCCAGTGGTTCATGCGTCGCTTCCACTTCCGCTGGTGGATGCGATACAACTACATCCTCTCGGCTGGGCTCGATGCCGGCGTCGCCCTCAGCCTTATCGTCATCTTCCTGTGTGTGCAGCTTCCAAAAGGCGGGATTACCCTTGACTGGTGGGGCAACACTGCTTGGCAAAACACCGCAGATGCACTTGGAACGCCGCTATACGTCTTGGCTCCTGGTCAGACTTTCGGACCTCCTCCCTCATGAAAAAAGAATGAATGTCTCGTATGTATATGTGTATGTATGATGCACTGTAGACTGATCTGTTTCCAATTTGATTCGCAACGAATATTCTAACTTCAGCAACGTTGATTTTTTTTTTGTTACGCCTTTGCTCTGACCCGCATCATTGGCCAATTGACCATCTTACGTTATCTCAAACTCATTGTAACCTTTTGATTTACCATTATTCTTTTCGGGTTTTTGCAGTTTTTCTTACCCATATAGCATTATCACATTTGTATGTATATTTTCATACCAATACAATCGTTATCACCATGATCTGAACGCGTGTACCGAGTTTGTCAAAGTCGTACCTACGCAAAAGGTAACATGCATTTGCAAAGCCATTCCTAAGTAACAGTAAACCACAATATTACATTCTAGCTAGGTACACTCCAAATTCTGACCTCTCTGCCCATCACACCCCAGATATCCTTACCATGTTCTCCAAAGACCATATCAGACACTTCTTCTCCCTCCTCGAAGCGCACAAGTTCCTCCCAAGTCTTGTGTGCAAACACGCGAATGCCCTGGCTGCCCGCCACACCCAGATACTGAGCGCTAAAGTCGTACACAACTTTGTTGACATTGAAGCCTTCACCCAAAGGGATGGAGTGAGTGGCCTTCATCTTTCGCAAGTCCCAGATCGCAACCGAGGATGAGCTGTCTGGCGCGAGGAGGTGGTAACCATTCTCCGAGAATGATATCGTGTTTACTGTGAACGGCGTGCCGTCAACTGGGCTAATATGAGCGGCCACTTGACCAGACCGAACATCGCATATCTGTATCTTGGATGCAGGTGTACCGAGGGCAAGGAGCGCACCATCAGGGTGAATGGCCAACGACGTGAAAGCTTCATCCGATGGAGCAGAACGATATATCTGAGTAAAGTTGGATAATTCGTGTAGTGAATATGTCTTGTCAAGCGAGGCGAACGCAACGACGGTCGAAGTTGGATGTACGGCCAAGCCTGTCAACTCCCCTTTGTGAGTCCGGACAGTAGCTTTTGGTATGTACTCGCTAGATGCTGAGTCAAGTGACCAGACCTTGGCTACCTTGTCGGCACCAGCTGAGAGGATAAGCGTGTTATCGCGTTCGCGTTCGCGCAAGGCAACGTGATTGATTTTTTTGGTATGACCTTTCAACGAAGCCAGCACTTTGTCCGTACTCCTGTCGTAGAGCTGAACAATTTTATCGTTGCCTCCAGTCAAGAATTGGGAGGGATTAACGTGGGATATGGCGAGGGAAGTAATACCGGCAGGCGAAGCGGAGTGCAATGAAGGGATGGTGCGAGTGGCAGTGAATGTCTTGACTTCAGAGGATGTAGCATAACCAGCCGGTGCTTTGCGTTTCTTGCGTGCAGCAGAAAGTGTTTGTTGCGTCTCGTCGATTTGATCCACGATTTCTTTTGGTAAACTTTCCTGTACTCCAACTTCATCGTCCATTTCAACATCTGCAAGGGAACCTGTAGGAGGAGCGATTCCTATGGTAGCGTGGACATTCGCAAGAGCTCTGAGAGAGGGCGTTCGAGAATAAGCAGAGAACATAAAAACGTAGACATTGTGCTTACTCTCGAGCAGCATCACGTTCTTTGATGAGACGCGCGACCACGCGGCTGGCGGCATCTTGAGCGTAGAGAGAATAGCTCAGCTCCTGCCGAGTATTGTTGTACTGCTGTCTTAAAGTGAAATTTTCCAAGACAACAGCATCCCATTCATTTCGTAGTGATTGAATGAGAGCCGGGATTGAAGAAAAGGTTGGAGGCCGTGGGGGTGCTGCTTTGGGATCTAAAACGCGAATGATTAGAAAATGGTGAAGGGGTTTAGTCAGAAGAAAAAAGGGGACGTACCAGATTTTATGGAGACCAGGTCTGCCTCTTCGAGTTTTTCTCCTGTGAAGGGGTCATTGCCATTTTCGTTGATATACTTCAAAATGAGACGGCGCTCGTAAAGCCGACCAGACTTCGAGGACACGACTGGGTCCTCTGGGATTTCACCAGAGATGGTACAGAAAAACATGCTTGACGATGGCGGAAACGACAAGCAGGGGCGTTGGGCGTTGGTGAGGCGGCGGTGAAAGCTGGAGTGAAAAGCAACGCTTGGTTCAACTCCGGTCACTTTTGTTGACCTTTGTTTGCTGTTCAGCACTCAATAATGTCAGACAAGAAACAGCAGCTCGTGCTCGCGATTATCGATTTCCTCCACCAATCCATCGACGATGGCACTGTGAAACAGGACGACAAAGAGAGCTTGGACATCGCAAGTCTGTGTTCTATCTTTTCTCTTTTATTTTACTTTCTTATCGTCTGAATCTTACATGCAGTTCAGTGCATTGGCGAAGCATTCGGGGTCGATCCTGTAGACGAGGAGCAGCGAGAACGTCTCAGCATAGAACCTGCAAAGCTTCAGTCCATATTCGATGTATTTTTGAAGACGAAAGTCAAAGTCGGATCTCAAGGCTTATCCCAATCCGCCTCAAAGCTTCCCTCTACAGATGACAAGGCTAAAGCAGAAAAACTTAAGCAGTCCGGCAACGCCCAGATGTCCAGTAAAAAATATGATCTGGCCATCGAAAATTATACACAGGCAATCGCGCTGGATTCTTTCAATCCTGTATACTTATCTAATAGAGCAGCAGCTTACGCTAGTAAAGGCGAACATGCTGCAGCAGTCGTCGATGCAGAAAGGGCAATCGAGGTAGAACCATCGTTTGTCAAAGCATATTCGCGTTTAGGGTGAGGGTCCTGTCATACTGCAGAGTCTTTACAATCGCTCATTAGTGCCTCTCACCTGTTAGGCATGCTCAGTACACTCTTGGCAACTATAGAGCTTCTGCCACCGCTTTTAGAAAAGGCCTCGAGCTTGATCCTTCTAACGGCAACTTGAAAACTGGCTTACAGAGTGCTGAGGAACGTATTATTCCCGATGATGACGACGACGGCCCCCCTCTTCTTGTCCCTGACGACAGTATTCCTCCCTCTTCAAGTCGTGGCACGGCACCTGCTTCAGAGCATGATCATGGTTTAGGTGGCATGGCAGATATGTTCAGGAACGTGGGAGGAGGCGGAATGCCTGATTTGGCTGGTCTGATGAATAACCCGATGATGATGCAGATGGCTCAACAAATGATGGCCAATGGCGGGATGGAAAGACTGATGTCTAATCCATCTGTTGCTAATATGGTAAGAGTCAGAGTCCTTATACACAAGCAACCCGTCATACTCATCGCAAGGTGGTTGTCAGATGAACCGCGTCCAATCGGGTGGTGGGATGCCGTCCATGGAGGAACTTATGGCCGATCCAACCCTGAGAAATATGTGGGTCCCTTTTCCACTATGATATTGCAGAGTTATTCTGACATGGTGTAGGGCCAGCCAATTTGGAACCGGCAGACAATGATGAAAGGTCTTTCTAGTCAATTCGCCCAACAAATTCGGATGGAGGATGACAGGAAGTATATGTACATAGTCGCTTTTTTCCCATCGGAAAATGGTTGTCAGATCCAACTGTCATTCCTTACTTTTTGGACATAATGAGGATTCGGACAATTCAAGTTGTAAACTCGTGGAGATGTTGTTTTCAGTGAGATCTATAGCTTGGCAATGTCGGAAAAATAAAACTACAATAATTGTGAAATAGCGCTAGAACATGTGCAGTATATTGAAGTAGATACAAGACAGGTAGAGATCTTAGGGAATGGGGGTGTAACAAAGTGACAATCATCACATGTATGACATTAGACACTTTACTCACTCATCAGTATATAGAATACACTATGGAATGTTTACCTTTATTTGTATTAACTGTAAAGTACCACATGTATTTTAGTATATATACCCTTGCAATAGATGAAGACTCCTCAGTGAATCCTTCTGTTGGGTACCATCAACTAACTAGCTCCTACCTTGAGTTTACCAACTCACCCTCTATCATCACAACTTCCTCTTGAGTTCCTTGTTGTGTGCACCAGAGTATAACAACTTTAGGGCATTGTCACACTAGGACTTGCTTTATCACACTCTCCTGCACACTAGTGTAAACCTGGGCCACAGGGTTTAAGTGGTACAGTAACAGGATGAGGCAGCAAATTGTGCAGTTGTCATGGCACAGCTTGTCAAAATTCAATCCAACCCCCCTGAACCAGTCAAGTGAAAATTTAACAAGAAAGTTGAGATTGTTGCTGACCCTGGAAGTTTTGACGGAGATATAGCAAGATTCACTGAATGGTGGATCAAATTACAAATCTGAAAAAAGGCAAATTGTGACTGCACCAACAAGGTACTACCTTGGGGCGCTGGAGCACAGCCACAGAGGCTACAACTCAAGGAATAATGGTACCTGTTACGCACGAAGTGCTTAACAAAGTCTGAGGGTTCGTTGAGGTTTGTAAAGAGACTTATCTGAAGACAAGTTCGAGAACGTAGTTCTGGGTGGAGGTTTTCCAACGGGAGTTGGTTTTCTTCTGAATAGAAGTCTGATCTTAGGAGTCTAGCTTTGTAAGCATAAACTGCGTAGAATCGTATTCGAGAATACTACTGCTGTTACATGGTATTTATAAGGGAAAGGAATCGGTGATAGGAGTTAGGTCCTATCTAGGGCAGGTCCGTCTGTTGAGGACTAAGTACTATAATAGGTACTGTGAATGCGAGAGGAACGGAAATGTACGTGAAGGAAATGAGTCATTGGTCCGATGGTATAACCGATGAGTAAAAAGAAATGAGTAGTCCTTAAATGTCCAATAGAGATCGTAACAGTACCTCTCATCAAGAGAGGGAGGTTGTCTTCACTAATGTGGTATACATATACACTAGGAGAGGACTTGCTGAGTCCTTCCCCATGTATTGCCCAAGTATATATACTATACTACAATACTGTAGAAACTAGGAATAGTCAGGACTACATTATAAAGTATCAGTTTAAGTAATAATGAGGGAGAAATGTAAATAAGACATACTCTCAGTTGTATACAGAACAACTGAGGGGATGGGATGAACAGGAAGATAATCTATATATGAGAATGAATTGATCACATGTAGTTGGAATATCTTCTTTATTGCAAACCTAAACCGTATGCTCCAACAAATACATGAGGTACTATATAGTTTGATAAATAAAGTTAAAAGTCTGATGTCTAGCATGTGACCAGTCTCATGTTGAGTCTAGACACTAGTCAGTGTTTACTTTTACTGTACTTCTACTAATGCATCACCTAAGGTAGGTGCTGAAAGTGTCAATCATAACACAAATGGGGATGCATTTGCTATTACAATACATAATTTTTGGATTTTTAACTTTCATTCTCCTTTTGACATTTGTTGTAATGACCAAAATTTTTATACTCTGGCATACAATAAAGACAAGCAGAGAGGGTGAATAGAGAAGTGGATAAACCCCTTATGATAGGACCAAGTTAGTTGTGAGTAAACAACAGGAGGACTTGCTGAGGAGTTTCCTTGATCTATATACTACTACAGACTATTTATATATGTGTACTACATAGTTAATGAAGGTGGTGGCTGATGATGTTATAGGGCATAGCCCTTGTGACCAGCTCCATCATGTGAGAGTGTTGTATCTAAAAATACAGAGAAACTGTGCAGCACAAGAAAGTGAAGACACAAGTTGGAGTTTTGAAAATAAAGGAAAGTGCAGCATGGCACAAGTATCCAAAAAAGAGAAATAAAGTTAAAGAGGGAACTGAATGTTACAATACACAATTTTTGGACCTCTAATTTTCATTCTCCTCTTTAACTTTCTTCTGTAGTTTTCACACACTGTGCCATGCAACACTTTCCATTTTGTTCAAACTCCACTTTCTTGCGCTGCGCTGTTTTTCTCTGTTCTTAGCTACAAAATCTCTCATGCAGTGGAGCTGGTCACACGGGCTGCGCCCTATGACATCATCAGCCACTGCTCCCATCAACTATATAGTACACATGTACAAACAACCTGTAGTAGTATATATACTCCAATAGATCAAGGAGACTCCTCAGCGAGTCCTCCTGTTGTTTACCCACAACTAACTCGGTCCTATCCTGAGGGTAACCACTCCCCTCACTACTTTTATAGCTTTGTCTGAGTTGTGCGCCAGAGTAACAAACTCTTGGTTGTTGCATTGAAAGTTAGAAGTCTGAAAATTGTGTATCATAATACTACCCCCCTCCTAAGGCTTGGCTTCCAGGTGAGACCAAGTTCCAGAGGTAGTTGTTGAATTTTCAGGCATTGGTTGAAAAAGGGAATTGGAAAGGTTTGAATCTATGCCTCTAAATTTCCTAGAAGCCGAGGGATTCTTAAAATAAAATTTGCAAATAGTGTTGCGGAACTTGTTCAGATGGGCTTCTGGTTCCCACATCCTATCCCCGCCTCCATAGCCCTTCCAGAGGACTAGGAATTCTAATTTTCCACACTTCAAGCATACATCCATCACCCATTTGACTTCAAACTCTTCTTCACCTTCCTGGGTGACTACAACTGGTCCAGGCAGTGGCCCTTTGTAGACATCAGGAAAAACCATTTTTCTATATAGCTGGGTATGTTTCTATAGCTGCTATGATAGCTATTAAATTCCTATTATAGCCAATAAATCTCTATGTGAAGCCTTATAGTTACTATATCAGCTATATCAGCTATACCAGCTCATTTATGTCTATGGAAACCTTTTTCTGATACTAATTATAGTTTTTTTATATTTTTATGATAGAATTAATATTCACCAAATAGTTTGGTATGCATATAAACTAGCCCAGTTATTTAATAGAAATCTATTACAAACATCCAAAGCATTCTCTGTACCCCAGTGAGCAGGCACTTGATCTTTTTCAAACAAAGGCAACAAGTGGCAGCCTTGTCGTATACTGCTCAATGGTACTATGGAAGCTGGTGGAGTACCATCAGCTCTAAGTGCAAGTTTTGTAATCACATACATCATATGTGCTGGATCTGCACTACCTTTCAACTTGGTGTGCCATTCAATGTACGCCAATGGAATTTTGGGCCAATATTTTGGTAAACCAACAGAACCACCATGAAAAATGGCAGGGAGCTTGAGTATTACTTTAACTCTTGCAACATGTGTACCTATGTCATGAAACATTAATTCACAACTTGAAACTGATCATGAAATTAGAGAAGAATATTACCAGCAACACCTGTTGATTCTGCTTTTAACGAGTCTAATACGATAAATATTATCAAACTGTGGAGCAATTTTTTTGCTAGTGAATATGTCAAGTGAATCAAATGGGAGATTTGCAATATTGACTTGATTTTTGAACATATAACCTGGCTAACCATGCATTAGGCAATTCAGAAACTCCTTGATATCACATATAAAGCCATGACATTGGTGATTTTGTTAAATTGATTGAAGGGGTTGTTGTGGAAGAGGAGGTACTTTGGCTATTTTAATACCTAAGCCAGATGGATTCTGGAGAATATCTTGCTGACATAGAACTGGTCTATTTTGTAAAGACAATTGATAGCATTCAAACCACGCAGTTTTTTCTTGCCTTGTTAGCCAGGTGGTCTTTTGTGGACGCTCATTCCTATGATTTGATGCTCTCCATGCATCCTTGGCCATGTCTATGTGGAAATGTTCAAATATTTCTGTGTTGTAGTTATTTGTAGCCCCAAACTGGTGAATAGAGTCGACATAGTGCAGTAAAGAGTTTAGGAATATTCAAATTTTCTCTAACACCCAGAGTGACAAAAATTGCTCTGTTTTGATGAAATGTTTTGAGAGCATTTGATAGATATCCAAGGGTTGTATTGCTGTGTGTGGGGTACTGAGCGATGTAAATGAAGTCCAAGAGTGCTCCATCGTCACTCTCTGACAGCCCACCTTCTGTCACCATGCATCAAGACCTAACAACATCATCCCCAGCCCACTCTGGTGAAGAGGTATGTTGGCTTTCCCCTCTTAATGCAGATGTTACTGACCACTGTTTCTCCACAGCAAACTCAAGCTGACAAGTCCAAATTGCAGACCAATCAATCTCTGCAATGAACTCTGACAGTGATACACTCACAAAGACGCCAACCATATCAACACCCATATGCTGCAGCAGCTCCTACTCCTACTCTTGCACGTTGATCTTGTTGATCTCAATCTCCTGCACGTCAACAACCTGCTCCTGCCCTCATAGCATGACTTGCAGCTGCACATGAAGACTCCTCAATGTTCAACTCAGGAGAGTGGGCGCACTCTGTTAACTCCCTGTTGACCTCTGTTACGTCCACCAATGACTACCTGGACGAGTCTTTGGCTTCTATTGTGGCGCGCTGTTGGCACATAACCAGTAAAGACATAGGTGTCAACTTTTTGCTGATGATCAGCTACATCCAGCTCGTTGCCAAGTCCCAAAGGTAAGTGAAAATTGTTACATATAATTATCATTTCTTTCTGATGTTTGTATGCTAGTCTTTGCTCTCAGCAAGGTATCTCCCTTGCAAACCTTTAGAGTGATCTCCCTCAGCCCAAGCCGTCTAAAAAACAGTTTGAGCAATGGCATGCTATGAGCTGCAAGTTTGCAGCCATAGCAGCCAGTGGTAAGAATGCCTTTGTCCGTATTAAACATACTTACAGATCTATGTAGGATCTATCTATGCTCTCATTTTGGTTGCAGGCTTAAATTTATGGGCTCAACTTGGTGAAATGGATGGAACAACACCATAGGAGATAGCCAATGTCTTGAGGTGGCCAGTTGAATGTAATTGTACTATTTCTTACTGTGTGTATGCTAACTAAACAATGTCATGCAGCTACTGTTAGTGGACAGCTGGTGATTAGTAGAATCATCCCAACTATTTCTACCTTACGCTAAAATCTGCCGCTGAACATAAACTGCATGTTTGCACCTGGCGTACTTGGTTATTATGGCCTTCCTGCTAATATTGATTGCACAAATTTTGAGGCTTCTGATCAAAATTTTAAGGCTAACCAATTCCAGTACATTATAATCACTTGATTTCAACAGTTTCCAAAATTTTTGTGGTTTTTGTAGTACTTTCCAACTCTTGGATCGTTGTCTAGATTGTTGGGGAGTCTGTATGCACACTATAGACATAGCTCATGTACCCATATATTATCATGGTCAGGCTATCTTAGGTGTAGGCACAACATCTTCAGTACGCTTCCTGACTCCCTTATCCGATCTTGATGACATCCTGCCTCATTCTCAACCACCATCACCATTATTACCACCAATTGTCCTCCCTGAAATGTATGTGGTTAGCATGACATTCCAGAATATGGCTGAAGGCAATCGCCAATACCCTGCACCACGGGATCCTGGCGCTAACTATGAGTGGACCGAATCAGGAAGAGAAAGGGCTAGTTGAGCCATCAAGGTCACAGATGTGGAGGACCTGACGGCCAAGGTATGTCATTATCATGTATGTAGTGTACACAATCTCAATGCTAAATACTTGTTCTTAGTTACAGAAACATTATGATGGGGGTGTTCATACAGGCCCCTCAGCATACACTTACATATACCATCCTCAATAGTTCCCTCCATCCCTCTTCTCTTGAAAAATAGTGATGATTCACTCATGTTAACAGTGTTTTTATGAGCCATGGAGAATGTTTCTCTCAAGGATAAGTGTGTAAAACTTGATCCCAACTACCTTTATCACCTTTACAACCCACTTTAACATCAGGAAAAACACTTTGGCTATACAGACTATAATAGTACTATAGTTGCAAATATAATTGTTATAGTGATCATAGCTGCAATAGAAACCCCAACATCTATTCAGGAACAATGTGCTCTTATAGTACTCTTATAGTTGGCTATAGCCTCTTATAGCACTTATAGCACATGGCTGACTATATGAGCTATAAGAGAGCTTGTGGCTGATGGAAAAAAATAATCACACACACAAGGTTTGAACTCTCAACCTGTTGGTCCGCTTTTTTGATGACCAATCAATCTACAGCCACATACCACACAGTTATCCTCTACACCATAGGGGCTTACAAAATGTACTATACATGTGTAATATATTGACCTTTTATGGACTTCTCATTTTATTTTACACATTGTCACAACTTATACTTGGATAAAGCATTACTATAAATATGTACTATGGTCTTAACACCTATATAGGCTATTAGGGCTATAAGAGCCATAATAATGCCTTGGCTAGCTAGATTATATATGTGTGCTGAATTTTATAAATAGTATTGCCTCTGCTATAGTACTATAAAAGCTATAGTAGCATCTATAGTAATGCCTCTACTATATAGTACTATCAGAGCTATTATAGCATATATAATATTGCATCTGCTATATAGTACTATTAGAGCTATAATAGCATAAATAGTATTGCCTCTGCTATATAGCCAAATTGTTTTTCCTGATGAAGACAATCTTAGCCTCAATAATGACCCCTTCCTCAAGTTTTCCATACAGCTTTACCTGAAAGAGACAAACTTGTCTGAAGATTGCTACAATAGCACACACACATTGAGCATATGGTGAATGTAACAACCAAGAGTTAGTTACTCTAGCGCACAACTAGAACCAACTATAGAGATGATGATGAGGGAGTGGTTACCCTTTAGACTTCAACAAGTTAGTTGTGAGGATACAACAGGAGGACTCGCTGAGGAGTCTCCTTGATCTATTGGGGTATATATACTACTACAGGTTTGTTTGTACATATGTACTATACAGTTGATGAAGGCAGTGGCTGATGATGTTGTGGGCACAGCCTGTGTGACCAGCTCCACTGTGTGATACTTGTAGCTAAAATAAGAAGGAAGGCAGCGCAGCACAAGAAAGAGGAGTTTGAACAAAAAGGAAAGTGCCGCATGGCACAGGGTGTGAAAACTACAGTATAAAGTCAAAGAGGAGAATGAAAATTAAAGGTCTAAAAATTGTGTATCGTAACACTACCCCCCTCTTAAGGCTTGACTTCCAGGTGGGACCAAATACCGGCCCTTTGTAGGGTTTCACACGGCTAACATTGACCGTGGGCACTACCCTCATTTGTTTTGGGAGTTCCAGCTCCACCGCATTGGGTTTGACTTCCTTAATCTGGTAAGGCCAAATCCACTTTTCTGTCAGTTTTCTAGACTGCCAATGTTTCAATTCTGAGTGGTCGGTGTCTAATCAGACCAGGTCGCCGACCTTGTAGTCAGGGGCCTTAGAGTGTCTACGCTCTGCCCTGTCTTTCATCTGCTCTGCAGTATTAAATAGTGCCTTGTGTGTTTCGTCCAAGGCAGACTTCATGTCTTTGACCATGTTCTCAGCAGCCTCATTCTTGCTTTTGCCAGGTTCTACACCCATTTGGGGAGGTATGATCTCGTTACCTCAAATGGTGCCTTCCCTGTAGCCAACAACTGTTTAATATTATAAGAGAACTGGGCTATCTTTAGCCACTTGGCCCAATCTGTCTGTCTATCATTGATAAATATACGGAGGTATTGCTTCAATTCCTGATTGAGCCTCTCTGTTTGTCCATTGGTCTGTGGATGGAACACCGTTGATAGTTAAAATTTGATGCCCAGCATTCGGCATAATTCTTTCGTAAATTTGCTAGCAAATTGTGGTCCTCTATTGGAGATAACTGTTTCTGGTAGTCCATGGATAGACCATACAAAATCTTTAAAAAAATCTGCCGTACCAGCGGCGGTAATAGTTTTGTTGGTGGGAATAAATACCATTTTTTTGGAGAAGCAATCTACTACCACCATTACTGAATCATACCCGTTTGACTCAGGTAGATCCGTTGTAAAGTTGACCAATATATCTTGCCAGGGACCAGCTGGTATCGAATTTGGCATCAGTTTACCGGCTGGCGGTTGATGTGAGTTCTTTGCCATGGCACATCTTAGACAGGATTTTACGTATTCCTGTATGTCTTTGACCATGCCAGGCCACATGTAGTTTCTGGAGATCAACTCCATTGTTCGTTGCCATCTAGAGTGCCCAGCCACCAGAGTGTTGTGATGTCTATCTATTGCCTTGATCCTTGCGGATTCAGGCACATAGATTTTGTCTTTAAAACGGAAGAGCCCGTCTTCCCATGAATAGTTCCCATTGCCATCAAGGCGCACCTTCTCTTCTGAGGAGATGTCTTTCTTGAAGACTTCCAGAAGATCGGAATCCTGCCCGATTCTAACATTGGCAATCCTTGATTGGTCTATCAGGGTGACACTTTTGTTGTCATCTTCTATGCCGTTGGCATGATCCTCTCTTCTGGACAAAGTGTCCACTTTCCCCATCGAAGTTCCAGGCTTATAAATGAATCTATAATTAAACCTAGACAAGTACACCGCGTAGCGGGCCTGTCTCCAGTTCAAGTCTTGGGCCGTCATAAAATACTCCAGATTTATATGATCGGTCAAAATTTCGAATTGGTGCCTAGCACTTTCTAAGTAGTGCCGCCAATGCTCTAAAGCTCTAATGATGGCCAGCATCTCCTTATCATAAATTTGATAGTTGCGCTCTGTAGGCAACAAACTATGCGATAAATAGGCACAAGGCCTCCAAAGATCGTCAGGGCATTTAATTGATAGAACAGCCCCGATAGCAAAATCAGAAGAGTTGGTTTCTAGCCGGAACTCTTTGTCTAATTCTGGAAATGCTAATATGGGTGCCGTTGTAAATGCCTGTTTAAGCTTATCAAAAGCTTCTTATTCTTTGGCGCCTCAGTGCCAAACAATGTCTTTTTTTGTGAGATTGTTCAACGGTCTCGTTATCTTTGCAAAGTTTTCGACAAATCTTTGGTAGAAATTGCCTAAGCCAAGGAAGGCTTTAACTCCTTTGACACGAGTAGGCTCTGGCCAATCCAATATAGCTTGAACTTTCTCAGGGTCCATCCTGATTCTGTTCTGGCCAATTATCATACCGAGGAAGTCTACTTCCTTCACTTTAAAATTACATTTTTTGGGTTTGACGAATAGGTCCCGTTCCTGTCAGCGGTAAAGGACTTCTTGCACAATCCTGTCATGCTCAGCCTCATCGTCCAACTTCGTGAATATCAATAATTTGACAATGTAAATGACGACACAGTTTTCCATATCCGCAAAGATCTCGTTCATCATGCTCTGGAAGGTTGCCGGTGAATTAGTCAACCCAAAGAACATGACGAGGGGCTCGAAAGATCTTTGGTGGCATGTGAATGCGGCCTTCCAAGCATCTTCTTCTTTGACTCGTATGTTATTGTACCCCCATCTAAGATCCATTTTCATCAAGATCTTGGCATCAGCCAATTTGTCTACTAGCTGACTGATCAAAGGCAGCGGATACGCGTTTTTAACCGTGTACTCATTTAAGTAATGATAGTCCATAATCATACACTTCTTACCATCTTTTTTAGGAATGAAGAACACCGGGGATGTTATAGGGCTTTTGGAAGGTCTGATGTAACCCTTCCTAAGCTGTTCATCTATGAAACTTGATACCTCATCTCTTTCTGGAGCAGAGAGTGGTATCATGTGTCCTTTTCTCGGTTTGAAGGTGTCCTTCAAATCTATAGCATGGTCCCAAGGCTTAGCCTCTGGGAAGCGCTCTGACTTATGTTTTGAAAAGACTTTCCAGAAGTCATGGTATTCGTGAGGTACCAGCCGCTTAATCTCTTCCTCGGGTTTTACCTCATCATTGTCATTGTCAATCTTTTCTAAAGATCTGAGCTCATCAATGTGACCAGCGTTTATCTTTTCAAGATGCTCAGTTTGACGGACTCGACTCGGTTTACCCAAGTTTTCACACTCCTGAGGACAACGTGACAATGTGACAACCCCTGTCTGCCAGTTGATCTCAGGGTTGTGTTTAAATAGCCAGGTCCAGCCCAAGATTGAATTGATCTTCCCTAGTTGGGTAGCTTCGGCGGTAACTTGTTCTCTGTGTCATTGGTACTCGATAACAAAAGAACATTTGTGCGTGATGCAGCCACCCGCATTAAGCATACCATCAACATTATAGACGGGAATAGATACATCTAATTTTACAAAAGGGAGTCTAATTTGCTCTGCCCAGACCTGATCTATGAAGATGCCGTTAGCGCCTGAATTAAGCAGTGCACTGGTTGGGTGTACTGTGCCCTGGGCAAGGTTTTCCACACCAATGTCTAAATGGATCTCCTTTTGGAATAAATATATGTGCATCAACACATGCCTTGGGATTTCGGGGAAGGGTGGCTCCAAAGAAGAAAAAGGATTATCAAAAGAAACACATTTATCTACTTTAAGCTTTTCTATATTTTGATTTTTATTTTTACCAGAATCAAGCACCCTAGTGTTTGTCTTGCCGGGGCCACACTCCAAAGGAGACGCTGGTACAGCAGTGGTTTTATAAGTATTTTCAGCACCAACTCTTTCATTATCCTGACCCACTGAATCAGCGCTCAAAGCAGCTATATTGCCAGGAAGGTCCAAGACAAATCCACAGTCACAATGCTTCATACAGGTACATACTTCAGATAACAAGTAAAAAAAGAAATCTATTTACAAATTGTGAGCCACCCCCTTCTTTCCGTTATTGCTCGTGCAACACCCCGGAGCAGGGGCCACCTTGTTGTGGTTTACTTCATTGTTCATAGGAGCGAAGGCACCCAAGTGACCTAAGCTCCGAACTCTGTTCCCTGAGCTTTCATTTCATTGACCTGTTGGTTGTAAAAGAAAGCTTGGATCTCGTCATATGAATGACCAGCCAGAGTATTGAGCCGGTTGTCCGGTTTTTCTGTTTCTAATTGGTGTGCCTGGCACCCTTGGTTATTTTTTTGTTGGGCAGCCTGCGCCCCGTTTCTGCAATCTTAGGACATGTGTCCCTCTTGGCCGCAATTGTAGCAGCTCCCTTTGAATCTACGCATCTGTCCGCCCTGGACCGCACCGATATCCATAGGGGCTCCCTGCCCTGGTTGTAGCCCAAATGGCTTGAACCCGTGAGAATGATTATGTTGGTTTGATGACCTAGGGCGCCTCTGGGAAAAGTTATTTTTGGTGGTGGACCCTCCACCTTGGTGCATAGCGTAGAGCTCCATGGCTCTACCGACTCGTCATACTTCCTCAGCCGCTAGGGCCAAGTTCTCGTTTCTGGTATCCTGCAGATAGATCTGTTCTGCAATGCGGGGGTTCACATTACATTCCAGCAGTTCTACTGCATGTTCATTACCAAGCCCTCCTTGGATGGAGAGGGCCAGGAACCGGGTAACATAATCATCCGTCCTCATGTTTCCTTGTTTGAAGGAACAGATGATTTGGCAAGCCCAGTCACGCTCCGCCTGTGGTTTGTAATATTTTTTGATCTCTACTTTGAGATCGTCCCAGGTAGGCCACACACCCGTGGTGTAGCACTCCTGTAATCTTACTTGGGCATATGGACCCGCCACAGGTCCTTTTAGTCGAGATAGCACTGCTGTTGCTACCTCAAAATTGTCGGCAAATGCCTCCCAGTTTGCTTTGATCCAAATCTGGAGCTTGATCCACCATTCGGCAAATCACGCTCAGTCTCCCTTGAAGGCGCCAGGGTCAGCGAAAACTTCTATTTTCTTATTGAACTTTTTCTCCACTGAGGGGGTTGCCGCATGGGGGTTTGCCTGTAGCTGAGTTGCGTAGTCAACACCAAAATCTGTGCACGCATGTTGTGCAACAGAGTGTTGATGTTGGGTTGGTTTTGCGACGACATGTCAACTTGTTCTCTTTGTAAAGTAAAAAAAAGGTAACTGGGAGTCCCTGCTTGCTATCTGCGGATTTACCTCTTCCCAGCTGAGTATTGGATCTCAATCTCCGACTACCCACACTATAGTATTTAAAAATGTATATAAAAGTTATAGTATTAAACCCTGGTCCAAACAGTTGTCAGGGGGTGGCCCGCTTGTTAAGCTGTCAACCCTTCTCCAGACTGGCGGAGGCAAGTGCCCGGCCTGGTCAGAGGTATTCGAAGAAGAAGTTTGTATATAAATTCTAATCAACAGTGGTTCCACACCAACTGCTGAGCTAAAGTACTCCCCTTAACACTGGGGGCTGTGTATCAAAATTATTGTCTCTTCTCCCAAAGCACTACAAGGCCGTTGCCAGGAGCGCACCTATCTGCTATGCGGGATATTCCCAAACAATAATATTATCCCCTTAACCCTGGGGTCCGGGTTTGCACAACGTGTGAGAGAGTAGTAAAGAGCAAGTCCTAATGTAACAACCAAGAGTTACTTACTCTGGTGCACAATTAGAACCAACTATAGAGATAATGATGAGGGAGTGGTTACCCCTTAGGTTTCAACATGTTAGTTGTGAAGATACAACGAGAGGACTCACTGAGGAGTCTCCTTGATCTATTGGGGTATATATACTACTACAGGTTTGTTTGTACATATGTACTATACAGTTGATGAAGGCAGTGGCTGATGATGTTGTGGGCACAGCCTGTGTGACCAGCTCCACTGTGTGATACTTGTAGCTAAAATAAGAAGGAAGGCAGCGCAGCACGAGAAAGAGGAGTTTGAACAAAAAGGAAAGTGCCGCATGGCACAGGGTGTGAAAACTACAGTATAAAGTTAAAGAGGAGAATGAAAATTAAAGGTCTAAAAATTGTGTATCGTAACAGTGAACTACATCCAGAACATGCACACAAGGTCCTATCATACTACCAAGTACAACAATCTGTATCTGAACTAAGTGGTGTCCAATCTGTTGTTCATAATATGTGCATAGGCACATGTCTTGTGTATATAGGGGTATATACTAACCTTGATGAATGTCCAATCTGCTACTAACCAAGATATGATCAAGGCAAGTTAAGGCTGAGTGGAGGGACAAAAGAGGTAGCAGGACAGACCTTCCCTACCATACCCATTGGACCACAGCTTTGAACCCTCTGGTTTCATCCTGATAGGGCTGAATGGATGAAATACTGTGATAGATGGGCACAGAAGATTTTTGATCAGTTTGACAAGAATCAGGGATATCCGGATGCATGGGATGTAGGTACTGGCCAGAATGACCTTCATGCTGTGAAAGATGGTTGAATTAAAGCAGGTGACCCCATATTAATGCTTTTGATGGATGGGGCACAACTTTTCCAAAATAAGATGTCAGATTGCTGGATGTATATATGGGTTTTATATTTGATCTATCCCTGGACAACCATTATAAGAAGGAATATGTTCTACCTGGTGGTTATATCCCTTGACCAAATAAGCCTTAAGTTATTGAGTCTTACCTATTTCCAGGACTGCATCACATCTCAGTCCTACAGAGAGAAGGACTCAAGATACGGCCTTAATAACAAAGTATTCACACCCCATCTATTTGTTTTAACAGCTACAGCCGATGGTCCAGGAATAGTATATTTGAGCTCACTTGTAGGATACCACAGACATTATGGATGCCACATTGACTGTGGGTTTGTAGGTCAATGCAAGCCTAATATATTGCATTATTATCCAGCACTACTCAAACCTATTGATTATAATGTTCAAGGCTGCAACCATGAAGATGTTGATGTTCACCAATTAACAAAACTGTCATTTCAAGGCTGCCAACAAACCTGTCAACTGTTGTCCAGTCTCGCAAATATGCCCAATTGTCAGAACCGTGACCTTCAGAGTAATCAGAGTTTGGAGTGCGGAGATGAGGTGGGGAGTAGAATGGGGTACAAGGTTGGGAGTTGACTTAGCTCATGCGCTAGGCCCTTCCATGGACCTTGATACCTAACTCAATGAAGTGAACAGGTGAGAGTAGAGGATGAATGGTGGAGTGGAGTAAAGGTCCTTCAGAGAAGGACTGGAAAACTTAGAAGGAGACTTTAATAAAGGTGGGAGGAACTAGTTGATATTTGAACTGCAGGAACGGAGTACAGGAGCTACAACTTATATACTATTGGAGGGATTGGGGTTTGTAAGGGGTAACTTGTAATGTAGGTACGGAGTTCCATGCGGACAATTACCTAACGAGGGGAAATCATATGTGAGGGGAGTGTACCATAAGGTCTAAACTACAGAGTCCATGAAGAATACAAGAACATGCGGAGAAAATGTATGGAGGACTAGAAGTCCGGTGATATTGGGGTGGATATCCAGAGTACTATGTGGGGGTGGGCTATGCTGAGCGGCAGAGAATGGGGAGTGTAATTCCAAGAGTGCCAAAGATTTGGGAGTTTGGACTTGAGGATCTCAGATTTTCTGGAAGCCTGAAAACCATGGCCTGTGACATGGATATAACACCAATATTGTTTGAACCATCCCAAACCAGGATACCAAAACCAAATATCCTTCTTGGACTTCAGCCAAGACATACTCTGGCTGTCCCCCACTATTTTGGCTCTATTATGCATCTTATAGCAATCAATATACCAGACTTACTCATTCCTCTATGGTGTGGTACATTTGACTACAACAATCATGACAGTAAAAAACTGTGGGATTGGGCTGTCTTGTTAGGTGATACTTGGAAGCAACATAGTGAGGTAGTTGCCAAATGTGGACCTTTTTTTCCAGGTTATCTGACAGGCTACCTTGTAACCCAGTTGAAAAAACACATACAGGCTACAAGGCATAGGAGTGTTTACTTTATTTGTTCAGACTTACACCTGCCATATTACAGAACATTCTCCCAGACAAATTCTGGCAAAACTTCTGCAAACTTGTATGAACAACAAGAATTATGGGTCGATATTCAATCTCATTGACTGAACTATAGGAAGCAACCATTCTCATCAACAAGTTTAGACCATCTGCATATAGTTTGACCTTCAATACATTCTATATTACATCTAGCACCTGGAACTGTTGCAAATAACCCATTTATCTGCTAATCATAATAGACCATATAACAGACCAATGGGAATCTAGTACAATAAATCCATTAACTTTCTAATCCATATGCAAATCTTTCACAGTGTGGGGTCATACACAATTTAACTCATTCAAGGCTATCATTCCAAACCTCAAGCCAGATCTGCCAGTGATACCCAGAGGTGGAAAAGACCTAGGAGACCAGTACATTCTTTTAAGAGCTATAGAACAAACACCACATATATTCTGTTCAAACCAAGTTGAATGTGTAAACAAGTATACACATTCAACCACGAGTTTTTAGCTAATAACAAAGTCACACATTGGGCACACATCCAATTACGAAATGGCTAAGTTTCTCATTCATCTTGGAAAGAGGATAGAATGACCGTTATACAGGTTTCTTGCAATGTAAAGTTATGCACCTATTTAATTCTACTAGATGATTTCACCCAACTTCACTTCTTGTTAATTTGATGATCTAATGCACACCAATAATTGATCATTGATTGAGCATTAGTCAGTGTTGGATCATTGATCTCATCAGTTGCAGTACCATGTATGGCATGCATCAAGTCAAGACTATCCTTGTGCACATTTTTGACACCAAAGTTTTTAATTTGACAGTATATTGTTGAACTTTTGTCAAGGTCTTCACAAGCTGAGAATATCATATCTTCACCAGACACACTGCATACAATATTACAGAGATAAATGATTACTGGAATATTTTCAGCATCAGAAGGATTGAGTGGCCAGTGGAGATATGATGAGTCAGAGGACTTCAAATTAATGATAGATATAGTGCTCACTTTTGATGTGATTAATGATTACAGCTACATTCATATTGATAGGCCGGAAATTCGAAAAATCACACAAATAGGAGATTGACGGATCTTTAACTGAGCCTTAATATTGGACTAAACTTTTAAAAAAGACTAAACTACAGTTTTGGCTGTGGTTGAGAGCACAAGAGCTCATGAAAGCCAAGTCTGAGACTAGTACTTGTATAGCAAGAAAAAACTATGTAAATGGACATAAAATTGTTCGACATGAATTCCATATCGCCAATAAACCTATGGACGTGAATATATAAGTGCAAGCAGTGGTAGAAAAAAAAAACACTCACCCTAATGGCCTCTCAACCAGCCAACCTCAACTATGTCAATAATCCACAAAACATGCATGACCTGCCAGGGGGGTATCCACTACCTCAGGCTCCTCCTGGCTATACTGGCTATCCTGCAATGGCAATCAGATGTCCCAATCATCCCTTCACCATGCAGTACGGCTAGCCAGGTACGCATTCAGTGGTTCACCAAGGCATGTAGGCATACAGGCATCCGCAGATGCCCATAATGCCTATTGTGCACCAACTGTCATACACAGTAATCAGTGAGCAAGCATCACAGAGGCGCAAGCCTCACAGGTCATCATCGGCAACAGAAGACCCCCTGATAAGTTCGACATTGAAGGTTGCCCAAATGCTAAACCTTGACCTGGGGTAAGTGCCTCAATTGTTCATCTATTATAGCACATGCTAACTTACCAAATATAAGCCTTTGTTTTCATGACAGACATTGTGAGCGGTGAAACAAGGAGGGGGTTTGAGGCCACCACTGATATGCTCTGGGTTGATTTTCAGAGGCGCATATTTGACATGCTTGACGGGCCCCAGGGTGATGCACAGCTAGTGTACAAGATATCTGGTGATACAGGCAAGCAGTCCCACATAAATAACCACTGGGACTTCAAGATGGCAATGGAGCAACTGTTAAACAAAGCACAAAATGCTTGAACGCAAACAGTCACTATGGAGGTAAAAAACCTTGTGAGTCTGTTTGCCAATGTGATAGTAAACGCTCACCAAATTTTCTTCAAGACACTGCTAGTAACTCCTACCACTACCACCACCACAAAGAAGAAATGAACCCATGAAGACAATGTACCCCCTGTACCAAGTGCCGAGTTTAATGGGCAATTAAAAGCCTTTAAACAGCTTGAACAAGCTATTAAGTGTGAGGCCCATTGTGGGCACTGTGTTGTTGAGCAAACAATCTGACGTGATAATCATTGCCGCCTGAATCATCAAGAAATGACACTATAGGCCAAACAAATAGTTAGTCTCTGTTCTTTTGATGAGAAAATGATGCACTTACGGAGACTTGTAGTCGCTAGGGCAAGCAACCATCTTCTCTCCACCCAACTGCCTCAACTTTGACCAAATTCCCACCAAGAAGGCCTGTTTATCACAGCAAGCCAGCACCCCCAACATCCACGTCACAATCAAGAACATCATGCCGCAAAGAGTGCAACACTCTGAAACACTCACCCCGCCACCAAGTACCCAGCCCAAAAGCACTTGTACATCAAGTCAAAATCTAATGAGGCAGCCTGAACACAAATGGTCAGCAGATTCACCCCGAGACACATCACCAGAGATCCATGGCGCAATGATCCCATATCTGCCTGTAGAGAGCCTCCTTAAGTTGTTGGATAGCAAATTTCCGGATTTTCAGGGTATTTTGGATGAGCTTTTGCTTGCCGGTTTCCTTACCATTGATCAGCTGCTGATTTTACCAGCCAACACTTTGGCTACAGTAGGGAACATAGGCATGGTAAAAGCAAACATCATAAGATCGTATGCCAGACGTTGCATAATGCCAGTTTTTGGACTGAAAGGAGAGGGCCATGAAACAGCAATAGATCTTGATGAGATCAATAAGAGCAAAGCTGGCGATGAAATTGAGGTGAAGTATGAGGACTGAGTTGACTTTATTGAGATCCATGATGAGCTTGAAGAGGATGGAGTTATTGAGGTTGAAGATGGAGAGGAAGAAGATGAGTACAATACTGGGTCAGATGCAAGCGGAATATGATATCGAGCTAGCGAGAACAAATAAGCCCCGAGACACAATAATAGAAACTGACCTTTTGGTAGCCCTAATAGCACTGTAAATAGCTTATTTCTCTTAGAATAATAGGACATCAATCACATGTTTAGTCAATTATGCAATGTACTTGCTATGCCTAAACCACCCGTAGACTTTCTCTGGCGTGATGGTCGAATGAACCGCCTCCCAGATCAATGCATATGGATCACACATGGGGCCTTCAGTCTCCCCGAGTATGTAGTCGCAATTGTTCCTCAACCATGCTTTGACTGCTGACCAAACCTCTTCAATGGGATTGAGGTCTGGTGAATAGGACGGTAAATATAATAAACACATTCCTCTGGTAGATAGAATGTTAGTAAAAATGAGTGAGAAATATAAAAAATGACTTACCGCTCTTCAACGAGCTCTCGGATACTGGGGACTTTGTGGATTATTGCATTATTGACAACCAAAACTGTATTGGGTAATGGCCAAAGCTGCATCTGGCCCAGTGTACCCTCAACAAAATCCAAGAAGGCGTCACCTGTAAAAGGATGGTCAAGAACCTCAAGGTGTAAGACACCATCCAACAAGATGGCTGGTAAAATGGAATATCTACAACCACAAACAAAAAAATCCCTTTGGTGAGCACAACCTCCGTGTGGGGCCCATCCAAATGGACAGGGTAGGGTGATTCAATTGAAGTGGGTTTCATCTGCAAATACTAGTGTTACGATAACACAATTTTTGGACCTTTCCTTTAACTTTCATTCTCCGCCTTAACCTTTTACTATAGTTCACACTCCATGCCATGTGGCACTTTCCTTTTTCGTTCTAACTCCACTTTCTCGCGCAACACTGTCTTTATTCTTTTTTTAGACACAAAGTCTCTCACGCAGTGGAGCTGATCACACGGGCTGCACCCTCTGACATCATCAGCCACTGCTTTTATCAACTATACAGTACATAGGTACAAACACTCTGTATTAGTATAAATACCCCAATAGATCCAGGAGACTCCTCAGCGAGTCCTCCTGTTGTTAACCAACAAACTCTCTGCAGCCTAAGGGGTAACCACTCCCCATTCACTACCCTTATAGTGTGTTCTTGTGTGCGCCAGAGTAACTAACTCTTGGTTGTTACAACTAGCTGTTCTGTTTGAAAGTGGTCACCAACTAGCATCTTGTAAAATGTACGATTGTCTTCATCACGCTTGCAGGCAGGACGGATGACCTATAAACAATTTTTCAAAGCAAAAACAAAGAACAAAATAATTATAATACTCACCTTTTTCATGGTAAATCCCCGCCTCTGCAAAGTCCTCAATATTGTCGTCAACAAGGTCTGCACACCACAAATTTCTTGTAGCTGCTCCTGCAGTTCACTGATCATCATGTCTGGCTGCCTTTCTATACAGCCCTCCAAGAACTTGTTAAAACTTAGGACTCATTTTTTTATAATAAATGTTGAATTACTTACTGTTGCATCTAGGCTGGTCAATTTCCTAGGGCTTCCTGGGCATGCTGGTATCTATTTGAGGCCTCCAGTTTCTTGGTAAGTTTGGCAAATCCTCTAACAGTTCTCTCACATATTCCTAGGTAGCACAAAATTTGACGGTCAGGAACACAGTTAGACTCTGACAGAGTCTGATCCGGTTGTCGGCGTAGCAACATAATTCACACTCCATTTAGCCCGCCTGTGCATGTGCTCTCATGTGCTGGTTTATCAATATGAATTTAGCCGTATGACAAGGAGCTCCTCTAGGCAATTGAAATCTGTTATAATTGCACCAGCAGGTGTTGCTATACACAATTTTTGGACCTTTAAATTTCATTCTCCACTCTAACTTTCTTTCGTAGTTTTCACACACTGTGCCAGGTGGCACTTTCCATTTTGCTCCACTTTCTCACACTTTGCTGCTTCTTTATTTTTAACTACAAGTCTCTTATGCAGTGGAGCTGGTCATATGGGCTACGCCCTATGACATCATCAGCCACTGCTTTCATCAACTGTATAGTACATATGTACAAACACTCTGTAGTAGTATATAAACCCAATAGATCCAGGAGACTCCTCAGCAAGTCCTCCTATTATTTACCCATAACAAACTCGGTCCTACCTTAAGGCAGATTACCCTCTCCTTCATTCACCCCTCCTTGCTTGTCTTTGACATGCACCAGAGTATACAGACTTTGGTTGTTACATTAGAACTCGCTCTCTTACTCTCTTGTACTTTTGTGCAAACCTGGCCACAGGGTTAAATGGAGTCTTTCAAACAGTAAGACTTTGGTGCCAGACCGGTTTGAGCTTTTGCTAGCCGGCGAAAACAAAGTGTGTGCCCCAGTCCTGTAGGATAGCTCCTTAGGACAAGGTAATAGAGAGATCAAATTAAAATATACATGGCCCCCAGTGTCAAGGGGAATACTTTAGCCCACCAGTGGTGTGGAACCATTGTTGATTAGAATTTACATACAAAGCTTCTTCTTTGGATACATTTGACTAGGCCGGGCACTTGCCTCCGCCAGTTGGAGCAGGGTTAACAGCTTAACAAGTGTACCACCCCCTGACAACTGTTCAGGCCAGGGTTTTGTTACTAAAACTTTACTTTTTCAAATACTATAGTGTGGGTAGTTGGGGATTGAGACGGAAGAGGTAGATCCGCAGATAGCAAGCAGGGACTGTAACAGCCAAAGTTTGTACACCCTGGCACACATTAAAGACAAGCAAGGAGGGGTGAATGGAGGAGAGGATAATCTCCCTTAGGTAGGACCAAGTTTGTTATGGGTAAATAACAGAAGGGCTCGCTGAGGAGTCTCCTTGATCTATTGGGGTATTTATACTACTACAGACTATTTGTACATGTGTACTATACAGGTGACAAAAGCAGTGGCTGACAATGTCATAGGGTGCAGCTCGTGCAACCAGCTTCACTGTGTGAGAGACTTGTAGCTAAGAATAAAGAAAAGCAGTGCAGCATGAGAAAGTGGAGTTTGAACGAAATAGAAAGTGTTGCATAGCACAGTGTATAAAAACTACAAAAGAAAGTTCAAGTGGAGAATGAAATTTAAAGGTCCAAAAATTGTGTATTGTAACAGGGACCCCCAGCTACATATTGTTTTACCTACAACACATTGAACAAGTCATCATGTTGGCGCAAGAGCAGACAGTGGACATAAATGCTATCCTTTACCGGATGTGGGAGAGAATCACAAATCTCACCGCACAACTTGAAGAAATCCAGAATGCACAAAGTGCTAGTACTATTGACCCCGGCACTTTTAAAAGAGATCAGGCTAAATGTGCGGAATGGTGGATTAAGCTACAAATTAGGATCAAGGCAAACTGGGACGTGTTTGTCGATGATTTTGAAATAGTGACAGCTGTGCTGTCAAGACTCAAGGGACCTGTTGCAGGCTAATATACCCAAGTTAGACTTCAAGAGTGCTATGCCGCTGGGCACTGGCCTACTTGAAAAGAAATCCAGGTTGAAATTGAAAAATATTTCAAACCACAAGCTGAGCGTGACTAGGGGCGTCAGCACATCCATTCCTTCAAACAAGGAAACATGAGGACGGATGACTTTGTAACCTGGTTCCTGGCCCTCTCCATTCAAGGGGGTCTTGGAAATGAACATGCAGTGGAGTTGTTGGAGTGCAATGTGTCACCAGCTATTGCACAACAACTCTATCTGCAGGATATGAGAAACAAGGACCTCTCAGCAGCTGCAGAAGAGGTTCACAAAATTAGTAAGGCCATGGAGCTTTACCAAATGCAATTTGGTGGCGGGTCCACCACCAAAAACAACCATTCTCAGAGGCACCCTGGGTCATCACACCAAAATCCAAATCACTCTCACAGGTTAAAACTGTTTAGGCTGCAGCCAGGATAGGGTGCTCCTATGGATATTGGCACGATCCAAGGTGGACAGATGCGCAGATTCAAGGGCAACTGTTATAGATGTGGCCAACAGGGACACATGTCCCAAGATTGTAAAAATGGGGTGCAGGCTGCCCAACGAAAAAATAACCAGGCATACCAATTAGAAACCAAAAAACTGGACAATCAGCTCAATACTCTGGGTGGTTGTTTGTACAACAAAATCCGGGCCTTTTTTTACAACCAACAGGTTGCTGAAATGAAAGTTCAGGGAAAAGAGTTCAGAGCTTAGGTCATTTGGGTGCATTTGCTCCTATTAATGATAAAGTAAACCACAACAAGGTGGCCCCTGCTCCGGAGTGTTGCACAAGCAATAAAGGAAAGGGGGTGGCTCCCCGATTTGTAAATAGATTGTTAAATTTATTATCTGAAGTATGTACTTGTATTCAGAAATACTTCCTCTTAGCCTCCCTGCCTTTTCCCTCAAGGATTCAGTTGACTGTATCTCTCTCAAAGATACAGATTGAATCTTTGATTTGATTCCTCTCAAGTGAGTTTTTTCTTCTTCTTTTCCACTATTCTATTAACTACTTTGATTCATATACAGTAAATTTGCTCTTCCAAAACAATTGCAAGATGATTGGAGGACAGCCCTTGTGCCATGTATGGAGGACCCGATTACTATCATCATTGCAACCTACCACCATGAAAACCTCATCTAACAAGGACTTGCCACCCACCAAGACCAAGATGATTCCAGCATCCGCCAAGGGCACTGCATCCAGGTCAAGGCCTCCTATGACTGGCATGCATCAGTGAATATTTGATTCCCTGCCAGGAGGAACCGATCAGAAAATCTAGACTGGACCAATGCACAGAGGATGATTGTTGAGAACTCACTAGTAGTCCTCAACATTGCAGATCTTTGTACTAAGGTATGTTTATCTTTTTTAGACGTACTCTACTGATTGACAGATTTACTACAGCTATCAAATTTCTACACAAACGGCTGCAAGACCACATCTATGTATCTACGCATACCAATGTCGTCTGCTATACCTAATGAGATCAACATTTGAAATGATAATGGATCTCTATTGGCTTTTATATGTCAGGACATGCCTCAAGCTATGAAGACCAACCTTTCAGTCACCAATGGAGGAAATCACATACAGCAATTTCAATGTGTCCATCTTTCTTGGTGGAATAGGTATAGTACATCAGTAAGTTGTTCTATGTTATATATGGTTTGTGCTTTCTTAACAGAGTGTATACAGGGTCATGATGCTCCAGCAAAGCGTCCAGATAGACTTGTTGGTGCCAACCAGAGTCAATTTTTGCCTTACCTATCCAGTGAAAATGAATAGAATGAACAGCTTTATTTTAACCTTTAAGCAGCCTTTGGTGAGGTGTTTGAGTGGATTGAATCAAAGGTTTTTTTCTTCTGTGGACGTATATAATTTGAATACATTTTCTTACAGATAGAGTATTGTCTTCCTCAAGAATACTCTACTCTAGATAGTGGATACTTTGCCAGGCAAGCCTGGATCCCCTGTCAGCCCATTTTTCTCCCTTGTTCTCAACATCAATGTTTGCACAAATGCTCATAGAGATAGTAAGGATCAAGACTTATGCCTAGTTTTACCTATTGGTAATTTTTCTGGGGGTGCTCTTGTTATATATGAGCAAGGGGTTGTTTCTCAGTTGTGTTCTGGGGATTTTGTTATATCTTGCTCTGAAGAGACAACTCATTTTAACCTTGACTATTGAGGGGAAAGAGCTTCCTTTATTTACATACAGATGGCCAGTTTAGATCATGGGTTAGTAACAAGAATGGTTGGGAGGAAAATTCTTTCTTCAATTAATACTACATAATTTTAGCTAGAGTTTTCTTTGTTTTCTTGATTTTTAGGGAAGTATACAAGCTTACAACAGCCATCTGTCTATATGTGTTTGTGGGTCCATATTGAGTTTGTTTGTGCTTTTTTTTCAGTCTACGCGTTGACTCTCTTTCTTTCTGGCTGTGATTTGCTGTTTTCTCTCCTTTTTCCAATTGTCACTGTTGCTGTCTTGTCTCATTTTATTGAAATGGCTAGAGTTACACGTTCTACTAAGATAAAGGGAAAAGTTTCTGCCAAAAGAATCACCAGAACTCCATCCAAGAGTCCATCTCCTCCACCATCAACTCAGCCCCCTGCAAGGAAAAAGGTATTCACCCTTTTATCCTTGGGTTTATATCTTAATATTTCATTTTCAGGCACCTACTGGTACTAGGGGATCTAAAAAAATGTCAAAAGAAGATGAAAACCTCTTTAAGACTCTTTTGGACAAAAAAAAAGCAGCTGAAGCAACCGATAAAGAGGCAGCCAGAAACAGTATATATATTTGTCTTTCCAAGACCAATAACAAATTATTATTCTTAGCTATACAAAATAAAGCTGCTGACATGCTAGCACAAGAAGATAATGGAGAAAAAACACAATGATCTAGATGAAGATGAAAGCTCTCAAGTAAAAAAAAAGACATATATCAAACCCCTTCAGTGACTAGGAGGAAGATCAAGAACAGAACAAAGACAATAATTCTCCTATAAATATTATAAATAATATCCTAGGTGATATGTCTGACAACCATCCTCAGCCTATCAAGTCTCATTCAAACACTGAAAAAGACGATGAAGCCCTTCTTGACCAAGATAGCAATCATGGTGGAGCTAACTCTCAGTCTTTGGATGATAACATTGTAAGTGTTCCTTCTCCTTCATTTTCAGACTTGTTTATACTACATTTTACAAGGTTGCTCAAAGTTCAACAATGACTACTTCCAACTTAGGATCAACTTCATATAGTCCTAGTCCTAGCATTTTATGTCTCTTCATCAAACTATCATCCTCCAAGGCTAAGCTAAGTTCTATTACTTGCTCAACTTTGAAATATATCGCTAGTCTTGGTCATAAAGCTATGAGGACATACACTGTTGCTCAAAATGGCTTTCCAAACCCTCTTGACTATCAATTAATCTGCTGGGACTTATTTAAAGCTATCAGTGAAGACAAAGCTGCTGCCTTCTCGGCCGACAAAATGAAGATTTTACAGGATGATCAAGACTTGAAAGCTCAAGTATTGGAATATGTGAGTACAACTTCATCAGGAAAAATCCTTTTGCTATATAGCGCTATATAGCCACCACCTATATATATAAACACATTCATAGAAACTATAGTACTATCAGTGCAATCATAGCTCTTATAGCTCTTATAGCACAATAGTAGGCAAAATTTTAACCAAGGGGAGAAGTATCTATAATTCCCTTAAACTCTGGATTAATCTAACAAACTTGTTCAATAATAGAAAGAGGCCAAAAGTCTTTGGAGTCAAGTATATTATTATAGGCATGATACTATAAGTGCTCTTATAACCTATAGCAGCCTACATAGCTCCTATAGCTGTAAAGATCATAGTTATAATATAGTTCAAGGTGCTTAAAAGGGCTAATAAATCATACAGTATTAATTACTTATGTAGCCTGTATTAGTGAAATAGTAGTTTGTATCCCTGATACTTACAAAATAAAAATAATGATTTATCCAAATATAAGTAGTGACAATAAGTAAAAAAATAACCTAAGTCCATGAATGGTTAATATATAACACCTGCATAACACATTTTATAAGCTCTCATGGTGTAGTGGATAAATGTGATATGTGGCTGTAGGTTGCCTAGTCACCCAAGAGCTGACTAGCAGGTTGAGAGTTCAAATCCTGTCTGTGTTAATTTTTTTCAATCAGCTACACAACAATTTCCAACATCTATAAGAGCATTTATAGAGCTATATGAGGCTCTATAGATGGCAGAGGTTCTATAACAGGTTTGACCACTATAACAGCTTTATGAGTACTTATAGTGCTATAGAGCTCTATATAGCTACCCCCATTTTTCCTGATATTATTATAGCAAACATATATTAACCGTCCAATTAGAACAGATTTGGAAGGGTTGCACGCAGGTTAGAGGAGAGCTTGTTTTTAAGGCCAGATTAGGTTTTCCTCCTACGTATCAAATCAAACAGTTCCATAATAGAGAGGAGCTGGGAGATCTTATTCCATGGATGATCAAATCTGGTGTGTTGATCAATGCAAGTATAGTTCCATAATAGGGAGGAGCTGGGAGATCTTATTCTATGGATGATCAACTCTGGTGTGTTGATCAATGCAAGTATAAACTTCAAGGTATGTTTTTTGTCCTCATAATAATATATACAATCTGATTTGTTGTATAGGATGAAACATCTGATGTTACGCAACCATGGAAAAACAACATCTTTAAAACACTCTTTCAAAGTCAGTGGTGGGAACCTAAAGGTGAAGGAAGGAAATATGGTAAGAAAGGCAACCCATATCTCCATAACGCCCCTGCACTTTCCCTGGTAGCATGCTCTGTAAGGTTTTTCTTATTTTTTTATTCATAAATTTAATCATATATTTAGGTTGAATGTGCTTTAGTTGGCACTATCAACAATAGGATGGTAGAATTCTCTGAGAATTTATTTGCTCCAAGGTATGTACCATTTGTTTTCTGGTTATTTTATACATTTGCCTCATTTAAGTTATAATGTTCCTTACAAAGTTTGTTGATGGATCTATATAAATCTAACTTAAGAGTTCAGGGAGTGTTCCCCAAAATATCTGGCAAGTGTGTTTGGTGCTATTGAGGAGTTTGTTGACAAAACCGGATAAACCTGGTCTCTGCCGAAGCAGCCATTGTTCTCCATGGAGCATAGCCACCACTCCATGGAGTCACCATTGTTCTCCTAGAAGCACAATTGTACTCCTAGGAGTCATTATACTGTAGCGAGTAGCACCTCCAACTATAAGTAGTAGGGGGTTTAGTATAGGAATACCTCAGTCGTTTATATAGCCTCTCGGGCAGCGGCTGAGTTTCACTTATTTTTATTATTTGTGTAGTGAATTGTTTGCTCTAATTTTTTATTTTTATTTTTCTTATATTTTACAGGGGCGGTCCCAGTACTTTGGCTTTTTCTGAATCCTCCCTTCTTATGTTTGACTTTAATGCTTTAGAGGAGGCAGCTAGGGCTTTTAAGCAGTATTCTCATATACTTGTAACTGTTATTTATATATTGCGCTTTTATAGTCCATTGATGTTTTGACTGTTTTAACATTTTGAAAATGAGTGGAAGTGAAATGCTCTGGATTAATCTAGTTAGCTTTGAATGGTGTTTAAAGTAGAGTCATTTATATCAATCTATTGCAAGGTTGCATGCAGCTGGGGTGACTTTGATATATTTGAGTTTTTATGCTATAGGCAATTTCTGTGTGCTATAAGCCTGCACATTTTTGCATCTGGTGCACTATAGTGCATTATAGTGCATACTATGGCGCACTATAGCAAGGTACTTTGTAAGATTTGCACTTACAGATCTGAACAGATCTGAGTGATATTTTTTGCACTTTATTGCATTTATAGCCACATCATGTTTTCCTGATATTACTGCCTCTCCCTTTGATACTAAGTCATCTTGGATGGAATGATATTTTTGTTGAATATGTTTTGTGCAAGCACAGAATTGCAGATCTTATGTAAGGATGATAGCTGCTTGATTGTTGCAGTACAATATTGTAGGAGCATTTTGAGCACTTGAAATTTCTTCAAAAAATATCCAAAGCCATGCAAGTTGTTATGCAGCATTGCTCAGTCCAATGTACTCTGACTCCGTGGAGGATAAAGCTACCATGCTTTGTTATTTGCTTGTCCAGGAGATTGCTCCTTGGATGGTGATAAAAACAAAACCTGATATTGATTGGGACGTGTCTGGGTCTCCAGACCAATCTACATCCAAATACCCATAGAAATCCATGTCCATGGAGAAATCAGTGCCATCATAATGTAGTTCCATGTCTCTGGTTGCTTTCAGATATCGGAGGATACATTTTGCAGCTTCCCAGTGATGGCTCCTTGGAGCTGAGCTATGCCTGCTTAGTATTCCAACAACATAGGCAATGTGTGGGTGGGTTCTGAGCATGGCATACATAAGGGAGCCCACAATTGAGAGATATGGCACTTGACACCCTTCAATAGGCAATTCATGTTGCACAATATCTTCCCTTGGAGCATTTGCAAGAAGTTTTGATCCATGGGCCATTGGTGTCTATACTGGTTGCAGTTCTTTATTCCGGTACGCACCAAGATTGTGACAATGTATTGGTGTTGCAAAAGGGAGATTGTTTTGTTTGAACAATCACATCAGATTTCTATTTCAAGGATGTATTTTGCTTCTCCAAAGTCCCGCATTTTGAATATATATTCAAGTTTGGCTTTTGTGATATCCATGAATTTCCGGGATGAAGCTCCTAGGAGGAGGTTATCTACACAGACAATAACAAAGTATATTTGTTTGTTATTCTAGAACAAATAGAGGCATTTTCTGTATTTGGTCTTGTGAAACCAAGCTCCCGGAGCTTGCAATCAAAGGTTTTGTTCCATGTACAACCAGTTTGTTTTAATCCATAAATAGAATTCTTCAACTTCTAGCAATATCCAGGTTGGATAGGAACGCCCCGTGGAGGAAGCATGTATAGTTTTTCTTCAAGTTCTCCATTGAGATAAGCTGTAGATACATCAATTTGATGAAATACTAGGTCATACTTTGCTGCCAGGGCTAGAATAATTCAGATTGACTCTAAGTTTGCAACAGAGCAGGAACCTCCTGGTAGTCAATCCCCTCCCTTTGAGTAAAGCCTCGTGCAACAATCCAGAGTTTGTATCTCTCAATGTTTCTGTTTTGATGTGATAGGTTTTACTCCCTTTGGAAGTTGAACAGTGTCATATATTGCATTGGTATTGAGATTTAGGAGTTCCTCCTCCAAGGCAGACTTCCATAATTCTCCATCTGGGCGTGATAAGGCTTTTTTAGGGTCCTTGGAAGGTCTGTATTGTATGGACCAGTGCTTGCTATTCTAGCAAAGAATGTCTCCTCTGTGTTGGATGTCTCTCTGGGAACCTCAGGAGTATTAGGTTTCTCTACGGAGTTGTTGTGCTGCTCTTTTTGAGACTGTTCCTCATTTAGAGTCTTTTGATAATCTCAGTTTTTGTCTGCAGGATGAATCTGGTGACTGCTTTTGTGTACTCCTAGGACTTCAACAGGCATGACTGCTCTTTGTGGAATGTGTGCAGTGATGACACCGCAAAAATGTTCATGTAGGTAGCATCCATCCAATTGGACACAAAGAAAGTGCAGGATATTCTTCACTGTTAAACACCAATAAAAAGATATTTTAAGATTACCACTGTTTCAAACAAACTGTTGTAATCCCCCCTTCAACATCTTCTTGTTCAGATTTGCAAACAATATGTCAACAATGCAACCTGATTACAACTAGTACTCAGACACAACCAAGGATGAGGTGATTCTCAGGTGAAGTAGAGAAATCAACATGTAGCAGTATATGTAGAAGCGTACCAAAAATCAGGCAAGACCAAGCCGCCCAAAGAAAAAACAAACAAGTACAAAGAAGTCGGTCCTAAACAAAGGAATGCAATGGATCAAACCTGCACAGGGGGAAAATACTAATTTTTCCTCAGATAAAATTGTAATAAAGGTATGTGCAAAGACAAAATAGATACACACATTTTCTCAAGGTAAAATTGTAAAAAATATAAAATTATTGCTTGAATTTACTACTTTTATCTCATGATACAACCATGAGGAATATTTGACCTCAATTATCCTCATTCTCACAAGAAAATATTATGCATAGAATCAGATCAATCTGATTGTTCCCAAATTTTAGTTAGACTTATTTTGCTGAGAAAGTAGTGACAAAAAGGCAAGAAATTTCAGGCTTTATCTCTTTGTAACAATGTAGATCTTTTTCTCTTTTCTTCATAATTTTTCTCCATAATAAATTTTGAATTTTCAGTCAAAAAAAAAACAGTTCAAATCTCAATATAAAATAAAATGTAAGGAGATAAAACATGTCATATGCAGACTTCTTTGTTTGATGATGTTACACTCAGATTAATTTTAATTTTACCTTGCAAAAAAACTTTGAATTTTATCAGCTTGAGGATCCAGTAAACATTGCTACTACATTTCAAAAGCAATTGTATTTTTTCTGCTTTTTAAATACATATTATCTAAAATATTTTCTCAGTATTATGGCCTTCTCTTTTGTGTAAATATGGAGGTTATATATATAATGTTTCTTTTATTTTTAAAGATTTTTCACATATGAAAAAATGATACTATGAATAGCTTTTTTTTCCAGAAAAAATTCTGGAAAAATATGATTGCAACACTTGTCACTACTCTCAACTCATGATCGACTGTTGATTCCGGGCAATCATCAGTAGCATAGTTGAGTCAACAACCAACAATCAACATCAACAGGCAACAGTGTTACAATATGTTTACAGTTTTAATTGCATTTTTTCTACCATTATAATTTTCATTGTATATCTGATGTTCTTCACAATGTATATTACATTTTCTCAAAATGTATTTATCATATAATATTGCTGTGCAGGTAAGTAGACATTTAAGGTTGTATGAATGGTCTCAGATGCCCCTGACAGTAGTCTTTAAGTGGGCTGAGGTACCCTGAAGCTCCAGAACAGTCTCCAAGCAAGCTGAGGTGCTCTGAAGATCCACCAAGCACTTTTGTTTGGGTGTTGATGATTTCAGATGCAGATACTTTGATTTATTCTTTGAGCAACTTAAAGCATTGTGAAGCTGCATGAAGCACCTCTGATCTTATCTGTGTTATTCATTTGCAGAAAAAAACTTGTTTTGGTTTGACTGTACTGTGCAGTCACTGTAATATATAGTCTAAATCCCATCTGGTGTCCTGTAGTTTGACATATAGAGGAATACACAGGAGAATCCTATATCATGGAAGATGTGAGCCAGGCTAAGTTTCACAAAGAACTCAAAACCAATAGTGGTCTGTAAGCAAGCTGAGGTACTCTGAGGCTCTATAAGGTGCTTTTATAATGCAAATACTTTGAGTAAAAGTATTATGTTATTTTTTCTCCTTTGGGGATTGTAAAGCACCACAAAGCCATAAGAAACATCCCCAATTTAATCCTCAACCAAGCTAAGGAAGTGTAAAGATTTGTGAAGTATATTTACCCTCATATTCAAGCAAGCTGAGGGAGTTTCAAGATGTGTAAAGTGTCCTTGTGTTTATCTCTGTTCAAGCTGGGGCATAGTGAAGCTCTCTGAATTTCTATAAAAAAAAAGCCATTGCCTATTGCCTATTTGCTCGGCTACTGGGGTATGAAAACAAAATGCTTTATACTGCTTCTGCAACATTGAACATGGAAGGAACAAATGATGCAATGTGTGGCACTGGCACAATGGTGGTAGTGGTAAGCCTTAGAGTCTGGGTCATATCCAATCAGTATACATTCATACAAGCATTTAGGGATCTTAGGATTATGGTGGTCTTAGATGAGCACAAAAGCACAAGATCTGATTTCATACAAGTGTCAAATGTCAGGGCATTTCTCAAACCAATTTTCATACAGAGTATGGGGGGGATGTGTGAGAAAGTATACAGACGGAGAGGTAGTTTGCGGTACAGACAAATTCATCCCAGAGTGGTGGAGCATTGCAGGTATGACACATAGTGCAAGCCTTGTCATCAGGGTGTAAGTATTCAACACAATCACTATGAGTGGAAGTGTGAAGAGCCACTAGCTCCAGAAACAGAGCAAGGGTTGATGGGATAGAGAGAGCAAAAATCAGACAACAGTTGGAAATGTGCACAGAGGCACCAGTATCCAGAAAAATGGGAGCAAAGGCAGCATCAAGGACATTGTTAGCTAGAATATCAGTAGGCACAACTGCCAATGCAACATCAGGAGTGTCCCAGTTGATACTGGCAACAAGAGGTTCAGACACTGCAAGCCATTGTACTCAGCTAGGTCAGTAGTTGAGAGACTCACCATGGATAGGGCAAGTAAAGCAGTGTTAGGGGTACCAGCATTGCTAGTGTTCCTAGAACCAATATCAATGGGCGCAGAGCTGGGTTGGGAGATATTATTAATGATGAATACCATGCCAGACACTGCATCTACAAGGTAGGCTTTTCTGTTGCTGGCTTTTATCTCAGTTGGGGGCATCTGCAACTTCAAACTTAAATGCCTACTAACTTGCACAGTAATATTATATGATAAATACATAATTCTTTTTCTCAAAGTATTTGCATTATAAAAGCACCTTATAGAGCCTCAGAGTACCTCAGCTTGCTTACAGACCACTATTGGTTTTGAGTTCTTTGTGAAACTTAGCCTGGCTCACATCTTCCATGATATAGGATTCTCCTGTGTATTCCTCTATATGTCAAACTACAGGACACCAGATGGGATTTAGACTATATATTACAGTGACTGCACAGTACAGTCAAACCAAAACAAGTTTTTTTCTGCAAATGAATAACACAGATAAGATCAGAGGTGCTTCATGCAGCTTCACAATGCTTTAAGTTGCTCAAAGAATAAATCAAAGTATCTGCATCTGAAATCATCAACACCCAAACAAAAGTGCTTGGTGGATCTTCAGAGCACCTCAGCTTGCTTGGAGACTGTTCTGGAGCTTCAGGGTACCTCAGCCCACTTAAAGACTACTGTCAGGGGCATCTGAGACCATTCATACAACCTTAAATGTCTACTTACCTGCACAGCAATATTATATGATAAATACATTTTGAGAAAATGTAATATACATTGTGAAGAACATCAGATATACAATGAAAATTATAATGGTAGAAAAAATGCAATTAAAACTGTAAACATATTGTAACACTGTTGCCTGTTGATGTTGATTGTTGGTTGTTGACTCAACTATGCTACTGATGATTGCCCGGAATCAACAGTCGATCATGAGTTGAGAGTAGTGACAAGTGTTGCAATCATATTTTTCCAGAATTTTTTCTGGAAAAAAAAGCTATTCATAGTATCATTTTTTCATATGTGAAAAATCTTTAAAAATAAAAGAAACATTATATATATAACCTCCATATTTACACAAAAGAGAAGGCCATAATACTGAGAAAATATTTTAGATAATATGTATTTAAAAAGCAGAAAAAATACAATTGCTTTTGAAATGTAGTAGCAATGTTTACTGGATCCTCAAGCTGATAAAATTCAAAGTTTTTTTGCAAGGTAAAATTAAAATTAATCTGAGTGTAACATCATCAAACAAAGAAGTCTGCATATGACATGTTTTATCTCCTTACATTTTATTTTATATTGAGATTTGAACTGTTTTTTTTTTGACTGAAAATTCAAAATTTATTATGGAGAAAAATTATGAAGAAAAGAGAAAAAGATCTACATTGTTACAAAGAGATAAAGCCTGAAATTTCTTGCCTTTTTGTCACTACTTTCTCAGCAAAATAAGTCTAACTAAAATTTGGGAACAATCAGATTGATCTGATTCTATGCATAATATTTTCTTGTGAGAATGAGGATAATTGAGGTCAAATATTCCTCATGGTTGTATCATGAGATAAAAGTAGTAAATTCAAGCAATAATTTTATATTTTATTACGATTTTACCTTGAGAAAATGTGTGTATCTATTTTGTCTTTGCACATACCTTTATTACAATTTTATCTGAGGAAAAATTAGTATTTTCCCCCTGTGCTGGTCACTGCGGGACCAGGAAATTGTGTACTATCTGCACTCAAATGCACTCAAAGTTGCTTCCATGTAATTATCAAGGACTGAGAGATAAGAAATGGTATATATATGAACCTCTCACTTTAAAGATACCATAATATGCATAAACTTCATACTTTGAAAACAAATCTTCACGTCTTGAGTCATTTCTCTGACCCACAGAAATGAACAGTACCACCAGTGACTGCATGGCTCTCCTCGTTGTCCAAGTCATCATCGATGTCCATCAGGTCCTCATTGGTATATCCGGCCATCACAGGGATGGCAGTTGTATACCCACTGGGTCCTGCGCCATGAGTAGAGCCGGCTTGACCAGAAGTCATTATACCGACACCAATACCAAACTTCCGACCACCCATGTTCTCCCGACAGCTAGACCTGCTTCTGCTACTTGGGCTATCACGCTCATCATGTCGAATATGATTCCTTCGTCCACCTTCTCCTTCGTCGTCGGAGTCGGACAACTCTCCGTCATCCTGTCTTCGAGAATCTAGTAGCCGCAACGATCGCCGAATATCAATATCCTGCGATGTAAGATCTTCATCTCTATCGATATCATCCATAAAGTCATCCACAGGTATCCTCGGAATATCTGCAACAGAGTTAGGACTGGACAGTCAGTGTTATTCAGTTGGGGCGGGACTGACCTGTCAATTGAACACTTGGGGGTCCTCTCAGATGCCTCAAGTTATCCATAATGATGTTTTTGACCCGTTCCAGATATTCTGGTGTATTCAGATCCTCTGTGTTCGATGCTTTAACATCTAGTTCATAGTCTGGGCCAAAATATTCGTAATATTCGTTGATAGGTATCCCTACGGTCCAGGTTTAGAGCTTATCAATACGGAAAGAGGAATGGGCATACTAGGATCAAGTTCGACACCAGTGACCAGACCTGTTTCATAAGCCCATGCCCGACTGACATTCCGCATCGTGTAACCTCCACCTCCTAGCAACAATAGTGGCTTGTTGAACGACTTGATAAACTTCACACAATTGGCATGGCCTAGTACAATTAAATCGAATATTATTGTACAGCCGAAGAAGCCTACCTCGCATTGATAGATTTAGACAACCGAGTTTGTCTCCTGATAGCGAATCTGTGCCACTTTGCAAAACAATAACGGATGGTCTATACGAGTCTACTACTTGACCAATAATCTAGCCATATAGTTAGGGAGAGTATGGTTGATGGGGTTTCTTTCAGAGCTTACTGGCTCGAAAACATTTTTATAATTTTCATCGGAAACACCATCCCGAAAGGGAAAGTTGAGCGCATAATGTTTCCCTTTGCCAATGCCAATATCCTGCGTGGATTGTAGTGGAAAAATATTGTTCAACATAACCAAATAGACATACCCGTAGTTCCCCAGTACCTGGGAAATATTCTCCATATTTGTGAAAACTCACAGTCATTACACGATCAGTAGCATAGAATGCTTCTTCTACGCCATCCCCATGGTGAACGTCGATATCAACATAAAGTACTCTAGTATGGTATCTGGAGATACAATGGAATCAGCAGGAACCAGGTCATTAAAGTGCTCACCGTAGGAGCTCAAGGATGCCCAATACGATATCTGCAATTGGAGCGTCAGCGAAAATGGATGATATGAGAAAGGCCAGTTTAACCATTAACATAGCAGAAACCACTTGCTTCGCTTTTCTTAGCATGGTGAAGACCACCCGCCCAATTGACAGCGATATCACACTTATCCCGACTAAGGCGAGCTGCACCCTCTTGATCGACCTTACATGAGAATAAAAACTTAGAATAAAGCAATGATCCTCACCCATAGAACCACCAGCGGATATAGAACAGTAGTCAAATAATCCATCGAATACAGGACAGTCGTCACCGACATTATCTGAGGAAGATGTTGAGCGCGGGATCAGAGAATGGTAGGACATTCCCCAGCGAGGGAGCACTGACACTTGTGCTGTTCTTTGATATAAGAATTCATATTGCTGGGGGTGATGCGACTGAGGAATTCAACATATTCATCCGAGTGGAACTGTGTCATTTCCCGCTTTGTAGCAGGCTTCGCTCTCTACGATAAATAATATGATGTTAGGCCATTCACTCACAAGGATAGTATACTAACAAAAATTTCCATCTTTTTATAAAGGCCATAGTTCATAACGAGTGAGTGGCACATTCGTATTCTTGTCGGTTTCATTCTATACAGGCTCAGCGTAAAGGTATGATTAATCGAAGTAGGGTGGTACACCTACGGGTGTCCAGGACCATAATGAAATCCACCTATGTCTGAATCAAAGAAGTAGCACTGGAGACCAGCGTCGATTGACTGGGAAAATTTCTGAAAAATAAAAAAAGGTACACACCACTCGTTTCTTTTGTGTTTCTCCATCTAGAGGAACCATTTTTTCCGACATGTCTACAAATACTCTGGCTTTGATACTAGTTCGAATCAGAGGTTTTTGGCCGATTGTAAGTCTCCTACTTATAAGCAGAAACTTGAATCACCGAAGAAATGAAGAACTTCCGAGCGCGGTCGGGCGCTGGGCTCAAAGGAATCGGCGCTGATGATGCCGAATTTCTCATAGCGGTAATCTCGGATCCAGATAGTTGTCTCTTAGCAGTGCTTACTTAATACTGATTTTAAGACATTAAAAAATAAATAGCATCGCCCTCCGGGCACCCCTGGCACCTTTAATAGGCATGCAAAACTAAAAGTCACAAGGGCTCGAAGTAGTAGCACATTATATATAGCGCTCAGTCTTCTGCGAGTAACTGTACACATTGGACATGTAACTAAGCTTGCAGGTGGCCCCTGCAGCATGCGACATCACAAGTGGGGGAGCAAGGAACTTGAATTTATCATCACTCGAGCACCAGAGATCCAAGTGAGGTACAAACCCTTTTGGCCTTGCAAATGGCTGTCTCAATTTTCTCCACATCTTCTTGCTACCTTGTATAGCACATAATGTGTCAAGGAGGATTTGCAAAACTGAGGTATGGGTGGTAGGAGTCAACACAAAGAAGGGGGCAGGGCCAAGTTTGACAAATCTTTCAGGAACAAATATTGCTGAACCAAAAATTGTGCTGCACAGTCGTTCAAGGTAGAGGACGATAAACACAAAATAGTGTGAAATATGTCCGTTGAGAAAACTACGGAGGTTATCGGCCTTGCTAAACATTGTAAATTTATGATGGTCCACATCAACACGAGTAAACTTGTTGTCCAATTCAGGGTTGAGCCATTTCCTGATGACCTCTTGCTCCATGAATGTTGCTACCTTAAATTGGTAGGGCTGCTCCAGTAACGCACATATAGCTAGAATAATATAATAGAATGACTCGAGATCATGGTGAGCTGCATGCTGGATGGGCTCTCCAGGTTGAGTGTTCTGTATTTCTACAGCCATGAATGGCTCTGTACCCTGAGCAAAAAACAGAATCAGTCATTGCAGATGATAGCTTCAAGAAGCGTCAGCTTATCATGCGTTCAAGTATGTGGTTTCCATTATCCACTGCCCACCCCTGGCCTGCCAAGCCCTCAAAGGTCTCATGAGCAGTACCTAATGCAACCTCTATTTCCCATCCTAGAACATTATGGCTGCGTATTGAGGTGCTGGAAAAGGAGGTCTGGGCCTGTTGAATTATGTCTTGTTGCTGCACCACCTTTTTCAACATGGCGTCCAATATCTTGGCTTGGCAGTCGTGGTATGTAGGATTCGACTCTTCAGAAGCTTCGGAAGACGCCTCATCAAATATGTCCTCTGATTCTTTGACAGGTTCTTCATCTCACTGAGATTTCCCATCTTCTACCACTGGGATGATGACAGCAAAACCCCAGTCTCCAAGCAGTCCTCAATGAATGCCCTTATGAGGAGGCTTATGGCCTGGTTTGACCTGCAAGGGAGGCCAGTCCAAGTCTGCTTGGTCAACAATGAGTGAATTACTTGTAAAACCATCACAGTACAAGATCCTGACTGGAAAGGAATAGCTTGCAGAGGATAAATAGTGTTATTGGCAGGGCAGGTATAATGTTTAGTTAGTTGACTGACTTGTGATATGATCAATTGTAATGACTGGAAGCTCCTCCAAACAGTTGAAGTCCATGATAAGAGCACCAGCTGGAGTAGTGGTAGAACAGACGTGTGCTTAAAGCTGATATGGCTGACAGGGATCCGCCAGAGCTGCGTTCCTCTCCTTGACTTTGATCTCAATGGTATTGAGAGAATTGCAGATGTTGCATGTACAATTGTGCTGCGGGGGCGGCTGACCATCTATTCCCTCACTCCACTGCCTTGAAGCTTGGACCTTCTCCTCACTAATAAACCTAGGTATGCCTTTAACGCCTTTGGCCTCAAGTAAGTGCACAATTGTACCCTCCGTGAGTAGTCGGCAAACATCATGCCAGATGTCTTTGACAATGATATTGATGCCTTTAAAGCGGGAAATTTGAGGGGAAGTGAAATCAGCAAAAACAGGGACTTGAGCTCAATGGACTAGTGTGCCATGTCCATGAATGCTGTCTGAGATGAACAAGGTGCACTATATTTTGAGCTCACCAAGCACTGATGTCTTGACGTGGGTTGTGCTAGCTGTTGCATCATACCCCATACAAACATCTGTTGTTACGATACACAATTTTTGGACCTTTAAATTTCATCTGCAGTTTTCACACACTGTGCCATGTGGCACTTTCCATTTCGTTCAAACTCCACCTTCTCGCGCTGCACTGCCTTTCTTTATTTTTAGCTACAAAGTATCTCACATAGTGGAGCTGGTCACATGGGCTGTGCCCTATGACATCATCAGCCACTGCCCCCATCAACTGTATAGTACACATGTACAAACAACCTATAGTAGTATAAATAACCAATAGATCCAGGCGACTCCTCAGCGAATCCTCCTGTTGTTTACCCACAACTAACTTGGTCCTATTCTAAGGGTAACCACTCCCCCTCACTACCTTTATAGCTTTGTCTGAGTTGTGCGCCAGAGTAACAAACTCTTGGCTGTTACATCCGTGCTGTGAGTAAAGCCCAAAATGACATGTAAGAATAAAAGTGGCTGTTGGTGGAGATCAAGTTCAAATGTTATGATAGAACCACCTTGATCTATGCATAGAAGAGTAAATGATGCTCCACGTAAAGCAAAGCCCAAGATATGGAGCAGGCAATCTTTTGCAGCTCTGAGGAATGAAGCCCACCCCATTAGCTGAAAAAGCTGCTCATGGAGGGGGACCGAGTTCTTCTCCCTGTCCGTGAGTTCAGCTAATGCATGGACACTCCTCCAATTTGCTGGCAAAAGGGCTTTGGGGTTGGTGGGGTTATCAGAGCTAGCGCTTATCAAGACCAAGTTGGGTCGCCATCTGCCGCCACCACCCTCTACTGAATGTACTGAGTTGGTGGCAGTCCACCATTGCAAGGCAGCAGCTGTACCACTTGGTAACGCAGAGTCAACCTTCAAAACAATGTTGTTGAGAAATGTAGCACACTCCTCCTTGGCTCCTGGACTCCACAGTTTGGTAAAGTCCGGACAACCACTTGTTGTTGTCCAGGAAGAATCCTTGGAGCTGTAATAACCTTCGCTACACGGAAAAGCCAGCATGTTGTGTAGCATGGCTTCTGTCCCATATTGACCTGTAAAAATGTGAGATAAAGGGAAAATTACCAAAAGAAAATCCTCCAGTGCACAGTAGGCTTTCAGGGGTGCAGCCTCCTTCTTCAAAAGAGGGTCCATAAACCTATGGAAATATTGTTTTGGGCCCTTCATAACAAACCTGCTGAACTAGACAGTGAGGAGACAAAGGCCAGGTAGTTGGTGTGGAGCAGCAAAGTAAGATACGGCAAAAATACCTTTGGATGGGTGAAAGGCGTGGTGCAGCGGCAGCTATCAGAGTGGGTTTATAAGCCTATCCAGGTGCAATGTGATCAACAAAGGACTTACCAAAGTGTTAGGAGATATGGCAGTGATAGATGTGGACATAGTAGACATCTCTGGCATGAAGCTGTTTCAGAAAGACAAATGAGAATAGTATATCCAGCAGCAAGGTGAAGGAAAGATGCACCTGGTAATTTGCCATCCCTTCTTTATTTTCCTTTGCCATCTGCAGAGGGAGTTCCGTATTGCACTTGAAATAACTCAAAAAATCAGATATTACTTTTTCAGGACTTACCTGTCACAAATTGCAGCTGTAACAGGGAAGTGTGCAGGTGCTTGAGCTCATCCCATATTTGGATGTTGGCAGGACAATTGGCATCCATAGCGGGGTTTTGGCGGTATGTCCCAGAAATGAGATTATCCATATCCAACACCAAGGTATTGCTCCGTGTTCTTGATATGCATACTCACAACTTGGAGCTACTGCTTCATTTGCTCAACAACAGCCAAAACTTACCACCAAACCTCATCAATTTCCGCTCAAACCTGTCTGCACTGGTTGCCTATGGATCTTCAATGACTTCAACATCTTCAGCATCCTCTATGGGTCAAGGTGAGCAAGCTCACATTCCTATCCCTCAACAGGAGCTTTCCACCTGGGTGGCAAGTCAAAATATGACCTATCCTGGTGGCATAGAGAACTTGAATGCAACACACCTGTGGGATGGCCTCCTGCCCTGGCAGTCTCCATCAGCGAATTAGAACCCTGCTCTTCCTGCTTCCATAAATGCGCCCATTGATGTCTCCCTGCCTTATGCTTGCACATCCTTGCTGCCATCGCCTCTCATTGCCACTCCTTCACAACGATCCATGTCCAGCTTCTCACTGCCTCAGGGAGATATGGGATCACCACCTTCTCAGTAAGTTGTGCCAAAGAGGACTAGTAGTCAACACCATTTGGATGAGAGATGTCCAAGTGTCACAGCACCAGCAGTATCAACAGTGTCATCGCCATCAGCAACACGCCATAGCCTACAAAAAAAAGCAATGTTACCTTTGCAAAAATAGTGGGGGATCTAATGAACCGGCCAAGTCCAAACAGCCGTGTCTGAGGGGGGTGTCTCGTTTGCATTGTTGAGGAGAGATTGTGGTGGTGTTTGGAGAAGACGAGCCAATCCTTGGCTCAACTCTGGCGAGAATGTCAATGCTATCATCACAACTTTGGCGTCTGCGCACTGGGACTCGGACATCCATAACCCCAGTGTTTGGATTGATAGTGTAAAGTCAGCAATGTAGGGGAGTGAGTATCTGGATGAGAGCTTGGGTTCCGTAGTGCAGAGGGGTAGGGGTATTAATGGGAAGGACATTTGCCTCAACTTCCTGTTAATGATAAACTACATGCAGCTGATGACAAAATGTCAGAGGTGAGTCATTTTGATATCCGTTAGCATCTGATGAATTTAATCTAGTACACTACACTTTCTCTAGCATTAAACTCCGTACCTAACAGTCTCTCAACGGTATTTACAATACAGAAGTCTCACATCTCCCCACAAAGCCCAGCAAACAAACTTTTCAAGACTGGCATTTGATTGGCAGTAAATTTGCTGCAATCGCCGGAGGCGGGTCAGTCTATATACTGATTCTGGTGGCAGGACTTGGTCTCAGGGTGTCCATCTCCGGAATGGAGGGCACCCTGCCATGGGATTTGGCCAACCTTCTACAATCTCCCATCCCCGGTGAGTTTGACCTATCCTATGGCAAAGAATATTGTTTGGCTAATATTTCAGTCAGGAACCATGCAGCAATTTTACACTACACCAAAATGCTCAACATTGGGTGTCATGTTAAGATACTACCGTTGACGCCAGCCTTAACCCGCCTATCCCGCTCCATTAGCTTGGCTATGAGCTCCTTGCGCCAATGGCATTTTTCCTCCCTAGACCTTACAGCCCTCCTCTATCAGATTCACAAGACTATCTGGAATCTTCAGAAGATGATGGTGAAGATGGACATCCAACTGTTCAGCAAAAAGGCGCAGAAAAGGAGAAGATAGTCATACGCACCGCCTATGACCGATTACTGCCTCAAAATAAGCATTTTCAAGCATAGCATGATCATCAAGCCAACAATATCTGGATGGAGTGTGAACAAGAGCGTGCTGAGAAGGGCAACAGAGTTAATGACGTACATGATTTGCAATCACAGGTATGTAATTCATCTTTAGTATGATATAATACATATAATAGCTTATTTGTTGTCAGCTCCGCAAGCACTACAAAGAAGGAATGAAGATATCTGATGATACCTACATTTGTATCCCCATGGATGCTATTCCCAGGTATGTCTTTCACAAATTTCCAATAGCTGATTTCACACTTGTCTGAAGCTCCCTGGTGGATATTTGTAACTCTGATGAGACACTAATGGCATTCATCTGCACGAATCTTCCAGCAAAAATACAAAATTCTCTTACAGACAACCTACTAGCAGTGTTTGGGACCCCGGATCTATTGACAGAGAAGAACACCTGTGTCGATGCTGACTCTACCTTTCAAGCACTTCACTTGTCATGGTACAACCGCCACTGTACCAAGGTGGAGTTGTTTATTTATAATATGTTCCCTATTGCTGACGCTCCATAGGGTCATGAAGCTCCGTCTGATATATCTCCTTCTATGCTTGACAGAGTTGGCTGTGTACATACCAACCACAGCCAGATGATCCCATACATCTCCAAGGACATCAAAGACAACCAGAAAATATTTCAATCCGTCAAGGTCATCTTTGAATGGCTGTTCAACTGGATACATGGTATTATAAGTGGTTCTCAATATTTTCTCATAGGCATCTCATTGATGTATTAGATGCAAACCCACCTGCCTGAAGAGTGCCAGATGCTCGAGCAAATTGTGTCCATCTTACCAGAAAACCACAACTCCCCAGCCTCCCCCTTCCTCTCACTGGTCATCAATATCAACGTACAGACAAAGGCTCACCGTGACAGCAAGGACCAGGAGTTTTGCCTGGTTCTCCCCATTAGAACATTCAGGGGGGCAGCTCTTGTGATGGTTGAGACAGGCCTTATTATTGAGCTGAATCATGGGGACTTTGCAATTTTTAGGTCGTCTAATATCACTCATCTCAATCTTCATTATGAAGGTAAACGTGTATGAATAGTACTTCATACTGATAATGAACTTGTTTCATAGGCTGCTGATAGAAATGGCTGGCAGGAAAATGAAGCCATGAGGACCTTTGCATAAATACACCATTTTTCAGCAATCCTCAGAGGTATTGTCAGGAATTATTTGTATTCTGACCAGAATGCCTGCCCTAAACTCTGTGGGTAAATTTTCACTTCTCTGTTATACTTGATTCTCTGTTTACTTTCTCATAGGCTGGTCAACTTCAATGGCAGGCAAAAAAAATACAAAGGGTAAATCTAAAGCTAATGCCTCTAAGGGGCAAAGCAATGCGGTTACTTTAAGTGCTGAGGAGTACCAGCACCTCATGACTATGAATGCCAGGGTAAAATCTACCCAGGCAGCTCAGAAAGAGGCAATGGAAGCCAAATGCATAGGTAAGACATGTATTCTGGATTTATAAAGAATACACTCATCTCTCTGAGCAACAAGAAAGAAAGCAGCTAGTTTAAGGGATGAAGAAAAACAGGATCTTAATGATGTTGGCCCAGTTACACCACCAAACCCTCCTAGAAAAAAACAAGCCATTGACGATAATTCCGATGAGAAAGATTTTCAAGGGTCCTAACTCAAAAGCCACACATAGGTGAGGATGAAAGCAGGGATAATTATGATGAGGATGAGGGTGCTAGACCAGAGGGTAAGATATAATCATTCCTAGAGGAAAATACTTACATGCTGCTAAGATGTTGATCAACTTATTCTGGATGATCAAGTATGTTTCTGAATACTTCTTACATTCATAAAGCTAACAGCCTATATAGCAGCCCAAGTCCAGGCCTGTTGTTATACAGGGGAGGACTAGTTTCCCCAGAAAGTCTTCTACCTCTACCTCTATTTCTACATGTGCAGCTCTCTCTTTACTGCCAAAGATGGGGAAAAGGCGTAGGATCACCCTTGATATATTTCCCAGTCATCTTCTGGATCTTGCTACTGCAGGGCATGCCAGTGCTGTCATGAGACTGCCCACTTCACTTCATCTCTACTACTTCTGGGCACCTTGGACAAGACCCAGCTCAGGGATGCTTTCCTTGCTGAAGAGGTCAATCGCCGTCGTCGTGCTGAAGTCGATTCTGCCTTGCATTCTTCGTCTACCACTGCCAATAGCACCTGCACCCATCCTAACTGCCATCATTGCAACCAATCCACCACCTCTACTCGCGTTCAGTGTGATTTCTGTGGTTTACTTGGTCATACCCAAGACAAATGCCACAGATACATTGCTAGTCGCCAACAGGCAGTGGAGGGTGCTAAGAATCGCTACAAGCGTGGCAATAAGGCTCAGGCAGGCTCCAGCAACTCTCAGAATACCTCTCAGCAGCCCAAATCTTCGCCCAACAATGCCAATTCATCTACTGTGGTCACTGAATCAGCTGGGAATGCAAGTCTTCGTTCCATTCATCCCTCTGATCCTCATTGCCTTCTCCAACTTGATGCTGACATTGATTGGAATGCAGACACAGGCGCCACTTCTCATATGACACCTCATCGTCATTGGATGCACCACTATACCCCATATTGTGTGCCAATCAAGCTGGCTGATCACACTGTTGTCTATTCAGCTGGTGTTGGTACTGTGGTGTTTAATCCTGTGATGAATGGCAAAGTGGCTAGGGCTGTGGAATTCTCTAGAGTGCTCCATGTACCAGATCTTTGAAATAATCTCCTCTCAGTCTTGTATTTAACTCGTCAAAGTGGTTTCAATGTCACTATTTCGTCTCATTCCATGTCCTTTATGTGTGACAACACTCTCTTGTTCACTGCAACTATCAATGACAACAATGCAGCATTCCTTGATGGATCTACTGCTGCTTGTGTTGAATTGGGACATTTTACTGCGACTATACCACTTGATTTGATGCTCTGGCATCGCAGATTGGCTCACCACCATCATGCTGATGTCAAGAGACTGATACAGAGAGATCTGGTCACTGGGCTTACACTGGAATCCAAGGCTGCTCCTGATCCTGTCTGTGAACCGTGCTTGTCTGGCAAGATGCATGCCAATCCATTCCCCTCATCTGATACTTGCTCTGCTCATCCTTTGGACCTCATCCATTCTGATGTACACCAAGTCTCTTCCCCCACATTCTCTGGTTATCGCTACTGGGTCACCTTCATTGACGATCACAGTCGATTCCGTGTTGTTGTGCCTCTCAAGGCCAAGTCAGATGTCTTTGATGCTTTCAAGAGATTCAAGGCTTATGCTGAGACTCAATTGGAGCGTAAAATCAAGGCTCTGCACGATGACAAAGGGGGAGAGTACATGTCCAAGGAATTTGAGCAATTCACAGATGACCATGGGATTGTCAGACAGCATACCACCAGGAATCGTCCTCAGCAGAATGGTGTGGCAGAGCGAGCAAACAGACTTCTGACTGAGCGTATCACTGCCATGTTATCAGAGTCTGCATTGCCTAACAGCTTCTGGGGTGAATGTCTGTCCGCTTTGGTGCATGTCTGGAACAGGTGTCCCACTGATGCAGTGGCCCATGCCACTCCATTTGAGTTGTGGTATGGACGCAAGCCTGACATGTCTCACCTTCGCGTTTGGGGCTGCACTGCCTATGTGCATGTGCAAAAGGACAAAAGAGGCGTCTTTGGCTCTCATATGGAGAAATGTGTGTTCATTGGTTACCCCAAGGGGTACAAGGGATGGAAATTCTACAATCCTACCACCAAGTGCACTGTTATCTCTGACAGAGCTGATTTTGATGAGCGCTACTTCCCTGGCTTGAAGAGGCCTTCTAACAATGTCCCGCCTCCACCTCCCACTCCACCTTCACTATCCATGCCATTGGGCCTGATTGAGGATGTCCCTGCACCAGGTCCAGGGGGAGATATGGGCCCACCAGCTGCACTTCAGCAGCCTCAGCCATTGCCTGACAATGGGCCTCATTTGGACCTTGATGCAAAACCACCTGTGAATCAACCTCCTGAGCTTCCAAATCACCCTCCTCATCGCTCACCTTCTCCTGACTTGCCTATTGCACTGAGACGCCCTGTAAGGGCTAGGAGACCACCTAGACCATGGTGGCTTCAACACAGACAACCTACTCCTGCCATTGAGAGTGATGACAGTGATTCTGAGGCAGTTGATGATGAAGTGGCACACTTTGGAGACTCTGCTGAGCCTAGGTCATTTGCAGATGCAATGAAGCGTCCTGATGCAGATAAATGGAGAAAGGCAGCCATGGAAGAGCTTCAAGCTCATGAGCATAATAGTACTTGGTCACTAGTGGAACTACCTCCTGGAGTCAAGGCTATTGGTGGCAAGTGGGTCTTCAAGATCAAGCGCAACTCAGATGGCAGTGTTGAGCGCTACAAGGCCAGATATGTGGCCAAAGGTTATAACCAGCGCCCTGGCTTTGATTTCCTCGAAATATATGCACCTACTGTCCGCATATCATCCATCAGAGTTGTCCTTGCCATTGCAGCCATCCACAACCTCCATTTGTGCTCCATTGACATTTCCCATGCATTCCTGAATGGAGTCATGGATGTCAAGGTCTACATGCATCAGCCAGAGGGATTCCATCAGGGTCCTTGCAATCTTGTTTGCCAGTTGGACAAGGCCATCTATGGGACAAAGCAGGGAGGCAGAATGTGGAACCAGAAGATGCTCACTGTGCTTGAAAAACTCGGATTCAAGCGTACTTATTCAGACTCTGCCCTCTATGTCTTTAACAGAGCTGATTGCGCATTATCCTGCCTGTCTTTGTTGATGACATGACACTGGCATCCACTTTTACTTCTGCACTTGACCAAGCTGTCAAGGACCTCTCCCTGCACTTTAAGCTTCGTGATCTTGGCCCTACTTCTTACCTACTTGGCATTTCCATCACTAGAGATTTAAGTAATTGCACCATCTCCCTCTCCCAACATCAGTACACTCTGGACATTTTGGAGCGCTTTGGCATGAAGGACTGCAAGCCTGTGTCCACTCCCATGGATCCTGGTTTGCGCCTCACCAAGGACATGTCTCCCAAAACATCCAGTGATGCTGCTTTGATGAAGGACATTCCCTACCTTGCTGCTGTTGGTGCTCTGATGTATCTGGCCACTACAACTCGTCCTGACATTGCCTACACTGTTGGAGTCCTTGCCAGATATAACTCTAATCCTGGTCTTACTCACTGGAGCGCTGTCAAGCACTTGTTCCGCTACTTGCAAGGCACCCTTGATCATTCCCTTGTCCTTGGTCCTGATCCCAATTCCACTGAACTCTTCACCACTTTCTCTGATGCTGATCATGGTGGTGACAAGGACTCTGGTTGTTCTACTGGTGCCTATATTGTCAAGATGGGATCTGGTCCTGTCTCCTGGAGCTCCAAGCTTCAGAACATTGTTGCTCTGTCCACCACTGAAGCAGAATACATTGCTGCTGTTGAGGCTGGCAAAGAGATTTGCTGGATGCGAAATTTGTTGAAGGAAATGGGCTATCCTATCACCTCTCCTTCCACTCTTCATATTGACAACCAATCTGCCATCTCTGTATCCAAGAACCCTGAGCACCATGGTCGGATTAAACACCTTGATCTGCGATGGCATTGGTTGAGAGATGTTGTTGACTCTGGGCAGATTGCTCCTACCTTTGTTCCCACTGCTGAAATGCCTGCAAACTTGTTGACCAAGGCTCTTGCCAAGCCTAAAGTGGAAGTGTTCAGGAAGATGATGGGACTTATTAGATCAGGGGGGAGCTGATGCTTGGGAGGTGCAGCATCAGGGGGGAGTGTTAGTTTTGGTGATTCTGCACCTTTGTGCTACCTATATATTTTCATTCCTTTCTCTATCTATTCTTCTATCATTCACTATTGATTGTGTTCTCTATTATTTTGCCTTTGTGGCTGCTTTGTTTACCTTTGTTTACAAAACTTCGGACAGTACTGCAGAGTCCAATGCTTCCTATTCTCTAGTTACTCACATTGGACTCTAGGTACTGTATACCTGTCATACTCTCTAATAATAAAGTTACTCACATTGGACTCTAGTTCCAGTCCCTGATTGCTCTCAGCAAGTGGCTAGACACTTCCTTCAAGCTTTGTTATTAATATATTGATGCTACTATACGAGTCTGTTGGAACTATAGTCAACTATAAGAGTACTATAAGAGCACATTATTCCTGAATAGATGCTGGGGTTTCTATTACAACTATGATCCCTATGACATCTATTTTTGCAAATATAGTACTATAACAGCCTATATAGCCAAAGTGTTTTTCCTGATGAATTGGTATCAGTGGTGTACGTGAGGACACCTCACCACAGCTGCATGTGGTTTGGCAATTGGGAACTATCAAAACTGGGATGAGGGAGTTAATGTGAAGATTTGAGGTGATAGTAAGGAACAGGGTGATAGTAGAACCATTGGTGGTATATATGACAGTATACTGGTATGATGACATCAGGAAAAACCATTTTGCTATATAGCCAAGCATGTTTCTATGGCTTCTATGACAACTAATGTATTACTATAATAATCAAGTTTTTTCTATAATAAATAGCATAGCTGCTATAGTAGCTATAATAGCTTGTTTCTATCTTTGGGAATTTCATTCTGATTATGATGAAAACACCATTATTACTCACTAACTGGTTTGGCATGTGTGTCAGCCTGATTATTTATGTAATGGAAGTCTATTACATATGTTCCAAATATTGTCTATACATTTCAGCAACCAGGCATTGCTATAATAGATGGTATATGTGCTATAATAGCTTGTTAATTTCTATGAGACATTTGGTGCTGATGAGAATGCCCCTATTACTCATACAATGGTTTGGTATGCAGGTAATTTAGTCTAATGGTTTTATTCAAAAAATCTATGAAAAATATTCAATTGTACAGGTACTAGAGAACACTATTGATATTGCATCAAAGTTGAAGTGTCTTGCTTGATGCACAAGAATGAATTTAAGCGGAGTTTGAATATGTGGCACCAAAGCAAATTTTCCAGCAGTGCCATATCTTTTTCAGAGTCAGCTCTTGAAACATACGTGGCACTAGTGTGATGTTACATATTACATCAAAATAGTACACCATTGCACTTCAGAGTCCTGCACATCCTTCTTTCCTTTTAAGTTGCAATAACATTGAGCTAATAGCATACTTATTAGGTATGCTGTTAGCTCTAGGTATAGTTTTTTCTAATAACTATCTTATAAGGTACTGAAATTAACTCTGCTCTATTTGCAGTGGCCACTGGCACCAATGCCATATCAATACCCAACATATTCCACTACTACATCATCAGCTGGTAGTAGCAGCATACACTATTGCTTCAATTATGACTAAGGTATGTTATGTCTACTCCAAAGTGTGTTTGACCACCTTATCTTTTTCTGAATAGGTGTGAATAGGTTAACAAGCCAAAGTATGTTCCTCCATTTATATCTATACCTATACTTATAATCACTTACCAGATGAGGCTTGCACTATTCATCAAGGCTTATAAAGAAAACTTATCAAGTTATTTGTGAAATTCTGTGAGTATTATCAAAGTGTATTCATACAATAATATTGAATGTCGTCCATAGTGAATAAGTATCTTAAGACCAAACAAGAAGTTGAGAGAATTTTCTAGTTTGTGGGGGTTCACTTCATTACAGTAGTTTACTCTATGCATGTCATACAACAGTATTAGGAATAAATTCTGACAGTTTGCTATATGCTATAGTAAAAGTAAAGTATAATTAATTTGAAACAAGAATCCAGAATTATGATATCTCTTATACTCTATGAAAGCAGCCATAGTAAAGGCAACAATGTATAACACAAATGTGCAACTATAGCAGGCATAGCAAATGGCTCAAAATAGTGCTGCTATATAGAGCTATATAATACGGACATGTCTAGGAATAGACATATCTAATTTTACAAGGGGAAGTCCAACTTGCTCCGCCCAGACCTGATCAATGAAGATGCCATTAGCGCTTCAATCAAGCAGTGCACTGGTTGGGTGTACTATGCCCTGGGCAAGATCTTCCACAACAAGTTCTAAATGTTTTTCTTTTTGCAATAAATATATGTGCATCAACACACACCTTGGGATTATGGTGGAAAGTTGGTCCAAAGAAGAATTAGGAAAATCAAAAAAAACATGTTTTTCTACTTCCATATTTTATATGTTTTTATTTTTTATTTTGCCAGAATCAAGCACCCTTGTGTTTGCCTTGCCAGGGCCACACTCTAAGGGAGACGCTGGTGCAGCAGTGGTGTTACAATTGACATACCAGCACCTATTTACGCTTCACTTTTTGTACTTTTACTTTTCATTTTCCAAGTCACATGACTGATCATGTGACCATTCACTTTACTTTACATTTTCGGACTTTTCATAAGTCACATGACCAATCATGTGACACATCACCTGACCAGTGTCTAGGCTCACCATGTGACTGGTCACATGCTAGACATCGGACTTTAAACTTTATTTACAACTGTACTGTACCTCATGTATTTTAGTATATATACAGGAGCAATACATAGGGAAGGACTCAGCAAGTCCTCCTGTTGTCTACCAACAACTAACTTGTTGAATTCTAATGGGTAACCACTCCCACCTCTTCCTCTTCTTTTGAGTGTTGTTTTCATTGTGCTCTAGTGCCCCAAGACTGTGTCTTGTTGGTGTTGTCACAGGTGGTATTATAAATATTACAGTCACAATTTTCCATACAAGTACATACTTCAGATAATAAATTGAGAAATCTATTTACAAATTGGGGAGCCACCCCCTTCTTTCCATTATTGCTTGTGCAACAATCCGGTGCAGGGGCCACTTTGTTGTGGTTTACTTTATAGTTATAGTTATGAGGAGTGAAGTCACCCAAGTGACCTAAGCTCTGAACTCTTTTCCCTGAGCTTTCATTTCAGTAACCTGCTGATCATAGAAGAAGGCCCTGATTTTGTCATACAAACAACTGGCAAGAGTATTAAGCCAATTGTCCGGTTTCTCCGTTCCTAATTGGCGCACCTGGCACTCTTGGTTATTTTTTTGTTGGGCGGCCTATGCCCCACTTCTGCAATCTTGGGACATGTGTCCCTCCTGGCCACAGTTGTAGCAGTTGCCCTTGAATCTGCACATTTCTCTGTGTTGGACTGCACCAATATCCATAGGAGCACCCTGCCCTGGCTGTAGCCCAAACAGCTTGAACCCGTGAGAGTGATTTTGAGTTTGGTTTGATGACCCAGGGCGCCTCTGGGAATAGTTATTTTTGGTGGAGGACCTGCCACCAAATTGCATAGTGTAGAGCTCTATGACCCTACCAATTTTTGGAACCTCCTCAGCAGCTGCTAAAAGGTTCTCACTCCGCATTCCTAAACCCCCTTGGATGGAGAGGCCAGGAACCGGGTAACAAAGTCATCCGTTCTCAAGTTTCCTTGTTTGAAGGTACAGATTTGCTGACGTGCCCAGTCATGCTCAGCTTGAGGTTTGAAATATTGGAATTGTCAAGGTCAAAGCCTGGGCCTTGTCAGACAACATTGTGCAATTGAGTGTTGATATCCAAGGGCTGGTAGAGGTTTGAAATATTTTTTGATCTCTACTTTGAGATCATCCCAGGTAGGCCAGTGACCAGCGGTGTAGCATTCCCGGAGTCTAACTTGGGCGTATTGACCCACTACAGGTCCTTTGAGTCTTGACAACACAGCTGTCACTATTTCAAACTCATCAGCAAATACATCACAGTCCACCTTGATCCAAATTTGGAGCTTGATACACCATTCAGCAAATCAAGCCCGGGGTCAGCAATAATTTCGACTTTTTTATTGAATTTCTGCTCAACTGCTTCAGGGGGGTTTGCTTGAAGCTCAGTGAGCTGCGTGGTCAATGCCAAAACCTGTGCACACATGTTGTGCAACAGAGTGTTGATGTCGGGTTGGTTTTGCGATGACATGTCAACTTGTTCTCTTTGTAAAGTAAAAAAAAGGTAACTGGGGGTACCTGCTTGCTATCTGCGGATCAACCTCTTCCCAGCTGAGTATTGGATCTCAACCTCCGACTACCCACACCATAGTATTTGAAATTGTATATAAAAGGTATTTCATAATAAACCCTGGTCCAAACAGTTGTCAGGGGGTGGTCCGCTTGCTAAGCTATCAACCCTTCTCCAGACTGACGGAAGCAAGTGCCCGGCCTTGTCAGAGGAAAGAGAAAGCAAAGTTTTTGTATTTAAATTCTAATCAACAATAGTTTCACACTATTGCTGAGCTAAAGTACTCCCCTTAACACTGGGGGCCATGTATAGTTTAATTGTCCCTTCTCCCTGAGTACTACAGGACCGTAGCCAGGAGTGCACCCTTCTGCTATATGGGATATTCCAAAACAATAACCCCTTAACCCTGGGGACCGGGTTTGCACAAAGTGCAAGAAAGTAGTAAAGAGCGAGTCTTAATGTTACAACCAAGAGTTTGGTCTGTATACTCTGGCGCACAACTGAGACAAAGCTATAAAGAAGTGAGGGGAGTGGTTACCCTTTGGATGGGACTGAGTTTGTTGTGGGTAAACAACAGGAGGACTTGCTGAGGAGTCTCCTTGATCTATTGGGGTATATATACTACTACAGGTTTGTTTGTACATGTGCACTGTACAGTTGATGGAGGCAGTGGCTGATGATGTCATGGGGCACAGCCTGTGTAACCAGCTCCACTGCATGAGAGATTTGTAGCTAAAATAAGGAAAAGGCAGTGCAGCACGAGAAGGTGGAGTTCGAACAAAATGGAAAGTTAGCACAGTGTGTAAAAACTACAGAAGAAAGTTAAAGAGGAGAATAAAATTTAAAGGTTCAAAAATTGTGTATCGTAACATCTGCCCTGGTCAACCTCTTGCAAATGTGAAATAAAGCCTCATCGTTGATATAATTAGTGTTATAGTATAGTATCTTAAGTAGCACCATTATAATGTTTAGACATGTTAATCAATCAATTTTACTGCTTGTGTCTAATCAACCCATGGTGACAGTGTGCCAAAGTAGAATTTGATATTGTCACATCAAAAAGCTACTGCAGGTGCTTTGTATGAAGAATCATTTCTCAAACGGTTTGCTGACTACAGCATTTTGCAAAAACATCAAACCTGCGGCTGACAAGAATTTAAAAAAGTGTTTACTACATGTTCACCAAATTGAAGTTATGGATGCAGTTTGGACTATGAAGATGGTTAACTTGTCTGAGTACATCATCAATGTCCTGGAGATCTGAAATATGATCATCAATGATTGTTCACATTGCAAACAGCCAATACAATGTGTAACTAAATGTACAACCGCCTGAAGGCATTAACAACATATTATGAAGTTACAAATTAATAATCAAAATTAATAACAAGAAATTGATTGATAGGCTCACCTGGACCATGCTAGCGCTCCAAAATAGTGTCAATCTCTGCTAAGCCTGCCCCCAAGCCGGTCAATTATAAACACCACACTTGTCTTGACCCTGTTATTGAGAATTTTGAGCTGGGTTCCACTTGAATTCAGCCGAATGTTGGAAGACAATCATGCAGCCAGTAAGCTTGAGAGTAGTACCAGCTTTTATGGATTATATTTTGTTCGCCAGATGAGTCAGTCAAGGCAAGGAAGTAGTTTTGATCAAGCGCACTTGACCAATCACTGTCAGATATATAACTCTGTTATTGATTATCTTGCATTGCCAATATTAGCCAGTGTACCCCAATTGTCTCCAAACTTGAGCGCTAAGTGCTTCAGGGCCTTCAAACTGAACATAAATATATATTTATTAGCACTGGGGGCAAAATCCCATGATTTTTATTAAACAAAAGAAAAAAAAAGACTTTGTTCCTTAGCCTGTTTCTCTACATAACAATGGAGAAATTTTACCCACTATTTTTTCAATATTTTCTCATGAGATATTAGGGTAAACATCCATAATATACTATCACAAAATACTTTTCCACTCAGTGTAGATACAATACTGATTACCAATGTTTTGCAAAAATTACATTTTGTATATTTTCCCCAATATTTTTTAAGAAAACATTGAAAAAATATTGAACCCCAATGTTATTTAAAGAAAGATGCTAAAAAACAATGTCTCTATTTTTCAAGTGTTTTTCACATATTTTAGGATTTTGCCCCCAGTGTAGTATACGCAAGATGACCTTGGGCCAATAAAGCACTTGCAAAATATTAACTCTTAGTCCTACAGTAAGTTGCGCAATTTTCTGGTTCTAAGCCCAGTAATAAACACCCGGAATCTCAGTGGATATCCCCACCCATTAGTGGTGCTTGTAACCCATCAAATGTGGTGAATACCACTGTGATATACATTAATAAACAACATTGAAGTCCTGGGTTATTTCACCTGGTATATTGACCTGAATGCCATAAAAATAAAGCTACTTTCACTATCAAAATATGGTGAAAATCATACTCATTCAAGAAGGAAAATAACCTAAAATGGTATTTGTATTCACACAGTAACACCCACTTCTAAAACTAGGTGAATCCAGACATGAGGCATCTTTAAACAGTTGAGCAAGTATTTACACAGGTTATTTTCACCTGTTATTGGGCCCATAGTGGTAGTACTTCTCCAAAATACACACCAGGGAGGGTCCAGATAGCCCTCTCAAAACCCCCACTGAATTATAGGCTACATACTATGAGTCCAATACATGAACCATCTAATGGCCATATACTGAAGTCTGCAGGTGTAGGGTCAACCGTACATTCTCACTAGCACAATGTGTTGGTATATATAAATAGTGTGGAAAAGCATGGATACATGGTAATGGACTTTATATGCTTTTATTCCTCCTATCATGGCTTGGCATGTTGTTCCACTATGTTTTTCCCTCTCCCATATTATACCATGTCTACATATCTCATTGTCACTATATTGTTTGTCTAGGTGAAATTTTATCTCTGTCATTCCAAAAGTTGAAAAATTGTGATTTGAGTCTCTGACAAAAAGACATTGTTCTATGTTTTGCAAATAATGCACTCCAACTGGCATGACATGTATATGTCAGCCAGGGTGAGCCTTCTAAGAAGAGGGATTCAAGACTCTATACTATAATGAAGGGAGGTCTATTGTCATATCCATGCCACTGGCTAGTAAACCAGAATCTCTGAACAATCAGAAAACCCCAAGTCCAAATTCCTGAATCTTTGCTCTTCCAGGAATTATGCTCCTCATTTTCTGCTGCTTGGCATGGCCCTGTACCTTGCTCCCATACGGTACTCTGGATACCTACTCTTATTCTCCTGTCCAGCTTTCAGTCTGCCATATATTTCCTCTACATGTTCTTATGTTTTGTTATGAACTCTGTAGTTAAACATTTAGCTTCTGCTTTACCTTGGTGTCCTTAGCTTGTTGAAGCCGCTTTATTGGACTATTACTTGACTTACCCTGTGTCCAATGTTCCCAGGTTCCTCATCTATCTCCTTATGCCCATGTTTGGTGGGACTCTGCATCACCCTTGTCACCATCCTGGGTAGTGCCCTTGCCTTGTCAGGGAAGGTGGATTTCAAACTGTTTTGTATTGCAGTGGTCTTGTCTCTGCAGAATGGGAGGACAGTTTTGCCCACCATGGCAAACTCAATGTATGACCATATCAGGTTGATGTCCTTGTCAGCAAATTGGGTTGTATGAAGGTCCCAGAGCAACATTCCTACTGCCAAACATATCAGGGCTATAGCAGTATGGCCTCTGATACCCTGGCCAATAAGGCTACATATGGAGCCACCTCAAGAGGTTTTGGGTTCCATTGCCTTGGTGAATCTCCAATAGAATCATGCTGTGGGCATAGCCCCATGAGAAGCCCATGACGGCCAGTAGTCTAAGTAATCCTCTGGCTGGCTACTCCTCTGGGAGCCGGGCCTGGGCTTGTCTTTTGGCAGTTGGTACACTGCATCCACCAACTTCAGGTATTCCTCCTCTGTATATAGCCTGGCGAGGAACTTCCTCTGTAACAACCAAAGTTTGTATGCTTTGGTGCGCGTCAAAGACAAGCAAAGAGGGGTGAATGGAGGAGAGGATAATCTCCCTTGGGTAGGACTGAGTTTGTTATGGGTAAATAACAGGAGGACTCGCTGAAGAGTCTCCTTGATCTATTAGGGTATTTATACTACTACAGACTATTTGTACATATATACTATACAGTTGATGAAGGCAGTGGCTAATGATTTCATAGGGCACAGCCCATGTGACCAGCTCCACTGCATGAGAGATTTGTAGTTAAGGATAAAGAAAATGCAGTGCAGTGTGCGAAAGAGGAGTTTGAACAAAATGGAAAGTGCAGCATAGTACAGTGTGTGAAAACTATGAAAAAAAGTAAAAGTGGAGAATGAAGTTTAAAGGTCCAAAAATTGTGTATTATAACATCCTCTGGGACCTGTGTGTAATAGAAGTATGCTGGGGACTGTTGTTGTCTGCTTGTTCTACAGCTATAGATTGCTGCCCCAAGATAGAAGGAGCCAGGACGGGGTTGTGAATTGGTTTGGAGGGCCCGGGCCTGGTTGTTGATTCCTGGAAGGCTACATTTTGTTGCATTGCAGCTGGTTTGGAGGGCATGGGCTGGTTTTGAATCTCAGCACTACTTTCATCCTCACTTAGGATTTTATCAAGCCTCTAAATCTTCTCTTGTTCCATATTGATGGATTTGCTTCTTGGTGCAACCATCCTCACTCTGGGAAGGGCTCTCCTCATTTCTGCCTTTTTTTTACTCTTCCCTTTATTGGCTACTGGGTGCAGACTAGATTTGAACCTAAAGGTAACTTTGGCATCAAAAAGTCCCACTGAGCACCCGGACTCCAGGGTGAAGGAGATTTGGTTATTGTTTGGGAATATCCCGCATAGCAAATAGGTGTGCTCCTAGCGACAGCCTTGTAGTGCTTTGGGAGAAGAAACAAAACCTTTGATACGCGGCCCCCAGCGTTAAGGGGAGTACTATAGCTCAGCAGTTGGCGTGGAACCTCTGTTGATTAGATTTAAAAAATACAAATTTTCCTCTTCAAATACTTCTGACCAGGCTGGGCACTTGCCTCCGCCAGTGTGGAGAAGGGTTGACAGCTTAACAAGCGGACCACCCCCTGACAACCGTTCGGACCGGGGTTTATTACAAATACTTTTTATATAAATTTCAAATACTATAGTGTAGGTAGTTGGAGATTGAGATCCAATACTCAGCTGGGAAGAGGTTGATCCGCAGATAGCAAGTGGGGACCCCCAGTTACCTTTTTTTTTACATTACCAAAGAGAACAAGTCAACATGTTGTCGCAACCGGATATGAACAGTCTGCTGCACAACATGCGTGCACAGATTCAGGCGTTGACGAATCAGCTCGCCAAGATTCAGGCTACCCCAGCAGCGGAATTTACGGTTGAGCAAAAGTTCAACAAGAAAGTCAAGATCGTCGCTGACCCCGGCACTTTCGAAGGAGATAGGGCGCAATTTGCCGAATGGTGGATCAAGCTCCAGATTTGGATCAAAGCAAACTGGGATGCGTTCGCTGATGATTTTGAAATAGCGACGGCTGTGCTGTCAAGACTAAAAGGACCTGTGGCGGGTCGATACACCCAAGTAAGAATGCAGGAGTGCCACACCGCGAGAGTGTGGCCTACCTGGGATGATCTCAAAGTCGAGATCAAAAAATATTTCAAACTGCAAGCTGAGCGTGACTGGGCGCGTCAGCAAATCTGGTCCTTCAAACAAGGCAACATGAGGACGGATGATTTTGTAACCCGGTTCCTGGCCCTCTCCATCCAAGGGGGACTAGGGAATGAACATGCAGTGGATATTGGCGCGGTCCAGGGCGGACAGATGCGTACATTCAAGGGGAACTGCTACAATTGCGGTCAAGGGGGACACATGTCCCGAGATTGCAGAAACAAGGTGTAGGCCGCCCAACAAAAAAATAATCAAGGGCACCAGGCGTGCCAACTAGAAACAGAGAAACTGGACGATTGGCTCCAGACTCTGGCTGGTTGTTCTTACGACAAGATCCGGGTCTTCTTCTACGATCAGCAGGCCGCTGAGATGAAGGCTCAGGGAAAAAAGTTTGGAGCTTAGGCCACTTGGGTGCCTTTGCTCCTCGGAACAATGAAGTAAACCACAACAAAATGGCCCCTGCTTCGGGGTGTTGAACGAGCAATAATGGAAAGAAGGGGAATGGCTCCCCAATTTGTAAATAGATTTCAAAATTTATCAGAAATATGTACTTGTATGAAGCATTGTAACTGTAATATTTATGATACTACCGCTGCACCAGCGTCTCCCTTGGAGCGTGGCCCCGGTGAGACAAACAATAGGGTGCTTGATTCTGGTAAAAATAAAATAGAAAAACATGTAACTTTCAATACTTTTTCTTTTTTGTTGGAGCCACCCTTTCCCGAAATCCCAAGGCATGTGTTGATGCGCACGTACTTATTCCAAAAGGAGATCCGTTTAGACGTTGGTGTGGAAAACCTTGCCCGGGGCATAGTACACCCAACCAGTGCACTGCTTGATTCAGGCGCTAACCGAATCTTCATAGATCAGGTCTGGGAACTCCCCCTTGTAAAATTAGATGTATCTATTCCCGTCTATAACATTGACGGTATGCTTAACACAGGTGGCTGTATCACACACAAATGTTCCTTTGTTGTCGAGTACCAAGGACACAGAGAATGAGTCACCGCCAAAGCTACCCAACTAGGGAAGATTAATTTAATCTTCGGCTGGACCTGGCTATTCAAACACAATCCTGAGATTAACTGGCAAACAGGGGTTGTCACATTGTCACATTGCCCTCAGGAGTGTGTGAACTTGGGTAAACCGAATCACATCCGTCACAATGAGCATCTTGAAAAGATAAACCCTGGTCACATTTATGAGCTCAGATCTCTAGAAAAGATTGACAATGACAATGACGAGGTAAAACCTGAGGAAGAGATTAAGAGGCTGGTACCTCCCGGGTACCATGACTTCTGGAAAGTCTTTTCTAAACATAAATCAGAGCGCTTCCCAGAGGCTAAGCCTTGGGACCATGCTATAGATTTGAAGGACACCTTCAAACTGAGAAAAGGACACATGATACCACTCTCTGCTCCAGAAAGAGATGAGGTGTCAAGTTTCATAGACGAACAGCTTAGGAAGGGTTACATCAGACCTTCCAAAAGCCCTAAGATGTCCCCGGTGTTCTTCATTCCTAAAAAGGATGGTAAGAAGCGTATGATTATGGACTATTGTTACGTGAATGAGCACATGGTTAAAAACGCGTATCCGCTGCCTTTAATCAGTCAGCTAGTAGACAAATTGGCTGGTGCCAAAATCTTAACAAAGATGGATCTCAGATGTGGGTACAATAATGTACAAATTAAAGAAGAAGATGCTTGGAAGGCCGTGTTCACATGCCACCGAGGATCCTTTGAGCCCCTTGTCATGTTTTTTTGGTTGACCAATTCACCGGCGACCTTCCAGAGCATGATGAACGAGATTTTTGCGGATATGGAAAACTGTGTTGTCATTTACATTGACAATTTGTTAATATTCACGAAGTTGGACAATGAGGCTGAGCATGACAGGATCGTGCAAGAAGTCCTTTGATGCTTACATGTACGGAACCTATTCGTCAAACCCAAAAAATGTAATTTTAAAGTAAAGGAAGTAGACTTTCTCGGTATGATCATAGGCCAGAACAGAATCAGGATGGATCCTGAGAAAGTTCAAGCTATATTGGACTGGCCAGAACCTACTCGCATCAAAGGAGTTAGGGCCTTCCTTGGCTTAGGCAATTTCTACCGAAGGTTTGTCAAAAACTTCGCGAAAATAGCGAGACCGTTGAACGATCTCACAAAGAAAGACATTGTTTGGCACTGGGGCACCAAAGAACAAGAAGCTTTTGATAAGCTTAAGCAGGCGTTTACGACAGCGCCCATATTAGCATTTCCAGAATTAGACAAAGAGTTCTGGTTGGAAACTGACTCTTCTGATTTTGCTACTGGGGCTGTTCTATCAATTAAATGCCCTGACGATTTTTGGAGGCCTTGTGCCTATTTATCGCATAATTTGTTGCCTACAGAGCGCAACTATCAAATATATGATAAGGAGATGCTGGCCATCATTAGAGCTTTAGAGCACTGGCGGCACTACTTAGAAGGTGCTAGGCACCAATTTGAAATTTGGACCGATCATAAGAATCTGGAATATTTTATGACAGCCCGAGACTGGAACCGAAGACAGGCCCGCTACGCGGTATACTTGTCAAGGTTTAATTATAAATTAATTCATAAGCCTGGAAGCTCTATGGGGAAAGCGGACACTTTGTCCAGAAGAGAGGATCACGCCAACGGTATCGAGGATGATAACAAAGGCGTCACCCTGATAGACCAATCAAGGGTTGCCAATGTTAGAATTGGGCAGGATTCCGATCTTCTAGAAGTCTTCAAGTCCGATACCAGCTGGTCCCTGGCAGGATATATCGGTTGATCTCACAACAGATCTGCCCAAGTCAAATGGGTATGATTCAGTAATGGTGGCAGTAGATCACTTCTCCAAAGAAGTAGTATTCATTCCCACCAACAAAGCCATTACTGCCGCTGGTACGGCAGATTTATTTAAAGATTTTGTATGGTCCATCCATGGATTACCAGAGACGGTTATTTCCGATAGAGGACCTCAATTCGCTAGCGAATTTACGAAAGAATTATGCCGGATGCTGGGCATCAAACCTAAATTATCAACGGTGTTCCATCCACACAGACTGATGGACAAACGGAGAGACTCAACCAGGAGTTGAAGCAATACCTCTGTATATTTATTAATGACAGGCAGACAGATTGGGCCAAGTGGCTAAAGATAGCCCAGTTCTCATACAATATTAAACAGTCGTCAACTACAGGAAAGGCACCATTTGAGGTAACAAGATTGTACCTCCCCAGAATGAGTGTAGAACCTGGCAAAAGCAAGAACGAGGCTGCTGGGAACATGGCCAAGGACATGAAGTCTGTCTTGGACGGAACATGCAAGGTGCTATTCAAAACTGCAGAGCAGATGAAAGATAGGGCAGAGCGTAGACGCTCTAACGCCCCTGACTACAAAGTCGGCGACCTGGTCTGGTTAGATACTGACCACTTAAAGTTAAAAGATCGGCAGTCTAGAAAACTGACCGAACAGTGAAATGGTCCTTACCAGATTAAGGAAGTCAAACCTAATGTGGTGGAGCTGGAACTCCCAAAATGAATGAGGGTAGTACCCACGGTCAATATTAGCCGTGTGAAACCTTACAAAGGGCCGCTGCCAGGACAGTGCGTAGACCGGCCCGGACCGGTTGTAGTCACCCAGGAAGGTGAAGAAGAGTTCGAAGTTGAACGGGTGATAGACGCACGCTTGAAGCGTGGGAAACTAGAATTCCTAGTCCTATGGAAGGGCTATGGAGACGAGGACAGAACGTGGGAACCAGAAGCCCATCTGGACAATTCCCGCAACACTGTTCACGAATTTTATTCTAAAAACCCCTCGGCTCCTAGGAAGCTTAGAGGCATGGACTCAAAACTTTTTAATTCCCTTTTTCAACCTATGCCCGAAAATTTAACTACCACCTCCAGTATTTGGTCTCGCCTGGAAGTCGAACCTTAGAAGGGGGGTAGTGTTACCATGACACAATTTTTGGACCTTTCCTTTAATTTTCATTCTCCGCTTTAACCTTTTTACTATAGTTCACACCCCATGCCATGCGGCACTTTCCTTTTTTGTTCTAATTCCACCTTCTTGTGCAGCGCTGCCTTTATTCTTCTTTTAGACACAAACTCTATCACGCAATGGAGCTGGTCACACGGGCTGCACCCTCTGACATCATCAGCCACTGCTTTTATCAACTGTACAGTACATAGGTACAAACACTCTGTATTAGTATAAATACCCCAATAGATCAAGGAGACTCCTCAGTGAGTCCTCCTGTTGTATACCAACAAACTCTCTGCAGCTTAAGGGGTAACCACTCCCTCTTAACTACCTTTATAGTGTGTTCTTGTGTGCACCAGAGTAACTAACTCTTGGTTGTTACAGCTCAGGCCTTCAATGCACTTGTTGTAACAACCAAAGTTTTTATACTCTGGCGCACAACTAACACAAGCAAAGAAAGTTGAGGGAAGGAGTGGATAACACCCTTAGGGTAGGACCGAGTTATAGACAATATGAAGACTTGTTGAGGTGTCTACTTCATCTACTGGGGTATATATACTACTACAAGTTTGTTTGCACATATGTACTATACAGTTGATAGATGTGGTTGCTGATGATGTCATAGGGCACAGCTCCACCACGTGTAACTAAAAATAAAAGAAAGCTGTGCAGTGTGAGAAAGTGGAAGTATAAGTGGAGTTTGAAACAAAAGGAAAGTGCTGCATGGCACAAGTGTCCAAAAAAGAAAGAAAGTTAAATAGGAGAATAAAATTTAAAGGTCCAAAAATTGTGCATCATAACACTACCCCCCTCTTAAGGCCTGACTTCCAGGCAAGATCAAATTTTGGCAGTAGTGATTTGATTTTTGGGCATAGTTTGGAAAAGGGAATTAAAAAGATTTGAATCCATGCCTCTAAGCTTCCTAGGAGCCGAGGGATTCTTAGAATAAAATTTGGACAGCATTGCAGAAATTGTCCAGATGGCCTCAACCAGCCTAGGGACTTTGCTCCTGGGACACTTCTGCACCAGGTGACAAGGGCAAATCACATTATGCAGACAAATGACCGCTACATGTGGGAAATAGTTTCTTGTGGCCCTCACTATTTTGTACATCTCTGTGTCACATTTGAGACTGTGTAGGCCATGGAACCAATGTATATACACCAACAGCTCATCCAGACTCCCTATGTGCGATGGTAACTTGAAGGTTATGTGGAATTCAGGTACATGGAAACCTAGTACCAGTAGAGATGCAGTCAGTATAATAGAGCTTGAAGAGACTTGGTCAGTCACTCCCTGGCTAATATAGTTTTACTTATTGTGCAATCCACAACCACAACCTGTCACCGATCGTGTATTATGATCCACTACTACCAGCACTGTGTCAAAACTTGGATGGCAGATTGTTGGTGTCAGAGTCAGGTTTCCCACAACAAAAACCCATCTGAGTGACTACTATTGGGCCTGAAATTATTTGCTTGAGGCGACACATAAACAAAAATCTTGGTCAACTCTGTCACCACTGTTGGCAAACTTCTCAGTTGCTGAAGACTGTTCTCACTGGTAATTTTGTACTTATTGTGTACTTGATATAGTATGTGTTAGTTTTGGTGATTCTGCACCTTTGTGCTACCTATATATTTTCATTCCTTTCTCTATCTATTCTTCTATCATTCACTATTGATTGTGTTCTCTATTATTTTGCCTTTGTGGCTGCTTTGTTTACCTTTGTTTACAAAACTTCGGACAGTACTGCAGAGTCCAACGCTTCCTATTCTCTAGTTACTCACATTGGACTCTAGGTACTGTATACCTGTCATACTCTCTAATAATACAGTTACTCACATTGGACTCTAGTTCCAGTCCCTGATTGCTCTCAGCAAGTGGCTAGACACTTCCTTCAAGCTTTGTTCTTAATAGTATGTCCTCAACATCTTCTCTTAGTATATTAACAACAACAAAAATTTTGAGAATCAGGTTCAACATAATGCTGAATATATAAAAAGTTC